AAGAGTGTGAGAGAGCCTCGTTCTTTCCAGTTCAATGTTTGCAAGCATTTATCTACCATGCCTGCCTGGCAGGTACCTTCCTACCTACCTGGCTTGGGCGTGCATACACGGGCGATCACGGGTGTTCTGGTTCTCCAGCTGCTACATACTACTACTACTACTAGGTGGAAATGTACGTGAGAGATATTATTATCTCCATTGCTTGAATAGCTCTACGTATAATGTCTTATCTTTCATCATGGGACATGAGCATAACACAAGATCCGATCGTGCAAGGTGACAAATTGACATGTTGCGAGCTCGGGAAGAGGGACAACCGAATCAATCTGAATGCACATGCACACACCAGGTAGGAGTTGCAACATAGTTGAGCAGGTCTACCGTAAAAGTTGGGACGAGGGTGCCATAAAAGCATTAGGCCGAGAAGAAAGAGGCTCCGACAAGCTCAAAATGGAGACCCCGGACATTGCCAAGCTGCAGAAACGGCAGTAAACATGCATACATATATATATCCTAGGGCTCAAGAGTTGTGAGACTGCAATAATCAGTGCTCATACCTGCCTGCATTATCTATGTACACTTGATTTTACAATTACATAGTAATCTGTTGCTATGTAGTGCTCTTAACGACTATAGTATGTAGTCGACCGCTCGCCATTTCATCTGAATTGGGCTGATGATGCTCATATTAAATCAGTGGGCTTCATGCTATTGCCATGTACCGAGGTAGGCACACAAAACACGTCTGCTGCAGGAAAGTCTCGAAAAGCATATTCTCGTGCCAACAGCTGAATAAAGGAGCGCATTCTAGTGTACATACTGATTAGAATTGTTCCGTTAGGTATGGTATTATTACTGAAACCCTCCTCCGAGATGTCAAGAGAAGCAAGAGTAGTAGTCGGATGGCAGTGGGCAAAAAAAAGTAATACTGTAGCAGACCCATTCATTCCCCACACACTCATCGGGGCACGTCACCCACTTCCAGGTTCAAGTCGCAGATATTCATCGGGTCCCCCACTTGCTAGGTGAAAGAAGAAAAAAAAAAGAAAGGGACTCTCAGATCGCATCAGTGTCAATCAGTTTCCACCCAGGCTGGACAGCACATTACCTACCTATACCACTGCACTACCTATCTAGGTAGGTACATGTCATGGCAATATATCGCTCGACTATAACTCACAGCCCCAACACGAGCAAGGCAAGATGAAGATCATCTCCCTCTGAGGACGTACATACACTGCCCTGCACGGCCATTACCGACTCGTGCTTGATGCCTAAGGGGCGGGAGGAGGAACCCTCCGCACAGTAATAACAACACCACCACCAAGAACAAGCTCGACTGGATTGTCATGTAGGTTAGGTAGGCTTGGTAGGTTGGTCATCGGTGCCATATTCGAACAATTGGCATTCTTGTCGATCACGATGCGGCGTCATGCCACTAAACAAACTTGGACGCCCACCGCCTGCTTCTCGACTGGCAGAAGGGGGACATAGGGTACTGTGTATGTAGGTATGTATGCAAAGAAAACCACCCACACGGACTGACCTACATAGCCAGTACGGGGCTCCTCCCGCAAGCCAATGTCCAATGAGGGCGCAATATAGGCGGGCATTGCATTTTACAAGATGCAGGTCAGCGTACTGTGCGCTCTCTCGTACTGCATGGCAAGGGGCGCTAGAACCCGTCTCGTCGAATCTTGTCGCTTTAGTGCCACATGCTTGTTCGCTGGTGTTGGACCTCTTGGGTGGTGTGAATGTAGGTGGGTAGCGTTGTATAATGTAGCTGCACGCAGTAATAGATAGTGTACTGGCCGACCCTGGCTGGGAATACCTGCATGGCATGGCGCGCTGGGCGGGCCAGTGGCGTGCAACCGCCTTTGTTGGTGCTGCTTCATGTCTGCTTACCTGCTGCCATCTGCAATATTGCTTCTTTACACTACAGTTCGATTGCCTCTCACACACTCTTTCTGGTCAGAATCTGAGTCCCCGGACCCTGGGGCAATCTGCACCTTCAAGCCCACACTGCATGTTGCAGTGATCACAGAGACTACATACCATATGAGTAAAAAGTCGGGTTCGGAACGCTTTGGATAAATTGCCAGATCAAGATGTTGTAAATAAGGATAATACAAATTGGATGCCTCCCATTCCAAGGCAGACGATGGAATTAGGTTGCTTCTAGAGTCCAGACTGCCTTTTCCCTCCGATAATATCTGGGCAAAAAAGAAAGAAAAGAAAAAAACGTTGGCGGTTGGGTAGTTTGTCGTTTCTTGCTCCGCACTTCTCAATTCACATCATGGAATATACCAAATTCACTTCACTGGCTCTACACAGGGCGGGGAACTTCATGTGTACACTATTTCACGAGAGTGCCCATAGGATGCGTCCCTTCTGCCACGGCCCCCACATTGGCCCCGTTGACGAACTGTATCCAGGTTGCGGATATCTCAAGCCCCGACGTTCTTTCTTGGAGTTTTCGCTTGACAAGCACTTGAGTAGAGCAGATTTACATCATTGGTGATCGAATGCGCAGTTTCCTGACAAAGAGGCAAAATCCAGATATACTTTTCACTAACGAGACTCCACCCAAAAGCACGTTGCAATAATCAATGCATAGAAGCCAGTAACAAAGGTCTTTTTTTTTTCTTTTTTTTTTTCCTCCTCCGTTTCCTTCCAGCGTTGGTCCCTTCCCCCACCTGCGCCCGGATCCGGGCTGGCCATCCAGTTGACCAACCGCCGCCGCTTGTACCTTCTCATCGCAATGGGTACTTCTGTAGACTAGCAACACCTGGGGAACGGCATCGAAGACACGCGCCTTGCGCTCTCGATTTTTGACCCTGCGAGGCGGGTGGGAGAAGAGTCACAGGATCGCTTCCGGCATTATACCGAATATCTCAAAAGAACGCCGTGCATATTATGTCTGCGCCCTGTTTATGGTATATTGCCAAAAGCTCTTGACATTGCATTCTTCGCCAGCCAGCCTATTTGATAACTTCATTCTCGGCGACATGTTCACCGCCAGCGCTCAATTGGGACTCGGATTCTAATGGCTTGTACCATCCTTAATTTTTTTTTTTTTTTTTTTTTTTTTTTTTTTGGTTGTGTAGATTCAATTTGCCTAGTATCCAGCATGTCTACAGTATGGCATTCGGTCATTTTTCGCCATCTGTACGAAGTAATGTAGGGTTGTTACCCATAAACCAGTGCTTACATGCTACCTAGTATCTACCGTTATGCAGTCCCGTAACCTCGGTTCAAAGTATGAATGCCGCGCCCTGATTCGCTAAACTTGTATACATGCTCTTTCGCCGTCCTATGCTCGTGCTCCTGACTCGTTGGCAGCAATGTCTTGTCTTGTAAGGCCTTGAAAAGCTCTGAGACATGGGCACGCAGTTTTCGAGGCACTGGATCGTGCTTTGCCTGTGTCTCTACTTCTTCTTCTTCTTGTCTCTCGAGAAAAGAGTATTTGCTAATAAATCTCCCAATTAACGCATTTATTCCGTCTTGGGAGGTACCCATCTAGACTCGCTCCAACTTCCCAGGTGTGGCCTGGTTCACACTATAGCCGCTTACTCCAGCCACTTAAGCAAAGCAGAGGCCAGTACCTACTTAACGTTTCGATGCTGATTCGCGACATGTAACCACATGTATCCATGCGGGATAAAATACATTACCTGGCATTATTGTTGTAGTAGCATTACATAGTATCAAGTAAGGATCAGGAGGTCAGACGGTCGGTCAATCAGTCAGTGATGAGTGATGTTAGGGCAATAATTACAATGATAATAGTACAATGTACTAACCTTAGTCTGTCCGTCTTGGAGTGCTCGTTTTCCCTGCTGTTGATTTCCCCACATCTTTCTCTTTTTTTTTTCTCCTTCGCCGAGCTCCAGTCCAGCAACCCTACCGTCCCTACCGGCCTAATCCTCGTCGTGGTTGCTTGCTGCTCGACTCGACTGCGTGGCGTCCCCGCCATATGTCGGATGTCCACGACAGACACCCTGAGCCCATGTCCATGTTCCATGTCTGTGCTGCCCCATGTACCCCCATGTTCGTTCCCCAAGCCTTGTTGGGCCCTCCCTATCTGTCTTGTCGCTTTCTACACTAAGGTATGTACACAGTAGTGGCTACCTACGTAGTACCTACGTACCAGCTTGAGCCAATCCGAGTAGCGGGCATCTGGCCATTGCAGAGCACCTTGGCACCGTGCTTGCAACTCAACTGCCCTGCTCTGTTCTGCTCTGCACTTCACTGCACAGCACCGCACCGCCGCCGCACAGCGCACATCAGAGCAACAGCATACATACATCCTACATTACTTACAGCTAGAAATCTTGAACCCTGAGGACATACCAAGACCCCAAAAAGCCCAGCCCAAACCTTGCCCCCTTGGAAGAGACGCCATCTTGTCCCCCGTCCGTCCTGTTGCTGCTGCCCATCTGAGCTGCCACGGCAGACCCTGGTCGCATTACCGCCCGCCGCCAATCTTGCTCTCTTCTCTCTAAGTTCTCCATGTGCCTTCTGTGGACACTCACCTTGCTTCTTGAACTCTAAACCCTCTCTTGTAGTGGTATTTCCTCGATCCTCTTGTCTATATACCCAAGATATCTTTTTTCCCCCTTCGACGGTCCGCCTTTCCTAGACACATTCATATGCCCACGAGACCACGAGAAAATACACCGCTAGCGCTTCTGGATCCTCTTTCCGGAAGGCCGAAGCTGCAGCTACGAAAGTCGGCCGCGCGGGGTCGTGGGAGGAACAGCTCTGCTGTGATCCCAAACATAGATAGTAGCATCGACACATTTTGACAAGGCAAAATTCGAAGCAGAGAAGAAAAAAGAGGGGGAAAGACGAACAAGAAAAGAGAGAAAGAAAGAAAACAAGTTCTCGTCACCACCTAGAACAGTTTGTCGCGAATGCTCCCATCGTCTGCCAGCTTGCGCAAACCTTCGCCGCTGGTAGCTGCTGCACCCCAACACGCAGTAGCCCCGGGCTGAGCAATGTCCACCGATCAAATACGCCTTCAGCATCAGTCTTATCCAGATACCTCGCGTTCCTTTCCAGAGTCGGCGATTCCTGTCGCCAACCCCGGCTCTGCCGACCTCAACGGCTTCGCATTTGGAGTAACTGAAAATGGTCTCGCAGATTCCACGCGACCGCAAAGTATGATGGAGGCTCCCGACTTTCCCGACTTTTCATTTCCATACCATGGGCTGTCCGAGGGCAGCCACATGATGGGTTTGGAGGATCATGGGCCCGCTGACCTATTTTCGAATACCGGGGCTGGTTCCATCTCGTCAATGGGCGACCGCCGAAATTCCGTGGCGTCCGGCTCCAATTTTGCAGTCAACGAACAAGCCGTCAAATCGCAACCCCAGGACGGATCCGAACAGGAAAGCCCAGGGAGCAACCAGCACGGTGTCAATTCACTCGAGGACAACATGTCGGATGAATTTGGCTTCTCCAACAACCTGCAAGGCGAGGGCCAGGACCATGGACACGCACGAGACTCGAAATCTGATGCTACGCCGGCGTGGAGTGAGCTTAAAACAAAGGCTGGCAAGGAGCGTAAACGACTTCCCCTGGCATGCATAGTGTGTCGGCGCAAGAAGATACGGTGTTCAGGCGAGAAACCGGCTTGCAAGCATTGCCTTCGGGCCCGCATTCCCTGCGTGTACAAGGTCACTACCCGAAAGGCTGCACCGCGCACGGATTATATGGCCATGCTGGACAAGCGACTCAAGCGAATGGAAGATCGCATCCTCAAGATGGTGCCAAAGTCGGAGCAAGACCCTTCGGCAGCAAACGTGGTGCGCGCCCAGGTAAAACCACAGCTTCCCAGCTCGGCAACCGCTAGTAAGCAGAGCGCCAAGAAGCGGGCTGCGGATGAGGCCTTTGGGGCTGATTTTGACAATTGGGCGCGGCAACCACCTAAAGCCAAGCCGACGGCAACGGCAACGACGGAGGATTCGAATAAACCAACATCGTTGCAAGTCCAAGAGCAGGAGGATGGAAAGCTCCTGGTTGAGGGCCGTGATGTCTTACCGACCAAGGAAATACAGGTACATCTGGCTGACATATTCTTTGAAAACATATACGGCCAAGCATATCATCTACTCCATAAACCGAGCTACATGCGAAAGTTAAAGTATGCCATCGCAGAAACAACTGGCTATTGAACTACTACTAACATATTACAGGACTGACGCTTTGCCGCCGGTACTGGTACTTTCCGTATGCGCTATTTCCGCACGCTTCTCAAACCATCCTGTATTCGCAGGCAAGCCGCATTTTCTCCGCGGCGAGGAGTGGGCTGTGGCTGCTCGCGAGATTGTCACGAGACGCTACGACTGGCCGAACATCACAATCTTGACATGTCTCCTGATCCTTGGGTTGCACGAATTTGGAACGTGCCAAGGAGGGAGGAGCTGGGCATTGGGCGGTATGGCCATAAGAATGGCATTTGCGTTGCAGCTTCACAAAGATCTGGAATATGACCCTACAGGCACTAACCCTGCGACTCAATTGAGCTTCATCGACAGGGAAATTCGACGGAGGACCATGTGGGCTTGCTTTTTGATGGATCGATTCAACTCTTCCGGCACAGATCGCCCCATGTTTATCAAGGAAGACACACTTCGAATCCAACTACCCATCAAGGAGAAATTGTTCCAGCTGGATATGCCAGGCCCGACAGAGGATCTTGATGGCAGTGTACCACATCCTGTGCCAAAAGATCAGGGTCAGCTTTCAAGTGCCAAAGACAACATGGGGGTTGCGGCTTACATGATTCGCTCCATTGCGCTTTGGGGCAAAATTATCAGCTTTCTCAATCAGGGCGGCAAAGAGGCCGACAAGCATCCAATGTGGGATTCCGAATCTCGGTACTCTGCACTTCTCAAGCAGGCCGAAGACTTTAGCCCCGGGCTCCCCGATGGACTCAAATACACATCCGAGAATCTCCATCTGCACGATACTGAAGGCATGGCCAACCAATTCCTCTTTCTGCATATTTCCATACAACAAAACATTCTCTTCATGAATCGCTTTGCAGTGTCCTCGCCATCGGGCTTGTCGCAGAGCGATGTGCCAAAAACCTTTGTCACAAAAGCCGGTGCCAAGGCGTTCGCGGCGGCAAATAAGATCTCTGAACTGTTGAGAGACTCGGACAGCTACCTCATAGCCGCCCCCTTTGTTGGCTACTGCGCCTTCCTCTCGAGTACAGTACACATCTTTGGCATATTCTCGGGCAATGCGGCAGTGGAGCAATCGTCCAAGAAGAATTTGGCTACCAATGTGAGATTTCTACAGAAGATGAAACGTCACTGGGGAATGTTTCACTTCATGTCAGAAAATCTGAGAGAGCAATATCGGTCCTGTGCAGACGCTGCCCAAAAGGGCTCTTTGCCCACGGACAAAGCTACTGCATCGCCCATCTTCCAGTATGGAGACTGGTTCGATCGTTATCCGCATGGGGTATCCCAATCCGACTTTCTGGATCCTGCAGGAAACAAGAAGAAAGAGACGGGAGATGATGCTGTCCTCGGGCAGAAGCCAGATGTATATACTGTTGAAGAGTTCTTTAATAAGCTGTCGCCACCACAGAGCCAAGAAGGTCGCGATCCAGCAAGCGGGCCGGCGCGGCCGTCAGCAGCAAAGCGACGCTCCTTTGCCGCCACTGTCAGTAAGAAAGGCAGCTTGGCTGCCCGGGGCGACAGTTCGCAACAGCTGGAGCCACTTTTGACTGATCTGCCATCCTCGATTCCAGAGCACGTACAGCAGCGAATCCAGGCTCAGCGGCAACAGTATGCAGCTCGCTTAAAGACGCAAACAAGCGACCCCAGCTCATTGCATCTTGAGTTGCCCCATGACAGGCGCAACTCTCAGCACTTTACGGGAGCCGCGGCACCCAACGCCGTCTATCATGCGATGTCTCCGATTAGCCCTGTGACACATGGCCTCGGGCACCCATTTGCTGGACATCATGCCGGTGCGCATCCCGGCAACCATCCTGGCTTTTACGGCCCCGATCTTGTTGCGCTGGGTCTGCCCAACAATACCGGGTTGCTGCCACAACTTGACCGGCAAATGGTTTTCAACGCTTACGGTGGGATGGATCCCACGGCAAATATTAGTGGTCCAGAGGGCATGACGGACTGGGATGAGTTGGCCAGCAGCAGCAGAATGAACGGCGGTGCCAGTGGTCCCAGCCGCGACGGGGTGAGCGATGGCTTACCAACCAATTTTACCCAGCCTTCGAGTGCCTGGTTCATGCCGTTCAATATGGAAGCACACGAGCTCGGCCAAGAAATGAGCAGCGCTGGCCTAGGCAGCATGGATAATTTTGGAGTTTTTAGTCCCGAAGGGATGAGCACGGCGGCTCCTGGGTCCGGCCTTGGAATGAGGAGGGGCTCGCACCGGTGAGGTCCGCCCAGGAGCCTTCTACCCTCTCGCACCATAGTGCGATCATCTACAAAAGGGGTCATTTTTCTTTGATTGGTATATATTGGGAAGGGGGGAATTTTCTGATCTGCTTGAATTATTTATCAGCAAGGCGTTGGATCAGGACATTCGTTATTCGCTAGACCGACATTCATCTCGTCTCAGCGACGATCGGGAGGGGCATGGTATTGCCATGTTTGTGAACGCCATGTACTTGTTGCGTTCATGTGTATAATGAGTTGGACACCATCTGCGACTTGGGTGCTTGGTGTATGTGTATAAACTCAAGAGGGAAAAGTTGCACATACACAGAAGTGCTCAAATATCCTGGAGCACATTGGGAAAAGTGGTATTTGGATATGAACCACTCGGGGCAGGCGTGTAAGGACCTTTTCCCCATGACAGAGGTCGGAACGGACGGAACGGGTGGATGGGCTTGGCTGTGGTGTCGGCCAATGTGAGACGTGATAAACTTGATCAATCAACGGAAACGAAACTAGCAACTTGAATAGAAGAATAAAACGCATTCAAGAATGAAATAAAGAAAGGATTGCAATGCGACTGCAATGAATTTTTTCATGTCTTTTGTGTGTACCGTGATGCCGTCTGCATGTGCCGAAGGGGTGGGCTCCAGGTTTTCTTACCGGCTGACATCGTACGACCTTGCGGGCCGGTCCGATGCGGAAGGAGCAAATAAGTGCAACAGTTTATATCTCGATCAGTATGGTAATAAATCAGATTGGGCTCAATCAGTGAAAGCATAGTCATTGATAAATGTAAAAAAGAAAGGGAAAAAAAAAGTGAATACAGGCGAAACTCCACATGTAAGAGGTGATCGTTGTGAGAGGTGGGCAGTGTTTATCCACTGGAAGAGGTGAGGGGATGGATGCCTTCTTTGCTGTGGAGAGAGTGTTTGGGAATGATGACATTGGTGTTGCTACTCTCAACTTGTGTTCTCTCTGATCTGACGAGAGGATGGTTTGCGTAGAGACCCAAGGTTCGAATCAAGGAACTACCAAGGGTCATCGGTGCTTTTCAACGCTTATACAAGCGACGACTTTGTAATTGATCGACGATAGAAGATAGCAAAAAGGAGAATTGTAGTTGGAGTTGATGCAATACGCTCATTCAAGGTCAATAGAAATAGTACTACTACTCATCTTGTCTGTCAAATTTGGATGTTGCAGTTCCAACATAGCAAAGACCAAGAATGAATGGATTGAAACCATCCGCTGATAACAGAACTGAGACCACAGACAAGTTGGCTGGATGTATCACACCGTCTCCCGCCTCGTCTTTCTCTAATGAATGTACCGAGGGTGGATATTCTTCTCAAGATTCGTCGTCGCTCTTGTTCAAACGAGCAGGCAGCAATTCCACATGAAACACCACCATTCACTGGTCAATAGGTTGCTGAAAATTTCATCATGGACGAAAATTGGAGAACAGTGTCTTGTTCCCTGTTCCTTTCCATTGGTTCATCGAATATTTTCGATTGTACCCTTTATTCAAAAGTCCGAAGTTTTCGTTGTTTTCGTCCTTGGCGAAAACTTCCTGCCTCGCCGCCACTTTCATTCCATCCGGCGCCTTCTTAATCTTTCTCAGCTCACCATCTCAACCGAACCGATACCCGACTACACTCCAAGTCAGTCGCGAGGGCCCAAGAGCAGGCGAAATAAGCAGACAACATGTCCTCCCCTCCTTACCAGCGACGAGGCCGCGGTCGCCACTGGACCAACTTTGAGCTCGACGCCGTTCTTGCCCTCATCTGCAAGGGCCATCACCTCAAGGGCAGCTCTCTCGGCTTTGCCACCAAGCTGAACGAGGCCCTCAACGGCCGCGGCAACAAGAGCCGCTACGACCAGGACATCCCCGTCGACGACGTGCGCGACCTGCTTGCCGACCTGGAGAAGCATCACAAGGCTGCTCTGGATTTCATTGAGCGCCAGCCCTGGCCGCACGTTATTACCCGCAAGAAGAAGCTCGTCTTTCTGCGCAGCCTGGACTTTGGCGGATCCAAAGACGAGTTTCTCGATGAGCGTTGCGATGAGTGGCTGGATGCTCGCCGCGATGGGGAGCAGCAGCAGGCCATGGGCAAGCAAATGACTGCTGACCTGGATCACGGTCAGGATTCTGCACAGTACTTTGGCCAGGACAACCATAGCAACAATCCTTGGATGCCTTCCACCGCCGCCGACGGTAACAACAACAACAAGTCGGGAGAAGACCACTGGTACTCGTCACGCGGCAACTGAATCGGTTGCGTTGACTATTGCTACATGCAATGATGCCAATAGAGTACCTCGGCGACCGTGGCGAGTCTTCTCTTTTTCCAAACGACGATTCAAGCTCTACTCGACATTCACGAGCCATGGCATACAAAATGTACAACATCTACCTGACAGGAAGAAGGTACACGCTCTTGGCAGGTGTACTGTACTGTGGACTCTTCCGACCTCGAAAGTCACCCCAACTTGATATCAGCATGGGTCTAAATTTCAGTACAAGACAGCCTGCGGGTTGAGTGAGTTGTCGCCATTTCATGGTTCTCACAATCCAAGACTTCACAGTTGTGGAGTGATTCAAGGGTAAGTTACTCGCATTCTGTTTCTATTGAAAAATCAATGAATTTGTGAGATCAAGCCGAGGTGCTGACCAATAGTTCCAACAGCATTTCCGTCCTTCTCCTCTCGATACCCCATTCCCGTTTCAGTCACCATCGGACAACTCCTGTTTCAATCGAGTCATGGACAACACCGAACATGCCGTTCCACTAGATGTTTGGATCTGAAAGTCGGCATATATTACAATCCTGTACCGGTGGGTGGCGTCCATTAAAGTTCATTTTTGAGGTGATGCATACAATGTACACCTCAGCAACTTTAGGGAGGGATAGTACCCACGGCCCTGCAATGCGCCCCTATATAGATGAGCTAAAATGAAGCCTGACATTTCCCTACGATATCTCGTGTGTTCATGTGCCAGTTCCTCCTCGCGATACCTTTCAGCCAATAACACCTACCCTGAGCGCGGCGGCTTGCCGGGCTCCCCAAAGCAGACTATGCCATAAGCACTTCTTCTAGAGGCACGATATTGGTTTCGTAGTAAATGCGTAAAAGGCAAGCTATGAATACAATATCAACCTTGAGTGCGAGAGCCGGCTTGTACGTCCCATGAAGTATGTGTGGACCGTGGTCGGCCGCTCTTCTCGGCCAGATATCCAGCCCATGGGCGTGGAGAATAGACAGGCTCTGTCGACAGCCCTGCGGTGATTTATTTCCAAAATGTCCAAATACCGGATGATTGACCCGAAAATTTAGACGCTTGTTAAGTAGTTGCCATGTTGGGTGCCCTTTTCTACTAGATGGCTAGTGAGATGGTTTAGCGTGTGGGTTTTCCTTTGGTTGTCTCCTGAAGAGAGGGAAGAAGCTATTATAGTGATGGCGCTATTCGAGTGAGCAACGGCCTATTCTGTTGACCCCATGTGCCGAATATCCCTAGTCTCAGTTTCTGCCTTTCACGATTATTCACTTATGCATTATATTCAGTGATTGTAGTAAGAATGCGTACTAGGGTATCTATCGACGTGCTCTGTCTTGGAGGAAGGTACCCAGATGCCTCAGGACCAAAAGATGGAGATTGAACATATAGAGAGGGCAGACCAGCTGGCTAGCGTTGGTGTCAGTGATGCTGGGTTGAATCTGTCTCCAAGGTTAAGCGCTGGTCCTGAAGCGGAGGGAGAGCTCAACATCATGGCGCCAGTCTCAGCATATTGATGGAGTCGAGCTTGTCTCAAAGTCCTAAAAAGAAAATGGTCTCTTTCATTGCTTATAGCGTGAATCCTGGGTCGAGAAGTTATCATTTCCTGCACGAGCCTTGGCAATATTTCCAAGCCAAATTAGCCTCCCTTTTCGCTGTCAGAGTCACTCCTGTCGACTGCCATTAGGAAAGGGGGCTCTTTCTATCTCGAGTACCAGGTCCCTTTCGACATGTCAACTATGAATGAAGTCAAAGTGTGGTAAATTGTCGTCCTCAAACTAATGAATAAATGAACAGATCCAAGCCAACCATGCTGGATTCTTATCAAAGTTGATTCAAAATATAGAATCTTGGCTTGAGAGAAAGTCTTATAATTACCTACTGGGGTGAAAACCACGATTCGATAGACTAGATAGATGATAACGGATGAACCCTCATGGCTTCTCTCAAACAGACAAAGGGAACCGCGAGTAAACCCTTCTCAAGTGCTTACACCGATGCAGTAATACTCGTTTGCCCACAAGGACGACGCGCATTGACTACCATTCGGCCCCAAGACTGTGTTCCACGCATATAGATTTGCCGTCGTTATGCCGTTGCGAGCCGCAAACGCACCACAAGTATCTCCACTAATGGCTGCGGCGTACTTGTTACACTTTGTCGATATCCCAGACTGGGTAGGCCCCGGCGCAGTAACGGCTGCAGGTTTGGTCGTCGTCGTCGTGGACTTTGTCGTGGTGACAGCAGCCGCGGCCGAGGTGCCGACGCAATAGTACTCGTTTGCCCAGAGGGAGGTGCCGCAGTTTTGGCCGCTGCTGCCCAGGACGGCGTTCCAACTGTACAGCTGCGTGGTGGAGATGCCGTTCCGCGAGGCGAATACAGAGCAGACGTCTCCGGTTTGCGCCATGGCGTATTTGGCGCAGTTGGACACGATGCCCGACTGCGTCGGTCCCGGTGCAGTGGAGGAGGTCGTTTGCGTCCCAATGCAATAGTACTCGTTGGCCCAGAACTTGGTCGAGCAGTCGACGCCATTAGAGCCCAGGACGGGATTCCCTGTGGTGTACTTAGTCCCATCGACTTAATTACTAGTATCGATTGCAGCAAACAAATCACTTACACGAGTAGAACTTGTCGGCGCTTATCCCATTGTTCTTGACAAAGTCAAAACAAGTATCCCCAGCTTTGGCACTAGCATAGTTGTTGCAATTCTTGGCCAGACCATCCTGGGTCGGCGAAGGCGCCGAGATGGATCCTTGTGATGCCGGGTTGGTGAGCGTGCCCAGGACCGTAGTGGACGGGGTGACTACACCGCCGGCGCCGCCCCTCTGCTGGTTGCCGGCATTGGCGGCAGAACCCAAAGGGGGCGGCGGCAGAGCGTAGGAGCTATTCGTGCCGGGAGCACTGGTCCACCATGCGTCAGTTGGTGGTGCATCTGATGCAAATTTGGGGAACATGGGGCCTTTACTTACCTAACACATATGTATTGTCCGACGGTAAGACTGTCACATAGTCCAATAATGTTGGGATTCCAGCTCAGGAACTGGACGGTAGTTACCTTTAGACTCGCGGCAAGTGTATCACTGGGATTCATGAGACAGGAATCATATATGGAAAGGATCAACTGCTTTTACTCACCATGTCTGAGAGCCGGTGAGACGTTGCAAGGTGCAAGCCGCCGGCAGGCACACGGTGCTAGAGATCTGACAAGTACTGCTGTTGATGATGGCCAGTAGGTCACCCGTAGCAACCCTATACTTGGTAGACAGAGCATCACAGCCAGAGCCGGTGTTCACTGCCTGGCCAGCACAAGTGGTAGCGGCAGGTGCCGTCCCCCCTGAAGTTGTCGTGGTTGGTATAGAAGTCACCGGTGGTGCTGGGGCGTATGTCGGTACAGCCCTGACCGTAAAGTCGCGGAGCTGTGTGCTGCATATATCTGCCACATCCTGGAGTTGGTCCACGAGATAGTCCGAGTGGTCCTCGTTACTTAGTAAGCTTGAAGTGACCCGGGAATAGAGCATCTCTATAAAGCATTGGTTACATAGCTGATCAATTTTTAGCAGTCTGTTACTCATTCCGTGACCGATTCATCTTACAATATCGTCACCGTAGAGATTTGCCATGCGTTGTGAACTATCAGGTATAGCCGAGACGTTGCCGCCGCAAGACGGCGCAGACGGATTGGCGTTGCAGTCGGGGCGAACAATATCAGAGCCTACCCATTGTTGGGATTCTGTGAGACACCAGGAAAAGTCATCAGAACTATCCCGCAAGTCAGCCTCGATGCCTAATGACAACTCTCAAGAGAAGGTTTATACCCAGATGGCAGACAGGCAATGTTGAGGCTGTCATAGAAACGATCGCTGACTGAATTGGCGGGAACCAGTTTCCCGTAGGCAGAAATATACTCGCCATAACAAGCATCGAAGACGTTGAGTCTCCAGTCGGAAGTGGCCTGAGGGCAGTTGCCATTACACAAGGTGGTGACGTTGTCTTCTTCCCACCAAAAGTTTTCAAAGTCTCCAACCATTCCAAAAAGTGTTTGGTCACAATCTGGCAGGGACTGGTTACTAGAATATAGTGTTAGTCTTCTTGCATTGGGAGTGAAGTGAAGGATCCAAGGTACGTGCAGAGCAGCGAAGCATTCCGTGGAGATATTCAAAGCCTTGGATAACTTATCCGAGTTCACGGGCGGGTATAGGTTGAACGTTGAGCATGAATGAAAGAGTAGCAAGGTAGTAAGCGTCTTGATGAGAAGACGAGCCATATTGAGTTCTAGATAGCAGGATAACCATGCAACAAACTGGCCAACGAGTTACCAATTTGCCTTTCACACATTTCAAAGGGGATTCCCCAGGGTCATATCAAGCATGGGCAACATGTCGTCCATACTTGGCGCAAAGAACGTATATCATGTCTCATATCATGACCCCCTTGCCCAAAGTCCCTTGCTTGTCAGCCGTTATCAGGCGACCCAGCTTTTCCTTTTGAAAAATCAATAGTGGTGAACTTTCCCGTTCGTGCCAAGAGGACTATACAGGGCGGTGAGACTCCATACTGAAAGAATGGGTGGTATGATCGATTACATCGACACCGAATCAGGTGGGCACCGAGTGCAAATAATAGGGGGGCTCCGAAAAGAAAAACAACTGAGATCACTCTTACTTGTCTCGTCAACCTTAATCTTGGCAAAAGAGGTGGTGGTGCGGCAAGGCAACGGGACCCCGAGGGGGGACGAACCAATGATGGACAAGATGGAATGCGACGTGACAGCGCCAATGACTATAAACGTGGGGTTTTGATATCACTATAACGCCCCCACAAAGTTACCGTTGGGTTTGCAATGACAAGGCTGCCTGCAAATTAACACTGAGCCGTAAAGTGAGACAAGTCGTTCAGCAGAGTGTCTATTCATATCTGATACCTTCACTCGTGCAAAGCCATAAAGATGGCTACGAATTGATGTAAAATTCTCATTGCCCATGGTGTTTTTGGTCTGACAAAGAAGAACACCCTCAGTAACCATCAACATGTTGTTCCTTCTCTTCGTAGCTTTTTGCTTTATTGGAGCTCTTCCATGCCGTTCTGGCAATGTCGGAATCATACAACCCACCTTGATCGCACCACGTTCTCTAGACTCTGACTCTCTTCTCATCAATCGCGCCCTGCCTATAGGAACATGCAACGCCCAGACGCCCTGTGAGAACGCTGCATGTTGTGGCGGAAAGAACAATAATCTATGCGGATACTCTCCAGGAGAATGCGGAGCCGGTAGGTTCTCATACCGCTGGTTCTATCGAATAACAGCTAAGCAAAGACTTGAAAAGGAAACTGCACTTCCAACTGTGATGCCAAGGCCGAGTGTGGCCAATACGGTAAACCGGGTCAGCAGAAGTGTCCGCTCAACGTCTGCTGCTCCAAGTTTGGGTATGTCATCCGCACCCCGATTCTGCTTTCTCACTTGGCTTGACTGCCAGGATACAAGTATCTATATCTGACACGGAAGCCAACCCAGATTCTGCGGATCAACCAGCGAATTCTGCGACAGTGGCTGCCAGGCTGGCTTTGGCGGATGCGGCAGCGTCCACCGGCCCTCGTGCAACGGCAACTCGATTGCCAAGCGCACCATCGGCTACTACGAGTCGTGGGCCGCGACGCGCAAGTGCCAGGCTGTCCTGCCCGAGGACCTGAACCTGAACGGGTTCACGCACATCAACTTTGCTTTTGCCTTTTTCGATCCCAAGTCGTACCAGATGGCGCCCATGGACAGCAACAGCGGCTCTCTGCTGAGTCGCTTCACGGCGCTCAAGAATACCCATAGTGGGCTGGAGGCCTGGATCTCGGTGGGCGGTTGGTCTTTTACGGATCCGGGTCCTACGCGGTCCTCATTTAGTGACATGACGAGTTCCGCAGGTAATCGCAAAAAGTTTATCGATGGGCTTATTAGTTTCATGGAGCACTATGGGTTCAGCGGTGTCGATCTGGACTGGGAATATCCTCAGGCCGATGATCGAGGTGGTGTCACAGCTGACAAGGCTAATTATGTCAGCCTGGTCAAGGAATTGCGAGCCGCGTTTGGTAAGTAAATGACAGGTTGACTCTTTTGACTCGAGATTTTCCAAGAGAAATCAGTCAAGCGTTCATTTCAGCTAACATCAGTACAAAGGTAACAAATACGGAATATCCATGACCCTACCAACGTCTTACTGGTACCTCCAGCATTTTGATCTGCCCGCCATACAGCCTAATGTTGACTGGTTCAACTTTATGGCCTATGATCGTAAGTCTTACCAGATGCCCCATTCAATTAATCGAAAAATGAAACTGACAAGCTCCCAAGTTCATGGCGTATGGGACGCCCAGTCCAAGTTCCTCGGACCAAATCTGGCGCCACATACCAACATCACAGAGATTGACATGGGCCTCGATTTGCTATGGCGCGCTGGTGTTGAGCCCAGCAAAGTTGTACTTGGCCTAGGATGGGTAAGCACCTCGGCCTCTTTTGCCGACTTTGCTCTCATCCAGTCTGACTCTTGCCTCTAGTACGGTAGAAGTTTTACCCTTACCAATCCTGCCTGTAATACACCCAATGGAGTCTGCCAGTTCTCTGGGGGCGCCAAAGCCGGTCCCTGCTCCGATGCCAGTGGTATCTTGACTTTGCAGGAGATCAACGACGTGATTTCTTCCAAAGGGGTCAAGCCCGTCTGGGACAAGACTGCTGGCGTGAAATGGATAACATGGGACAGCAATCAGTGGATTTCATATGACGATGATGACACCTTTGATCAGAAGCGAAAATTTGCAAACTCGCGTTGTCTAGGAGGCAGTATGGTAAGTTTTGACGCGCCGTGACAGATTGCTTGTTGATATCGGCTGAGCGACATGTAGGTCTGGGCCATCGACCAAGTCAACCAAAAAGCAGACAATGGTCTTGCACCCGCCCCGGGCGTGACGACACAAGATCAGCAAGACGCCAAGCAAAAGAGTGATGATCTCGCCGCGGGAATAACTTGCTACACGACCGACTGTGACCAAAGCTGCAAGCGAGGTACCAATGAAGTCGCTCAGAGTACGATGTTCCATTCTCTCACATGCTCCTGTAACTGACACACACCTCAGTGAATGGTCAACCCGGTAAACTATCCACCAATGACCGTTGCAAGCCAAACCAATACCGCTCTCTCTGCTGTGATGACGGTACAAAGATGGGAACCTGCCAGTGGCGCGGATACCGCGGCGTCGGCCTCTCCTGTATGGGCGGCTGCGACGACGGCGAGACCGAAGTCGTTCAAGACACCAACAGCCACGACAAGAAGACGGGCGACCGAACCTGTACAGGTGGTCTTCAGAGTTTCTGCTGCAAGGGGTTCAAGCCGTCTTCGTCGGGAAAATCACTTCAAGGTAAGGCTGTGGACGTTGGGGAGGCGGCGGCTATATCTGCGGGCGAGCAGGCTGCCCTTGATATCGCAGCAAAAGCCTTTTGTCGAATTGCCGTTCCCGCTCTACTTGCACCACTGGAAGCACTGGAGGCTCTCATTCCGATTGTCGGTAAGTAGTATGATGTTGTATCTGCTCAAGAGCATCAGACTAATAGTTTCCTTGCCACCAAAAGGCGAGATATTGGATATTGCCGAGATTGCAGCCACGCCAGCCTTGATTCAGCTCTGCGTGAAGGGTGTCGAAAAGGAAGGCAAGGCCGTTTTCAAGGTGTTTGGCAAAAAGCACACCATATCCTTGAACAAGCCGACCACGACGCCCAAGCCCCGACCGCCAAAGTCAAGTCATGTAAAAGATCCTCCTCGCCTTGCAAGTTTGATTTTACCACATACTGACATTCAACTTCTTCTCCCAGACTCCCGCCAAGACCAGCTCGGCCTGCACTCGGAAAAGGCTACTAAAAGAAAAGCGCGCCGACTGCGATGCAGAGACCGTCGTCACTATCGTCACTGAAGTCCACGACAGCTTCCCCAACCCCCCAAACTCCATCGTGTGCGACGGCGCCGTTGCGGTCGGCCATCCCCAGGCTTGCCTCAACTACCATTCCATATCGGCGCATTATGCAGACTTTAGGACTCTCACATGCCCTTATTATCGCGTTGATGACAAGAAGCGGCCCGTAAGTGCCTCATATACAAGACAACGTGATCTTGCTCGATTTCTTCCTCAGTTTGCAAGGCTTCCATCAGGTGGAAAATGTTCTCCAGATGAATATCCCCCAGCCGCCATTTGCGACGTCAATGATGGCTACTCAAAGATTCTCAGTCTTCGGGATGACCTGAAGAGAAATCGACCTGGGTTCAGGGATCGTGGACAGCGTATTCGTTTGATTGAGTCAGCCGATAACTCTAAGGCTGGAGCTTTATTTGCTGGTTGTAGCCGCGTTGCCCACTATGACTGGGACAACCTGAGCTCGGAAAGAAAGCGAGGAAAACGCGTCACTACGATTTACCATTATGTAAGGGCAAATTTTGAACGGCAGCGGTTCACAATGGATTTCGTCAACTTACAGAATCTGGTCGATGATGGACTGGTCGACAACAAGTGTCAGCCCACCATCAACGGCGTCAACCATCCAGGATTCGCCCTATTGAATGGCGATGATTGGTTTAATGCTCATCAAGACGAGGCGGGTCTGACAGCCGGGTGGGCAAAGGGGGCTGCAAAGAGGGACTGGCTCGATGAGATCAGCAGACTGGTCTACGTAGACGCAAACTCTACCACGCCAGCGTCGCGGGAGGAGCTGCGTGCGCTCTTTGGGTTCGACGAGTGCTCTGACGACACTTGCTCTCTCGAGATAGAGGCTCTCAAGGCCATCGTCGCAAGCATGAGAGAGAATGTGTCTCCTTCCTCACCAATCGAGATCGAAGCAGACCCCACGGCTGTTGCGCAGAATCAAGGAGGCAGCGACGCGCCGCCTAGCCAACCGGGTTCAAACTTTATCCTGCCTCATCTTCCGGGAGAGACGGGGAAACCATAGTCTAGTCGAATGCATGATAGTCTATCAAGATCCCTGAATCGGAGGACCTGAAATAGTGAGTACTAATCAAGTCAACTATACAGGTAATCATCTTGTATCAATATTAGCAAGCAAGATTGAAATTTATGATGCAAGTCTGTCCCATGGACATCAAGCGCATGGTTCAAAATGTAAGAGTAACAACTTGATTAAGCTGCCAGTGACTACCAGATCACTGAGCCAGGTACCATGCCTTGAGTGCCTCTCGACAGGTTTCCTTGTCGTAGTTGTCTGGCCAGCCGTGCTTGCGATAAATCGACCGCAACTCCTGGGAAGTGTCAGCTCTAGCTGAGAACCGGTTTCATAAGCAAATGTATTTGAATATACGCAAGCGCGTACCTCAGTCTCTTTCCAGTCATAGCTATCCGGCCCATCTTCCTCTCTATGAAAGTGCAGACTCGGATAGCCATTCCCGTCTCCCGCATCAGGGATGCCGAGGTATCTCAACTGGTGGTACTCTCTTCGCCATGTATTGACTTGGTCGACCAAGGTGACAGTGTCCTCACCGCAAAGACGGTCTCTCCAGGCTCGTGGATCGCCCTCATTGTAAGTCGGCTCGTACAAGTACCCAACGGCGCAGTACTTGGTCACGGTACCGTCCGTCGTATCGAGCATGTAGCAGCTCCCCTCGCGATCGGTGCCCGTCGTCAGCTGCACCACCCAGGGTGGCCACTTCTCTACACCAGCCGGGGACCCGTCGGGCGACGTCACATTTCCCGAATCCTGCTGCACATCTTGGACCCAACCTGGAGTATCGCGGGAAGACACTTGACCGCCCAGGATCCGATAGTCGCAAGGAAAGGCCTCGGGCGCGATCCAGGGATGATCGCCTTCAATGTACGGCAGGTGGCGGAGCAGCTCGACGGCCTCGGGCGTCTTGTGGATCCCCCGCTTCTCAAGGACTTCGGCCGTGATGGAAGGCCAGCCTTCGGGAGGTGCACGATGAATGGACGATAATGGAATATGAGGCAAGAATTTATAAAAGGCTCCTAGCTGAGAAGCAATCTCGTCTCTGTCGTAATGGCCTGTCTTGCCGCGCAGGCGCGGATCCGGTGATAGTTCCGCAGGAGACACCATTGCCTTTATTGCCTGGAAAACATGCCTAGGTATGCTTGGATGCTAGGATGAGAAGTACGAGTGTCTTTCGTATGAGCAATCGGTTCAATTGTTCGTCCAGTGCAGGAGTCTAAAGGCAAACGTGGCTTCCCTTTCCCCATCCAGTCCGTGGGCGCGGCAACCACGACGGAACGGTTCAGCGCCTTCTTACCCCGCGCGAGGACTCGATTCGATATCTCATATGGTCACGCGTGAGACGGGAAGAAAAAGAAATAAAAAGGGAAATTTATGACGGAGCTAGGTTAAATGATCAGTTCATCAAGCGCAGCTGTTATTGTCTTTTGCTGGTTGTACGTAGGTGCAGACTGCTACAATCTCGCGGGTCCTGCTCCAGGCTCGTGTACATATTGAGGAATAATTAAAATCGGACGCCGATCTTGCGAAACTTGCGCACGTGGAAAAAGAATATTGCCTTTTTATTGAATTTTCTTATTTTGATTCCCAAGGTATATGACCCTGTCTGATCCATTGTCGTACTCGTACAAGTAAAGTTTGTACGGATTGTGGGGAGGACTGATGAGGTCACCTACATGTCCAGCAACGGCCAGCCAATTTAGTAAACTTCAGTATTCACTACAAATTGCCACCTTGATGGTCATCACCCTACTGTAGTCTGTTCCTGGTGTAATTTCATGCCTTTTCTCATTTGTTTCTTTACTTGGCTCCGCACTCTTTCCCTGTGCTCAATCATAATCACTTTAATTCCGCACATCTGGGTCATTGTCTCTGAAACATTGCGGCTCTGCTGCTGCTGCGATGCGACGATACCACCGTTGCACCGTTTTCTTCCATCTAAGACATGCTACGGCTTTTGGCAGGTTTGACAGACAGACACGCGCCACTAGCAGCAACTCCTGAATAAACTCCAAACACAAGGTCCCCTTACGCGACTGACTGCCAGGGACTGGGGTTGGACCTTTGGTAGGTATTATTAGCCTAGAGGTGCGGAATTGGTAGCGCCGCAATCAATATTGCCTTGTACCTATTTCCATATGCCCGCTGTGGCGATCGTGGTCTTGTCGATCAAGTACGCCAAAAACCGCCATCGTGATGAGAAATGAATTAAGCTTACTCGAAGTTTGAGCCCAATGCTGGCGGAACAATAGGGATTCTCTCATGGCTGCGATGGCACACTTTGTGATGAATACCTACCTAGCTGAAAGACGGGACAGGAACCAGACAAGAGCCATCTGTGGGAAGATGCAACCTAAAAAGACGGCTTCCGCCTCTAGAATAAGCGATGCTAAGGCACAAGTGGCCGAATCGGGCTGGGTTAGCCTGCCTTTTCTGTGCAGCTATTACCCTGCAAGGGGAATCTGCCAAGAGCGCAAGGGCCCTGTCTTTGCCTAACAAGTGCTGACCTGTGCTAGACCATCCTGTCCGGAAGTCGGTATAGTCTCGATCGGCTGTTTGGACTAGCAACTAGAATGCTACGACGGCTCACGATCAAACCCTGATCATATCACGGCATCATGGAGACGGGGAACCCTGGTTTACGTGCCCAAATTACACACTGGGAAATATGGATAGGATGAACAGAATATCGCTGGGCATCTCTGGCTAGTGATTGATCGATCGCGTCAATGGTAGCATTCCCCCACTGCTGCTCTCCAGAAAAGCATCTCCACGTTGTCGTGGATTGATGAAAGAAGAGAACGTCCTAATCGATCTGTTCATCATTGATCCAAGACGTCTATATTCTTCTATCAGACTACTCGATACGGCATCGTCCTGCGGCGCTCAGGCTTTACCACGAGTCGCCGCCGCCAAACTATTTTGGTGCCGCCTGAGCGCGGCCCTACTTTACACACTGGCCAGTCGACGGCCTCGGGTAGCGGTATGTTTAGATATGCCTAGATCAGACATAGGCTCATGTCAAAGGCATGGAATATCTAATTCAAAGTGGAAACAGAAGTACGAGAGAACGATCGGATATCGTGCCAGCGAGTGTGTTTTGCATCTGCCGAAGGAACCTTCAGCCCTGGGAGAGCGACGATCGGATGCACTATCTGTGCCCTCCCGTTCTCCCGCGAGTGCTCTAGGTTCTAGCCTCTTCGTCATGAAGAGAAAAGGCATCACGTTTCCTACCCACAAGGCAGATCATCAAAAAAAATCCCCGACTTGCTGTCCGTCCAACTGGTCAAACTAGTCTCACCTGAGCTACATTCGCTGGTGTTTCTTGTTTGTTGAGAGTTGTACGACCCTTAATTTCTGCCGTTGTTCTGCTTTCTCTTTCTTCTTCGAACATATGTAAAGAATCAACCTTGCGCCGCAAAAAGAAAATCCCCGACCTGCATGGACGTGGACTACTACTCCCCTGTCCTTTGCCCCTGGTGGTATCTCAAACATTGATTGTTTATTGTTTATCGAGTATTGGACGGAAAGCAAACTTGCTGGAAACCGAGATTGTCTTGCTCGAGAAGCACCAAGTTTTCGATTGTCGACTGGTGAAATGAGGGCCCTCTCGTGGGCGGTGCTCCTGATCTATGGCGCCGTGACCGCCATTGCTACTTCTTCGACAACCTCGTCATCATCATCAGTGTCGCCGCCGGCGTGTGGTGTAAGTGCGGGAATCCCCGGGAATCTTTCTTTCAAGATTATACATCCCAGACTGGATGAGCTACATGTACTTGGTGGGATTTTGGATGAAGATGGAACAATCAACTAACAAGATCTTTTTCTCATAGCTCGAATGCCTTTCAGACGTCCTGCTTGCATCGACATGCGGCGCCAATCTTACATGCGCTTGTAACAGCGATGCCGTGAAAGATAGCCTCAAGACATGCTTCTTATCAAATTGCACAATTCGGGAGGCACTGAGTAAGCCGCTTCCCACTCTTGAAGTCGGCCAAATACCGAAACCGACTATACCGATACCAAGAACTTACACAGTTTCAATCAGGGGCTGAGAATTATTCTTTTTCGATATGTGGATACGTTGGCGAGGACAGGAGGCCGCTGGTCTGGCACCTGGGACTTGCTTTCTTGATTATTGGCATCGTCGCCTTTGGCCTCCGGTGTCTCGCGCGGTTGAGAACGCATTCGTGGGGACTCGATGATGTAAGCCATTTCCAATTACGCTTTGCTCAAAGCCACCTTCAGTCTAGAGCCGACTTCTTGTCCAGCTTCCAACCATGGCCGCGCGCATATGAGATATGCTGACCAAACTCACAGTGGTCCATCTTCATTGTGGTCCTCATCTATATACCCATGAGCGCACTCACGTTTCCCCTATCAGCAAACGGCCTGGGACTTGATATGTGGACGCTATCGCCTGATGCCATTAACAAAGTTTTATATGTAAGTTGACATTTCTTCCAACTGTACGACCAGCAATAGAAGCAATGCTGATGCAATCAATAAACAGTACTTTTACTGGGAAGAGATTCTCTACGCCGTGGGTCTGGCCATTAGCAAGATTTCCATTCTTCTCTTCTACCTGCGAGTGTTCCCACAGCAGACATTCCGGTACATGGTCTTTGTCATGATTTCGCTCAACGCCATGTACGCCATTGGGTTCAGCCTGGCCGTCATCCTCCAGTGCAGTCCCGTCGACGGCGCCTGGCGGAGCTGGGACGGCGAGTACAAGGCCAAGTGCTTCAACGTCAACTACCTCGGCTGGTCGGGTGCCGGGGCCAACATCTTTTTCGACGTCACCACCTTGATCCTGCCACTTCCCGTCCTGGCACAACTGACCATGAGTACGCGCAAGAAGCTCCAGGTCTTTTCCATGTTTGCGGTCGGCTTCTTGTAAGTGACCCTAGGCTATCTACTATCAATTGGAAGCTTGGAAGGGAAATTGTTTGACGATATATATGTGCTAACTCGTGCGTGTAGTGTTACCCTCGTTAGTATTCTGCGTCTACGATCCATGATCGAGTTTGGCTCCACCACCAATGTGACTCGTAAGTCAAGCCTGAACTTTTCTCCGTGTTTATTTACTAGGCTGTAGACTGACATTTTACTCTACTGCAGAGGACTACGTCGAAGTGGGCTACTGGTCCATGATTGAAATCTCCATTGGCATTGTATGCGCCTGTATGCCGGCGTGCCGAGCCCTGCTGTCCATGGTGCACCAAACCATCTCGGGCAGCCTGGGAACCAAGGGCAGCGGCAGCGGCGGCAGCAACCGTACGCCGGCCTCGTATCAGCGGGACGTCGAGGGCAACCTCAGTGGAGGCAACAAGACGATTGGCAGCAGCGGCCGCAACAATAAAAAGGTGCTGAGGCGGTACAGCAAGTTTGGCAACTCGACGGAAATCACCCTCGACACGAGCAACGCCAACTGGAGCGACGTTGAGCTCGTCGCCGTGGAAAAGGCACCGTCGCCCCAGAGCACCGACGTTGATCTGCTCGCCCCAACGACGCCGGGCGGATCAGGAGGGCCCCCTTCGCCACACTTGAAGCGGTGGAGTGCCTTGAGTGGGAATATAAGGGATTCCCTGGGTTGGAAAAAATAAAGGGATTGGGATTTATCAGTATGAAGCCACGAAGGAAATCAGTCATGAGAAGAGACGGAAATATTGTTTTGTATATACCTTTTCAGCATCTTTGGATTGAATATATTCCCTCTGTCTGGGACAGAAGGGGAAGGCCCTACAATGTTAATACATTCACCTTCAATAACTCGAAACGGCGCGATAGTCGTTTATCATCGGTCTATTCCTTGGGTGGCACTCATTCGTTGATTTGCAACGATGGCAACATGATCCACGAGAGATCTTACTTTGCAGTAGTCTTCTTGGAGAATGCGATCTGATGAAGATATGCGAGCTTGGGAGATTCTTCAGCCTTCTTTCTGCTCCTGATGCCACAAAAGTTTCCGGCTGATCCGAGCCGTGTCTGCAAAAAGCAAGCCAAGTTCTGTCGGTGAATAACGAGGCTCCGACGATTCTAAATCATGATACCCCATCGTCGGTGTCGGGGAAAGTCTCACGGACCCGAAAAGGGACTGCCTTGGACATTTTTAGACCAGGGCAAGGATGTAGACTTTCTCGGTGAGCCATGCATTCATTCACTCACCTTGAGGATCTGCAGAGAAATGCACACCCTGGGTAAAACAGCCGGAAGCGTGGGGGTTTTCTAAAAGTTATCACATTTTCTTCTCCTCGATCTTTTTCGGAGATAAAACTAAATGACATGATGTGGTGTATTTTGATTCCTAGAGATGCCAAAATTGTCCTCAATCCGGCTCTCTAATGCTGACAGCGTGGGAAAAACCCTGGCTGTCATCCCACGCTTCCAAGCCAAGGTGAGGTGAGGCGAGGCGGTGAGAGATATGTATTCGTCAGTAAAACGGGACTTCACGACGATTGCACTTTATAGATGTCGGCAAATACTCGCCCTTTTTTTTTTTTAAAAAAAAAAAATAGAACATCCATGGACATCCTCAATCATTTTTATCAAGCCACGTACGCCCGGTTATATTGCAGTCACTGAAGAAGAGCAAATCCCCCTGGTTAAAAGACCCAGAGGATCGAGAATTTGGAAAGTGGCTTGCATATAGAGTCTACACAGTATAAATCCCCTCCGTTATCGGGTTCTTGTTTTTCTCACCGCTTTTATGAAAGTCTTGATTACTCCCTTACCCAGTTTCAATGAGACCGATGAGGCTCTCACATTCAGTGTTTCTCTGTTGACGTTTCTTATATTCACAGATGCGCTAAACGGGTTCAGAAACGTCTGCATTTCGTTTCTACTATAGGAAATTCCGACGTGTCATTCGCTGCAGGTCAAAGTCGGGGGGATACATGCTTCCAGGGACAAGGGGTAATGAAAGCACTCCCCCCCACCCACCCTATATGCCATCACATGACGGGTACCGACTCCATATGTTGGGGTTGCCAAAAAAGTGAGGCGGGCTATATAGTCGGTTGGAAAACAAGAGCAAAGATATACTGTCAAGGTGCAGACGTTACAACCGTCCATGTGGGACAGGGTTTTTGATACAGATAATTCAAATCGACCGACGAATTGAATAGACACGGGATGAGTTGCATTCTGCAATGCTGCCGCCCTTTTGATCTCACGGTTGAGTATTTCTGTCCAATCGCTAAAAATGAATTTGCAGTCGTCATGCGCAATATTGCATACAGATACCGGCTAGATACAGATGGATATGTGGCACTAGAAGAAATCATACGAAATCATTCGTTTCTATATTGTTTTTGGGTGTGCCAGATGGGATAATCAGAGCCAGTAAATACAGCAGATAGCAAAAGAGAGAGTGTGTGTTGGAATTGAATGTAGAATATTGAACCTTAATGACCACGCTAATGTGAACCAACAAGCCAATGATAAGATCATGATATTATGCGTTAGAGATGCATGTCAAAAACAATGTGAAGATCCGGATTTCGGCGTCCAAGAGGGTCGCTCGGGATGAAACAAAGGCAGCGGGGGGAGAGAAAATGTGTAGAAAGGAGGGTTCCCAAGCCACGTCGACTGGCAAAAGGGTTGAACTTTGCGCCAGGCTGCATGGAGCATTGGCCGAAGCAGTTGAATGCTACGCTTCGCAACGTGTAAACGTACGACACGTTCCACCGCATATCGGAACTCGTTGATACTAAGGGAAGCACGTATTCGGGTGTATGAGTCGTGAAAGTTTTGTGGGCCGTAGAACAAGATCCAGTCAGGACAGAGATTAGTCCCTCTTGTTTCTTCATTCGCCGTCGACGAGCATGAAGATTACCTGCACAGCTTGTCATGTCATCGAATAGCAAGTGATTTTGAACGGTCATGAGATGATGACGGGCGGCTGCTGCATAGGTCCGGCCGACAGTGCTGCTCAAGCAGGCCATGATAACCTCAACAATGCAGATGCAGAAGCCTTACCATTTCATCCTCTATCACTTGTCGCCGTAGGAATCAGGCTCAAGCCGTGGCGGGATGATTGTGCATGGGACCACCAATGACGTGTCCAGCAGGTACAGGAGGATGAGGAGGCACCGCATAATCCACCTCAATCTCGAAACTGGGAATGTCTGTCTTGCCCAAAACGCTGAAGAGCTTTGTCAAATCATCACCACGGTAGTTGCTCATGTCGTAGGCCTCGGCACCAAAGAAAGCCTGCTTGACGGCTGCCCTCAGATTCCACGCTCGGTTCGGTGAGTGGTCCATGGGCGTGACATTGTCAAAATTGCTCATGTGGTTGCGAACGTGCAGCACAGCGGCATCTTGCAAGGCTCTGATGGAGGCATTGGTGGACTCAAAGATGCGCTGTTCACCATGCTGAAGCCAGTTGATGGTGATGCGGACGTCATGTACCGGCTTTGCGGGCTCATACACTCGAGCCGGCCGCACTACTCCAGGATGTCGCATGCCATGAGGTAGCATCCCTGGGTGAGGCGGCACGCCGTGCATGCCACCCGGGGGTAAGACAGGAGACCTGGGCAGCTGAGGAGGCTGCATGGCCGCCAGGCCCGGATGCATGGGCCTCAATGAAGAATTGTAGACTGGGGGAGCTGGTGGAGGTGCACACCGGGGTCCTACCGATCTCGCAGGAGGCGCACGAACGACATCCTCGTCAGAAACCTCGCTCTCTTCGTAGCTACGTGGGCGACGGGCCTTGCTTCTCTTGCTTCGCTTCTTGGACGCCTTGGAGTCAGACCGCTTGCCCTTGAATGACGACGAGGCTGGAGTGACCAATTCATCATCCGAGCTGTCGGAAACCGATAGACCGTCATCACTTGAGCTACCATTCTGTTCCGAGACTACTGAGACTGTTTCGTCGTCACTGAAGTCGTCTTCGTCCTTGTTCGGATCAGGAAGGAGGCTAAATCCATTGTTCTTGACGTAAATGGCTGCAGCTTCTGCAGTCTTCAAATGTAGTGATTCGATGGCTTTTTGGATCGATTCGCTAGGGTCGGAAGAGAGGAGCGCCTCACGAACGCCGTGATTCAAGCGTAATACAATCGCTTTCCATTCTCCCGTAACCTCTTTGATCGTAATCACCGAAACCTCGGCGCCTTCATTGGAGATGAATTGGCTGTTTTCTAGGTCATGTTAGCACAGCTAGAATAATCTTCCTCCTAGTGACTGTGGTACCGTCGTCGAACATACCGACAATTAGGCTCAAGTGATCAACCCTACCAAAACACATCTGAGATGATGGGGCCATTCCTTTGACTGTAATGGTTTGCTCGAGACTGGACAAGTAGACAATCATGAGAGTAAGATTAATGGGTTATCAAAGAGCCATGGACGGGATGTAGGCCCTTTTGTACTTTCTTTTGCAGGCTGAATGAGGCTTACTTACCTGGGCACTTCTGGGCGGCGAGCAATACGAAAAAAAAGCCTGTCCCGTGGAGGGTGCTACGCAAATGGATGCTGGTCCATTCAAGATCATCGAGGATGCAGTGGCCCTCCTCAATAGCCTGTTACCTTCGATGCCTGGCCCTCACACGAGCAGCTGTGTCACATGAACGCAACCAGTTTCCATTCATCTCTGCCGCCGTCTCCCAAATGGTGGGCAGGCTGGAGAAGAAACGGGTAGGCACTTCTCTTGGGCTTGTAACACTGCATCTGTGTTGTTGGTGGGCTCGCTGTACTTGGGGAATCGTTGAAAACCACATCGGCCTCGGCGAGACACCTGGCAAGCTTTCTATCGAGTGTGAAACATGAGCCGTCAAATCTTCTTTTGGCGCCGAGTCAATGAGATATGATCTATCGGATCAAGGTCATGATGTTGACGCTTTGAAGTCCGATCTGTATGTCACGCATTAGTTCGAAAGGTGTGCGTTCAGACTATAGCAACGTTTGGTTTGGCATATAAGATCTTCAGAGGGGTTAGAAGATGATTGGTGATTAGGTGAAAACGCGTTAATGGCCTACCTGGGAAGATGTCATTGGGCTTCAATGGTGGAAGGGCCCCTGGGTCCGGCAGTCGTCTGAACTGAACCTGGATGCCTTTGCGGTACCGAAGGTCTTATCAGCGTCGTAGCCAACTAGCTTGAGACATTTCCCCAGCCTGGTTCTGTTCTCATGTTGTGTTTGGCATTTGCCATACACACGTCGCCTCGTACGAAGCCAAAACCTGGTAAATTATCAGGGCTGAAGACGGCAGTGTTTCTGGATTTGTCCCTGGCCGTGATCCAATCTATATCAACCCATTATACAGTACAGCAGGCATCAACACCACCACATGAGCGACGACGGCACCTCGATACACGCTGTGACATGTGTTGCAGGCCTCAAGTGCTGCACCCCATTGTCCAAGATTTCTTGAACGTTGGGAGCAAGCTGAAGTGGTAGTAGGTCTGATTTCGGCAGTGATCGACGAGAGAACGTGGGATATTCTATCTATTTATCGAAATGCTTCGAGCTTGGGTATCCTTGCTAGTCCACACACACCTGCGCAGCGAGGCACGTTTCGTACAGTGTGAGCATCCAGTAGTTGTCCATCACGTCGTACCGCCCAAATGACAACCCTGTGGTTCTGCCCATGAAATCATGCGATTGCCAAGGTCATGGCCCAAGCTCGGCATTTGTTCAAAGCCTGATTTCCAACTACATGATAGGACATGCTTTTTTGCTACATTCCGCCTCAGTACGACCATCTAAAACATGTCCATCAACCATTGACAGCGAGTTTTTCCAGCCTCGACTTGACCGCGTCGACCAATGCCGTCTCACGTTCAAGCAGGCTTCGTACTTGACTAAGCCTATTCCTCCGAATATCAGCAGGTATGCGAAGATCAGAAGCTGCAGTAGCAGCCTCCTCACCGTCGCCTGCTGTCGGGGCAATCTTTTCTGCCTGGGATGCAAGCTCTTCTTTCAAAGATTTAGCCTCGTTATACCTCTTTCCAATCTGCTTGAACCGGGACACTCCATCAGCAGGGGGACCACCTGAGCCAGATATACTGGCATCCATACCCCTAACTTCATTGATCCATGCTCTTTCCTTGTCGCTGAGCTCCCGAGTGGTTGCCCGACTCACAGTGCGACGCATATTTTCCAAGCGTTGACTCAAGGCTTCACCTCTTTGCTTGGCAGCCTGAATTCTCCTTTCGATGGCAGTATTGATGGATTCTGGGTCACTGCCCTGGTCTTCGCCCGTGATGGTGTCAACTCTAGATTTGACCTCATTTGCCTTGGCAATCTGCTTCCTGAGCTCGACTTGCAAGGTCTCAAGCCTGCGAAACAGTTCTGATGCTGCAGTTCCAAGGCGATGCGTCTCGCCACTCAGAATCTGATGGGCGTCGGTGAACACCTGAAGGGTGGCAGGTGAAAGGCGAACTTCTTGCCCAACAATAGCCTTGTGCTTGCTCGTCTTGAGCTTCAATAGCATATCGGGCAAATCGGAGTTCCTCTCAAAAACATGTGGAGCCTGGAAGGTCGGCCGTGGCTCATAGAAGTCCAGTGGTTTCACCTCGTCGCTTCGTTCCAGACTCGGCGAGGCTGAATTGATAGGCTCAAAGTCGTACACTGGCATATCAAAAATAATGCAGAGAGGTCCGTCATCTGTGGCTGTGAGAACAAGATAACCAAGGTCGGGATCCCGAATGGGTACTACTGCTGGTATCGGTTTGGCCACTCCACCGTCAATGGTGTGCAGCCTTTCGCGACTGGAACTTTGACCTTTGACCAACAGATCAATTCTAAACTCGGATCCAGCATCAGAGTCGCCTTGAAGCTCTTTCTCCAGTCGGAAGACCCAGGGCGATAGTGAAATATATGTTATGCTGGAAGGGTTGGTCACGTAGAATGCGTATCTCGAAGTAACGTCGTGACTGAACATGGGCCAGGCACCTTCTGTCATTTCCAAGCTGCTCAAAGTGTCGAGAGTCTGGAATGTTAGCAAGGTTGGCTCAGGCTCATTCTCTTGTCTGATTATTCTGAACTTGTTCCGCGGCGGTAGCCACTGTGCTTCAACTCCATCAGTGTCAAGACACACGCGCAATTGACCGCTCGACGAGAGCAAACAGATGACATTGAGCGATAACCCCTCTTGATCAATGTCATCGACCTCGAGTTCTTCATCTTCGCCCATCATCAACTCGGCCGTGTCCAGTTTCTGACCAATAACAAAGATGTCCGTCAACTCCGTGTCTTGGTCGTCTTCCATTTCCGGACTCATGTCCAGAACAAACGGGCCCTGAAGCCGCGGTACGATGCCGGGTCTGCTGGGTCGGTTGTAGATCTCGGCGGGTGCTTCTCCCAGGGGACCGTCCACCTCAGTGGGCTCCTGGTTGTCCAGATCGGTCATCCAGTCCAGCTGCTGTTGTGCCAAGAGCTTTCGAGCGACCGAGACAGCCGGATCATCCTCAACGGCAGCAAGATTGCCGACAATGCCAACTGACAGAGATGGTATAAGAGTAGGCGGAGGAGCCCATTTGCTTGGCAGGAGCGGGCACAGAGCATAGACGTCACCTTCAGTCATTGCAACCCATAGTGTCATTGGCGCCCAACCGCCCGAGCCTCGGCCAGCAAAGCATGCGGCAGCGACATCCATTTCAAAAGAGTCGGCCGAAAATCCCTTGCGCGTTACATCAGTCGAGGCAGAAAAGTTCTGGTCCAAGGACGTGCCATCTGCCAGCTTGATTAGATCGATAGTTAGAGTGGGCTTATCAAAGGACCACCGGTCTAGAGGGTTGAGCTCCCAAACCCTGACCACAGCATCAGTAGTGACCGTCACCAGGGCTGAGCCGTTGACTCCAAGGGGATGCCATAATGCAGATGCAACAGGCGACCGATCCACAACGTGAGTCGTTGGTCCTAAAGTCCACCACTTCGGCTTGATGATTTCGTTGTTGGGTTGTGACAGGTGGGCCAGATCTGGTACAGCACAGATGCGAACAGTATGAGTCGTTAACACGGCCAGGTAATCTGAGAAGGGAGAAATGACTAGCTGCTTGATGTCGGATCCGACAGAAACATTGATGGTCTGGAGATTAAATGTTAGGACCCAGTTAGTTAGGCGGGAGCTGTAGTGGACTCACGCGGAAGCCAGCATAGTCTTCCTCAGCAGCAGCCTTGAGAATATCGTCTTCACTCATATTTCCAGAGCTCTCCCGCTTGACTCTGGCACCAGAGCGGCCTCTTGAAGTCCTCTCCTCCCATCTTTCCTTGAGGTCGATCAGGTCGGCCCATCTGACTTCCTTTCCGACAGCGACAAAAACCTGAGACCCAGACTGAGCTATCGTGCGCGTAGGGCCGGGCTTTGGCTTCGTTTTCGAGGTAAAAGGAGAGCTCTTGCTGTCGACATTGGCGGGTGCAAAGAGGTTTGAGCCTGGAGCAGGCTTGTCGAGCCAGGCGGGCGTCCAACCTTTTATTTTAGGCATGTTTTTTTCTCTCTTCCCTCTGGCAAGGCGGTTGTAGGGAGTATGGGGTATTAGAGGCTGCGCATCTGCGCTGCGAAGAGCCAGATCAGGAATTACTCCGTCTCTTGCGAGCCACTCTGAAAGCTGGAATTGTCGCAAGAGGGTGTGGTCGCGGTTCAATTGTTTGTGACGAAGGTTGAGAATTCCTTTGCACGAACGCCCTGCTCAAGCCTGGAAGCCGCCGGAGCAACGAGAGCTCCAAACTTTAGCACTTTTTAGCGGGCTCAGGCCAAAAGAGAATAGCTACAGGCGCATCCCTGCAAGTCTTGCAGCGCGCCCAGTCGCGTTCCGTTGCCTGGTTCTAGAGGCTAGAGCCAAAGAGTGGAAGCTCCAGCATCCGGAAAAGGGCCCGAGCTCCAACAAGCAGTTGCGCAGCCTTTCCTTCAGCAGGGGCTTGGGTTTTATTGGTTCAGCCTTTCATCATTCACCACTTTCATCATCAACAACCTTGCAATTCTCTGAGATACTCCGGTCGGACGCAGTTGCTGAAACTCGTTCTTCATTCAATTGACTGCAGAAGAGAAGACTGTCATTATGCGCGGTGGTTTCAGAAACACAGTCGAAAGACTGGACCGCCCCAGCGCCTACTATCAGAGCAGGGTAAGTCTACTTGCTTGGTCAAATCCACATATCTCAGACCTGTTACTGCAAGTTTCCGTCTGGAGGCAAATACTTACCCAACCTTCACAGAATAATAAGCGCAGGCGGAATGATCGCGGCCGCGACGACAGAGATGGAGACGCGGAGATGATTGATCAGAAACCAGAGGACAAGCCTGAAGAAGACCCTCTTGCTAACGCCACCACATTATATGTTGGCAATCTGTAAGCCATTCCCTTTCAGTGAGGCGGGATGTAGGACTTTTGGAACCAGCTTCAATTCGTTGGGCTCATTCTTTGAATCTATTGCATGAGCGCAGCGACAACAAATGATGCTTGGCTTGGAATACGTGCCTGGCCTACCTCACTCACTCACATGTGCCTCCTCCATTTCTTTCAGCCTTGAATACTAACAATAAAACAGTTCTTTCTATACAACTGAAGAGCAGGTCTATGATCTCTTTTCCAAATGCGGCGAAATCAAGCGTCTCATCATGGGTCTTGACCGGTTCCAGAAAACGCCATGCGGCTTCTGCTTCGTAGAGTACTACACGCATCAGGACGCATTAGACTGCCTCAAGTACATTGGCGGCACGAAACTGGACGAGCGTATCATCAGGACGGATCTGGATCCGGGCTTTGAGGAGGGCCGACAGTACGGTCGTGGCAAGTCGGGCGGTCAAGTGCGCGATGAGTACCGAGATGACTTTGACGAAGGCCGTGGTGGTCTTGGCCGTGCCATCCAATCCGAGAGAATGAGAGACAACGAGCGGGACCGCGAGCATGACAAGGATGAGCAGATGGAGAAGGACTACGGCAGGCTGAGATAAGTACCTGGAATGCAGCTAAAGCAGTTGACTTGTATAACATGAGATACCCTCGGCAGAGGCCAACGAAAGCCTGTGATTTTGAGGATCGAGGTGTTGCCATAAATGCTAGCGACCAAGAAGCAAAGAGGAACCAAAAAAGAACATTGAGATGGTTTATTTTTAAACATTGAGATCGTCTATATCATCTCATGTACAGCGAGCCTGTCCTCTGAAGCCCGAATGATCTGTTACAGTAATATACATTGCAATCCTAATGTTACAGACTGCTTATTTGTCTGCACCTGCCGTACCCGGCATCGATGTTCGTTTGTGATATGTCAATATCCCAAGCAGGGATGCTTTGAGGACTGAATGGATGCGTTTGTTCGTGTTGGCCATCCACAATAGATGTATTCCACTCCACCGAGGCTTGCTCCTTAGTAACCCGGAGGGTTGACTCTCTGTGATACTCTCGTCCACTTTGGTAGCTCTGTTTTTCTCCAGGTCAGCCAACGGTCCAAAAACAAGTTGTACGCGTTCCTCGCTCGTCGGTATGCATCCTTTCCAAGGTTTGATCTTGGCCATTTGCACGCCCTGGCAAGAATGGCAATATGAAAGCTCCAAAACTCACTATGAATTCCCTTCCTGTATCTCTTCTCCTTGCGGTCAAACATGGTGTACTTGTCTCGGGGCAGCATCTCGGCCTCGGTCGGCATCTCCTGCTTCCACGTTTCAATGCTCTTGACCGACTCGCCCTTCTTGGCCAGCGCAGCGTCCAGGGTCGCAATCACCGAGTCGACGGCCCGCAGTCTTCTTCGTTGCCTCAGCTTCTGGAACTTTGACAGGCGCCATGGGGTCTTCCTGTTGAATCGCAAAAAAGAAACGTCAGTATAATTGGTCCACGAAGGAGGTGTCTCCTGGGATGGGCAATGAATATCCTTGGCGAAGCCTCTCGCAGCCCAGAAGCTTTGCCCAGTATAACCCTGACGTACCATAAGAGACCCGACGAGAGCGCACTCGTCGCCCTGAATGCGCCGAAGCCAAACATTGTGTCTGGGAGTTGTGGTGGTTGGAAGAATTGGGAATCGAACAAATGATTCCTTTCCCCAAGAAACGGCCGCCTCGCGTTGGAAGGCTCACAAAAAGTTCGAGAACCACGATTTGGGTGCACGTGCCACAATCCAATGCCAATGTCCATGGAAATCCGGAGCCAAAAAAAACACTCTCTCCACAATGGAATACGGCCCCACCATAAGGGGACAACCACCCCCCAGGCTAGCTCGTTCCGCAAGCTCTCAACTCGCAGAGGGGACCGCCCGTGATGCGCCGTGTTGAACATCGGAACCCGTACGCTGGGGCCGGGGATAATTCGAATCACGAAATGACAAGTTGCGCCCAACTCGAATGATACCCATGATATTCCAATAACGAAACTCTTCGACACACATCACTTACAACACTGGCCTTCAGCACGATTGCGTCGACCGCTCACCATGTCATACTACTTCGTCATCGTCGGCACGCAGGACAACCCGCTGTTCGAGCACGAGTTTGGAACCTCGAAGCAGGGCGGCGATGGGCAGTCGCGCTTTAGCGAGGAGTCGCGGCACATGAACCAGTTCATCGTGCACTCGTCCCTAGACATTGTGGAAGAGGTGCAATGGGGAACCAGCCAAATGTACGTCGGTCACGATTTCCATTCAAGTCCTTCACGAACATGGGCGCAACAGGGAGCAGTCAAACCAGAAATACAGCGAGACTAACTTTTTGACCTCTCATCCGGCCAGGTACCTCAAGCACGTCGACCGCTTCTTCAACTCGTACATTTCCTGCTTCGTAACCCCCAGCAACATCAAGTTCCTGCTGCTGCACCAGCCCGTACAGCCCTCGGCCGCCTCGTCGTCGTCGGCTCGCTCCTCGAGCACCAGCATCGCCGCCAACCCGACCTCGCCGCAGACCGAAGAGGCCGTCCGCAGCTTCTTTACTGAAGTCTACGAGAACTGGGTAAAGGCCTGCATGAGTCCCTTTTACCGCGTCAACATGGAGGTCACGAGTCCCGTCTTTCGGCAGCGCGTTGCCGCCGCGGGGAGAAAGTACCTGTAAAAGCTGTTCTTTCGTAGGAAACAGCAAATACAGGGCCATTTCAACGATATTATGATCCCTAAAAGCTCGGTCATGCTCTTCAACCCAGAGTGTCATGCAGACTGCTTGCGTGGCGGCGTTGATAGCGTTGGACACCATAAGCCGTATACTTGCTCAGAGGCATGAGGATTCTCATTGCGCTCTGGCAAGGGCTTGGAAAAAGTGAACGGTACACTCAAGACGGGAGATAGAAGTTAATGATTCCATCGAGCCTGGCGTTACGGAGTTCAGGTAGACAATAGCCACGACAGAATATCATGGTCACATGTACGGTACTTTCGAGTGCAGTCGCCTCGAATTCCGCCATCACATAGTTTTATCACGGATAGAGGAATGAAGACGTCGCTATTGTTTGTTCTTATTGACGCCGCCGAAGCAAAGCGCGAGTTGATTCAGTATCATGTAATTTAGTTTGCGTGGCTATGCTTTAGTCGGCTCATCCAGTCTGGATCCTGAGCTCGACAACGCCCATTCGCAATTATTCAAATCATACGCAAAACCATAATCCCCCTTTGTGCAAAAGTCCAAAACGCCAGTAGTGTATCATGCCAACCATTACCGCAAATCGCAGAATTGAGAGAACTCCCGTGGGAGACAATGCAAGAGTTGCATCGCTTAACCACCGAAACCGTACAGGGTGCGGCCCTGGCGCTTGAGGGCGTAGACAACGTCAAGCGAGGTGACGGTCTTGCGCTTGGCGTGCTCAGTATAGGTGACAGCGTCACGGATGACACCCTCAAGGAAGGACTTCAGGACACCACGGGTCTCCTCGTAGATCACTGTGAAGAAAAGGATTAGCGTCCGATGGGTATAGTAAACTTGAATGGGTGACTTACTGGCAGAGATACGCTTGACACCACCACGACGAGCGAGACGTCGGATAGCGGGCTTGGTGATACCCTGGATGTTGTCACGAAGAATCTTTCGGTGGCGCTTGGCACCACCCTTTCCGAGACCCTTTCCGCCCTTGCCGCCTATGAAGATGATGCGTTAGTTTGTTGAGAGAATGACATGGCAATGTGGCAATACACGATGCATCAGGGGTCGCGTCGTAATGTTGTGGTGGGGTATGGATGAAGTAGGCGCGTCATATTGGAAGCCATCACCACACCCCACCAAGATCACTCAACGGCAACGAGGTCTGATGCAACGCGTAGTTGCGATGCAAATAGAGACGCGAGAATAGTATGCAACTTACGTCCAGTCATTTTGATTAATGGGGTTGAGTGCGAATGTGTTTAGTTGATGGGAAAGTGGATGCACTTGATGACGCGATGGTCGATTGTTGATGAAATTGATGTTGGCTTTGATTGCTGTAAAGGGGAAGGGAGGAGAAACGGGAGAAGGGCGAGGTTCCTGGGGGCTTTGGATTTATTTGTGAGGGACACAGCAGTTACTGATTGTGCAGCCTTGGGTTGCGACTGATTTGGCGGGTTTGCTGAAGCACTAGTCTGCTTTGGGGTGGTAATTGCCCGTTGTTTTAAAAAATCAGCGCCTGCCTGGGGGTCGCTCTTTTTAATTCCTATCGAGTCTCTGATCCGGGGTGCAGGAGCTTCCGTTTTTTGGCTGTTATTTTGCTGTGTTTTTCGGGCGGATAACCGAGTCTAAAAATGGCCCGTGCACGCGCTACTGTCTATGCAGGTCCATATATAACGACGCGACTCTGTCCAATCGGGTCTGTGCGTCGTCGCTTCAACAACAATAGTCGGTCTACTATTCGCGACTGGACGTGAACTCATAACCAACATTGCACACAAAGTATCATCTCGTCCTTGCTCCAACATCGGGCCTTACTATATATATTATTGGAATCGACAAGATTGTATCGATTGATATGATGAGGGTAGACTGGGCTTTGCTCGTCATGTTTCTTCACCTAAGCATCATTTGATCAATCAGATCTCCTAGCTTGATTAGTGCTGGAGCTGAGGTAAGCTGACTAAAGACATGGAGACTACTGCACGCCTTGTCCTTTGTTCAATTCTCCTCTTTTGTTGGAATAAATGCCTCGGAATTCAGCTGCGGTGCGGAATGTTCATGTAGTGGAATACGAAGCCTGAAGCCATCTGGCCCAAGTCAGCATACGTCTTGAACCACATGCTTGGTCCCCACGATTATACTACTTGAACCCCATGTGCTAGACAGATCCCCCGCCAGGAAACCTTGGCTAGCACATTTATAGTCGTTTTATCGTTTTATGAACCCGGGAAATGCAAAAATCATGTATCACCTCTCTCTGGTATTCTTATAGTATATGCTCTTGAAGACAGTTGTCGTCAATTCTTTCTCATCCAGCCCCAAAGGCGTCCTAACGCAGCTTTCTTAATTTACATATCCACAATCCTGTGTGATACTGCTACCTGTAAACAAGATGACCGGCTGCCATGTGCAGGCCAACTCTAAGCCCTGACATTCAATGCGACTCCGAATTGTTTCCTCCTGTTGATCCCAGAACGCCTTTGCGATGCCAAACCAATATCATGCTCAGACAATAAGTCATTCTGTCTGATCTCGTCACCTCATAATCCTAGTCTGGACAGAAATCGCACATTCTCTCCAGACTTTGCCAAGAACCGATACCATGCTGCTGAAAAGATGCATACACAAAAGGGAGCTCATTCCCAACATGCAGTTTCATGCAAGACTCAACACATTAGTATCATGCCATCATGGAGTCGTCGTAGCCTTCCTCGTCTTCCAGGCTTTCAATTGCCTCTTTGATTTGTTGATTTGCCTAAGAGCACCAGTTAGCGTTCGAGTATCTTCGGTCAGCATGAGAGGGGAGCCGAAATACCTTTGGATCCAAGTTCAAAGCAATAGTATAGTGCCTAATGGCAGCGCCGTTGTCGCCAAGGCATTTGTACAATTTACCAAGGAGGAAATGCACCGTGGCCTCATCGGGCGCAAGGTCCTTTAGAATTTCGAGCTCCGTCTGTGCAGCTTCAAACTGACCAAGTGCCAATAGGGCACGTGCCTTCTTGTATCGTGTTTGGGCAGCATTCGGTGCCAGCTCCGTGGCTTTGCTGAAGTATTGCAACGCCTGTACAGTTTGGCGCTGCTTCTCCAAGACGTTTCCGATGCAACAAATCAGAACAGCATTCGTGGGGTTGATGACTGATGCAGAATGGAAGTGCGCGTATGCCTTGTCGTAATTACCAAGCTTTTCATACACGCGTCCAATGCCATAGTATGCATTGTAATGACGTCGATCCGCCGATATAGCCTGGCGGTAGGCCGTGAGAGCCTTGTCGTATTCTTCATTAGCGACATGTTCGTGGCCCTGCAAGGTATATGCGTAGGCAAACTTGGGATTGAGCTGCGTGGCGCGCTTGAAGCACCGAAGCGCTTGTTCGTGGTCGCGAGCTAAAGACCATGCATTCCCCAGTGCACACCATGCTTGTGGACTATTCCACGAGGAGTCAACTAGCTCGTGTGCCAAAAAGGACAAGTCGATTTCTCGCTTGAGGAACCACAGGATAGTCGAGTAGACCTCCATATCTTCAATCCGAGAAGGCGCCAAAACGCGCAGTTTCCTGTAGCATTCCTCGGCCTTTGCATATGACGCTTGCTCATAGTAGGCTCGACCCATCTGTGATAATACCCAAGGCGTGTTCTTATGACCCGAAGGCAGTGAGTTGTACGCCACCAGGGCATCTGAGCATTGAAACTGTGACAAAGCGAGATAACCAGAGCCGAAAGCCTTCAAGAGACCGAGGAGGGATTTCAAGGCCTCTTCTACCTTGGCAGCTTCTGGCTCGACGGTTTTCACTGCCGGGGGTGGTGGATGTAACTCCTTTACTCTAGGTGCCTCGGCGTGGTCAACGTCCATCCCATGATCTTCTACCGGTTTCCGGTTCCCGCTTACGGCCCTGCCGACACTTGCTCCGGCAGCAGAGGTCGGTCGCATGATCCTTGAAATTGGGGGCCTAGCCTTCTTCAATTCTCGCGCAGGAACAGCGCCGACCGTTGCGGCTCCCGAGTTGGTCCTTGTGCTGGTACCTTTGAACATGTTGATTCTTGTACTTCGTCTTGGCGGTGCTCCAGGTTCTTCAGACTGTTGCCGTGGCTGGACAGGTTGGCCGGAGACAGTTCGCTTCCTCTCGATACCAGAAACTGCTGCCGAGGCGGAAGCTCTCAACATATGGGGATGTGATGGTTCTACAGACTGCTCTTCCTGCACCTTTTCCTGCTGCCGCTGTGTGCGCCTCGTCCCGAGTCGGTAGCCCACCCTGGGCGGCGCATCTGCTATATTTGAGGATTCGGTTGCCGCGGCAGTTTTGGTCTTTCGAGGTGCTCCGTGGGCCGGCGGTTCAGGAGGATATCCTGTCCGAGCAATGTACGGAGCATCAATATTGGTCGTCAACGGCGCGTCTAGGCCATCTGGCACTGGTATCGTGCTGCCAGCCATTCTGGAACGTGCCGCACTAATCTTCAGCATGAAATCGTTCTCTGTAATCGACGTCGAAAGCAGATTGTTGCCTGTGAGAGCGTCACTATCCGTGGATTTGTGGGGCTCAAATGGATCCGATGGTCCATGGTTCAGATTTCGTTGTGTTGCTTTCCTGGATATCGGAACCTCGGGTGCATTGGTGCCATTTTGCTCCGATAGGACACCACTTGTCTGATCTGATTCGAACCCTTGAAGAAGCGTCTCATTCAGTTTGAAAACATTTTGTGTCCTAATGGTTGCACCCATGTCACATAATGCAGTAAAAGCATCCCACATGAAGGGATTGATTTTCAACGACTCCTCAAAGCACGAAATGGCCTTTTTCTTGTCGTCATATGCTCGGTACAGCTTGCCAAGCAAGCAGGCGACGCTGGCAGAATCGGGATTCGAAGCCCGAGTTGAAGGGCCGTGTTTACCAAAGCTGAATTTATTGGTCCATAGTCCTCTAGACTTTTCCAGGGCCGCGATGCCATCCCTATAGCGCTCGAGGACAAGGCAAGCTTGAGCGAATATATATGCGCAACCTAAATGTACGCCCCGGTAGCCAAGAGGTTTGCTGAACTCGTGCGCGGAGCGGTAGTCGCCCAGACGAAAGTAACTGAGGGAGACGAGGTAGGCGGTTTCGCTGGAGCGCGGATCGTGGGCAACAAGTCTCTCGGCGTAGAATAGGGCATTCTCGTAATTGATATTGTCGAGATGATAGTAAATAAGCTGTCTCAGCTGGCCTGTCACGGCCTGTGCTGAGAGCCCCATGACGAACGTCACTCGTGATGATTAGGGCGGTGCAAAAACACGGAGGCTATTTGTGTATGGCCATGAGGTGCCGTGGACACAGTCGGTACGGGCGTGTGGAAATGGTCAACCGTTTCCTGCAAATGTATCGAGCCCGCTGTTGTGGGCCGGGTTACAGCGACACAAACTGTGCAGGCGAGTCTCCGTGTCTGTGAACGCGGCGGCAAGACGTCCAAGAGGGATCGAGCGATGTGGTGCGAAGGTTGGATGAATGTGCTGGATTGAAAGTCGTGGTTGGAATATGGCAACCTAGAGCACGGCCTTGGCCAGTCGGGTAGGCTCTTGGTTGTAGTGGACGAGGACGAGGGCTGGCGCAAAGTCCTGTTCGCTGCTTCCTCGCTCACGCATCTGAGGCGACGTGCGTGCACCAAAATCGAAGGTTGGGCACGAGAGTTGCTGGCCCGTTACTGCATGTCGGTTTGTCCGGGGCGTAGGATTTCGAGATTTGACCGCTCCTTTTTAGCAGATGAGAGTCCTCTAGACTGTTCTCTGCAAGTGACCTATGGGCAGCCTCCACGATCGTCATCCAGGAGAGAAAAAATGACCTGCTCTCTGTCGCTTGCAGGCTGAAGTCAAAAAGGTGGCATGGATAACATTGAACCGTCGACAGGCGTTCCCTGGTTGCCGTCCGAGCTTCTCAATGTTGTGGTAGAAGCGCCAAACATGCCTGTGATTGGTTGGGCGCCTGCCTGGAACCGGCCGCCCAAGTTTCCAAGACCCCGGTGCTGTGGCCGCCCAGCAACAATCAATCAATCGGGAGGGATGCGGGCGCCTAACCGTAAAAAGTCTAATACGTCCCATTAGCCACTCGCACGACCTGGTTTGGATTCAGTCCGCCCGAATCCCACTTCAGCCTCATCCTTTTTGTGCGTGCTCTCCATCCATCATCCGAATACTACGATAATAATAACAATCATTCGGATAGACCGACTTTTGGTTCTCTGGTTTCTCCAACTGCGCTCACTTCACTGGAAGTACACCACAGCCTGACGTCATCAGAACTCTTCTCGAGGGCTTCAGTGATTCTCACGACATTTCATAAAAGACACTTGTCATTCCACGTCACCTACCTCCTGAACAGCATTCAAGTCTAATACCAGGCACGGATTCAGAATGGCTCAGAAGGCAAGAAAAGATAGGGCCAAGTCCAACGCAGAGGCTCTCAAAAACCTCCACCTTGGAACTCTGATTGTCAACACATTATTTGTGCTCTCCAACATCCTGTTCCGGCGTCGGTCTCTGCTCTACTATGTCATCCTCTCTATCCCGGCTTTCATCTGCGAATACATTCTCGAGTCTACTGGCCGTCCAAAGTATGATCCCACCACCAAGGCTCTCAAAACGGCTGGGGAGGACTTGAACGCACCTGGCCTGACGGAATACATGTGGGATACCATTTGGGTCACGTGGGCCAGCGTCATCACGGTCGTTCTCTTTGGAAATGGGGGTTGGCTTCTATGGTTGGCTGTCCCAGTCTTTGCAGTCATCAAGGGCTGGGGATTCTTGAGTGCTGCCCGAAATATGGCCGGTGGCATGCAGCCGCCTCCCGAGGGTGCCGCTATGCCACAGGGTGCTGGCAATCGCAAGCAACGGCGAGCTGCGTAAACACCAGATTGGACGTGCTCGGCATAGAGTGTAGGCTGAATAAGGTCGCATTCTTTTCGACTTGGTCTATATTCTAATATCTATTCGTGGCCGTCGAGCTTTCGGGCCCACTCATCTAGAATGTCCTGTCCGACGTCCTTCACCATCAGGTGGATATGTTCCAACGCTGGAACGCTTTGGAGGGCAACCCAATTCTTGAACCAAAGGACTCGGCCCTCCCCGCCGGGTCCCAATCTATCGATGAAGAACCTTTGCACAAATGCTTGAATGATGCGCCTGCTCTCCGGGGTCATGTCGCCAGTCTCGGAGTCGGTCTTGATTGGTGTTCTCGACCAGACCACGATATGAGTTATATCAGATGTCAGTCCGTAGGGCCAGTCATTCAATAAGACGCTATAGTCGGATGGGTCCTCAAACGGGATGCTGGACTTGGGTGTGAAGGGAGGAGCGCCCCAAGTCTGTGGCAATCGATGAGCGAGTAGATACTGGGTCATGGAGCCATATTCCGCTTTGGTCTCTGCCGTCCACTTCATATATCTACGGAGGTCGGACGGTTTGCGCTTCAGAACTGAGAGATTGTTCTCCTCTATTGCCGTTGCTCAGCCCAAGATGTACCGATAAGAAGAGGATGAGACAGATTAATGAAGTCCATCAATCCATAACTCACTAATGATCTTGCGCATATCCTCCCAGTCATGATACTTGAATTCCTCGTCCGTCAAAGAAAGTACCCATTTGTCCACATCCGTCAAAGGAAACGGCGGTTCCTCGATATGGTCACCCATGCTGATCGTTCCGATTCCGACAAAAGCAACGGGAAACGAGTGATGGTGACCCCCACTTATGTTACTGAGGGAGTTCTCGGTAAACCTCGAAGAGATCCAAGGAGACTGTCCAATAAGTGGGGTGTATGCCTTGGTAACAGATGATTGAGAGAGGGTCGGGTTCCGATTTCTCGGCGACAAAAGGCAAGCTGGTCGGTATGCAAAAGATGGTTCTCCGATTTATCGGCGAGGATGGCAGGTGCCCTGGACTAGGGAGTTCCGCTAGTAGAAACAGACAAGTATACAGCAAGAAAGTAAAGTCTAAATCATGACTAGAAACAGTGACGTCGGGGCTCTATCAGATGGGCCGGTGTGCGATTCAGGATCTGCAACTTTGCTTTGGAATCTCTCATGCGGCACTACCGGCGGAAATCTACCAGCAGGACGGGAACGGTATGTAAACCGCCCTCGAATCGCATTGCATCGGACGTGTCGTGTGTGAGGTGCCCGCTAAACTCTGTTGCGGCAAGTTAACCACCAGTGCTGAATGGGGCCCCCTCGGCACCTGGCACGTTGGTTTTACCGCTAATTTGCGGGGGCTCTGGGTGTCTGTTTCGCGGTTTCTGGTCCAGATCCCCATTTTCCAGCAGAGGGCCCGCAAGTGTCCTGCAGCTGTCGCCTGCCCAGGGGTCCTGTCTGCGTCTTCCCCCAGCATCGGAGCTTCTCACTGTCTCAACACTTGAGGTCAAGGTGGGCTGATTTTAGAAATATTTCCCGGCCCCCAAGCTTCCTTCCCACGCCGACTCTTTAAGAAGTCCCGTCGCTTACTTCGCAACCTCTCGTGGAGTAGCCCGCTCTTTGTCCCCTCTCAGTGGAAGCTCGAGGTCGACTATTTTATTTCTTCTTCAGGCGTTTTGTCTTTTGAAGTTGATTGTTTACATTGACCAGTCAATCGCTTCTGCGACCCTTCAAGATGAGCGCCGCCTCGTCCCTGACTTCGAGTCAGAACCTCAACGGGATCATCATCCCGTCTGGTCTGCTCATTTTTGGCACCCTGATTGTCAAGAAGGAATGGGCTCCATATGCAGTGCTTCTGGCTCTCGCCTTGGGTAGCTTCAAGTACTTCAACAACTGTATGTCCCTTGAATTACATGATAGCAATGCCAATCGACTTACACGAGACCAGTGCCCAAGATTTTCCTCAAGCCCGATACCTTCCAAGACCTCGAGCTCAAGGAGAAGACCATTCTCTCCCACAACACCGCCATGTACGTCTACTACTCCTTGCACGTAGGCTTTCTCCTAACTAACTCTTCCCAGCTACCGCTTCAACCTCCCATCGCCGACCACCATCCTTGGCCTGCCCATTGGCCAGCACATCTCGATTGGCGCTGCTTGCCCTCAACCCGATGGCTCCACCAAGGAGATTGTTCGATCCTACACTCCCATTTCTGGTGACCACCAGCCTGGCTACATTGATCTCCTGATCAAGTCGTACCCGACCGGTAACATCTCGAAGCACCTCGCCTCCCTTGCCGTTGGTCAGAACATCAAGGTCAAGGGCCCCAAGGGTGCTTTCGTCTACACCCCCAACATGGTGCGCCACTTTGGTATGGTTGCCGGTGGTACCGGAATCACTCCTATGCTCCAGGTTGTCAGAGCTGTCATCCGCGGAAGAGCTACTGGTGACAAGACCCAGATTGATCTCATCTTTGCCAACGTCTCCCCTCAGGACATTCTGCTCAAGGAGGACCTCGATGCTCTCGCCAAGGAGGACAGCGGTTTCCGCGTTCACTATGTTCTTGACAAGCCTCCGGAGGGCTGGACTGGCGGTGTTGGCTACGTCACTGCTGACATGATCACCGTGAGTACCAAAAGTGAAAATCGTTATATATCCGAATGCTAACTCGATCTCAGAAATGGCTGCCCAAGCCCGCTGACGATGTCAAGATTCTGGTGTGCGGACCTCCGCCCATGGTCAGTGGCCTGAAGAAGGCTACCGAGAGCCTCGGCTTCAAGAAGGCCCGTCCTGTCAGCAAGCTGGAGGACCAGGTCTTTGCTTTCTAAGCTGCGTGTCCATGAAACAGAGTCAATAGATGATGCACATGCGCAGAATTCGACATGCGGCAACATCCAACCCTCTCCTCGGGGGTCATATGTACAAGATGTCGACATTAAAAGAGACCGGAAGGAACGCTTCAACGCATTTCTCGGCGTCTCAAGAACAACATTTGATCTAACTGATCCTTTGTTCAAGGAAATTCCATTGCTTATTTTGGCATATATTGGAGTCATATATATCTAATAGACAAAACTCAGAATAGATGATGTTATGATAAATCTATGATTTATTTTACAGTCTGGTTCAGGTTGAAAGCTGTGAATGCTATGGCCGTATGGTTATGGACACTCGGGTCTATACGGATACTGCTCTTGGGATGGTTTCTGCTATCGAACCACCGCTTACTGTTCCGAATTGACCCTGGTAATTGTTCTGTACCAAGGTTGCGGCTCTTTCTCGGGGTCTCGGTTTTTGACGCGGTATCTCAAAGGTTGCCAAGAGTTCCTTGCGGCTTGCACTAGACACCTGCATAAATTTGACTTTCATAACTCAGAGAGAGCGGCTTGCAGAATAAATTGAAGCGTTCTTCTCTCCAATCTCCAATCCGAATGGTCGGGGCGGAAGTAAGGTTAGAGAGTATCGGCACAGAACCCCTTTCCATGCTAAGGTAACCCGTGTTTTGTACAGTAAACTGCAGGCAACAGGTAAAAGGTGATTGTGGTGGGGAGGTTGCGCCCGCCCAGGGGACCGGCAGTGCCAGCGGGCTCGCCGGGTAACGTGCTATGGAAGTCCTAGACGTCACCAGTTACCACTAAATCTCATTGACAGTTTTGGGACAACCTCATAAACATGTGCCTTTTTCCTACTCAATGAAGGATTATTAGTTGTTTTGGTCAATGATATCAATTGACTACAAACTACTGAGTGTGGTTTGATCTCGTCATCCGAAATTGGAAAACCGAGGTCAAGAATTCAATCGTGGTAGTTGGAGTAACTCATTTTATCCGTCTTTTTTTCTTTCAATTTCGACTCTACACCATTGGCAATGAGAAGCCGATCCCGGTTAGATCTCCGAGTCTCAACATGATCCTCGGACCCATTTCGTACCTGGACTGCCTCGTCTTTTGCATCCTTCTGGCGCCGCAGCTCCTCATTCACGTGGGCCTCTTTGGGACCGTGGCCACGGCGCTACAATGTCTCCCGTTTCTATGTAAGCCAGCCGTGAATATATACATCTATTGATAAATGGCCTTGCATCATTGCGAGAGTCTTGCGGGTGATAGAACTGTGACTAAATAACGTGTAGTGTTCCGCCTACCCTATGGATTCCTCCGCGACCGCCTCGTGGTCCCGCACGCGCAGAGGAGCCCCTTTGTGCAGGTCGCCAGCCCATTCGAGGACTTTGTCATTCGCTGCGTGCGGTACGCGTTTGCCAATGTGTCGCCCAGGGTCGGCAGGGTTTTCTTCTCCAAGGCGGTGGCGCTGCCGTTTATGAGGTTTCGCATGTTGAGACATGGGATTGTCAGGAAACCGGTGCATTGGCATGAACATGTTGATGTGAGTTAAGACTTTCTCAAACACACAAGAGCTCTGATGTGGCCACGGCTGATGAATCATAGAAACGATTCAAGGGCGTCTGGTTGATCAAGGATCCATTAAAGAAACCAGATGTTTGCATATATTATGCTCATGGTGAGATACCCTCATATTATGAATGAAAAATATTGACAACATTGACTAACACATGACAGGTGGCGGCTTCAGCAGTAAGTAGATATAATTTCTGAATGATTTTCGTGTATTTATAGTGGAATGACTGACTTGAAACTTTACAGTGGGATCCTCCTACTTTTACCTCGAATATCTCTTGGCATGGTTAAGCATGATGGGCGAAAGCGGCTTCGACAACCCGGCTGTATTCGCCTTGGAATACACGTTGGTTCCCGACGGCACATTTCCGAAACAGCTCCACGAAGCCATCGCCGGCTACGATCATGTCGTTTCGACAGTAGGCGACGCTTCCAAAATTTGCATCAGTGGCGACAGCGCGGGTGCCACGGTGCAGATGAGCCTTCTCCTGCATATAGCCAACCGGGAGTACGATCAGAGCAAGATGAATGAGAGCGGTTCCTGGCAGCTTCCCAAGCCGGGAATGGCGGCCTTTATATCACCTTGGGTCACTCTGATCTCTGAGAGGCATCAAAATACGGCCAGCGATTACCTCGACAGTGGCAACCTGCATCAGTATGCGCGTGAATATGTCGGCAAGCATGCAAGAGCAGACGATCCAATGATATCTCCAGGGAACTGCAGAGACGTGTCCTGGTGGAAGAGAGCTTGTCCCAAGGGAGGAATGTACTTTGCCTATGGCGCAGAAGAGGTGTTTGCGCCAGAGATTGAGAGTTTGGTCGAGTTCCTGAAGAAGAACAAAGTGCCAGTCAGCAGCAAGGGCGAGCCCGGTGGGATACACGCATGGCCCGTGGCAGCACTGTTCCTGGCAAGTTCCACTGAGGAGAGACAAAAAGGCTTGAAGAGTGTTGTACAATGCGTTCGTGATTCACTGCCAACATGAGAAAGAACATATTCCTACCAGGGATGAAGAAATAAACATTGTAATAATTAATGAAAATAATAGATATTCAAGAAGTCCTCATGTCAGATTAGATCAAGTCAAAGGTCACGGATCGATCAGGAACGAAAGAGGAACCTTAGCAAATACTAAAAGTATTACTCGGCTTCTGATCCGGCCTGTATGTACGATCTCCCGTTTATAAAGCTCTTTGATACTTTTGTCATCATTCATGAATAAAATTGTTTACTTGGACACTTGTCCTTGTGGCAATGTGAAGAAGAAATGAAAGCGAAATACTACCTACATCGAGCCCCAGGTGTCCTTGCAGCACGACCCCAGCCTCGCTGTGATCTGGGGCGTAAGATGCAGATGACGCGAGCAGACCGTCTCATGGTTCATCGGCAGGTTAACTGCAATCGCTGCACGCTCAGGCGATAGTTGATATGTATACAACCCTGTGCTGCAGATTATGGACCCCGACCCTGGGTTTTCGACAGCCGTTCGTTCCAGGCTGCAGTTAGAGGGAGAGAGAGAGAAAACCAAGAGCTTATTTGATAGACACAGAAGAGTTGTCTGCCTCTTTCAGCTTGTTTCCAAACTTGCATGGTTGTGTAAGCGCGCCTAGCTTGAGCTTACATACTCGTTGGGTTAGCGCGTCGACTCCCGTTGCCTAACTCATGAACTTGGCCCTGGAGGGGTGGCAGGGGGGGGGGGGGGGAGGGGAGAGGGGGACGCGGGTGATGACAGAAGCAAAAACTGTGATCAGATGACTCCTTCTGTTTGCAAGACAAATGTGTTTAGGCTGAGCGTTGGCTTTCGATGCACGTGTGACGACAGCATTGCGCAAGTCGAGAATGGTGGGAAGTGTATTGTACACTGTGTAATAATGCGGATTCAAGATGAGCATTGAAGGATTCCCATGTTCCGTAATGATGTTTTTTTGTCAATGATGGATGCATCGGATGACGGGTGGTAGCGCCGTTGAAGATAATCAATCACGAACATGAAGACGAACAGATGGGAAAAGCGCGTTGCGTGGGGTCGGTCGGCGACGGGCCTTGCCTTGCTGCAAGCTCCAGTGATCTGCAAGCTGGGCGACAAAAAGGTATTCCGGTGGCTGTGCTGGGCTCAAGCAAGAAGAGTGTACAAGTAGAGAATAGGTAGTAGAAAGAAGAAAAAAGCTCTCAGCCAAATGCACCAAGAGACGCCAGCCAGGTGCCCTGGCACACACACGTTCCTCCCTCCGACCCCTGACCCGTCCTGTCTTGGGTGGTAGTAGTACTAGGTAGTCTGGCCCAACTGGATATTTAAAAAAGGTCAGGCGCCGCCCGAATGATGGCCACTCATCGAGGGAGTAAAAGGAAAATAAGAAAAGAAATAAAAAAAATAAAAACCACCTTCCAAGCACCTTTTCCATGACCCCACTTCAAGCTCGAAAATCACACACCGACCAATTCCAATCAGTCTTCACCCCACCGCCGACCCTCCGACTTTGTCCATTGATTCCCGTTCAACCCAATCCAGGCCCATTTTGAATTGTCGGTCATTACTTGATCCAGCGCATATATTGGGAACCTCTTATTATTCATTCAAAGTCGTACACCGGATTTCGAGGGTTCGAGGTCGACGTCGTTGATCGTCAAAGTAGCACGACCCCACCATTGTAAACATTTGGAACCGTATTGTTCGTCAAACTGCAAACAAACAGTTGAGGGTCTTCAAGTATATGATACAAGATTCTCAAGAGGTATCTCAAATTAGATACCTCGAATATACTGGCTCACCTGGCCTAACACGCTTCCCTCCTAGTATGCATCTTCTGTGCATCTGCATAGAGATAGCATAAAAGTTTAAGAGAAGGGAAGATTTTGGGAGACGGACAAATATATAGGTTTGCAACAGTCCCCTCGAACCAGAGAGGTCCCACACTCGCAAACGAAGAAGGGCCTTGCTGGTCTGTCTCATCCGGCTCGCTCGCTTGCTTCTCGAAGCTATCGAGGTCTTGCATTAGCCCCTCCATCGATAAAAAGCACCCCTGTTCGCCGCTCATTGTACAGCAGCAGCAAGAGCAGCTGTTCTCACAGAAAGCTCACTTCTTATTAGTGACGAGCCACCAAGCCCAGAAAGATACCCGGTTGTCGACGATATATACCTACGTCGCCTCTTATAGCCAAGGTACATATTGCATACGTCGTACCTTGATCACTTATCCACAGGCCAACGGACGGCAGCACTAGACATTGAGACGTCAAAAAGTGTCTACACCAAGCTCTCTTTCTAGTGTATTCCAGGGTACATTTGCACCAATTGTCTCCGTGTTGCGTGTGAGACGTGGGCTGGGCTCGTACCTACCAAACAGCCTCAAGAAGAGAGAAGAGAAGAAGAGACGGAGAGAACAAAGAAATGTCCTCCGAAGAAGGCACGTACGCGCCAAAGTCGCCCGACCTCTCGTCATTCTTGTCGGGAGGTTCTGATCCAAACCTTGGCCGCGCCGCATCATTCACTTCAGCGCCCAATCCAAACTCCCTCTCTGGATACTCGCCATCGTCATCCACTTACAGCTCGCACCAGCACCAGCATCAGCCTGCTTCGCACTACGGTCAGCCACAACAGCCCCACCAAACTTATTCTTCGTCTCCCGCGACCGCCTATAACAACTACCATCATTCTTATACCGCGCCGTCGCCCAGCTCTGTCCGTTCCCAGCAACCATATTTTTCCTCGCCGCAACAACCCACAAACCTCTTTGCCCACGCTCAATCCTCACTGCCAGCGTACATCCTGTCCCCCCAACAACAACACAGTACACCACCAAGTCACTCTGGTCCACAACCCTACTACGCAAACTACGCCGAGAGCCCAATCAACCATTATCTACCACCGCAATCACCGCAACTCGTCCAGCAGCACGGTCAGCTCCAGCCCTCCCATTTCCCGCCTGCCTACGATCACAAGCAACCGCAGCCAGCCCAAGACTCAGCAGCGGTCGCTATGCCGCCGCGCAAATCGGCTGCCGCCCAGGTGGCGCAGCAACCAGAAATCATGCCTTCTCCCGTCAGAACAAAATTCCCCACTGCGCGCATCAAGCGAATTATGCAGGCAGACGAGGAAGTGGGCAAGGTAGCTCAGCAGACTCCCATTGCCGTCGGCAAGGCACTCGAATTGTTCATGGTACAAATCGTCAGCAAGAGCGCCGATGTGGCCAAGGACAAGAACTCGAAGCGCATCACGGCCCAGATGCTAAAGCAGGCTGTCGAGAACAACCCACAGTGGGACTTTTTGCAAGAAATCACGGCAAAGGTCAGCGAAAAGGAGGAGAGAGAGCCAAAGGGCAAAAAGGCGAGCGAGAATACAGATAGCGACGAGGATCTCGACGCCGAGCCCAAGAAGAAAGGAAGAGGTGGCCGAAAGAAGAAGGCTGCCTCATAATGAAGAGGAACACTCTTCTCCTTTTTCTCAAAAGAGCCACGACGAACAGACACGACATGGGTTGAAATCATGATGGTGGACTATCCACGGATAGCTTACGGCGTTTGAATGGCTGCGGAAAGCATCAACTGGCGTTTGCGGACAAAGAAGCGTTGGCTTTGTACATATTGAATGAATTTTAATGACGATTGGGGGGCTTGACACTCTCCCCCCGGAGATGGTGACGAATACGGATTACATACTCTCTCAGACTCAAGAAACATTATGTGGTGCACATTGTTGTGTACTGCATCGCAAGCAAATTCTTTTCATGGTGCAATATTGGTGATTTTCGTTAAAAGTTCTTGCTATGGCGGCCAAGACTCTACATGAGCAAATGCATACATTTCGAGATTTTGTAACCTACGTCATCATCATTGGTTGTCCAGGCCATTCTTGTTTGATACATATGCTCTCCGTTGCCCGTTGAGGTTGGCATGGAGAGACTATGTATGTAGGTAAGGCCAGCACCAGCTCTGCTTGAGCTCTCAGCATTGTACCAAGCCAGTGCCCTCTCTGTGTCTAGCAAATAGTTGTGTCCTTATTGACTCGTCACGAAGTAATGTTGTGACGCATGAGCGCTGAATATGCAATATGAACAGGCGTCGATATTTGAAAGCTGAGAGCGTTTGACGTGATCCTTCTTGAGAAGCCAGCAGATGTAATTCTGCATTTGCAGCTTCTGAAATTGGTTGCATTACTTCTTAAAATAGAAAACGATGCAGGCAGTATACGCGCACTATTAGCAGTATCTCCGGGATTTCGATTCACAGAGCTTTCGAGGCCGAATGACATTCACGAATGAAAAGCCCTTGGCGCTGTTTCTGCTCAGTTGCAGCTATGGAATTATACTATGGACTGGAAGCAGCACAGCGTTGGAATGGGGCGCGACGGTATATATGATAGTGTAGTTCAAGGGTTGCTATATGAGACCAAGAGGAAATTAGAAGGGAAAATACATTGTTTCGAGATGTCATTCATCTGCAATCTTGCGTATTGCCTTGAGATAGTCCTGGAGGCTGCATGGATCGCGTATATCATAGTCCTGTTCGTCGTGCTGTGCCTCGCAAGTGTCCCCCCATTCGACGCCCAATGCCTCTGCATCTTTACGTTCCGTTTCCGTCAATTCGTAGTCGTCCAGCTCTCGAAAAACAATCTCCATGCGTGGGGCCCACTTCTCAATGAGAAACGTGTCGAAGGTCATTCCAGAGTCATCAAAGCTAGTCTCCCATTCGATTTGCAGCTCTGTCAGGCGCATGATCAAATCGGTGTCTTCCTCCCATATATTTTCAACGTCGTCATCACTCACCGAATCGAGCCGAAAGCCACATGTATGTCTGATCCCAAGAGCTTCAAAGGTGAGCATGCGCAAAGCTGCCAAGCATACGTGACGGTGGCTTGTCATGTCTATATCATGGTCAACGAAAAGCACTGCCAACTTTGATACAACATCCTCGGTAGTCTGCCATTGTTGGTGCCAAAATCCGATGTGAGGCCTTGCAACAGCTATGAACCGGATTCCAAGCCAGATTTCGTGGAAATAAATTGAGGCTGTGGTGCATCCAGTCTCAGTGCAAAAGCACTGGCACATATCCGCTCCGTCAACAGGTATCATGGTCGAAATGAGTCGTACATCCTCGGAGGTTATCGAAAGAGGATGGTATTGCCATCCGCAAGATACCAGATGGGCTGCCAAAGGACTGGTATGTTTGCCCTTATATGTAGTGCATGAGACACTCCGTTGAAGATCAATCCCATGCTCCACAAACCAAAGAAGAGTTCCTGCACCCCCCCGGCCGTGGGCATACAATTCCATTACTGTATTGGAACCCAGTTCGTCCGGCTCATCTATATCGTGGAATCCAAGGTCAAACAGTAGTTGAGCAATATTTCTATCTAGCTCCTTGACGCGTAACAGCATGTGATAGACCGAAAGATATCGATCCAGTCCAAAAAAGCTGTTCTGGAGTCTCGCAGGCACCTTGATGCCCATGTTCGTGAGGCATTTGACTACCCTAATCCCATGGTAATCCAGCACTCTATCGCCATCGATCTTATAGCGTTTTATATCTTCAGCACCCAGGTATGCCAATGCTAAGCGTTTAAGATCGGCACGCCTAAGCTTGATCTCAATAAGCCACTGTCGCTTCGCCGAATGAGATCCCAAACTGAAAATGTCTGCGAGGGACCACCACCAACCACGTGAAATCCTTTCAAGATAGCCGTCGAAGTAGCCTTCTGTACGAAGCAGGACGTCAAGAGCTGAAGTGCAACTGCACCCAGAACAAAGTACAGGTTCTCGTCCTTTAGAGCAAGATCGTCCACTGTAAGCTGCTGCATATTCGACGGCATGATTTCTTGCCATATCTATAAAGTGGATAGTACCATGTAGGTCTTTCTTATGCAGAAGCGCCGTCAACACACTGGTATTGCCTGTTCCTGCCGCTAAATGCCAGGCTGTCTGGCCGAGAAAATTGACTTCACGCGCAGTGTTGGCAGTGATCAGATCATTGATTTCTCTCGCGCTTCTCCGGCCAGAAATAGCTGCAGTTAATGGTCCGCAACCGAAAACTGAAATCGTCAGCTTCCATTTCTCTCTTTCTATCAACATGTGCAACGTACTTTCCACCCGAATACGTTCGTAAACCGCCTTTAGTGACGGATCATTAGGCTCGTGATAATTGGTGAGTTCTTTCATTTCAAATCCAAAGCCAGGGTCATTGTGTTCGGGATCAGACGTGGCATTGTATAGAGTAGGAAGAAGTTCTTTGGTATGTATCGCACTGCCATTGACGGCGAGTAGGCTGAGTGGTGTACTAATTGTCTCACTGTGAGAACTTGCAAGAGCGAAGACTTCGCCTGTGATAACAAGATTCCTGGTTTTACTCACCTGCCCGCAAAATTGCAAACGTCCCCGGGGAGGCCTGCTTGTACAAGGTCCAGTATAAAATCGCTGATCGTTTCAACGAAAAGCTGCTGATCTATGATGGAATCATAAGATATGGTTGCATAACTCATCATACTTACCATTATGAGAACAGCTGAGTTCCCATGGCGATCCGTCTCGTAAGCGGATGCTTTCTTCTTCCCGTACAGTCGCAAGATGATGTCTTTGGTGATACTTAATGCAAGGGAAAGCTCAGCATTGTCAACCGCCTGGTAGAACAGGAAACATTGAAGAGTTTCCAAGATTCGGAACACTGGCGACTGACGCTCATCTACTACGGGCCGCATAGTGATGCCTGGGCTGATGCTGAACCCACCAGCGCCTGTAGTGATGCCAAAAGAGAGTCTCACGGCCCAGGGTAAAAATGAAGACGGTTTAGCTGCAGTCAACCCGAACCAGCGACGCGACTTTTGAATGTTTAAACTCGAAAGTTCACAGTCTTGGCCATGTCCATGGTGGCTTGTTTCAGTTCGAAGCCAGAGTGATCCGAATCTTCGGCTGGTACTCTTGCGGTTACTTCGATACAGACAAGAGCAAGGCTGGCTTCGGGACCGTGTATTGAGAGTCCATCCATAAGTAGCAGTGGTGCTTGAGCCGTGATAACTAGTCATGGCTAGGGAGTTAGACATACTATCGTAGATCTCCCGTGTCTGACTTGGCTTAGCCAGTAGTCGTTGCAAAGCGAGCTGGGGATTGTCCTGTGCTTGGCCGTCCTGGATGTCAAGAGCCTGTTCCAGATACGAGAGCGCCTGGAGCCTCTGCTCCAAGGCCGAAATGCTTTGCATATGTCTTTCTATCGACGCGATGCTATTGCTTATTTGTGGTAAACTTTGGCCAGCCGTTGCCACGAGCTGCGTCACTGAGAGGTCCACGCGGGAGAGAATATCAGAGTTGTGAACGGACGTCCTAGCCAGTTCCTGGACGTCGTCTTGCAGTGCCAATGTGGCCATGTCTTGATGTATCTCGCCTAATTGCAGAGTAGTTGCTGGAGCGAACGTTGCAAAGTTTTCTGCGAGACTCGTCATGGTGCTGCTGCTAGAGTCTAGCGTAGAGATCGCATTGTCGACGTTATGAGATATCTGACTAATATCTGTCCTGATATCTTGGACGTCTGCGGACATCTGGACTACATTTGTGCTGATGGTAGGTACGTGTGCGGTTGCGGCTTCCACGTTCGCGAATCTGCGATCATTATCAAGTGACTTGTTCCTGCCGACGATGTATTAGCCTCAAGCTACAAAGGGATCTGGCCGATGACTAACAAGTTCAGCACACTCAACGCAGTCTGGAACACGCTGTTTGTCTTGTGAAGTCTATCCTCCAACTTCATCAGATTGTCCCGTCGAAATGGGAACTTGAGGGTTTTGATTCTTTCTTTCAGCTTATTGCTTGGATGACTCGACCCGACCAACTCCTGGAGGAGAACCTCGAGTTGGTCTAGCTCATTCTTGCATTCTGTGACTATAGGTGGTACGACGCCCGCCCCTGTGCTAGTTGTCGACGAAGAGGGTAACGCGGATTGAATTGTGTTCAGCGATTCCCTCAGGCTGTTGAGCTGCGCTCGTGCAGAGGCCAAATCATCTTTGCGACCATCGAGCGCGTCAAAGTAGGTCGCGATTCCGTCGTAGAGCTGCAGGCCGAGCGATACGATACCCACGGCAGTGCCGACGATACCGACCGGGTCGGCCATGGCTCACTGGGCCCAGTACGATCACGGAAGTGGCCGATCGTTCATTCTGTGGGGCAGACACAGTCGGTGCTGTATGGAATGGTTGAACAAGTGACGTTAATGAGTAAACACCAGTACTATAGTAGCAGTACAATGTCTCGAGAAAGGATACCAAAAGTCTTGACGATCAGATGAGAGCACAAGAAATCAAAGAAAGGTCCTCGTGCAACCTCGGTCAATTCCCGCTTGAGATGTGCCTCGCAAAATGCCTCGTCGAGCCTCATGTAACGGGCAAATCACGATACTGCCCGCTTTCAGGTCTTACAGCACGTAGGACAAGCAAGGCTGAGTTTTCGCTGCAACACATTCGCCGATGCAGTCAATCAAGGGGGCATAGTGATCAACCAATGACAAACCTTTAGACATTGGTCCCAGCCCCGTTGATCACTCGAATTGCTGCCCAAGACACAATATCTGCAAGAGCGTATGCAGTTGGGCGACACTGCATGAGGCTGTGTATAATATGTTCTACACTTCGTGTCAACTAGTTAGATTCCACTCAAAGCCGATTGTCAGACCAAAAGTCAAATTATCCAACAGGTTACTACGTATTGTGAAACCACCACTCAATAATGCGTTCTGATCGTAGATTCAAAATTTGATTAACGCCATGGTGGCATCTAAAAATCTGAATAATGGTCGGGCCATATGCCCCAAAAATACTCCAAACGCCTCGCAAAAATGACAACCCTAAAGACGTAGTAGTGGCACCCTGATCATGTTATTATACCCATTCCCTGCCCACTTGCGGTAGGTCTGTTGATGATTGCGTCGGTGTCGACTCTTGCCGTGCCGCTCGTTGGTAATACGGCTTTTGCTCCATGGCGTAAGCAGGCGCTGCCTGTCTTACTTCCACTTGTTGATATGGACCCGTCGGGTATTCTGCCGTGTCGTATCTCGAAATCTCCGGTCGCGACATGCCCGTATCATATCTGGACATTTCTGGTGTCGGTGTGGCGCCTTCGTATCGAGGATATGCATACGGATCTCCATGCGCCACCCCGATATCCTGCGACTGCCGCATCGCATAACCCAGCGGAACATCCTGTCTCGCGTCGGACCGGTTCTCCCACATCATGCTAGTCCTTTCGCTGCTCTCGTCGCCGCTACCGCTGCCACTGCCGCTGCCGTCTGCCGCATTCGCCGTCAATGCCGCCGTGCTGGCGCCCTGGTCCTGTCGTAGCCGCTCCATGCTGTAGTTGGTCTGTCGCGCAGCCTGCTCCTGCAGCAAGATCGTCTTTGCCTTCTTCATCTTGACCCAAATGTAATAGCCCATGACGACGGTAATGGCAAAGGTTATGACCAGCACAATGGTCTGGGTCTTGTTGTTCTCGTCCTGCGCCACTAGCAATACACCCAAATAGACGATAAAGATCTGCTTTGGCAGGGTCAGGAATGTCGCGACGCAAAAGTGCCAAAACTTGACGTCGCAGGTAGAAAAGACGGCCGTCGAGAAATGTGAGGGCACGATGGAAAAGCGAATGATGAAAACCATCTAGAGTGTAAAGGTTAGCTTGCCCCAGAGTATACCCTTGTGTTGTAGGAGCGGGTCGAGTTATAGTCATACCCAGAATCCACTATCTCTGGTTACGCGTGCCAGAGCAGCATAATTGAGATTTGTTCTCTCCATTTTCTCTGCCTTTTTCCTGAGCGCCCTTTTGAATGCAAACCATGTTCCCACTAAATAGCTTCGTTAGTTGTCCACACTTTGGAATAAGGTCATTGCAAGACCTACCCTCGCCGAGAAAGGTGCCGGCAGCAACAATAGCAAAGCCCACCCATAGTCCATACACAACACCGCAAAGCAGTCCAATGATTTCATGGCCAAACAGCGGCGGGAAAGAAATGACGATCAAGATGGCAATAGGTATGAGCCAGCCTGCGGGAACATCGCGTACTTTTTCTGAAAATGGTCGTAATATCTGCGGTGATGGTCAGCAAAACAATACAAGCCAAAGACTATATCAGTACAATATACGGACCTCGACGACCTTGTCGTGGTATATGGTGATTAGAGCCGTTATGACAATGATAACAATCATGAGAATGTGCCATGCTGAAAGACGGTGGAGTCGAATTAGCTTAAGAGGGCCCCCGAAGCCAGCGCGCTGGAGAATGGGTATATAGACGGAGATCGTCAACGAGAGTGCGGAACAGACATACGTATATATTTGGGCGTCAAGAACACTTTCTTCCAGTTTATCGGTCGATATTCTGTCGGCGGTTGGTCTGCATCTGATAAGGGCCCGGTCGGCTCATTCTTTTTCTTGGCCATTTCGACGTCGTCTACTTTGGCCATTTTTGTCGCTTGTTAATCAACCGAGCCACTTCAATTACACGTAAAAGCAAATGAGATAGTTGGAAGCTAGTAGCGGATCGGATCAAGCTCGAATCGACAAGGCGAAAAAAAGGAATAAAGAGAAGATGTAGTTTGGACAATACGAAAAGTAAGGAAAGACAAGAAGAGAATATGCTACGAACAATGAAATGTTTAGGCAGAGACCCGGAGACGCGAGAGAGAAGGTACAAAGTCGTATTCTTTAGATTTGCGGTTTAACTGGGGCGAGGGTCGAGGCGCGCTTGGAGAGAGAGCGAGCAGCAAGCAAGCAAATGCAATTCAATGAATTTCGAATGAGCATGGATGGCTGGATGGATATTGGCAGCTAGTTTTAGCTGGAGGGACACCCCAACACCCGCGCTGGGCGTAAAGCAAATTAAGCGGGGGACGAGGATCTTTGTCCGCTTTGGATGTCGAGATCGCCCTGTTTCATCAACCCCTTTCTGCGATGCTTGGCTCAGCCATGCATAGGTTCGATAGACTGGGGACTTTTGGGGGATTTGGATCAAAGCAGAAGCCGCCTCGGGATTTTGTTTTTGGCCTTGATGAAGAGATAAAAATAAAAAGAATCGGCGGGGTCCCCTTGGAGGCTCAAGAGGTGAGAAGGAAGGGAAAATCACAAGCGGGTAGGGCAGAGTAAAACCAAGCCCCCGGCGAAGTCTCTTTTGTGAACAATGATTGCGGCGCGGGCGCCAAAACAAGACACTGGTGATCACTGATGGGCGACACAGTTACGGAATACAGTGACTGCAGTGCCATTACATTACTACCCAGAAGAGTGCCGCCGGCATGGATCAAGGGAACAGCAGCAGCCACAATCCAATCAGAGGGTCAAGCGTCGCGAGTGTCCAAACCAATGCGAAACCATGAGCATCACACATGCCGCCCGAGAGCGTGGCTGAGCATTCTCTTGGCTAACATTTTTAATGTACTGACAGTAGTACTCTTCTGCTGCTGGCCACTCACTTTACACCCAGCAAGGTTGGAGGGCGGCACTGTAATCTGTAGCTTCCTCTACCTATTTAGGTAAAATTAAGTACCCTCCACATGGATGGAAAAATGTACCGCAATAGATACAAACTTGATCTGATGTCGATTCTTTCTACTGTCTTGTGTATTTTGAGTGTGTTTGTCGCAGTCAATGTGATACAACACGATAATACAGCACCCGTGTTGTTGTGGGTGTGCTAGGCTAGGTTAATGTAGTAGCGATGCGAGCATAGTACTGGGCCTCGCTGATCTCGTGCAACAAGATTTCATTCACTCTGTGTCTCTTGGTTGTGTGTGTCTCTGCCGCTGACGTAGAGTGGAGACACGGCGCAGTGAAGACACACTAGAACGCCGGCCGAATTGGAGAGAAAGATGATACGACACTGATGAGATGCAGGAATGCGCCTACGGGCTGTCTACGGGTCAATGGGGCCAAGAATATATGGTTGGATGACAACAGAACAAGCTTATGATGACTGCTTCTAAACCTCTAATCTTTGGTGAGCTCACAGCGGGATGGGAACCCCCAAATTCCTTGGCGGCGATCAATTGCCCCTGCATCTGTTATTCCTTCCCTTTCAGCTTGGTTGCTCAACTTGCCCATGTCCTTTGGGATCGTTTTTCTGGACCCATCTCCCTTTTAATCTATTGCATAAACGACGGAATTACCATCATGGTGCTTTTGATCGAGACCCTTGCGAACCAAAAAAGAACAAAGAATAGAGTCCCCACCCCACCCGAAGCCCACCCCCGGCGCCCGCTGGGCCAAAGTTGTAGGTTATTCAGACGTCCCCATCCCCCCCGAGTCCCATGTCCAAACTCGACAAAACCAAGAGCGTATCGCATTACGGATCTCGATAGCTCCGGGCCACGTTTTTGTGCAGCAGCCAAACACCATAAGATCGGACGAAATCTAGTCTATCATTGAGCCCACAGAGAGAGCATACCACGGTATAGTTTGCCCATGGACGGGAGCGACACCCCCCGAGAGGCGTTTGTGCGGGCCATGACGACGAAAGAGGGCAGCGCACTGCCGAAAACGAGTTGGCGCAGGATTCAATCGTGGTGAATACCGCGACGTGATTGCTGCTTATTGCTTACTTACATTGCATTGCATCCTGAACAATAGGCAACCAAACATTTTCTCCCGCACTCGTATCGGATCCGTAAGCAGAATCTAGACTATAGCCTGGCTGTGCATTGCTCGTATTATGACGAACAGCCGACAAGAGACCGTGAGAACCCCTACATCGCCGTTCACAACTTTTGACTGCAACCGACAGTAATCTGATCCATAGACCTGTATTTAGCAAACAAAGGAAATGCGATCAGAAGTTCTTCTGTATATTTTCACCCCAAGTCTGACTTTTATTGGGTACTGAGTCTAGCCACCACCGTGGTAATAAGTGATTTGCAGCCTGCTCTCACAAGCAACAATATGGCTGTCAATGACGACTCTCAATCATGTAGCCTTGAGTGATGGGTCTCCCTTTGGTGACCTTTTCTGTCCATCAATATGTTGACCTGTGGCATCAAGTATGTGTTACAGAGAGTAGAAGGAACCAATATTGCTGCCAGACGTATTGACCAGATGCCAGGTCTCAACGAGGGTTTCAATTGATGGATGAGTTGTAAATCTTGCATTTCACAAACTGCCGCTGACTGATGCTTCATAGTCCTGAAGACGTTGCCGTGAGTCCAATTCGACAACTTCCTACAGAAATTAGGAATGGCGGAAACAATTTTTGGGCGAAAAATAGAAGTTATCACCAGATCAGCCCCGTCAACGTGTGTTGCCGAACAGCAAGCCCTTGAAATATGATAGGATCATTTTCTTGGGTCCTCGTCCGTAACTAGCACGCATTTCCCTATTTGTATATCTTTCATTCATACATAGTGATTGTCGTGTCTCGAAACACACCAACCAGCCGGCCTGTTCGTGAGGTAATGGTATCCTTCTCGGCTCTCAACGACAACATATCGATAAATCACTACAAGAAGCAAAGGCCATGGCATGGCTGACGCTTTTGGCAGATGCCATTTGCCGAAACCCCACGTTTGTCCGGCACCCCGCAGATTTGCGGACAATTGCCGGCGTTTATAGTCGAATCCGAACCAATAGAAGCATGTACATAAACGTCATTAAAAAGCAATCAACTTTGCTGGGAAAACTCAACTGGAAAAGGAGGGGTGCGGATTCCCGGAAGCCTCTAACATCACACACGAATCAAGTAGTCAAGAAGATATAAGTTTGCTGCGCCATGTTTTCCGTCTTTGTTTTGACGCTTCTGGCTCGTGCCATTGTCGCCCAGGGTTTCCCCGAGACTTGCCCACCAGTGGCACCGTATAATCCAAATGCCACTCTTGGCGTGTGCCCAACAGATTTCACAATCATTGGACCTGAACTTGAGGCTGTTCATGAAAGTGAAAGTGCGCCAACGGGTTTTGCTGTTGATGACAGCCTGGGCATCTACCTGACATACCCACGCAACGCTGGAGCAACGCCCATCAATGTCGCCAAGGCCACGGGTTTTACGTCTGAAGAACCATGGCCCAATGCTGCCATTCAGAATTGCACCGCTGATCAAGACCTCGCGGAATGCTTTATAAATGTGCAAAATGTGGTATTTGATGCAGTCGGCCAGCTCTGGGTCGTGGACTCGGGGATCATACCCGGCGCCAAGACGGCATCGTCCCGTGGCGCCAAGATCATTTCGTTCAATCAGACGACGGGAGAGACTATACGGACCTACATCATCCCGGATGAGTTCTTCTACGATTACATGAACGCCAATGACGTGCGCATCAACAACACCTTGGGTTTGGGCGGATACGCCTTTATTACGGACGAGTCGGCTTCGGGCTCGGTCCTCGCCATCAATCTCGATGACGGCAGCGTCACCAGGCGGCTCCACAACACCACCGTGGTCAAGGCCGATCCCACGTACGTGGGCTCGTACAATGGCGAGCCCATTTACATCTGGAACGGCACGATCAAGTCGTACGCCACGACGGGCGCCGACGGCATCGCCCTGGCGTCGGGGAACGTGTACTGGGGCGTTCTGGCGTCGCGACGCTTCTACTACATCTCCCAGGAGACCCTGATCGACACCTCGCTGTCCGACGAGGACATGCTCGCCGCGGTCCGGGACCCGGGCCAGCTGGGCTCGGAGCAGGCGGGCTTCACGGCCGACGACCGCGGCCGCGTGTACATGCTGGCCAGCGAGCAAAACGCCATTTACTATGTCGACACGCAGCAGGCAGAGACCACCGAGGAGGTCAATGGGACGCCGGCCGGCGGCACGGGCCCCGTCGCTTCTGAAAACTACCTTGTCAAGACCTTGGTGCGCAGCGGCCTCATCCAGCATGCCGATTCCGCGGCCATTCTGGATGGTTGGCTGTACTTTTGCACAAACCAGCTCGAGTTGAGTCCCGGGAGGCAGTACAAGAATATCGACGCGCGCAAAGGGCCTTTTCGGAGTTACCGTACGTGGATTGGTAGAGGCCCTGCTGTGTGATGGGATATGTAGCAATTGATGGTCTGCAGGAGCTGCAAAACGCCAAAGATGATCTAGGCTGACCAAGTTCAAGTCCACAGCGTTCTACTTCATATGCTTAAATACATCAGTTTCACGAACGTTGTTTTTGTCTGCTAGAATCAATATACTAGTGAAACTCAAAGTGGAAAGAGAGACCACTCTCTGTTCCTTGATGCAGTCATGACTCCACGATTTCCTCCAAATACAACTCGCACTGCTATCATGGCCGAATCCCATTCTTGATCGTCAAGCTTGGAGAACCAGCACGACAGCGGGCAGCAGGACAGGCAGCCGTTCCAGTATGCCCTTGACCCAAGGGTCGTCTTGGTCCCAGTCATATGGTTCAGGGTATGATGTCCAAGTACATGGATTATAGCTTAAACCCGCTCTCTCGTCCTCAGAGAGTCTCCGATAATTGAAACATAGCCACATGCGCTGGGCCGCGCTGACCATTATTTCCCACCACGTGAAGCGGCCATTGTAGAACGTGTAGGTGTGGATCTCGTTCGAAACCATGAGAATCTTGGCCCCAATCGCTTTGGTGGCTTCATCCGCACTCAGAATCCCGATGGCACGTCCGACCTGAGCAGGGTCTAGTAGATTGACGATCAAATGGTTATCGTAACCAAAGAGCCCGCGGGTCGCTGCTTTTAGGCCGCGCGGATCGACTTCAACAACCCCCCGTTCTAGATCTTGCCTCAGGGTATACGGATCGCAGGGATCGCAGGGGTGAATGAGGATGGTACTCATTCGGTCAAAGAGGAAGCACCGATAATCATTGCAGCGATGATTATCAAAAGTGCAACACCAAATTTCGAGCCCGAGGACCAAGCTGCGGAATCGATTCTGCTTCATGATGCATGTCTTGGGAACACATCTCAACGATTCGCGGAAACTGTTGTTAGTGATGTTGGGTGAACTAGAACGCACAGAAAATTGTTTATACGTCTTGTTTTTGTAGAGTTCAGCTGCCATTTCTGGGTCCATTGTGCCGAGATGAACTTCATTCTCTGATGGAAAAAATGGATCGAGGCAGTACATCCCATTATTTATGATACACTGGCTTATTTCATACCAATAGAGGTGAAAATCATATTCCTCGTATCTCGACTCCTGAATTGTGTGAAACGAGCTTGTGTCGGAAGCAGCAGCAGGGCAGGAAGACGATGATGACACAAGTGGGATCTTCTTGACGACTATGATATGACCGCCACGCTTGAGAGCCAAGTATCGAGATTCTGCATTCGTCCAAAGGAGTGCGGTGGGTTTGGGTTTACGGGCTCTGCCACCGCTGATAACTTGGTGATGCTCGTCCATGGCACACTCCCATATCATGAAGCGCACTTCGGCCGGCAAGCATCGAAATTTCGAAAAGTTGGTAGCTGCGGTTTGGCCGGTGTCTGGAAGGCCCTGGGGGCTAGATTGTTCCATGGTCAAGACTTTACCGTGACTTCTGGTGGTCACGTTTGTGCTGTTCATATCATTGCATCAAGAGCCGACGAGCACGAACACGTCGGACCTTGGACTGCTTATATACCTACCCAGCATGGATCCAGAAAGGTCCTACTGGAAGAGAACGAAAGCGTAAATGCTCGGAGCTCCGGCCGGTGAAAGGGGGCACCCTATTTCTATGCTGCTAGACTACTGGAGTCTCAACTTTGTGGCGACGAGGACGTCGTTTATCGTGTGCCCCAAAGCTCACAAGGTTGATCTGCGTAGACTTGCCACGAGAAGCATAACACAGAGCGAATGAAATCACCTGGCTGCAATGCAATCTGAATGTGTCAAGAACTCAATGCACTTGATTTTGACTGTATTACCCTAATATCTAGCTATTGGTAGGTGTTTCCTGGATAACCTTGAAGGCCATTTCGTCGGAGAATTGCCAAGGTAATAGAGCAAGTGGATGAACAAGGCCTCAGAATTTTCAGTGTAAATACAACTCCCAGGAGGTTATACCTCATCGAGAAATAAAATAATGTTCATCATAGGCCGCCCAAATAGGCTGAAGGGAAAATACTGATGAACTTTCATCGGAGAGAAAAGAATGGTGATGGGGTTTACGACTGCCACTTGCACAAGAGAACACATATCGTTCAAAATGCCGGCAATGCCGCCATGTCCTAGGGATTGCCTGCATCGGATGTATCTTCAAGTCGTTGCCTGGCACCTTATTTTGAAGATGGGTGAACGACTCTAACAAACCTGCACCTAAAGCAGGGAGACGACGGCAGTGGCGGATTTGGTACAGTCCAGGGGAGCCATGACGGCTGGTGAAAAAGTCAGTGCAAATTCAGCAGAGACATGGTGTGATACAGCCAACCTGTGGCCTCAAGCTTGTATCTGTTGTTGTGATAATATGCATCACTCTGGACTGGAAGGATGTATTTTTCTACGCCAGAAATTAATTCTGGAATTTTGGACATAAGAGAAAAGCTTGCCGACGTTGGAAAGGCAGGTTCCGATGCAGATCACGTGGTCAAAGCTTTGACCACCCACACTTTTTGAGAGCGCTTTCCCATTTTCGTACCCAACCCTAATCAACAGACCAAAGTCCCACCCTGCAGAAATATCCGACCCAAATTCTTTCATCCTCAATTCGAATCTCACGATCCTGGAAAACGACACTCAAGGCAACAGCAAATCAACAGTTGCCCATCATGTCGTTGGTTTCGGGAGAGAAGACGAACTTCCAGTTCGTAAGTCAACTCCGTTCACCCCGTTCCATCGGTCTCCCGACTGCCGAAAAATCCGATGCTACACGGCGCCGCCCGCGACTGGGAGAAATCCTCTCCTCCATGGGCTGATTTTCTCCCTCTCTGCGACGACGCCTGCACATCGATTTGCCCGCGAGCCCGAACAAAATCGCATCAGAACAAAATTGGCTGACTTATAATGGATAGATCTTGCGTCTCCTCAACACGAACGTTAAGGGTGAGGAGAAGGTCATGTACGCCCTGACCCGCATCAAGGGTGTCGGACGTCGTTACTCCAACTTGGTCTGCAAGAAGGCCGATGTCGACCTGAACAAGCGGTATGCCAACTCCGAAGAGCCGAGAATGGTGTGATGGAAGAAGCGATGGACGGTGGACTAACGAGTATTCAACAGCGCCGGTGAGCTCACCTCGGAAGAGCTCGAGCGAATTGTCACCATCATCCAGAACCCCACCCAGTACAAGATCCCCGCCTGGTTCCTCAACAGACAGCGCGACATTGTCGACGGCAAGAACTACCAGGTTCTCGCCAACGGTGTCGACTCCAAGCTCCGTGACGATCTCGAGCGCCTCAAGAAGATCCGCGCTCACCGTGGTCTCCGTCACTACTGGGGTCTCCGTGTGCGTGGTCAGCACACCAAGACTACCGGCCGTCGCGGCAGGACTGTCGGTGTCTCCAAGAAGAAGGGTGGTTAAACTGCTTGCAGCAGTGGAGGAGTGGTTTCATTGGTTCTGGTCATCATTGCAGATCGGATTGGCGTGAAGGCTGGACATGGAATTACCCAACGGAAAAAATCGTCATGGTTCATTTGCTTTTGCCAAGGGTTTCGGCATCATTGATGTACTCTAACGAATGAATGAAAAAGAGACATCAGTTCCTGAATATGAAAACCACACTTCTTCAAGTTACGTGATATGGGATCCACGCTATGATTACACAGTGAAGCGACATGGCATTTCCGAGTCGGGACACTGCGAATCATGAACATTGCGACGCTAATTTTTTTTTTATCTATGCCCGGTGATGCTGAAACTTTTACCATGTTAACCTCGGGAATCTGCATCGTAAATCATCACAAGGTCATGCCACCATGCCTTTCATACTTCTTATTGTCAAGGGGTATTTCATACGGCTTAGTCCTCGTGGGTGACTGCCATATCCAGAACCTCGACTCTGCCCTGTCCTCTGGTCTCGTTGCCCAAGAAATCGGACAACGCTTTGAAGGCACCTGGTTCTACGAAACCAACCACCTCCCACTCTGAACCCAGCACATCTTGGGCCTCTACTTGTTCGATATAACTCAAGATCTTGTCCTTGACTGTACCCGGCGCCGCCTTCTGATCACCATCTCCCTCGGCAGACTTGGGAGCCTTGACTGATTGCTTCAGCACGTTGGTCGAGCATGTGACTCGCAGGCGCATTCTCGCCCTCGAGACTGGAATGGGCTGGTGCGCAATCAGAGCCTTCATGGCCTCGAGGGCCTGACTCTTTGCGCTCTTGGTCGTGACGACGCCGGTCCAGGTGTGCTCCTTGGCTCTCGGCTTGCCGGCCTCTCCGTCCTCGGTGGTGGCCGGTGTGCCCGTGCCGCTCGCCGTCGCGCTCTTGTCGCCCTGCTGCTGATGCGCCGCCGAGCTGAGCATGTCGAGAGCCTTTTCAATCATGCCGGTCGTGTAGACCCTCTTTGTCCGCGGATCCACCAACTTGCTGGCAACGATGGATATGACCTCATTGTGCACCCGATCGAGTTGGGCTGCCCTTTCCTTCTCGCCGACTTGGATTTCGCCCTTGTTCAGGATCTCGAGGATGATGTCGTTGGTGGGCTTGTCTTTGCCAAAGGCCTTGGCCAGGTCCTCCTTGGGAGCCGTCTGTCCCTTGCTGACATTGAGAAAGACGTTTGGAATCTGTAGGACCTCGTCAATGTCGGTCTCGATACCCTGGCGCCACTCGAGGATCTTGTTCTTGTAGCAGGCGATCTCGAAGCGCTTCTTGCCCTTCTTCAGTCGCACGAGCGACACGTTGGTCAGTTTGATCTGGTTGCTGGGTTGGTTGATTCTGCTCGACATTGTGACGAATAGTCGGGTATCATGAAAACACACAAGAAAAAAAAGGAGTGCAACGAAAGAGACGAGGCGAGTTGTTAAATGTGACTCTTTTTTTTTTGTCCTCCTGCTGTCTGATTATGTACAAAATATTTCTTTTCTGCGGGGCAATCAGCGATGCGGGACAAGTTCCCAGAGTATTGGACCTGTGTAGCGCCAAAGCTGCCTTTGTACCTGAACCCGCCTAGCGCTGCTGACCAAGTGACTGCTGCTTTCTACAGGCCATGTCTTGGAGACATTCTGTTACAGAAGATGAATCACCTTGCATCATGCCGAGCTGCATACCTGGGGTCATATAATTTATAGATGTATAATGCATGTGCACATATGATACTAGCTGGCTGCATAAAAACAGGCATGTGATTCACAATCATAGATGCAAGGTACCCAGACCATTGAAATGGGCGAGCACTCAAATGGTCCGCGTCTTGCCTTTGGACGTTCTCGTGACCCTCGGATTGCTGGCTTGGCTGGGGCGGTTCGTTCAAGGCGCAAGGCGAGTCAGTTAGACCCCAGTGACCTATGACGCTTATCAGTGACAGGGCCCCTCCTCTATCGGTGTGCTGGCGGTGGAGCCGGACAAGTCAAGACCGAATCAGGTAAGTAGCGTGTTAGCAGATTTTGGCGACATTGTAGCGGTTGAATGCTAGCACAAGACTTGCTGCCAGGCACCACCGGACGGATCCGTTGTCAGGTCAGCTCTCCAATCCCCCAGAGCTCCTGCCCAGAGCGCCCTCAAGGTCGTTTCATGCAATCTAGGTAGGTAACCTATCTACCCCAGAGCTTCTCTTCCTCGCTCTTGTTTTCATTTCTTCTCCATCTTCCATCATTTCATCAACAATACACCCATTCCTTCTTCATCGCGGGTTTTGGTTCATCCAAATCCATCTCGGTTGGATTGTCTTGTTGCTACCTGTGCTCTGACGGCCACACTCTCTTCTGTCAAAGCTTCACATTTCTTATCACTGCCACCATGAGAGTAGCGACTTCGACGCTACTGCTCGGCGCAGCCTCTGTTGCTGTTGCCCAACATGAGCAGATTGTCCTGGGCGGCTACCAGGATGCCGTCAAGCCTATTGTTGACTCGACTTCCAAGTCGGCTGGCTCCATCCTCGAGAAGATCGAGGAGACCCTCGGCAAGATGCCCACCGAGGCTCAGGGCCTCTGGGACGAGATGCAGCTTCTGGTTCCTGGCTTTATGGAGAAGGCACAAAACCTCATCTCCCGCCCCAAGGCACACAAGCGCAGACCTGACAGCGAGTGGGACCACGTCGTCAAGGGTGCTGACATCCAATCCATGTGGACAAAAACCGCAGGCGAGGAGCACCGCGTCATCGACGGCCAGCTTGAGGCATACAACCTGCGAGCCAAGAAGGTTGACCCTTCGGTGCTCGGCGTCGACAAGGTCAAGCAGTACAGTGGTTACCTCGATGATGAGGCCAACGACAAGCACTTGTTCTACTGTGAGTGATTATGAAACTGTCCTACATCATATCTAGCTTTTTATTAACTTATCCATGTACAGGGTTCTTCGAGTCCCGAAATGACCCCAAGAACGACCCCGTTGTTCTCTGGTTGAACGGTGGCCCTGGATGCTCCTCCATGATGGGTCTCTTCATGGAACTGGGACCCTCCAGCGTCAATTCGAAGCTTACCCTCAAGTACAACGACTTTTCCTGGAACGCCAACGCCTCCGTGATCTTCATTGATCAGCCCGTCAACACTGGATACTCCTACAGCGGAAGATCTGTCTCCGACACTGTTGCTGCCAGCAAGGACATCTACGCTCTTCTGACCCTCTTTTTCCACAACTTCCCCGAGTATGCCCAGCAGGACTTCCACATTTCCGGCGAGTCGTACGCCGGCCACTACATCCCCGTTTTTGCCAATGAGATTCTGTCCCACGAGAACCGCAACATCAACCTCAAGAGCATCGCCATCGGTAACGGCCTCACTGACCCCAAGACTCAGTATGCCGAGTACCGCCCCATGGCTTGTGGCGATGATGGCAGCCACTACGGCCCCATCCTCGACGAGAGCGAATGCCAGTCCATGGACAATGCTCTGCCCAGGTGCCAGTCTTTGATCCAGAACTGCTACGACTCTGGAAGTGCCTGGTCTTGCGTTCCCAGTGCTATTTACTGCAACAACGCTCTGATTGGCCCATTCCAGCGCTCTGGTTACAACGTTTACGATATCCGTGAGAAGTGCAAGGACCAGGCCAACCTTTGCTACACCGAGACCTCCTGGATCTCTCAGTACCTTAACAAGCCCGAGGTCATCAAGGCTGTTGGTGCCGAGGTCACTGACTACGAGAGCTGCAACACCGACGTTAACCGTGCTTTCCTCTTTAACGGAGACTGGTCGAAGCCCTTCCATCTGCTTGTTCCTGACATTCTCAAGAAGATTCCTGTTCTCATCTACGCTGGTGATGCCGACTACATTTGCAACTGGCTCGGCAACAAGGCCTGGACCGAGGAACTTGTCTGGTCTGGCAAGCAGAAGTACAATGAAGCCAAGATGGGTCCTCTGGAGGTCAGCGATAAGCAGTACGGCGAGTTCAAGACCAGTGGTAACCTGACCTTTATTCGTGTCTACGAGGCTGGCCACATGGTTCCCTTCAACCAGCCCGAGGGTTCTCTGGACTTCTTCAACCGATGGATCGCTGGTGAGTGGTACGCATAAATTGCAAACCGAGGATTTTGAGCACAAGAAGGACATACAAGTGTCGGTAGTCTTTGGGAACTTGCATACCGGAGTATACGAGGTGCTCTCATGGTCGAGTGTTTGTTTTATTTAGCATCCTTAGAGCTGTAGCACAAGAACAAATGTTTAATCCAACAAAGTCTTGAGCCATTGTCGTGAACAAGAATGTCAAGTGCTGTTAAGTACTACAAAGCAAAGCAAGTCACGAAGCCAGATGGTATTGTCGTAATTATGGCCGACATATATTGTAAGGGTGCTGGTCCGGCGGAAACTGCAATTTCTCGAGGTCTAAGTCGTGATCCATTCTAATCTCAAGTGGAAGCAGCATTCATGAGTCGACCAGAGGATCATGGGTAGCAACACTCATCAATATAGGTCTCGGGATGTGACAACAAGAAATTGCGAAGGGCTCCACGCCATAGGCCAGGAGGTATCGCACTCAAAGAATGTTGTGCTGGTTTATTCTTGTCTGGTACGCTCGAGAATAAATAACGAGGGTATCCGGCTCAAGATCAGTCGTTGGAATAAACGAAGGCTGACCGAGCGTGGCAAAAGACGTGCTGATTTTAATCATGAACAGGGAGAAAGCAAAAGAGGAGTTATACTCGTTCAATCACAGTTACCTTGCCTTACCTTGCCTAGGTATGTCTGTGGCACAGGTTGCCGATATGCCGGTACCCCTTCAACCCTTACGCCGTGCCTGGCCAGCCTGGCGCAGAGGATAGGTTTAGCTGCAAGGCTGGTTGTAGAGAGGCACAGCTGGCGGTTTTTGATGCGCGCCCAGACTTGGTCCAGAATGTCTTTCAATATTCTTGGCACTGGCTAGGCGGAATGCCGTCGTAGCCGGATGCTGCTGCATGTGGTAACGAATTTCGGCTTGCAGGACTTTTTGGAATAAGCTGCTTGCTTGCGCCAATGCGACACATTTGAGGTGGACGGCATGAGCGGCAGCAAGGAGAAAATGGGCTTGGGACAGTCCACGACAAGATGACTGACTGTCAAGCTTCTCTTGAGGAAAAGATGGGGATACCACCCTGCACACACAAGGTGTGGTGATTTAAGCTTTCTTGCAGAAGCTGCTGGGTTTCAACAGGGCGTCGTTGGCAGAAAGATTAGAAAGATGAGGGAGCAGACGTTATTATGTGTATGTTTCGGTCGACGGAGAGAAATTTGTGTGTGGTGGTCGGGCGGCTGCTTGGTCCACTCAAGTTGCTGGATTCGGGCCAATCGGCGCGCCTGGGGTAATGATACCCACCTATCGTTTGGCAACCGGGCGACACGTTGGAAATCCTTCAAAGTTTTGGGATGATTGCCAAGCAAAACCGCGTCGTTGATCCGGTCAGCTTGAATTTTCATTTGTAGAAATGTCTTTTTTTTTGTCCCTTTTCTTTTCTACATCTACGCCCTCTGCTCTTTTTTCCAGGTGTGGAACCTTGGCAGTGCATAATACTACTACCATGAGAAGAAGCCTCATTCAAGCCTTACACGCGACTACGGACAAATATCAAGGCCTACCGCATTGAACAAGAAGTGAAGCCGCCGGCCCTTTTGAGAGTTACATTACCATGGGCTCTCTGTGTCCGGAGTTACGAGGTCGATTCTCGACGCGCCTGTTCTCTTATCTCTTGGAAAATGGAGAAGGCCCACTCTTTACGCGGCCAGAAAGTTCCCAGGGCTGCGGGAGCGGGCTGAAAAGAAGCGACCATGGAGCAACGCGAAAGCGACAAGAGAAAGAAAAAAAAAAAAGATACCATGTGCTCGCGTGCCATATTTCCTTCTTCTGAACTGGATGTTAGATGCGGTCCGGACCTATCGGAGCCTCGGAGCCAAGGAAACACGACAGGTCTCCAGTCAGCAGAACCACATCAAAATTATACGTACAGACGAGGCCAAGACCCAAATGCAGCATCCCTCCAAAAAATGTTATTCGATCCAGGCTTTTACTTGTTCGACCCCCCCAGCTTGTCTGTCTGGGCACTCTGAAATAACGCTGACCAGGTAAGGCCCAGGTAGGTGACCTCCTTGATAATGTTCTTTATGTTCGGTCTTTTTTTTTTTTTTGCTCTCCCTCTACAACCACACCTTTTTCAAGATACAGGTCCGCCACTTAGCTACTCTATCGTCTTGGCAAAGCCGCCTAGGGACCCTCCACCTCTCTGGGGGTCCCTTCCAGGGCCCAGGAATGGGATTTATCTTAGTTGTAGAAATAATAATGGGTTCCACCGAAAAAACGGTCTGTCGCGATTCCTTTGCGAGAGAGAGACAGAAAAAAATAACAGTAGCGTTGTTGTCTTCGTCGTCGTCGGGGGAAAGAGTGCAACAACGAACCGACCCTTCCTCTTACTCCGGTTCACCCATATTTTCTCCTGTGGTCGGTTGTTTGTTTGATTGCTTTCTTCTTATTCCAATGGTTGATTCTTGATCATCCATTTTTGACTCATCAATTTTTGGGGGATCGCCCAATTCTCACCAATACTTTTCTCTTTCTTTTCTTGGTGAGCTTGGTGCCGTTTGATGATTTCTTAATTCGATACGCCGCTTTTCACCACAAAAAGCCCCCGACAGATTTGAGCATCAGTCTCGCGCCGGCGAAGACTAGGTGTTCAACTGATTAATCCAAACAATTTCAATGCCGCCAGAAAAGATCAGAAGGGCATCGGAGCCACGGGACACTTCTAGAGGATTGCCACCTACCATCTATCGCCTCGCTGTTCTGCTCATCCCTATCACAATAGCCATTTGGTGCAACCTGGCATATCTCTCAAGTACGATACCAATCTTAACAACTCCCTTCAACACGATATTGTTGACTTTGCAAAGAGAAATTGATTACTAAACAAACTGTCCAGGAAATGATCCATTTCACTGTCGCACGCTTTTGAGCGACGGAGCATGGGCATCTCATACAGGACCCCGAGATCCTGAACAGGACTTTGCAAAATGGGAACCTCACAATTGTCGCATGATTGAGTACTCGAGGGGCCAGTTCCACGATTGCCTCGGTGGTCGGAGGGTCGTCTTTGCCGGCGATTCGACCATGAGACAGGTCTACTGGGCTGCTGCCACCCGGCTCGACCACATGAAAGCTCACGTTGCCTTGCTTGATGTAGTTGTCGACGACAGCAAACACGACAATCTCTACTTTGAAGCCGAGGGCGTCAAGCTGGAATTCGTCTGGGACCCATGGCTCAACTCATCCTACCTTCACGACGAGCTCTTGAAATTTCGAGCCCAGGAAACCTTTGCCGATTATGGAGTTGTGAAATCAAAGGATGAAGAGTCGGCTGCTCTCGTGGTTCTGGGTGCCCCGGGCCTATGGGCTGCTCGTCACGGCGGTGACGATTATTTTGCCATCTTCAAACGTGGCATCGAAGCAATGAGAATTCATTTCGGCTCCACCTTGCAAGACTCCCTGGTGTCTCCTACAAAGGACTTTCGCAGAAATAATGATTTGGCTCCGAATCAAATTCTTCTCGCACCCGTGCAAGAACCTTGGTACGACTCGCTTTCTGCTGACCGTGCTCAGACCATCAAGCCCGAGAAGGTGGACAGGATGAATGCGTACCTTGCAAAGTGGTCCTCAGAAGAGCAGTCTCATATCCTTTGGGCTTACAATCAAATGACCAAGGGGGACGAAAGCGCGTACGAGGTGAATGGAATCCACGTTCTGGATCGAATTGCTGAGCGTAAAATTGACATTGCTCTCAACGCTCGCTGCAACTCTGCGACCGGGCATCGAATTCCTCAACAAGCGTCATGCTGTGTTCGTTACCCAAAGTTGAATATGCTTCAGAAGTCAATGATTGCGGCTGCCTTTATCTTGGCAATTGTCCTTGGAGTTCGCCACGGTGTCAGCTCATTATTTTCGCTTCGATCCGACAATATTCCCGGACTCGTCTTCTGCATTCTCGCGATATTGGTCTACTGTCATGTCACTGACAGACGACACGAGTTCCTCCGACTCGATCGGCACTATGACTCATTCAAGTTCTTGATGAGCTGCTGCATCTTCTGGGCAACAAGCTTGCTCTCATGGCGCAGTGATAGCCAGCCCGCAGACCAAGTATCGAAATCGCGACGCGAGTCAACTGTACAGAACGACAAGGGTTTTCTTTCCCGCGAGCAGTCGAACGAGTGGAAAGGTTGGATGCAATGTCTGATCTTGATCTACCACTTCAATTATGCTTCGCAGACCTTGTGGGTATACAAGCTGATACGAGTGCTTGTGTCAGCTTACATCTTTCTGTCTGGCTATGGCCATACCATGTACCTGTTGAAGACGGAAGACTTCTCGTTCCGCCGGGTGGCCGCCACTTTGTTCCGCCTCAATTTCCTCAGCGCGGTATTGCCATACATGATGAGCACTAGCTACAACTTTTATTACTTTGCGCCAATCATTACGTTTTGGTACCTGGTTGTGTACGTCACTCTTCGGGTGTTCAAGAGATACAACCAAGATCCTCTCAAACTCTTGGTCAAGCTGGTGCTCGCAGCCATCATTGCAACCCCTGTGATATTCATCCCGCAGCCTCTGCAGTTGTTGAGCACGATATGCCGCGTCGTCTTTCACAGCCAGTGGGACTCGAAAGAGGTCAGCTTCAGACTGAGAATTGATCGCTATATCGTCTTTTTTGGCATGATGACGGCATCAATTGTCCATCGCATGTCTGTCCTGAGAGCCAACTCTGTGATTCCAGAATGGTCACAGTTGGTAGATCCCCGGGTTGGCGATTCCAGCGCCATTGACCCATTGCTGGCCATCCTGGAGTTCCCTGATGCTCTGAGCAAGCCAATCAAGCCACTGGCATGTGGATGCGCCGCGCTTTTCATCCTCTGTTTCACTACCGTCACACAGACGGCAATAGGTAGCAAGGAAATGTACAATGCAGTACATGCGCTGACATCATGGGTTCCCATCATTTCCTTTCTGATTCTGCGAAACTCGCATAGGCGACTGAGAAACGCACATCTAGCATTGCCGGCAGCATTTGGAGGCATATCTCTGGAGCTCTATATTCTTCAGTATCATATCTGGCTGGGAGGCGATGCAACGGCGAAGCTTAGTATGGGTCTGGGAGACCGCTTTGGAAGTCGCAGCTGGTTGGCTGTACCGAACAAATACCTTGAGCCACTCCTCATCGGTGGCATGTTCATCTGCATTAGTGTTTATGCGCGATATGCCACGGAGGCATTGACCAAGCGACTATTCTACAGCACAACACCACATGAGGATGTCAATGGCGACTCGGGCCTAGCTAGCAAGGAACGGGCAGCAGGTGGCGGTCAATATGCTGAGGCTGGTTGGCTTAGCAAGTCGGGACAACTCGTGAGAATGGACGTGCGTGCAACAGTTTTGGGGATTGTCGCTCTTGTGTGGCTAGGAAACATGATATCGTGATTGTCCATGGTGGATAACAATTCATAGTTGAAGGACGAAGCTGATGAAGCAATGTTGGCATGAGATACCCCCTCTTTTTGGTCGTACACGTTTTTACAGTACACAAATAATAATGTTTTCACTAGAACGGATAAGACCTTCTATTGCTCACTTTCCCGTTACGTTGGCAGTTGTAGATATTTAAATTTGCTTGATTACGTTGCATATTTTCTGTGAGGCGAAGGACAACCTTGAATTCTTATGATGCCCCTCTTCTATTGACTATATTTAGATGGTCGTCACAGGGGTCGAGGCAAAGTTAGCAATGGGCGGTGTGATGGGCATTCCTTCGGGCGGACCTAACATTTGTTTATCATTGCTTAGAAGCTACATTGTCAGACCGGCCAATTGTTTCTACGAATGTGGATTCCACATTGTGCTAGAGATGGACAAATTGACAAATACGTACACACAATACTCTATAATGAAAGGGATCTCTTTACCCCTTGCACGGGCAATTCAATATCACCCCTTGGTGGAACAATCGGGATGCGGATAGAAACTTTTCGTGGATGAGTGTTCAAGACAATGACTTGATGTAGGCATATGAGGCTCAGAAGCTACCTGAATGGGCAATCTTGCCGGTTGCAGGGATGTTGTTGCTTGCATGGTTGAGGAACCCCGTCCTCATGCACTGGAGTTATTAATACCTAGTAAACATGAACGGGGCCCGTTGAGAATAAGTCTGTCCAATCAGCGTGCTCGAATGATTTTATACAAATATAGTCTCTCTCCTCGACTTGATCATCTCCTCCTCTCTCTTGACCCATCTTGTCCTTGCTTTTGAGTCGAGACCTGATCCGTGTGTCCAGTCTTACTTACGTATCTGGTTCAATGGGCCCAATTGTTCTCTTCAACTACCTGTATTACACATACGTCTTTACCCACATTTGATTCCAAAGGAACCCAAAAAGGTCACCACATTGCAACGTTGCTGAAATTTATCCCAGAAAGCGAAAGGAAAAACAAAAAGAAGAAGAAAAATGGCTACAACAACCCCCAAGACGGGCTCATGTCTCTGCGGCGCCGTGAAAGTCAAAGTCACAGGACAGCCCGTTTTTGTCAATCTATGCCATTGCATCAACTGCCAAAAAGCCACGGGCACTCTTTTTAATTCATCTGCCACCTATCAGGCCGAGGTAAGAATAATTCCCTCTACCGCAAATAAGTGTGAATTTTTTTTCCTTTCTTTTCACAAAAACTAACCCTGTGGCGTTTTCTCTGTATGGATAGGACGTTGAATTTACCTGCACATCCCCCGATATCATCCAGGAATTCCAGGTTTCCAATACTGCGACAGGAAGCCCGCTTTCAAGATTCTTTGTAAGTACCTCAAGTTGCCGCCCCAATCGTCTCAATCTCCCTTCCCTCTTCCACGGCCCCTGACAAGTGTCCACAAAAATGGGAAAGAAAATATACTAACATGAACAGTGCCGAGTCTGCGGTTCCAAAGTCAGAAACAAGTCCGGAATGGGTGGGGAAAAATATGTCACGATTCCCTTTGGCATTCTTGACGACAAGTCGGGCCTCAAGCCACAGTATGAGTTCTTTTGTGCAAATCGCGAGGACTGGTTTGGCGATTTTGACGGCGTGCCTCGGGCCAATGGCATGGAGCCCGTATTGGCAATGGCACAGGGCTCTTGATTGTTCTGTTGTTGAGTTAATGCAGGCGACAAGTTGCGGGAGGTGAGGCAAGTCATGCTCTGCTGGGTTGAAACACATGATACCAAGTTAGCTTGCCTTGGGGAGTGCCAGGTTTCACAGTACGCCAGCAGAGTAGTGGCAAAGGGTAGAGCGATTGAAAAGCAACTTAACAATTCACGGTGTCGGCAAGCGTGCAGGGAGTTGGTTTGCTCTTCTCTGTATAAGAAAAGTGAATACTATGGTTAATTACATGAATTACAAATACCATTCCTCAAACACAATAACCACTGATCCACTGAGCAATAATAGTCTGCCAGTGCGCTGTCTGTGTCAAGTCACAGCGCAGGAAAGCAATTGGTGAACCTTTTTGCTGGGTGCACCGACCCAGAGTCGCTTCATCAAATGCCCAAACGCAGAATGAAAAAAAATATCACAGAATCGCCCAAGCCGAAATCATGTTGCTTGCTCGTCCACGCCTTTTGGACGGTCCAGGATGACGTTAAAGTTGGCGATTAGTCATCGCCCTCAGAGTTTCCGCCTTCAGAGTTGCCAACAATTCTTTTCTTCAACCATCTCTGCAATCCTGCTTGATCTTCCATGCTGCACAGCTCGGTGACACGGCGCCTATTGGCCAGCATCACATGGACACTCTTGAGACCACGTAGGGAAGACAGTTCCTCGAATCCAAGGGCTTCGGGGAAGGATGCCTTGGCAACAAGACGGGCAAAGGATTCACGGATGAGTTTCTCGCGCTTGGTGGGCTCCTTCATCGTCGTTTTCGCAACCACCACGGTCAAGTCCTCGACGGAACAATTGCGCAGTTCCTTGATGTCCTTGTCGGCATTCGGTCCCCACCAATGGAATAGGATCTCTGTCATAAAGGTTTTCAGTATGTGATCTTTATATTACGAGAAAGAAAAAAAGAGAATTTTGTTGAAAATTTCCATGTTTCAGGGAAAGATAGAGAAACGTTTTGTGACGGAGAGAAAGGAAGCAAGAAAATTCTGTGAAACTAACTGTGAACATGATTGCGAAAAAAGGCAGAGCTGCGAAGACTTGCGCCCATCTCACAAGCGCATTGGAAGGAGATGGTCTACGCGCCTGCGTCAGTATTGTCCAACAAACCTTGATCATTTACCAGACTTACGCTGGTATTATAGAGACATTGCAGAACCTCATGATTGAAATGCTTGGAAACGGTTGCCAGAGCACCGATGTGTGGCATCAATATCAGTGATCGGCTGTCCTTGGGGCAGCTGCAGTCCGTCTTCTTGTGCAAGTGAGTCAGAACACGGGCCTTGTAGTAGTACTCTCTGCTGTACAGGCATAGCTCGAGGATTCGACGGCGGACTTCCAGAGGCAGCTTCATAAAGAACGGGAAACCCCCGTCGGAAAGAGGCTTGTCTATGCTGGATCAGTAGACTGCTCGAGGTGGTAGATATCTGGACATGAAGTAGCAGGCTTACCTGCAATGCTGACAATCTCGCCACACATCTCGATGATGTTCAAGACGTACTTTGATTCCTCGGGCTTTTTTTGCATGATGGAGGCAATCTTGACCATGGTCTGGATCACTGCTGCTCTGTTCTCACGGGACATGCGAACGCGACGACCCAATTCACTCTCATCGATGATGCCAGACTTCCACTCATCATGGGAGCGGAGCATGTTTTGGGCATTCTTGTTGATGGTGTACTCGCTCATCTTGTTGAGCATTCGAAGCTCGTAGTAGGTCGACATGGTGGCGAATGGTGTCGAAGATTGCCAGGTACTGGGGCGCCGTGGACAGTTGGGTTCAGGAAGGGACGACAGTTGAGACTAGTTGGCGACAAAGAAAACTACCTGAACATGTGCATCAGCCTGGAGATCATTGACGTGACAGACAAGCACTGTACATCAAGGGGAGTTGTTGTAGTTGACAGATTGGTGACGCCGCACGTGCTTGGCAGCAAAGTGGATTGATGCCCACAGAGAGTTGAGGCTGCCCGAGGCAGTGTGAGTGAGCTTTGGTGGATGAAAACAGCTGATGTGAACGCTTTCGGTGTTTCGGGGGTGACACGCGTCACAAGAAGTAAGAAAAATAATTTTTGGTATTGAATCTCGAAGCAGAACGTTGTGCCTTGGGCGATGAGCGAGGAGAACAGTTGTGGGCGTGATGCCTTCGGTTAGTACTCTCCAGATTGGTGCGAAACGGGAGCAAGTGGTGGGATTCTTTTAGCAAATAGTACCTGACGAAAGAGGTTTCTGGGACAAGAAAAAAAAGTGGGCTGATACATCTCAATGAAATTCAAATGGTACGGATGGGAGAAAAGTCAACGGTCATGGTGACTGAATCCTCCAAGGTTCTGGTTGCCCCGGCCGCCAGTGGAGGGGGGAAACGGGGCCAAGATGATGTGAACACGGACGTGAGGGAAGGCGCGACGACAAGAAGCAACAACGATTAGCAACGGAAGGTACGCACAGCACCAGTGCGCACAACTATAGTGGACAATCAGAGCCTTGTCTGCCTACTGCTCACCAAGTGGATGACTGCTTGGTGTGAAGGCCAATCGATCAAGAAAGAATGTTTTGGTCAATTCACATCTTGTCTGCAATCATTGCTAGATTCAAGAATACGTGAGAGAATGGTAAAACAATGGGAGGCAAGCACCTTGATCAACTTCACATACCACCGCCTAGAAGGATAACGACATGAATTTGATTATATTGGTAGCATACGTCTTGATTTAGTGGCACAATGGCAGTGACTTTCCCGATCTGTCAAATGTATACACGGACATAGCTCTATGGCTATGATAGTCGAGAATGATTCGTCGCCCTCTTTGATCATATTTGAATATTGCGATAAGACAAGTCGCCCAAAGAAAAGTGCATTTATCTACATTGACAAACATGGACATGAGATGTCCCAATAAGGACAAAATGTGGGCTGTCTACAATCCGGCTGCCGGGCCTCTTGATAATCCTAGTTGACTAATACACAAGCTCATTGTCATGATCTACAAGATGATTGAGTCAAGTCTTGTGATGGACTATACTGATATGAAAAGGTCAAGGAAGGCTCCAATACTATCAAAGGAACCTCTTGGCCATTCATTAGGTATTACTTACAGTCTTGTAAGCTCATATGCAGTCTATGAACATGTCTCAGGTGAGGCTCAATATGTGATGACCCGTGGCCAATAATCTGCGTGGTTTTTTTTTTTTCTTTTTCAAGAAAAGTATAACTGAATGCGCTCTCATGTATATGACAGCACCTTGTCAGTTGAACTCGCGCGTACACGAATATCTTTGCTGGCTGCGTATACTTGACCAAGGTAACGGGCAGACTCGAACATTTTTGCAAACTTGGTGGGATGCTTGGTGATGAGTCAAAGATATCACAATACAAGGAAGACATCGGCAGGACGTAGTTGCAGTACTTGTAGTAATTGCTTCTTCACCAGTGACTGCCTCTCTCCAGCTCATGCATGGATGAGCCAGCTGATGAAGTAGTAGATAGCTCGTAATTAAAAGATCTTGGTGAGATAGATATATCCCACATGCATTCTTCGCCATGTTGTAGTCTTCTACAATCGTAATCATGCGTAACGGAACAGAACCGTCATCCATATCCAGATCTATACCCAAGACCAATCCTAGACGCCATGTAGACCAAAAAAACCGTGAATGCTCATAATGCCATGCCTCCTTTCCAGGCTTCAGCCCTGCATGTCTCGTTGCTCAATCGTATTATGTGATGCACCCGGTTCACGCGGTCATGCATATACCAAATTGGTATCCAGCCACTTTAGGCTGGCAGATGCCCACTTCAGTGGAAATTCCTGTGGTGGAGGGAAAGATTCGAGAAAGCATCGGCTGGGGGCATGCTGGGTCTGTCCTTGTCGGATTCCTCGCCTGATACTTCCCACGGTACATCCTCGACCAGCGAATTTCTATAGTGCGCATGTGTCTCTCTCCGATCTCCGTGGTGTTGGTGGTGTGAATGTGGAGCATAGTTTGAGTCAATGCTGGCCGTCCGCGATGCGCACGGGCTAATACCGCTAATGATGCTCCGGCCCCCGTAACTCGATTTCCTCTTGCCAAAGTCAAATGTGAAGTCGTCAAACATTCTTTGGTGCTCCAGGTTTTGTTGTGTAAAGGGACGGTTGATCCGCCTCTCCAGAGGCGTCATTTCTTGATAGTTGTTGGTGATGCTGGCCTTTTTCGGCTTGTTTGACCGAAGCCCGTTGGTCAAGGACCGCATGACGCGCACCGATCTCTTGCTGTTTAGCTCCGGCTCTTGGCTGCTGCCGACGGGTGTAACGGTTCCCGATGTGTCGCTGTTGCTGCTCTCGCCAGAGCTCCCCGAGTGCTTTCTTCGCCACAAGCCCATGATGGCTGGTTGATTGTGTGAAGGGAGGGCGTTTTGGTATGCTTGCTCCTTTTCTGATGATAAGGAAGTAAGAAAATGAGAGTGTCAAGAACTGATTTCTCAGGGGTCGCGATTCAATTGATGGGTCAAGATTGAGTCGCTGGCTCCTCGAGGTAGTTGAGAAATCACGAGCAGGTTGTACTCAGATCATGTGGCTGAGTGAATGGTAGCTTTGGTTTCAAAGAATGGCGGACCAAAGATGATTACAAGAGACGGATCTGTTTTTAGATACAGTCTTGTGGTTAAGAGAAGAAAAACATCTAACCCCAAGCGCATTGAAAAGCCCCGTTGATCCGTCACGTTGTTCAAATATGTAAGGCTCGCACACGCCCTACATGAGATGCGGTCAACTGGGAATAACGCCGAGGGTGGCCATTCTACCACAGTAGCGGCATCGCCTATCCTAGCCTATCCCCACAAGCCCACCCTCGCACACCCCATCCCCCCTAACCTTCCCGTCGAGGCCAGTACAGCCCGGCCAATTACAAGCATGGGGGATGCCGAATGCGGGGGCACCGAAGACCCCTAAACTCCTTTACCCAGAACGCTAGGAAACACTAGAACGCGGTCCACTGCACAAAAGACGTCACCCGGCACCATGTCGACCCTGTCCGGACCGGGCCCTCTTGCGCCTCTTCCTTCTCTTGTGTACCGCCTCTTGTGTTCTGTAGTCTGTCAGCTGTCTGCTGTGTCTATCTCGCGCCGTCCAACGTTGAGCTGAACGTAGCACAGGCGAGCGCATCCTCCGACTGCCGAGTATTTGAGCGCCAGGCCGCCTTCCGTCACCCCTCCCTTCCAAAGAAGAGGGCCACCGTGGCGAGCTATGCTCAACCCCAGCCTCTGAAGCTTCGAGTGTGGCACACTCCGGCCATAGCCTTGTTGCCGATGGTTGTTTGTCAAGCTTCAGTGCTTGTTTTGTGCGCAGATTGGCAGCGAGATGGGAAAAGATCTTTCTGTGCGACCGTCGATCATACTACTTGATCTGGTAGCCATATCCTGCAAGTCCGGGGAATCTCGGGCGCGGAACACCCCAGGTTTTCACTTGGCACACCCAAGAAAAACGCAAAGATAAGAGCCAAGCGGCCTGGTCTCGTCTCGAGTTTCTAGAAGTCTGCAAGTCAGGCCATCTAGATTTTTGTATCCTTGCTTCCGATACCACCACACCAATGGGCGATGCAGGACAGGACAAGAAACGGCCGGGGCTGCGCAGGTCTAGAATAGGCATGCTGAGGCGGCTCTGCCTGTAGGATTAATGTCACCTAGCCACCGTGCCACCAAGCGAAACGAAAAAGGTTTGCGGGGATGATGCGATTTTTTTTCCCCCATCTCATCTACGGAATACACTAGCTACCGATTTCAATCCTATCATGCTTTATCTAATAATGTAGCCATATTTATCTTGAGTGAGCGATGAGACGGGGGATTGTTAGGGTGGGGAAATGGCGCTTCGGTGGCTGCCAAGCGACTCAGGCACTCGTTCAACTTGGAAGAGACCTCGGGAATTGGCAGAACGGCCGGCATCTGCCGTTGTGTATTCTCTCATGACACTTGTCGATTTGTTCGTTCAAATATCATTCTAAACATCAACAATGAAACTTTCAGATTCATGTTCAGACTTTTAGAATCGTCTTTGGAGCGATCGCGATTGCCCGTCTCACTCCATGCAAAATTACCGGCTTTGAGCTAGGATGTGGTACAACGCTGCCCATGACTTAGAGGGCTCCATCTAGAACAACCTCGTTGATCTACTGCTGTTTATCTTCAGAAACTTGAATATAGACATCTCTCGTCTCGTAGATGTGCATCAGACTGGCGTTGGAGGTATAAGGTATAGAATGGACAATTCGGCAGAGCTGGTCTGGTGAAGGCAGTGGATACAGTCATGATGCTGGGTCTATAATGACGGCGTGGCCGACGGCGGAAAAGCAAGACATAGGAGCCACTTAAAGGCGCATAGCTAGCGCTTGCAGCCTTGAAAATACCCGCTCAACCGCTTCAAAGCCAATGACAGTTGCTCTATTGTCCGCATCCAAGACGTAGGGAAAAGTTACCAATGTGGAGCTTGGGACGTTGCATTGCTATGGACGATATGTTCTGCTGAGATTACAGTGCCTGCTTTCAGTTCAGATTCAAGTGCAGTTAATCATCATGAACGAGACTTGCTCTGCACATTTGAGCATGGTGACTCAGAGTGCTCGTGTTCAGTACCTTGAGCTCTGAGATGGTGCCGTCGCTAGAAACATCCATCTGATCCCGACGGACGCTATTCGTATCTGTTGATGACAATCGCACCGGCGACAGATATCAAGACTTGAGGCCATAAATATTCCATGTTCCCCGCGTCGAGGGCGTTGTCGGGAAAACTCAGGAGCCATTCACTTTACGTTCCAGTGGTATAATTCGCGAACTCTAGGAAATTTATTGCATAGTGCCCGCGAACTACCCATGAAGTAGCTCTAAAATTTAACTCAGTTCAACTATCCTGCTTACCCGAAGAACCGGAGCTTGGGCAAAGCCATCATGCCCGCGCCAGTCCTTTTGGTCAGTGGGATGAGTTTACTGCTGGTGTTAGCAGTCTGACTAATTTTGTATATAACGCCGGTCCAATCATTGTTCGCAAAGGGCAATTGTAATCTCAGAGGAGGACACAGGCGAGTCTAAATGTGAGTGTCGTCAAAAGTTTAATGGAGGTCGAGTAGTTGACTACTGTTTATATAAGACCGATAAGGCTGCGGCTGTTGACGTCGCTCGTTATAAAACGGAAGCCTCTGGAATAGCCATCAGCAAAGCTGCCTACTAATTGATGGGTATGAAATTCCCATGATTGCCACCTATGAATAGTAATTCATGTTTGTGGCAGTTATCTCCAAAATAAACCTAAATAAATGCGTCCATTCTCTTAGAGGACTCTCGGATACAGATATTGGAGATGGGGCTTTAATATTCTTTTAACTTCTGGGAAGTATAAAATAATGTCTTTAAACAGTATGTAAATAGCTAATTTTGTTCTCTGTTATATATTAACTTGAGAAGCAATTATGGTGGCGTCCATTTGTGCTCCAAAAGCTGCAATGGCATTGTATTAAAATGCTGATATATATCACTACACATTTTCAATTCATGTAACCATAAGGATATCTTCTGAACTCACATTATCGCATCTTCTGAGCATATCTTATCTGCCTGTAGGTCACCGCCATGCTGCCATCATTATTACGCTGCTCTAGTCACATATACCACTGACGAAGTCGTATGCAGCCGGACGGAAGACCACCATGAAACAATAACAATCGATTGCCACAAGAATTCAGTAACTGGCGAAATTATCAGCAATATAAAAGTCAAATGATATTCACGCAATTTGACACTCCGTGTTCAACTGTGATGTTGGTCGAGTTACAGGAGCACCTACCTAATAGGTATCCTCTTGATTGAGGTTTCGTGATGCCACTCGCTCTCCACACTATAGGAACCATGCTACATCAAAATAACATAATGAGTTACCCTATTCATATTTATCTCGCACGAAGCATCAACTCTGTGATTTTCGCTGTGGTTCAACAAAGTCGGAGGAAATGCATTGGGTTACCGCTGGTCGAATACAGTCTGTATCTTTGAAGGCAGTCCGTTTCAACCAAACGCTGTTTACTGGACGAGAACATCGATCAGTTGGCCAATCTAACAGTCAGGAAGCGTGTATCAACTCGGGAATACAGGGATAAATCGAGACTGATTCGTCATATGGGATATATCACTCGATAGGCCTGCAGCAATTTGACTTACCCAAGTGGAATTTGAGCTGTATTGTGCTCGTCCCAAGCAAGAGTCTACTGTAATTATCATCAGAATCAACGCAAATGGAGAAATTTGTTGGAGCAGCAAGACATAATACTCATACTTCAATCTCATTATACATTGATAACCACTGACACAGGAAGCAGGAAGTATCGTTCTTGGTGTAACTGCTTCGAATCCCTCTACCCATGTATGTTTATCTGCTTTCTTAAAGACTACTACAGAAAGAGTCTAATTTTCTGCTGAAGTCTATCTTTGAGCTTTAGGACGACATTGTCTTGCGACCGGCGCTTCAGAGAATTGATGACCTCCATATCTTCCTGAGTGACCACGATATTGATTTTGGCCAATCAGAACGAAATGATATTGCTTACTGGGATTGGTTTTTGCTTTATTTTTGAAAGAAAGTATTGCAGGTGTCCTGAAAGCTGCAACACCGGAATCCAGGGACGATAGTTGCCGGTTGCTTCATAGTGATCTGTTCTAAACGTTCATAAATGAATAACTGCAGACAAGCCAAATTAACGCCACACTTATTGATTGGAGCTATCTTCTCTGACGAATGATGATAGCATGTATTACTCTCCAGCAACTGAACCAATCAATCAATTTGAACGCGGACTTGTCAACGCGGCGGCTCGGCGACCCAAGACGTGTATGATTTACCCGAGCAAAAGCCATGTTTCAGACTGTCTCTCTGTATCAATCTTGCAAAAAGACCTCGTCATAGCAGTTCCGCATGAGCTGCAAAACTGTCTGCCGCTGTCTTGAGTGCTGTAATCGTGCCGCATACGGCAAAGATTTGGAACTGTTGGCAGTTTCCGCTTACCCAGAGTTAGGTATGCAATGCATTGCCGCAGCCGAGACGTCTTGAACACGGACAAAAGGATTTTGCCACAATCATGGACTTGACAACACCGGATTGAACACGTATGTGGTTTTTGTGCCACTTGCTTGGAAATCACCGCCTATATATGCTTGCTGGCCATTCTAGGGTCGCACAACAGCTAATAAGTCACTGGCGTTCGGCATTGAAGGGTGGGGGGTCCGGCATCAGAGTGGTCGCGCGAACATGAGGTCAGATTGATAGCGAAGAAGTGAACCAGGGGAAAAAGAGCGCATTGCACTCTCGACGCCAACACACCCATTGAATCTCACCGCCCGTCTTCAGATTTCCTATTGTGGTAATTTGCTTTTCAATCTCTTTAGCAAATGAAGCCTCACAGAGCATGAGTAAAACACGTTGTATGTTCTATGTACGAAGCTATTCAGTAGTAAAGATCAAGTGAGGAATTGTAGGAGGGGGTTCAAAGAGATCTGCTACCTCGTGGTTGACAGACAGGCTGCCGCAGACTCAACTTCTTCTGCTGCATGCTCTAAGCCTCACTTTTTTGGAATTTCAACCAAGCGAACGACATCTTACTTGACGACAAAGATCCACTCCACCGGCCAGGTCGTTTCTCGCATATGCCGATGTTCGCAGCAAAAAGGTCTTTATATAATTGGCCCGGAGGCAATAGATATTGTCACTTGACCAAGCTGTATTCGGAAGCCCGCATTTTGCGTCAATGCTTTCTATGCAGCTACCTTCCTTTGCGCGGAATGCTGCTTTCACCAAATGGGCGTGAATTAGCATTCTTAAAAAGAATGATTTCCCCATTATGTGCTTGAAAGGAAGCAGAAGACCTGGAGCCTGAATCCTGACCACGGGTTTTCACTCTTTTCGAGATACACCATAATTGAGGGTAGCTGCTTGATCGACAATAGTGTCGCCCACAGTTGACGTAGGTGACTGACATGTGTGATGAAAAAGGCACAGAACTTGTGGATGCATTGTAAGCCAATGGATATGCAGCTACTGGGATACTGTGCAGCATCCCAATGCGAATCATCACGAACTATCATGTCCCATCATCTAAGACTTGTTGTTTCATGAACAATCTAATTATGAACCGCAGAGCTGGAAAGAATAATAATACCGCACGCTTAAGAAACTGAAACATTCTGGGGAGGATTTGTGAAGATGATTCTCGTATCAGGAAGACAGAAGAAACATGCATTCTGTGATGCAACGGAATGCTGAATTATGCTTGAAGTATAATTTGTTCGTCCAGGCCAACGTTGGTATAAACGTGGACGGGACGAGAGGTATATTACCTAGCTAACCTAGTACGTTCAAAGTTAGTTGTCGCCGTGTCAAGGGAGAAAGATGATCAAATTGGCGTGGACGAACTGAATACACTCTGGTGCCTGGAAAGATCCAAGCATGTTGATGCACAATGACATTTTGCATATGTGACGTGCATACATGCCTACATATGACATATCTCTGTATCTTCTATCTACCAACATCTGAGACGGGATACTAGGCCCTTTGACGATGCTCTGCTTAGTATATCTCGACCCCGCGATTGGCGTTGAACACGGCCTGACCCCACGGCAAGGAGAGACACACGATTGCTGCAAACTGACACCCAAAAAGAGAAAAAAAGAAAAAAAAAGAAGAAGAAGAAGAAAAGATCCCAAGATAGACATTGGTAGCCCAGGCTGAATGATTACGTGCATACAGAGTACGTGATCATTAATACGATGGAAAGGGTCCGGTGTTTGTATGTGCTGGCATCGCTAATGTACTGTTCTGCCTACCGTGCCTGCTGGCAAATGGGATCTCAAGGCTGCCGTTGAGAAGCTGCAGTCCCAGCAGGAGTCGACGATACAATGACCCGTCCCCTCGAGACCTCCCGGGTATTCCCATGGCCACGTCTGTCGTCGCTCATGTATGCCGGGTCTTTCTGTCTCTGGCTGCCTACCTGCTCCCCTCGTTCCCAAGAGACGGCCCGTGTCTTCCAATCTTTCCCTTATGCGACTCATAATTCTTGGTGCATCACAAAGCAAAGCGTTTTGAATTTGGTTCTAGATTCTTGCTTCAAGTTGCCGTTGCCGCCCATTGATTCCACGACGTCAGCTTGCCGCAACGCCGTTGGTCTGTTTTACAGTCGCTCAAGCGCCGAATTGATACCCAAGGGGCCAAAAGTGCTCAGTCGGGCATCCACCTCTCTCACCCACCACCACCCTTCCTTCTCCAGCTTCTCCCGGCCCAGCGTCCGAGTGCAAAGACTAGCTGGAGAACTTTCCCCTCTATCCGGCTTCTTCCCGCCGCAATATCCAAAGACCGGCGTTATTTTTTTGTGGTCGCTGGTCGCTGGTCGCTCGTCTGCTTTCTTCCTCGACCCGCAGTCGGTACGTAGAATTGCTGGCTTCTAGAACCCTTCAGATCCATTTGAGTGCGGTACCTTTCTATACCTGTCCATGGCCCCCGGCGACTGTTTTCCAGAGGGAAGAAAAATCAAAAAATAAACAGGGTTCAGCCATTCTCATCCGCGACACAGGGCAGAGGGCAATTATTAACTCGACGCTAGCCCAACGTCTCGGTTGACTGTCTTGTATCAGATCAGACGGTGAATATTGTGTCAACTTTCAGGACTATACTCGCTCAATCGTCAGTTCTTAGTCTCTGCCTAGCTACAGGGGGGTTTTCGATCCCAACTCCACTCCGAAAAAGACCCCTTCAGTTGGCTCTCGTCAAGTTCGACAAACATCCTTACACACGGGATTCAAGTCACCAATGACCCGTTCAAAGTTGCAACGAATAGAAAAAAAAGAAAGTTAAAACAATAAGCAGACGTCTATCTAGGAACCCGGAGAGAGAGAAAAAAGAGACAGTCGCTACGAATCCTGTCAAAATCCACTTTTCTTTTTGCTCATTCTTTTTTTTTTCTCCCCCTCCCCTCTTCCCGTTCCTCTCGATATTTTTGTGGGTAGAATATAGCCAAACTCGGAGTCCGATCCACCTTTGGGTAGCTACTAGCTACCTTAACCAACAACCCACCGATCCGCTGCCCGCGTGCGGGAAGACTTTGGCATCTAAATCAGAAAATCCAGCTCTCTTTGGGGTGACATCGGTCCCTAAAAGTCGATCACCAAGGATCCCCCAGGTCCCCGTTGCGACCACTATCGATAAAAAAAAAAGAGTGACTCCCTTCTCCCTCCGAATCCCTGCCGGCGAAAGAAAGAGAGAGAGAAGATAGAGCTCTCTCAATCTGAACTCTGCCCTTTACGGCTCTATTCGGTCAGAGTTGTGCCCATTCCGTCCTCTGTCCATTCACACTGCCTATCTCCCCTCTTTTTGGGACGGGTGTGACACAGCATACAAAATTTGTCTATACCTACCCAACCTAGCATTGGAGACAGACGGCTGGACAACAAGCGAACAAGCGAAAAAGGTCTTCTGCCGCCGCCATTCCCTGCCTGACCTGGCAACCCGCCGTTGCAAGCAAGACGTCCGTCCGTATTACTCTTGCTGCCACACCACCACCTACTTCGGAAGCAAAAGCCCCAGGAAAAAAAAAAGAGGAAGAAGATAACAACAACAAAATTAAGGCAAACCCTGTCAAAGCTGCCCACGACAATTTTCCACCCTACCCCATCAGTTTCTTGCTGCTTACTGCTGTGTCCAATCTCTGGACTATCATCCAATACGTATTAAGGTCCGCCCCGCCTTCTAGCGACAGCGGCTTATCAGCCAGACCCAAGGAACATTCGTCGATTGCATGCCGCTGCGCTAACAAGAGCGTCGCTGCCCCGCTGTCAATTGGCTTCAACTCGATTTTATGCTTATTGGAGAAACTCTCGACCACGAGTAGTACTCGAAACCCGACTCTACAAGGAGCGCACAGTTCACGCAGTCGTCGTTCCCGTCGTCTGCAGTTGAAGCTGCTGCTGCTGCTTCCGGCGCTGCTCCTTCTTCGCCTTAACCGAACCCTCAAGAAGTTCAACCAGCAGTGTACATACATATTTACGTTTTCCCTCTCTGATGTAGATGCGATAACCAACGAAATCGTCTCGACACATCGAAATGGCTAGCAGCAAGGCCATGTTTATGGAGGACGCCGACGAAGACGGTACCGTCAAGCCTCATACCAAAAAGACTGCCAAGTCTGTTGCTGCTCCCTCCCGCGCTGGAAGCCCTGTGAAGCAAGAGCCGAACACTGGTCGGAAGAAGTCATCGTCCCAGAGGACCCACGCGACAGCGACAACATCACCACATGACTCTGATGCGACGGAGCATGCCTCGTCATCCAGTCGTCACAAGAACCGGGAGAGAAGGTCGAGCCGCAAAGGCAAAGAGGTGCCCGAACGACCGCGCATAACCACTGCGCAAACAACACCGTCAATGCGCAACCATTATGCAGAAGACTCTGCTCACTATAGTGTGCCTCATCGCGCAATCGCAGTTTCCTCCGGGCGTCCCCGGGCCAATTCTCGCCCTCAAAGCTACATGGCACCGCCGCTCTCGCAGTCGGCCTTTTTCCAAGCGAGTCCATTGTCGTATGGTCCTCCTCCCCAATGGGGAGGGCCGCCACCACTAGGCTCTTCACCACTTGGCACATCGCCCATGGCCTATCCTGTGGACTACTTTACTGGAAGAGCCGACTATGATACTGGTGGTGCCGACCGTTTAGCCTCGAGGTTCGAAGCGCGGCCGCGGTCCTCGATGGGCAACTATGGATCGTCATATGAGGACCGATATACCGATTTCGACGCACCATCGCCCCATTCTAGGCCAAGCACAGTTATCAGGAAGCCATCATTGTCCAAAAGGACGACTAAGAATAATGAGGATCGAAGGCAAATGCCTCCACCCCCGCGCCCTTCCACGGTCGGCCCTCGTCAACACTTCAGACCGCCGCCGCCGCCGCCATCACAAAGAAAGTCGGTCGGGTTCGATGATGTATCATCAGACGGCGAGTCTGATCTCTTTCGTGACGCGCCACATGGCGTGGCAATCGACTTTATGAAAGCTTTCCCTATCAGGAATAGGCGCCAAAGCACCACCCGGCGCCAAAGCCTTGGTGGAGAGTACCCCGGGGAAGGATATGCAATTGAACCCGCTGGGCCCAAGACTCGGCGGCCAAACCGTCGCTCCGTGTCTTATAGCGTCGAAGACAAGATGAATGACGCAAACAGATATCAAAATGCTGTCGCGAGTGCTATTCCTGCACCTCTGACTCCAGACAATCTCCGCCGAGTCAAGAACAGCACTAGCAGTCGTTCTACCCGCAGCAGTGGTAGTCGTGATGAGAGCAGCTTCCGGCAGTCCGAGACAACCAAGACAACGAGGTCTGGCAGCAATGATGACGATATGACTATCAAAGTCCCCAGTGGTACCGTAGTTGAATATGGCGGCGCCAAGATCAACTGTGTGAAAGGGGGCGAAATGACCTTTGGGCGAGGCGGTGGCGGTAGCGATCGTGGTACCATTTATGGCGACGAGCTCAGAAGCCATGCTCACAGGACGGAGAGATCTGGCACACGACCGCGGGCAAGCTCTCAATCCGCACATGCGCGTCGCCCTCGCGCAATTATGTCGCCCAATCCTCACGATCATGCAGCGGACTATCCTGATAACGCGACGTATTTTGGTATCCCACAATATGCTACCTATCACGGATACCCCTACGATGACGATGAATACGACCACGTATACGACACATAGTCTGTTGCGAAATCGAAGCTATACTCGTTTGATGGACCCACTACGAGCTTATGGTTCTGATGCGGAACACCCTTTCTACCAATTCTGTTTTTGGGGATTTCTTTTTCCTTCCTTCTATTGTTCGTTATGATTGTCATTGAGCGCTGCCATTTGTGTTTTCCACCCCTTCATCAAGTCTTGATTGCATCTACATTCTTGTGCAATATGCACGGAGAGGGAGACAAAAAGTGCTTGCCGCGCAGAAGAACAGGACGGCGAAGATGGGAAGGCAGGGTGATTTCACCCTCCACTTTTTTTTTTTTTTTTTTTGTGGAAGGATTTAATGCAACTGGCTTTGTGTATATGAGAAATGACTGATGAGATGACGGGGGCATGAAGAGACTCGTCTGTTCCATTGTCATGGAGCAGGCCAGTCCGTTGGCTGGATACAGATTTCTTACGCTTGGCCTTGAACCCCCTGGAGGCAAGCTTGCCTGAGGTTTATCATGCGCTTTTCTTTTGCCCTTTACTTTTCCTTTATTTTCATCTCATCGATTATGCGATGTTTCGTTTCGCTGAGCTTTTACACAAGAGGTGGCTGTGCCATGTCGTTTGTTGCGATACCCTGTGCTTTACAGCCGAGTTATTCGCATTTGCATGGAGTAAAGCTTCTTTGGGATTGATAGACTACGAGTGCATTTGAAGTTCACACTTCTGTTGGCAAGGGATATTGCACCACGACGAAAACGCCATCTTAACTGATTATGGATTTTGTTCTTCATGTGGAAAAGGCCATTTTTAGGCTGGGAGTTGGATTCATTAGGCAAGGATGCGTGAACATATCGCAATGGGAAGGAAAAGTTGCCAGTCGCATTTGGAAGAGTTGGTTATTTATTTGAGAGCGTCAACTCGGACTTGGTAGCACAACGAGGCAAAGACTGGAATGCTGGAGTTGTGCGGATCTAAGTCAGGGCAGAGAAGCCTTGAGATGGCTTGACATGGCACTTTCTACGGTCACAGATGGCATGATCGGTATATACGAGATGGCTACGGGACAATCCCTTCTCCTACCCAATAAAATAAGATGGTTTACAGCCCACAAGAGCCGTGCCATTGCCTGTGAACTTTTCAAAGCACTTTTCACCCAGGTATGTGGCTGTCATTGTGGACTTGTTGTTTCATGACTGCGCATTCGAGTCTGAGTAGAATTGGAAACGGAGGGCCAAATTTCGAGGTCGCTCATTGAGTAAAGCCGGCGCCTAATATTTCACAATTCATGCAGATTATTCAAGTAGCGAAACATTTCCCATAAGCGGCAAGCGATACTCACCGAGTTTTGAAAACGACCGGGGTGAAAAGAATACTGGACTGTACTCATCTACACAATAAACAGTAAGCTCATTACCATACTGCGTATGCACTCATAATTGACCCACCCGTTTACTAGCGAGAACAAGATTGCATCAGGCTAAACATGGCTTTTTATGAGGGAATATACTTCAATAGAAGCCTAGGAGACTGTCATACTGTCTTGTTTTGAACAATTATTGATTTCATGAGCAACTCTAGCTTGAACAAAGTGAATGGATTCCATCTGTTCAAAAGACCCGCCTTGTACATGGAGTATAGCAACAGATCGTGGACACCCATTCGGATTGAAATGCGGAGGTGGAGTTGGGGCAGGTAATTGAATGGCAGCACTAACGCAAAGAGCTCAAGCAGTCTGGGCGGCTTCTCCAGTGATGGACCCTCCCAAAGCTCCAGTGGGCTGCCCACCTAATTGTGCCTGCTGTTTCCATTGCAGCCCTTGCAGGAGTCCACAGTTGCCTGGCAACGGTGGGGCCCTTGTTTACTTAATGACGTCCCACCCTGGTTCTGACATCTGATTCACCCAACCTCCCCGATATGTCCAGAGACCATCCAGCCCAACCCAGCCCCGTGCATTATGCAGATCTCCCTTGCAAATCACCATAGGAACTCGGCTGTTGCAAGATACTTTCTTTCCATTTTCATGCAATCATCTGCGTCAATAGCAAACAAACGCCAACTGCATCATCTCGACCGTCGCCAGAACCATTCCACCTTTTGTGCAGCATCGCCTGATTGTTCCCGTCTCTGACCACCAACTGACGGGAATTTGAATTATTTTCCCTGACTTGGCTGGTACTCACCAGTCTCTACCAGCCGAGTCATCTCGTTTTCTTCCTGAGTCAAGTAACTCATTTCTTTTCTATCAACCTGATTGAACACTCGGCTTCGCACATATTCATCTTCAACAAAAATGGCACCGCTGCTACCAACAATTGCAGCTGGTGCCCGCACTCTGCTCACGCGTGCCATGAGCTCATCGGCCACCAGTGAGAAGCTTGACGGGCGCTCTCCAGTCGATCATCTCGGACCACTCCAGGTACGCTCGCTACTACTCGCCCGTGATGATGCCTCATCTACAGACGTGGACCCGTCGCGCGGCGTCATCGATCCGCACAACATCAACAACAATGCCATGTTTGCCCTGTTTGCCCTGATTGGTGTTGCCTTTGTCGTGATCGGCATCTGGTTCTTCTTTTGGGCCAAGAACGGCGGCTTCTACTTCCAGGAAAATGACTGGGACGATTACAAGTCCACCGTGCTGCGCCGTACGGGACCTAACGGCACCATCCTCAGCAATGCGACCAAGAGCACCAAGCTGGGCGGCGGTAGCATCTACAAGGATGTCGACGACGGCATGACCGAGTATACGGGTGGCCTTACGCAGCTCAGCGGCGACACAGGTTCCACACTATCGGGTATCACAGCCGGGCCAAGCGACATTGGCGCCCGAGAGAAGCGTGCGGCCAAGAAGGAGAAGAAGAAGTTGGAAAAAGAGAGGCGCGAGCGTGAGAAGGAGAAGAAGAAGGACCGCAAGTCGCGCAGCGGCCGCAAGGTCGGCGAAGATGGCGCGCTGGTTGACGAGATGGCCGAAGCCGAGGCCAAGGATGCTATGCGCCAGTATCGCCATGAGCGACCCGCTCGTGTCGGTGGCCTGAACAAGGAGTCCGAGGGTAGCCAGTGGGACGGCTCGACCAACCCCAGCGAATCCACCGCCGGCTCGACCCTGCTGAGCGATCGCCAGAGCACCCCGACCAACACACCCGAGAAGAAATCAGCTGGTATCCGAAAGGTCTACAGTGTCGCGGATCGGAATGCGGCACGAGAGCAGGAGCGTATCCGAGCCGAGGCGCGCCGACTCCAAGAGAAGGGCCGCGCAGCTAGCCGGCCTGGTCGAGAGTTTAGTTTCAGACACGGCGACTCCATTGTCGAGGAGAGTGTTGGACGCAGCTCACGTAGCGAGATTACGAGCAGCAGCTATCTGATCGCAGAGGAGGAGGAAAGCGACCTCGGCACCAAGTCTTATCACCACGTCATTCCTGGTCTCTCGAGCAGTCAGGGCGGCGGCACAGATGTCGTTGACTATGCCGATGAGAGAAGAAAGAGAAGAGGTGCTGGGTACCGTAGAGAGCGCCGGGAATAGCGGTTCCATGACTAAAATCCTTAGGAGTAATTCCCGAGTCTGTGGCCAATGAGTCTATGATTTACACACATTGAGAAAGTGAAGACACGAGGAATGAAGATGGAAAACATGAGTTTTATTGTTAGTCATGCATGGAAGGAACAACTCCTTGGACAAAGCTGGCGTTACATCTGCTTTCTGCTTTTTTCCAGGGTCATGCGAACATAATGTACACAAGTTAGGATATACAGTTTTCACCACAAATATAGAGAATGAAGGCAGTTTCTCATGAAAAGAAAACCGGCTGTACCAATCGAAAATTCAATCTTGCAATCCATACATACTTTTTTGCCCACAACCTACAAACCACCTGGTTCCTTTGTCCTGTCGGTTCCACTCGGTCCACCCTTAGCAGTGTATGTCGACGCCTCCGTCTCACCCTTGGCGAGCTTCGACACGAAATCACCCAGTTTCGGGTTTGTACCTGTCGGACCACTTGAGGCTGTCGATTATGCGAAAAAATGGAGATTAGTCGAGGGGGTCTGAGGAAAAGTGCAACAAAGAGACATACGGTCGGCGGGCGCTCGTGTCTTTTGAATGCCCTCTTGGAACTTTTGCTTGGCCTGTTCGGTACCGGAAGGAGGCATGATGGATGTGTTGATAATATGGAGGTTTTAATATATATATATATATATGTGTGTGTGTGTGTGTGTGTGTGTGTATGTGTGTGTGTGTATGTGTGTGTGTGTATGTGTGTGTGTGTCTGATGATATGGTGTTGACTGTTGTCTGGTTCTGGCAAGGATTAGTGTCAGAGGTCACGGGTAACCAATTAGCTATGCGACATGTATTAAAGAAACCAGAAATGTGATCGTTGTAAAAAGCTATATACGATGAGGGTGGTTATGATGATGTCCTATTTGCCTGTGTAAATGACGTCGCAAGACTCGATGAAAGACGTCATGAGGGTTTTGGTTGGATCAATAGTATAGTACCACTGGGTTTTTGGAGAAACTCAATTTCGCTGATGCTTACGTAGCAACGCGTTTGGCTCGAGATTTTTTCCTTTTTCTTTTTCTCAAACTTCACTTATATATAGATAAGATTGCGCGAGTCTGAGGATATTCGCGGTTTAATCCAAGTCACTAACAAAAATGTGTTTGAACTATTAGTCTGTGTGAAAGAAAAGAGTATACAAACATGGCCCGTGGGGACGGCATGTCCCCACAGGTCGTTTCTTGGCTCAGATTGGCACTATATATTACTGCGTATTTGTTATGGTCGACTTGTCAACGAACCTGCCTGTATCCTCTCAATTTTACGTCCACTCTTGGACTATATCTTGAAGCTCTACTTGGTTCTCGACTGGCTCTGCTAGTGGTTTCTATGCATTTTCCAATAGCTCATCAACAGCTTGCATCACAACTGCCCGTGCTTTCCATTCTCTGTTAGCTACTAGGTAATTATAATTTATTTGCATGTAACGCGTACCATGAAAGCTGCCATTTTCATCAAGGATATGGTGCTTAGCAAAGGGAATGAGAGTAACCTCCTACACTGCTGTTTCTACAGTGTTGCAGGAATCCAGCAGTCGGTGAAAGCACAATACAAGTCATTCATCTTCTGGCAAGTGGTTTTGAGCTATATCTTGGCAAAGATCGGAAACTCTCTGTGATGGAACTGCATTATTCAATAACAGAGTTTGTACACTGTGGCGGAATTTCGAGGGCACGTACTGGTCGAGTCACAGACTCTGGCACCGATAAATTCATCCACGCCGCAGTTGCTCTCAATCGTGTAGACGGCGGCGTAAGTCGCCAGCCCTTTTGCCCTTGTTCTCGATATGAGGAGCTTGGTGGTCGTCATCAGACTAAGCTAATGATATGAGTACTAGATCGAGTTCATGAAAGAATGAGTTCAGTTTGGAACGACTGTATCAAATCTACAAGAGCTCAAAATTATTTAACAGGGAGACAGAGCCACTCCTAGCAGACTGATTCTACAAGAAGGAGTACAGTGGCTCCCAGGTGAACATTACCAGCGATCGTGGTCTATAGTTTGGCTTTTGGGGCGAAAATATTCACTCCCGCGGCTTTTGGTGCCAAAGTCTGCAATGGGCATTAAAAAAAAAACGACGCCAAGACTACTTGTTTGCGTTGGGGAGCTCGAAACCATCAGCTTTGTAACTTTTACCCCGTCGGTAGATTAATGGCTGCCACGCTGTAGTATTCAGTCAGCTCCTCAATCCATTGGGGAAGTTCCACGCAAAATTCCCGTGTACATGATCATGGGGATCAAGATCACTCGGTGAGGCTACCTGAGAAGCATCAATTGCCAAGACAAACAACATCGTGCTGGGCTTAAGCCTACCGGACCCAATGGCTGGTCTGGTCGAGCTTGGGGCCAAGTTCAACATTTCTGTAGTCATCTCGATGTCAACTCAGGTAGGAGATGGCAGTAATTCTGTTCTTATGCATCGAGAAGTCAAGCTATGGTACAGCATGAGAAGTCAGAAAAAAACACCGAACGAAATATCAAAGGTGCCACGAAAGCTGAAGCTCTGGAGTTTATCGAGTTTATTCCCGATGTGGCAGAAGTTGGACATTCTGTGGGTATACACGGACCGATCTTGAAGCAGGAAGAGCTGGGGCAGAGCCTTGTGTGTGGATTTTACATAATGCAGAGTAATAGCAGGTATGTGGTTGGTCCAATGCACACTGTCCTCATGTGGCCCAGAGCGTTCATGACGGCCTTTAGCTAATGTCACTCTTGGCTTGTTGCATGCTGTATGACTGACGAATCCTTGCAGCTATTCAAATCCGGGAGATTGAAGCCAGAATCCTGACCAAAGCCGTCTGCCATCATCACGTGTATTCATTATCCCACGCGAATTTTGACCTGTTGGTTTTCAAATCATTCGATTTAGTCCGCCCACAGGGACTGTGAGCCCTTACTTAAGCTTAGCCTTAGAAGAAAACATCGCCACCTGAAGAATATGATTATCAGTAAGACTTGACGATCTAGAGCCGTTCCTGAGATACGGATGCAGTTGGTGACATCGTGTGATCTTGAAATGCGTAGCGCTCATCACCTTCGATTCAGCAATAGAAGACGAAGAATAATGTGCAGGGATGGCGTCTGTATTGATGTTAAGATTCATCGAGGTGTCGGCAGTGAGATGAATGTCAACGCCAGAGTAGTACTGTTGTTGATCAAGGTGAAAAGCTCGCTCGGCGTGTTATTGCGGATTGGTTCAAAGTTTGGCGATATTGGTACAACCTGAATCCGCCCATCGATGTCCTACCGCTGGCATTATGGTCACTGTTTTTCAATATCAGTAGACTTCCCACATGCACCATGTCAAGTCTGCCACAGGTTGCCGGGTGTGCATTTGGCTCGTAAGAATCGTCGTCTTGATTAGCTGCCATAAGACTCATCACAGGTAGCAGTTGCCCTTTTTTGTTTAATCGTACCCTCATCCGCAAATGTTCAGAAGTTCTTTTATTTTGGGAATTTTTGCGATATACCATTTTCGCAAATCGCAATGCCTGAACCAAACCCATGCTTTACGATTGAGACCGCCTTGACACCAGCCGTGAAAGCAATACAACCCTCAAACGAGACCTTCGCCGATGCAACCATCACCTAAATCCTTCATGCCACACATTTATGCGGCAGTGATAGCCTTGCGGCGGAGAGCACCACGCTGTCTCGAGCTCAGGTGGGCGTTCTCGCGGGAAACGACGGACTCGGACTTCTGAACAACCTCCTCACCCTCGGTAAGGATCAGCTCGATGTGGCAGGGGTTCGACATGTAGGGGTTGATCTAGTTGTCAAGTCAGTATTTAAGTCCTTCTCGTCTGCAAAAGACTGGAATTCTTTCAACATACACGACCGTGGGCACGGTAAGTACGTCTGCGCTGCTTGGGGGCCTGGTTGACCTGGATGTGCTTGACGATGAGGTTGGAGGTGTCGAGACCCTTGGCGTCAGCGTTGGACTCGGCGTTCTTGAGGAGACCGAGCAGGAACTCGGCAGACTTGGTGGGCCAGCGAGCGCGGGAGACACCGAACTGCTTGCCTGGAGAGTAGAATTATCGTTAGTCAATTTTCGATATATGTGCGTCGGTCGTGCGTCCTCTTCTTTTCCGCCCCGCCAGTGCATTGTCGCATGAATAAAAATGCTCTTGCATCCGGCGTGCTTCAAAATGACATGCCAATGCTCATTTTCAAGTCGTACCTTGGGCAGTGCGGCCGGTAGAGCCGGCGTAGCGGCGCATGGGCACGGCCTCGGTCTTGGTCTGGACGTTCTCGAGGAACTTGACGGCGCGAGTCAACTTCCAGCCGTTGATGGCCTGGGCGGTCTCGCGGGTGTTCTTGAAAGAAACACGGAGGTAGGCACCGCGGGCGCGAGCCGACTTCGCGGGAGCGATCTCTGTGGCGGCGTATCGAACCTGTCAAGGGAATCCATCGTCAGCCCTCCGCATCTCGCCAAGTTGTACCCATATCCAGCAGAAAAGTCCCAGCGGAGCTGCGCATTCGAGCAACAAGAATTCGGCAGCGGCGCAAGCTCCGTTCCTCCTCTTGCCAATCGTTTCGGAATATTCGAGATGCACATACCATCTTTGCTGTTGACGTTAGTAAGAGATGGTGTCGAGGGTTGTCGTCGAAAAATGTTCGGGTCTGGATGTGAAGGCAGTTCGACGGAGCGATACCCAAACAGAGAATTGAAGTTTTCCCGCTGAAATTTTGGTGGCCGTGGTTTACCCGAGCTAAAAATGACAACCCTACGAACTTTTGCTCAGCTAGCCAAAGCGCCCCGCCCCGCTGTGATTGGGTCGAGGGCCCACTGATAGCTTATCGGCTCCCCCACCGCGGATTATCTTATCGACCGAGTCTGTAGCTCCAGAAACTTTTTTTTTTCGTCAAGCTCTGCAGAGGTGTCGCTCGCTCCAAGATTTGAGGCAACGGCCAAAGACATTTGGGATTTTTTTTCTTCACCAATTGCCCCACCAGACGATCGCGACTTTTCGTCCTTACCTCCCATCGATACGAATCTCGCTACCGATCATTTCTTATTAAATATACACAATGGGTTTCCAGCCTAGAGGAGGTCGTGGCGGCGGTGGTGGCTTCAGAGGAGGACGCGGCGGCGGCGACCGTGGTGGTCGCGGCGGCGGTGGTTTCCGCGGTGGTCGTGGAGGTGCTCCTGGCGGCGGTCGTGGCCGTGGAGGACCTCGTGGTGGTGGCCGCGGAGCTCCTCGTGGTGGCGGCCGTGGAGGTGCCAGAGGTGGTGCCCGGGGCGGCGCAAAGGTTGTCGTTGTAAGTTCACTCTTGCTCAAGATTTTCGCGAAATGGTATAACTGACAAGATTTACAGGAGCCCCACCGTCACGCAGGTGTCTTTGTCTCGAGAGGAAAGGAGGATCACGCAAGTAACATTGTATCTTCTGCAGTGGGAAAATTACTAACCTCAGTCGCAGTTGTTGACTCGCAGCTTGGCTCCCGGCCTTGAGGTCTACGGAGAGAAGCGCATCACTGTTGAGAACTCTGAGAAGGGTGAGGACGGTGCACCTGTTTCTACCAAGGTCGAGTACCGTGTATGGAACCCCTTCCGCAGCAAGCTGGCTGCTGGTATTATTGGTAAGTGAACCAAGTCTGTCGCTCTCTTACTGTAAACTGCTGTGAACAGTTCGAGAGTCCTGGTTCGCAAGTGACATGTGCTAATACAATAAACAGGTGGTATTGAGCGCATCTACATGCACCCCGGTGCCAAGGTCCTCTACCTTGGTGCTGCCTCTGGTACCTCCGTCAGTCACGTTGCCGACCTTGTTGGCCCGACCGGAAACGTCTACGCCGTCGAATTCTCTCACAGATCTGGCCGTGATCTTGTCAACATGGCCCAGAACCGCACCAACGTTATCCCAATTGTTGAGGATGCCCGTCACCCTCTCAGATACAGAATGCTCGTCCCCATGGTCGACTGTATCTTTGCCGACGTTGCCCAGCCCGACCAGGCCCGTATCGTTGCCCTGAACGCCCACATGTTCCTCAAGGTTGGTGGTGGTGTTGTTATCTCCATCAAGGCCAACTGTATCGACAGCACAGCTCCCGCTGAGGCTGTCTTCGCACAAGAGGTTCAGAAGCTGAGGGCAGAGCGCATCAAGCCTCAAGAGCAGCTTACCCTTGAGCCCTACGAGAGGTCAGTTCTCCCCATACCATTAGCGCAACCCTTTACATTCCTGTACTAATACCCAAACAGAGATCACTGTATCGTTATCGGTCAATACCAGGAGGCGAAATAACTACTCCCTTGGGCGTAGAGATTGGATCAATGATGATGTGCTGTGTAGCAGTCTCTAATGTGTGAATACTCCTTCAGGGTTCTTGTGGTTGGCGCCTATATTACCAGGCATCGGCGAAAATGGCGTTGGGGAAAAACAGGTCATTATTTTTGCTTAGTTCTATGCATTTTCTCATCGGCGGCAAGGCGTAAAAAAACGGCTGATACCACCTACCGAACTCATGCCTCTATGATCTTGTGTGACTATCTGCTGCAAGTCTTGCTTACACATCAATCAAATCCGTCATGCATTCGACCCGCATTGAAACAACTCCAACGGCTCAGACGCATATCCCAAAGTATAATACACGGAGCGCACCGGAATGTTCCGTCTGACGGATCTCTCAATTCGGGCGGTACAAAGTTTGCACCAGAACCATTTGAGAATACGAAGTGATTTCCTCAGAGAATTTGGGGCCCAGTCAAAGATTGCACATGTGCTCCTTTATCACGAACACTGCACTGTGCATACCACGTTTTCTTGGCCCATACAGCTCTCACAGTATTTGCTCCTACACGTGGGCATCGGATCTATAAGCATGCATCCTGGAGACACAGTCTACAGCTGGTGCATGCTGCCTGTATGTTTGCTGTTGCTGATGCAACAATTCGTGCTCCAATGGTTGTGGCTGCTGTTGGTATTGTGGGTGATAAGGTGACTGTGGCTGCTGACGCATTTGTGGCGACGGCCTTCCAGCCATGTTCATATTCGAGTGTTGTTGCTGCTGCTGCTGATGATGATACAGTTGTTGGGAAGCGCCCAATGGTGATGGCTGTTGCTCTGGCGGTTGCTCTGGCGGGAAATGAGCCTGATAGGGAGTCGTGTTCCAGATGATCCCGAGGCCGGTATGTTCGCCGGTGCGCTCGTGGGGCGAGAACTCGAGGCTGGGGGTACTAGTGGCGTTGACGACGAGGTGTACAGTGGGTTCTGGGGTCCAGTCCATCGAGTCTGAATCGTCCTCGACGTCTTCATCATGGCCACCGCCCTCCTCGTCGCTGTCCAACAAGAAGTCGTAGAGATGAGGCCCGAGCTGCTCCAGCGCGAGTCGGATCATGCGGCGGAGCCGCCGGTCCCTCCGCTTGATCCAGTCGAGGTTCTTCTTGATCCGGGCACAGTCGCCTCGCAAGCACCGGAACGTGCTATTCGTCGCGGCTGCCGCAGATCTTGATGCTGGGGGCAGGAGGAGGGAGAAGACGTTATTTTCGGCTGGGGGGAATTGATTCAAGCTGACCATGTCAGCATCTGACGTGTCCAGGTCTGAGCTATCCGTCGTGTCGTTCTCCTCACTGCTCAGACCTTGCTGCCAGTTCCATGCCTGCTGACCAGGGCGATAGGCGTGATGTTGATGAAGATGGTGGCGGCGATTTTGATGGTAATTGTTTTGCCTGTCGTGCTGCCGCCCACGTCCGAACTTGGAATCATGATTTGTGCTGGTGTGGCCGCCTCGAGCTGACCAGCTGTCACGCACACTGTTACCCTCCTCACTTCTGCCGCGCCGGTTGTTTTGCCTGCTTCTGTTGCCTCTATTGCGAGCCATTCTTGAGTTTCGTGGTTTCAATCACATTGGTTGAGATGTGGTTCGACATGGGACTTTATATTCGCCATCTAGGTCACATTAGGTCCAAAGCCTGTAAATAGCTGAAATGAGAATCTACATTGGCTTTTGTCATGCCGCGGCTCACTGCTGCATATGTAGAAGAGTATTTGTAGTTGAGTACGAAATGGTGCTAGACGACCAGAAGGAGAAAAGAAATGTTCTAGAACGCCGGTGAAGTAAGTTGGGAAGCAATGTGATTATAGAAGCGTGGTCACTGCTGCCCGTACTATCGATCTATCTGTTCTGGCACATTCTCACTTGCCTGAAAGAGAATGTGAATGGAGATGTCTTTGGACACCATTGTTCTTCTGCGACACTTGGAGTTCAGCAGCACTCCCGCTCTTGCATCTCAAACACTGAAAGAATGGGATCCTCAGGCTTCCGTGAAACTTTCTCAATATCAAAGACGAGGACTGCGAAGATACCGGAACACCATGATGGAATTAAGATGGATCTTTGCTTAAGACTAAGAATCACTTGACTGAGAAGTTGCCATATCAATGGATCTCATGAATCTTATCTTTCCGATGGCAGTCCCATCAGTCAAAAAGTTGTGTATAGGGTAGGAAAGAATAGCATGAACAAGTAATATCATTTTACAGCTTTGTTTCTGCCCTGTACAGTTCCTTGAAAGATTTTGTTGTCTTGTAGTCGCTCAAGCAATCAAATCGGTTGAAACCGAAGGCAACGATGGTACTACGATAAGAGAAAAAGGAAAGAAATTGACAGAGCAGGCTTCAAACAAAGGGCTGTGTGAATGAGAGTTGCCAGCTAGGAATCACCGTCCATGCAAGGCATATATCAATAATACTGGTTTCAGTATGTGTTATTGACTGGTGAAACCGACGGAAACACCACGTAGACGTCTTGACTGATCTCCTTGGTGCGAGAGAGATATGTCATGCCAGATAATCCACCCCCAGCTTTTTAAACATGGACCTGTCAAGTAAGTGGAATTGATGATAGTCTTGTCCTTTGACTCGCACACAAGGAGGACGAAGAGTGTTGTCAAGAGGTGGGACCTGGATGATATCGAGTCATTTGTCGTACACATGGACGTCTTGACAGGCTCATGGGCAGCTGCAGGACTTCCCGAGGGAAGCAAACGTCGTTAAGAGCAGTGCTTGCTTGGTGTTGTGTCTCCTTACACAACTCCATATTCGCCTCGCCTGTCAAACATCCGTACTGTGTATGCTGTAAAACTCTGACACGGTTAGTTGCTCAACGTACCGTAGAGGCAATGCATACGAGTGTATCGACAAGAATGATAGTAGTAGTGATGGCTATACACTTTCTTTAGATATTACTGCATTCCCCAGCCATGGCATCGCAGCAGCTCAGAGCCAATGTCATTCCATTTTGAGTCGTGGGAGGATGTGAAAGGGCTACATAGGTATCCAGAGCACTGTCGAGACCCGGCAGGGCCGGATGAGGATCTGGACGGCTGCGCTCTTCATTACTGCTGACTTGACCCGATCCTACTCTCCTTGGCACGAAAAAACCGTGCTGGGTACTCGCACGAGCGTAGTGTCACTTCGGGATTGTGGTTTTTTCCACTCTCTTACCTATGTATTCTATGGCCTCTTGACAGCGGAGGAAAAGCCTCACGAGCAATCTGAGAACCTTTGGTTGTTATTTTGAAGAGATCTCACTTTAATGTCTGTAATCTAGCCGCCACATTGATTTGGTCAAGTGTCTTTGAGGGTGCTTTTTTCTTGTTTTCTTTTTCTTCTCAACTAGATAAGAAAGAAGCTTAACGCTTGCCATGCGTCAACGGCTGGACGATGCACCGATTGCGCAAGCGGGAAGACGCATCTCATCTACTACAGGAGCTCCCTGGAAATTGAATATTGGGCAACTGTTTCGGGACGAAAGAACGTTTCTTTTCCAGCCCGTCAACCTAAAAAGGTCTCATGTTCCCTCTGGGCCCCGTTAAAACAAGAGCGCACTTGACGTTCCGTCTTGAGACAAAGCTATGAAGATGACCACTTGGAGCTATCCGAGCGAGTGCTAAAGTTGCGGCCGCTACAAGCGTGCCGCTGCGAGGGGGGCCGGTACGACCATCACAAGCACACCTACATACCTCGCCAAGCTCGCCTACCTGAACCAATGCAGTACATTGTCTTGATAGTAAAAAAGCTGGCATAGCTGGTCAGTCGCGCTGCGCTACGGCATTGGAGCAAAGCACATCACTGCGCAGTAGTAGCAGCTGTAGCAGCAGCATCTGTGCACGTCAGCTTGCCCTACGGATATGAAGCAAGCAATGCCTTTGCGTTGGTTGCCGTTACTAGTGTCGCAACGTGTTGATTTTGTTCGTCTGTGCCCTTGATCAACAATCTCCCATCTCAACCCCGTCGTAGCCATAATCTTTCAAACCTGGAGACGACTTGGAGCGACAGCCATGGATGTGACGCTACCACTTGAGCTCGCTGGGAACATAACACGGCAAGACCCTGTTACAGTCAAAGTCACTTGCTAGGTAAGTTAGTCGGTCGGATGAGGTCGAATCGGGGTGGTGCCCAACCGAGAAATGCATCACTATAACCAATTGTGCGTTGCCGAACCAGGGTTTGCACACTAAAACCTTTCCCCCGAGAGATGCCAAGCTGGGGTAGGATGCGTCGTTCCCTGCTGCTGGGTCCCAAAGTCTACCCTGGCTGAAAATATGATGAGCAACGAACTCATTAGCCAAACAGCGCTGGGAAAGCAACAAAACCTCAAAAGAGTCTTCTCAGACCATTTCATTCGCCTATTCCCTCCCCCCGCGTTTGTGAACCACCCCTGCCCTGCCCTGTCTCGAGGTGTCCGAGCGGACAAGTACTCCTCCTGGCCCAAAGGTACACACGGGTTGCTTAGCCCAGTGTATCCCTCCCTCCATCCTTGAAGTAGCCGCGCTGAGACGGAATGGCCATGGCAGCAGCAGTCAGCAATAATACATACGATGCAATTCTGCCAGCCAGACTAGACTATGAAGGGCCTCCTCTCCTTCCCCCCTTGCCCGGTCTCCATGAGCTCTCGAACACATTTCTCTCCACCCGGCACGTATGTGACCTCACTAACTCCCCTGTTCAAGGATCAAGATACTCTTCGCCGTTTTCATATGTCGTCCCTTTGCAACCCCTGCTGCGAACATGGCCTTGATCGACTTGGGAGATCTTGTTCGTGGTTAAGCTGAGGCTACTTATGGTTCCCTTCAGTCGGTGCTTTGACTCTTTTGTCCTTCTTGGGCCTCGCCTTTGGAAACCGATCTGACCTTTTTCTTGTAAACTGTTTCCACGTCGTTTGCCTCTTGGGATATCCGATATTTGTGCTGTCATATTTGCTGGGAATCTTTTTTTAATAAACAGCATCGGATAAAACCGCTGGGGATCAGTACCAACACCCGGGTAGTGCAGTCCTTGAGTGACTCTACCAAAAGACTCTCCATCTGAACTCTTCGAAAGCGAGTCATCTCATCGTACAAGCAAGGTTTACCCCCAGAGTCTCGACATTACTTCAACTGGCTGGTTGCCTCTGACCAACGTCGACAAAGGATATCCCAATACTTTCTCAAATCTTTACCAATGATCTCAGCATTTATTTTGTTATAGATCGGATCCCTCCGGCGATTGTGCGCTCCTTCCCTTGCGCATACCTGAATCCTTCTTACGCGGGATCAGGTTCTATAATCCGACGATCACTGCAAGAAAGCTGGCCGATTTTTCTTCCACCATGTCGTCGACAAATCCTGGCTCCTTGAGTCTGGAGCAGAAGATAGCCATAAATGCCATCGAACGTGCCGGTTCTGTTTTATCGATAATAGGATGCATATTCATCATTTTTACCTTTTCAGTGTCAAAGGCCTTCCATAAGCCTATTAACCGACTGGTATTCTATGCATCCTTTGGTAATATGATGACCAACATTGCCACGCTCATGGCCAGACAGTTTGTCGATGCGCGTGACTCGGCAGGCTGTCAGTTTCAGGCCTTCTTGATTCAGATGTACGAAACAATTTCACGTCTATATCTCTTTATTCTGTATTAACTGTCGACATAGGTTCTTGCCGGCGGATGCACTATGGACCTTGGCCATGGCTGTCAATGTATATCTCACCTTTTACTACAAGTTCGACGCCGAACGACTGCGCAAGATGGAGATATGGTATTTTCTGATCTGCTATGGTCTACCGTTCGTGCCTGCTCTTTCTTTCATCTTTGTTTCGGATGAAAGGGGTCGAATGTATGGAAATGCGGCGCTCTGGTGCTGGATCGCGCAGGAGTGGGACATCTTCCGTATCGCTACCTTTTACGGGCCAGTCTGGTAAGAACCCATGTCAATACTGGCATGTCGTTGTTTCTAACACAGATGTTTTCGCAGGCTCATAATCATAGCTACTTTTGCTATATACCTCCGGGCAGGGCGCGATATCTATGAGAAGCGGAAACAACTTCACTACTTCAATAGTAGCCATGATCCCGATCTCCTTACAATGGATGACCCCTTTTCACACAAGACCACCGAAGTCATGGTCACTACTGAAGATGCCGTCGATAGTAGTGACAATATCGATCTTACAACGCTCGGACGCGATGGAGAAAACGCAGGGTCCTCTCACGGCGCCGGACCCAGCGCTGCGTATTCAGTAACTATATCGTCCGAAGTTCGGGCCAACCGCCTCTCTCGCGCAGAGTTCAAGCTGCCCGCTTCAGGAAATGTGCAAATCCGCGAGCCATCGACAGCTCGACCTCGGACTCGACGGCGAGCAGCATTCGAAGCCAACACAGCGGCATGGTCATACGCTCGTTGCGCAATTCTTTTCTTTACGGCGATTCTTATCACATGGATTCCATCTTCGGCGAATCGTGTGTTTAGCGTTGTTCACCCAGGCGAGGCCTCTATCCCACTGGAATTCATGAGCGCAATTGTGCTGCCGCTGCAGGGCTTTTGGAACGCCGTCATCTACATTTCGACTTCATGGTCGGCATGCAAGTACTTCTTTTCCGAATTAAGGCACCGTTCAAAAACTTCGGAACGCACTACGAGCACTCTCTCGGGAGGCATTTCTGGGAGGAATCCTGGCTATAAACGACCCAGTCGCAAGCCAAAACATTTATATGACACAGAAAGCATGACGGAGCTGGCCGTCCCCTCTAGATTCAACTCTGATGATGAGTCGAAACGACAGACACCATGATAGTTTGTGTTGGATGGGGTTTGTACCCGGATGCAATCAGCGATGCTTTACATTAGCTATAGCCATGCTGCAATTATTATTTTATTTAATTCAAATGCCTAGTTATACAGACTTTTCTATATTTTAATCCTCTCTGTGCATGACGTACATCTATTTGCAGACATAAAGTTAATCCATTTTTGTGCCCATTCTACGAATCTTTGGGCCGAGGGTCAGGAGTCAAGAATGCCCAAAGTTTGGAAAGTACAAAGTGCAAATTCCAGTCTCTCCAACCCCTTGCATAAGGGCGATGCAAACACTGGCGGCGATGTCACCACCCTAGGTAACATCGCGTAATTGCGCTTAGAGCTGATCATGACGGGCCAGGCTTGTCCACAAGCGAGTTTTGTCAGTTCCAAGCCACTGGATCTCCTCAATACTATCAGCAAAATATTCCGTACTAAGGGGAGCCGTTGCTGCTGCTGCGGTCTCGATGCAATCAGGGAGGTCAATGACCTTCTTTTTACAAAAAAACGCCACTATGACATGGGCCAGTGTCAGCACAAGGGTTCATTTCCACGTAGGTATGTATGTGCTGCTGTTCTAGAGCACACTTTTTATCTGTGAACAGGCAAGTAACGAAGTCTTTTGCAAGACTTCTGCATGTTTCTCGGTTACCCGTCACACTTGACTGTCACATAACGATGAAATCGGCCCGCCAGTCAGAAGCAACACCGAGGCACAGCACTTCTAGAGCATTATTGTTGTTGTACCCATGGATAATATCTGAACTTTAACAAAAAAAAATCTAGATACATAGTATATCTATCACCCCCTTACTTGCTTGGCAAGGCACAAATTGACGCGCAAAGTGTCCTGCATTTGCACAGTCTTGCGCTGTTTTCCTTCCAAACTCTGTGCCTTGCTACAACAGATACACAGACAATATGTGAGAAGATAGAGGAATCATGTCCTTCATTGACGGTTTGAAGGAGTAGGAGAATCAATCCATTCTAGAGTAGAGGCCAGCCGTGTCGGCTACTTACCTAGGTACTTTACAGGTCTGGCTCTGAAATGTATTGGATCATTGAAAATAGCCTCAATTCCGTGCATCCGACCGAGGAGTCTTTCCCTGCCTCGTGGCGTCTGATGGGATTGACTAGGAAGTTGCTGAACAATGACCCAAATCTCCGTAATCACCTCGGCGCTGGTCGTTGTTCCCCCTTGCATTCCCCCCCAGAAACCCTGCACAACAATCGACCCGCTAGACACGGGCACGAAACAGTTTCCAATGCTTGGTGACAAGCCCAGCTTCCGATGCCAAGGTATGTCGTTGCTTGTCTTTGCTTGTCTACCCCAGATCATTGTGGGTTACATCTACACGATATACGTGGGCTGGGGTTTTGGTCGACTCGGCGTCTTCCCCGCCATGCGTAACGGCATGCTGGATACGGTCCATACTCTTACCAAGGAAATGTCCTCCGTGCCGCCCCTCCATCCATCTTGTCCCAACACTCAAAATCGTCCAGCTTTTGGGAGGGCACAGGTATCAAGTCTCGACAACGACATCTGCCGAAAGTCCCACATCTCTTTTGCTTTGATCATGTTGCGCGTAAGATCGGACGACAAAATCACAGGGTGCCTGGAATTATGAACGACGCGACTATCGACTTGTTACGCCACGCTAATCCGTAGTAGCTGACGAGGACGGCAATTAAGTTGCATAAGCACGCATCTCGCGCATCAAAGATCATCGAGTTGGGTTGCGAGTCTCTCATCCAAAGTGTCCAGGGTGGGCAGCGTCAGTTCAATCCGCTTCGAGTATAGAAATTCTCACTCGCTCATGGGTTGCAGCGAGCTACTAAAGGGGCCCACCTAATCTGCTTTTGGGGCTTTCTTCGAATCCGGGGTATCATGTATCGCAGGCAACCTGACTCGGTCCCCCTGTTTACAAAATATAAGCCGAGACCTATTCTATCCGGGCCTGGGTGCGTCTGCCCTTTGCATGAATGCAGAGGCAATTTCATCACATCAAACCAGAGAGTCAGTCATGTTGTTCATTTCAGGGTTCAAAAGCAGCATGGCATCACACCACTTCCTCGGTATTTGGACTTTGTCTGCGATTTCTCATGTTTGGCGTCTGACTCTACATACCTAACCTAGGTAGGTAGGTCTGAATACATGTCCTCGACTCATCAAACAGCGTCCTCACGTTTTTTTTTTTTTTTTCAGAGTAATTACATGATAATTTTGCTTCGTTCAAAAACATCGCACAGTCGCCAGGACTGCACATGTATTTCTCAGTCTGCACACAAAGCTCAGCACGCTCACAGTCACGAAGGCAGTGGGTGGTGGAGATTGGCGCTACCACAGATCTCTACAATGTAAATTACCCGTGTTTAGGGTACTGAGAACAGACATCGTTCGCTACATTTTAGTGGCTTCGGTGCCTAGGGTTTCAGAATATACCAGGTCCACCGGATCATCCGCGTCATCCCTGCCCATTGTATCGCGTCCATACCCTCCCACCAACTGCCGCTGACATATTTTCTTTTTTCTGGCTCACAACAGCTGTCAGTGGCTAGACTCGGAGTTACGATATTCGTGTCTCTGATCAATCATCAATGTGATACGTCTACCGAGACCTCTGGTGCAATCGTCATCAGAGCGCTCAATGATACAAGTGGAGCCAACTGTTCCGTAAGACATGTTTGTTTGATGGGGAAACATTGACCGTAACTGGAGGGCAGCTTGTCACGTATGTTGTGAAGATACCTAATGCTAGGTAAGTTTCCCATTCCAGAGCGCGGTCTGCGCCCTACTGGTACGAGTTTGTGATAACGAGGCAATGATCATATTTATTGACTTCAAGAAATCATCAAAACATGGTCGGAACCTTATATATTGACATCGGATTTAAATGGTATCTAGTGCAAGACACCACCTGCCTGCATCAACAACATGGTGTAGTACTCGCGCTCAGAGGACTGCATAGTAGTCGGGCGACGGGACCAGCCGATCTCAGTGGGCATTCGCTCGTTGCCTGCGGTCAAGTCATCAGCACATTTCCACATTGCCACTACCTACAATACTTGTATAGGGGTGTGACTAAATAAAACACGTCCTAAATGGAGACTTACGGAACCAGTAGTCGATAAAGGTCTTGTTGACCGTGCCCGTAGTGCCATCGGCCATGATTTCAAAGAAGGAGGCACACTCGCCCCAGCTGAAGCCGTCGGCCAGGCCAGAGAGGGTAAAGTTGGGATTGGTGGCCTGCGATGTGGCCAGACGACCCATTCGGGCGTCGGCGAGCTGCTGAACGGTGATGAAGTCGGTCGTGAAATACGACGTCGTCTCGGCCCAGACGGTCTCGTTGAAAGGGTCGGGGCTTGCAAACCAAGCATCGGAACGACTAGTCACGAGCTCGAGGTTAGTGCGTCGCTGCCTACTCGACAAGGCGGCTTCATAGTTTGTGCTTCATACCTGAGACTGATATCGTGCTCGAGGATATCGTGGCGACCTAGATCCTCCAGGTCAAACGTGTCCGTGTTTGGATAGTCTGGGCTGGTCTGGAGCGCCAGAGGAAACAGGCCTTCCGCATCGCTGTGGGCAATGTTGAAGCCGTTGAGCATGGCGTCTCTGAGGAAATCAAGGGTGATCTTGCGACCATCGCGGGGCAAGTAGCCGTGGTTGGCCAGAGTGTTGAGTCCCGGGCATGGACCGCGAGCTGCGGGTTTACTCTAATGAGCTTTGGTTCAGCGTCTTCTTTCTCGTCAGGAGACTCACAGTCGTCCGGCCCAGGGGCAATCCACTCCTGGGGCACCCAGGTGTCGTTGCCGTCTCTCTTGAGATACTCGGGAAGAGCAAACACTGTCGCAACGGCACTGAGGCCTACGATGAGAGATGTCGACTTCATCTTGAGAAGGAAAATTCGCTAACGTCTTTTCTTGGAGCAGGTAGAACGATGGAAATCTGGTCCAAGCAATAGACCAGATACGATGATAGGCATGAGTCGATTTATATCTTGCTAACCATCTTCCCCCGAATATCTTCAAATATGTTACACAGAACTCGTGCCAAGCGGAGTCGCCTCAACAACTCAGATGATCCCATCGCAATAGAGGAGGATGCCATTCTTCTCGTTCTTGGCGCATTCGAAGCGCTCAAGGCGCCGCGCCGACGCCGAGGTATCTTGTTTTGGCATCTGAAGAAGACCCTACTACGACGTCTCTACTTCTGGCCCAATCGATTAATTCGAAGCGAGCGGTTTGTCTGGTCGCATCGGGTATATATGAAAGCAATATCTAGGGTCTTCAACCACTCTCTAGTCAACGTCGGACCAATCGGCACGGACGCAACCTTCTATCTGCAACCCCAAAATATGCACACCATCTGAAGGGACGTCGCCTTTTCGTTAACCTTTCCCAAGAAGGCTGTAATCGCGGGCTATGGAAGGGTCATTGGAAAGATGCGACTGGTGAATCCCTCGCTTCTTTTCAATTACTATTATCAATTCTTGATTGGTGCGCAGCAACTGGTCCCGTGGTTGCTGCTCGATTGTTGAGCTCCTCCCGGATGAGGGAATGCCGAGCCGAGGCCCACATTTTATAATGCCCACGGAGAAAACCTCTCGGCTTACGAAAGTCGGTCGTGTTTAGACGATACTATTATCCCACGAAAAGACATTCATGATACAAAATTAAGAAGTGCCAGATGATCTCGATTAAGAGCAAGTAAGAATCAAACAAGGGCGTGGGAGTCGCGCATGTGTCCAGTGTAGAGTCAATATCGAAGCCATCCGTAACAAAAGCCTGTCAGGTTGAGTGAAACAAATGATTCTACACTTTTCCTCTTTTTTCTTGGAACAGCACCTTGATACAGCTTGATTCTCAAAGGCTGCCGAACTGCGCGCTTGGGTGAGCAGGATCATGATGGAACATAGCGCTATTGCTCAGCTGAGTCTGTGGGATGCCCCAAAAATACTTACTTACGCGCTGTGCACGTCGTGGCTATTATTTGAGGAATGTCTCACCGAATACACGGCAACACGTCAGGATTTTGTGGAGGCTTAGTCTTGAGGCATCTTGAAAATGTGTTGAAAAACAACAAGTCATCCCTCAGATAAAGATTCTGTATCACCAGACTGGGAATACCATGCCAAATATTGTCACATTTGTACAGTGCCTCAAGACGCCGGCGAGCCGACCGTAGATTTTCCACATGCCTTGAACACTTTACCTTTGTATACTATTTCCGTCCCAATTCTCATGACAGCGGGAGGGCAGCCGTTTATTGGAGTTTATCATATTCCGTCACCCTCTTCGACCGGGACCGACTTGTCAAGCAATGGTTGTAGAACTTACAAGACATAAAGCTGAAATGCGAAAGTGAGAAATGCGCCGTCAGGATCATAATAAACAAAAAATAGAAATCCACTGAGAGTTGGCTTATATGAGGCTGTAGAATGAGATGGTCAAAGCAAAAAGCAATTTCGCTTTCGATCAATATTGTTTAAAGTGATATTTCAGTACTATGGACTCTCGAAAGCAAATACACTCGACATGTTTTCTTCAATACGCTCATTGCATCCCCTACAGCACCATTTATATACCAGAGCAGAGATTTTCTGAGAATTTGTCTAAACATCTACTTCTGCTGGCTGCATCTTGCTGTCATCAGTCCTTCTATTAGTAAGACTTCACCGCATCGCTGGCGCCAGCCCTACCATGGCGGTTGTTTTCGAATAAGGATTCGGGGCTGGACGATAGTGCTTATGTTTCTTCTCAGCGTACTTTTAAAAGATGAGATTAAATTTCTCTCTAATGTGGCTCCCCACGTTGTGGCTTGCCCAGAGTTAGGAATTGGTCTCAAGCGGTGGGAATACAAGTCGAAGCCGCCGCCACTCAGCAGCTTAACCCGGCTCATTGCCATGTGGTCTCCTCCGGCCGGTGAAGATGCACACCGTCTCATCTCAATGGATGCGCCATAGATCTTTTTTCCCCCTTTCCTCGCGAGTTCTGGAGACGAGACTTCTGGGCCCGGAGGATCAAAGTACTCTTGGAGAACCCAATGTACTTTTTTTCCTCTGCTGTTCTCAGGTGTCGTCTTTCCCCGCATCTCATACTACCCTGCTGCCGTTTCTCCAACCATGCTATGTAGGGGGAAAAAAGTCATGCAACTTTGGAGATATTCTCCGGGTCAGCGGACCCCGGTATGTAGCCCCTCCTATTGTCCCTTGTCGGGCGCCCGCTGTAGGGGACAAGAATCAGCACACACAGACTCTGACAGTATATCATTGGGAGACGCTAGACTGAGAAATCCATAGTCTTTCCTGCAGACTGCTCAGAACTACTGAGATCATCTCGATTCATCTCGATATATGCAAATAGTCGAGAGAAATTCTATAGGCACCAGGCGATCATAATCTCTAGGAAGAATCAGCACAGCCAATTGGATTTCGGCCCGAGTGAATACACAAAAGCGGAAGCCGGCTTGCGTCTAGGATACACCCGGCTGCCATTACACTAGAAAAAGAGCTTTTAGCTGTGAGGTTGCAAAATCTTTCTGACTTGCCCTGAAGCTCTCTTCACGCAGCTCGCTTATGCACAGTCTACAGCCATATCACCTTGGTCCCGTTTCAATGATCCTGGGCAAAAAAAAAAAAAAAGCTCGCACTTTTTGAAAGTATTTGGTGCCTGAAGACGAACCCTGTTTACATCTTGTCTAGATAGACGGGCTAGACCGTATTGGTATTGGTATAGGATGTTTTGGTGTTAGAGACCTTGCCCGATTTTACAACTTTGCCTCTTTTACTACTATGGGAACTACGCTTTCACAGCGATAGCCGGACCTAAAGTGATGGAGGCTGGCAAGACACCTGTTGCATGAGACTTTAATCCAGTTGTAGATGGCATCGTCATAACCTGGTTTCGAGATCCATGACACGACCTCTCTTGTTTCTTTTTCATGCTATAGCAGTATCCATTAAGACCAGTGCGGGTTTTCTATACACTGCATTTCGTCAAGGAATACGTGACAAAATGTTAATTCGTAATCCCGGCTGTGATGCCCGTGTCTGCCATGTTTTGCCATGGACATACACCATGTTGCCACGCCGGTGGGTCAATTGACAATGGGTAGGGCATCGCATGAGACTATGCACGTGCTCCACTTCCACCTTGGATACTACATAGTACACTACCAAGACCAACTTCTCCGCAAACTTGGCACGATCAGCAATAGTCAAGGCAGGGGGTAGATCTTTGATACATAGTGATTTACATAGTAGAGGACATAAATCTCGTTGAGACAGGGCCGAAAGACGAAAAAGAGCCGCTGCCGTGTCCGGATCAGAGCTACAACAGATCCCAAGCTACAGTGCTAAGCTTGCAATTGATCGACCGACCCTACTTGGCATTCTCATTCCTCTCAGGGTTTATCAATATACTCTGCAGAGAAGTCTGATCTTCCAGTTCAGTGGCAGAAGACTATAACATGTTGAAAGTCGATGGGAACAGTCACGGCATCGCGAAGGTTATTTCAGATCATTGTTTCTTTGGCAGCTACCTATTTAGAGACTCATTTTTGGAGTCTATGGAGTGCTTATTTACGTCCATTGCCCATATCCTTTTTTGTAATTTTCTGTTTCTTCAATGTCGTGATCCCTCTCCATTGCCTGGTTCTGAGCTCAACCGTCTATATATGCCCAGAGTCTGTTCAGAATGACTGTACAAAACGAAAGGGATTTATAGAAATGACCACTTACGGAAGCAGAGTCCTGGGTCAGCTTGGGGGGAAATGCACAAGGACGTCTCTGTCCATGAATGCTCAAAAGGTCAATCCATCAACGCCCATAATGTCAATCGCAGTGCCATGTGCTCAGTGAGCCAACTCCAAGGTCTGGAAAGTTAGCAAAAAAAGCCGTCCTTCCCAGTACCTTCTCCGATTCCCTAGTTGTCCTCCAAGTCTCATGGTCAGACGGAATCAGCAAGAAAACCTCAAATCAGTTCTTCTTGGCCTTCTTGGCCTTCTTGGCGGCGGGCTTGGCCTCCTTGACGCCCGTGACAAAAAAGTAGGCAAAGTAGGTTCCGTACTCGGCACACTCCTTGAGGATATCCTCATCGTCCCACCACCACTTGCAGTCATGGATGAGATTGCCCCAAATCTCGTACCAGAGCATGGCCATGACTCGGCAGCGCGCCTCGCCCATGGCGGGCTCCCACTGCTTGTCATCCTGGATGCGGTCGTAGCCCGCGGGAACCACGGGGACGTGGTACTGGGTATAGTGGCTGCCGCGGCCGCGCAGCTCGGCGGCCTTCATCCAGGCCGGGACGTCGCGGCTCGGGCTCGTGGTGCGCGCGTGCTTCTCGAGCTCGACGATGAGGTTGTCCCGCATCCACTTGCGCATCAGGGGGCCGCAGACCTGCTCCTCGGGGCACGGGTCCATGAGGGTCACGTGCAGGGCGCCGCCCGGCTTGAGCAGCTTGTAGATCTCGGCCAGGACAATGGGCACGTCGTACTTGGCTAGCATGGAGCCCATGCGCAGGCAAGTGACCGAGGTAAAGGACTCGTGCTTGAGGTTGCTGAAGCCGAGCTTGGCCTGCAGAGTCGGGGCGGTAACGGGATGTAGATTGGGGAACAACTCGCGCTGAGTGGGAACGGTCCAGATCTGAGTCAGGCTGATGGTCGGGTTCAAACCTGCGAGGAATGAGGCAGAAGCTACAGTACAACAGTCAGTCAAAAGTTCGTGTCTTGTTTGTTTCCACAGGGCAAACTCACATGATCTCTCGTACAGAGCGAGGATGCTGGGTGTGACACTGGCAGACTCCTCTACGTTCTGGGGGTCAAAGTTATTCTGGTGAAGCCAGTTGGCATAGACATCGTTCTGGTAGAGACAGGAAAACATCCATCGCTTCTTGATAGCCTCGAGCTCTTCATACATCTTGGCGTTCTTGAGAGCGGGCGGATCAGCCTTGACGTTGGCAAGCAGGACCTCGGGAGAAGCGGTGGCCATCATGATAATGTCTCTCTGCACGGTTGTCAAGTTGGAAGTGATTTTCCAGACGCTGTCTCTGACGATGGGAGTCTGCAGAGGAGGGGGCTGAACAGGTCCTCGGACCTGGCGTCTCTGAGCCTGGGGCGAAGGAGTCGGCATGGCGCTCTGGGTAATGCTTGCGGAAGCTCTCTGCTTATTCTTTCCCTTGGGAGGGGCAGGAGGGGGACCTCTGGGAGGAGGTCCAGGAGGAGGAGGGAGAGCGTGGAGAGCGACAGGAGTCGGGAGGGTGACTGAATCGAGGGAGACTGAGGATCGCTGAGACTCTGTCTGATTTCCTCCAACACTCTGGGAGGACGGACCAGCGGAGATGCTGGATGAATCGTGCTCTTCGTCGGGCTGGCCAAACACTGTGCCCTCGGGAAAGGTTGCCTCGTGGTAGGACAGAAGCATAGAGTTGTCAACGTCCTCGTAACGTTCAGTGGATCTGGTCAAAGGGTATCAGCAAGTTGAGCTCGTGGTAGGAGCTGATTTTTGGGAAGAAAAACTGGAAAGAAACAAACGAAGAAAAAACTAACCCAAGCATGAGAGGCTTCAGTGCAGGCATGGGAGCCTTCTTGCTATCTGAAGTGATGCGAACTTCAGAGGTGACACTGTTGTCACCGTTGTCATTAGCAGGTCGCAAGGAAACGGTGAGTTGCTTGTCCTGAGAGACAAACGAGGATGCGTCCAGCTGCTGGAGATGATGCTCAGACTTGATCAACTTTGAGTCCACCATGCTGCGCGAATCTCCAGAGTCTCGATTGTCTGACGTGTTTTGCGAGTTGCGCGAGCTGCTTGCCAGTGTACTAGAGGCGGCAAGGGAAGGGGTCGCCCAATGAGAGACTGAGGACTCTGTGATGCGCAAATGAGTATAAGTTGCCAGCATCAAGTGCGAAATCAGGGTGGGCCACTTACCTCGCAAAGAAATCCAGGACTGGTCGCCTGCCGTTTGCTCGTCTTGAGCTCCATGAATGCCTGCGTTTACACCATTCTCTCCTCCTCCCAATGAGGGGTTGAGCTCAGTGTTATCCTCAATGATGCTGCTCTCGTCGCTAGCAGCTCTCTTGGAGCCATTTGCATTAAACTTGACTTCCATGGAGCCTCCAGTGTTCGTGCTTGCGCGCTTTCGACCATTAATCGATAGAAATCCAAAGCTCTTCTCGCTGTGACCAGATCCAGGCATCGAAACAAATGAATGTCGCTTGTTAGTGTTCTTGGCATCATCGCTTCGCACCGAGGGTGCCCTCTCTGATGCTGCCTTGTCCGATGCCTCGCGCTTCTCGCGCTCCTTGCGGGCATTTCGCTCGCCGACGAGCTCAGGCTTGTCATCGTTCCAATAGACGTCATACATGGTGGGCGCTGGTAGAAACTGTTGCGCCGCGCAACTGCTTCGTGACACGATATTGAAAAGGGTTTATGTGAAAGGTCAGATCAAAGCAGAAGATGCTACCATCTCCGTGCCGTAGCTTTTCCAGATTGGTTGCTCAGTCTCTGGTTGCAACGCGCATATCAAGCAGTCTTGCCTCCTTGATACTCGGGCTAGTCGGTCATGCTGTGATACCACGGCTTCTGGTTCTGTGGCATTAGTTGTAGGTAGGAGTGGTCTTCTCTTCGATATACGGTGACTTGCAACCGAGATATGGTAGACGCCAGAGGAAACAAGGTAGACTTCGGACGAAAGATGGAATGTGCACGTGAAATATGGTGATGTTGGGACGGAAGGTGGTGATTGTTGGATCAAATATGGTATGGCTTCCAGGCAAAGGAGCGCGTTTCTATGACGGAACTTCAAGAGACTCCAAGTCAGAGTAAAAAGAAATTGTTCAATGTATAGATGTTCGAGGACAAGTAAGAATGAAGCTGCACAGGTCAAGATCCTGTGAGCAGAGGCTTGGGTGTGCAGGAGTGGAAGAAAGCAGTTCTGCTGGGTCAAGCTTCGAGTCCAAGGGAAGCTGCAGGTAGTTGCAGAATTCGAGAAGTGGTGGAATTGAACGAACGAAGCAGGTCCTTGCCTTAGGCACCTTCCCGTGGACAGAAGACGACGACTTCTAAATTGGTTGCCGGGGCCCGGACTGCTGTCAAGCTTGCCTCGTGCTTGACGACGAGATCTGGGAAGATGTGGTTCAGTGCTTCACGTGTTCTACTACATAGGTTCTGGATCTGGCAAGGCTGAGCGACGATAGCATCATCAAGACATCTTGAGTAAGTACCATTACAGATGCTACTTGTGTAGTAGACGGACTTACAGAAAGGAGGGCTCTGTGACTGAATTATTGTCGATAATTGTGCAGCTTGTGAACCAATATTTGACTAGAGAAGTGATATCACGTCGATCTCACGAATAGAGTGCCGTGAATATTGCAAAGTCTCTTTGTTGGTAGATGCCAATCACTGGTGAACAAGAAGTCTGGAGACTAGCCAACTGTATGAACCTATGGCCCCTGCATCAGCTCATGTCATTACCCATGGATCTAATCGAGAAAAAAGCCAGGAAATCTAGCAGCAAGGCTGAGATCAGAGCTGGCCACCAAGTCCATGGTCTGCTCGGCTGGTACACGGCATTGTTCTGATCAACCATGAGGTAGGATGAATAGGAGCTAATGCAAGGAGCTCTGAGCTCTCTGTGTTCTCGACGTGAGTATGAGGGTATGGATGGGCATTGGCTTGTTCTGTACGTGTGTACAAGACAAGCTTTTCAGTTATGCTTGTCTTTAATTTGAAAGGTCAAATGATTCACGTCCCCATCTGATTGGATTACCAACAATGAATCGTGCCGCAAATACGGATTTTCAGTTTTACTAGACACCTATAAAACGTCCTGGTGTGTGGAAAAGTAAGAGGGCACGCTCACAAGAATTGTTTGCTGCTGAACTCCGCAGTTTGCCCCTGATGCCAGGGCGTACAGAAAGAGGGGAGCAGGTTGCACAAAGAGTCAATCAATTTCTGAAGCTGGAATGGCAAATCGATGAAGGCCATTAATTGTAGACCAGCATCATGGCTCATCTGTATGATTGGTTCATGTCAGATTTGTGCTTCTCCGGCTGTAAATGTCAATGCAAGAAAAGTCCATGTTTGGAGGTGTATCCTCATAGCAGTGGCAGCTCGGATTGGTGCGCAGGCACTCAAGAGGAGCCGTGATTGGACACTTCTTTATCATCGTAGAGACCAATTCTGTAATTGGCTCTTTGCGCTTAAAATTACCTAGGTAGGTTGGCACAGCGAACACAACTCGAAAGCATTGCAGCACACAAAGGCAAAAGCGGAGTTAGTGGACTCAAATCACCAGGACGACTTGACAGTGATGCAAAATACTGGAAAGAAGTAATAATCTGCTCAATTTTGGAGGCGGTTCTGTGTCGTTTTTGTAGGCGACGCCGAGACGTATATACACTTTCACGTGGGATTATCTTGAGATTTCGCCTATGGGCCGAGATTCAGACGAATCACAAACAAATAACCATTGCGCATGTCCTAATCAACAATCAGACGTTGATATGATGGATAACGCTGCGGAGATATAGAAAAGTACTGTAAATATCTGGCAATATACCCAAAAGACAACAGCTTTTAATCAAGACACGCCAATAACATGCAGCACCAAGCTAATCATCTCTGCAAGAACGCATTCCGAGACCTATTGCACACAGCATACACGAGCCGAGAGAAACAAAGGATGTGCACTATCGCCCAATTAATCGTCTCATCTGTCCACCATTATCCTGGCTCATTCTGCCGGGTGCGACTTGAAGATGCCGTAACCGACCACTTGTGTTACCTGTCTCATGTGACCCTACCTGGCAAAAGGCACTCTTACCCACAGAAGGGAACTCATTGTATCTCCAAATGATCCATCTAGGACTTGCAGGGTAATATACGGGTTCCCAGCTTGAATTTCACCCAGTTTCCATCTGTGCAAGGACAAGTGCAAGAAAGATATTCCAGACGGAATTGCACCGGACAAATGTTCCATCTATAGGCGCTCACCTTTAACTACACCCGTCACTTGCATATGATTTCAATGTGCTTATGCGTAGAATTTACCCATGTCCTGCCTGTGCGGCCATCACACGTTTCTACGGGCTCCTGCTGCTGGCCGGCATCCGACATGAAGTATGCTTAGCCGCATGTTTAGCACGGTATCCTTTCCAGATCATGGTGAATGTGTTGACCATATTGGATATCCACAAAATGCACATGAAATTCGACATTGTATTCGATATAGTCGCTATGTCAAGACAAAAGCATGTCAGCACAAGAAGACAGGAGAGTATGCCCTAAACCTTGTTTAACTCTTCCGAGATTGGCAGGCCAATGTCCACTGTTACCTAGTGTTCAATGTCCAGTTACAAGTCACAGCTTTTCATGACAAGAAGGACACGATGATTTCTTTCTACAATGGCAGGTTTGATCTCTCTTTGATAAATGCCAAAGGCCGTCAAAACGACTGGGCTTTGATCGATGTCATGCTGTTCGGCTCTGGGCATCCCGTGACGGCTGTCATGCAATATCCCAGCTCCTTACTTTGGCCACCAAATATGATCAGTATACTAAGATCAGTCAACCCCATGAGATATAGTCGCGTAGAGAGTATCACGCCTCTCGTCGACGGATTCCTGAGGGCCCTATTTGAATCGTCTGAAAGCCACAGGCGATGCAGGACCCCTAACAGAACATGGTCTCAATCCACCGAAGCAAGGCCAAGAAGATCTTTGAAGTCGTCGCCATATTTGATCTCGTCGTCCTCGATCAAGGCCATCGACCGGGAAACCTTCCAGTTGCAGAGTTTTCCAACAACCTGGCTGGCTAGACTGTCTCTGCAAACAGAGTGCCCCGTAATTCCCTTCTTTCCTTTGATTGTTTTCGAAAAAAGACCAGCCAACCTCACAGATATTTTCCGATTTCCCAGGTTGAGACCTGCCAACAATCTGGTACCACCATCCGGCCCGCCTAGTTGATCTTTATTCACCCAGCTCCAGCCCGGAGAACCTGACTGCTATCAAGCCCGGGCAGTCCTCATTCCATCCCGTTTCTTTCCCATTTCCTCTTTGCATCATTTCGATCTTTTCTGGTATCTTCATCCATTCTTCAGGTTGGCGGATCTGCATAGATCCGTCCCATCGCGAAGTCATCAATACGTTGTAACGCATCAACCAGAAACCCCCAACACTGCCCTGTTTTCACTTAGGTAATCTTGCAGTCGCCCTACTCCACGCAGGACCCGTGTACCGCGCCATACATCAAGATGGTAATCCTCCGCTGGGCCCGCCTTGTTGGCGACGTCGCCCGCGGTCTGGCCGCCGATGCCGAGGTTCGCCTGATTCAGTCGCGCGTCGGACGATTCTTCCGACTCGAAGGCTCGGGTCATGTAAGTCAAAACACCTATCGGCTATCCATCCTTTCATGGGCTTCTTCTCTAGGTTCATCAAGATCTGTATCTATATGTCGTTCCGATACTCAAATGGGGATTCGGCGCAGGTCGATTTTGTGCCTTTGCTAACGTCTTACAGCCCAACGAGATCGCCAACAGCACCTTCATCAAGGAGTTTCGTGCCGGTCTAACCACCTTTGCTACTATGGCCTACATTCTCGCTGTCAATGTAAGTCCACTATCCCCTCGTCTACCTATTTTGCAAGGTCCTGTAGTCGAGAGACTAACTGAATCGCCGCAGTCTCAGGTTCTCGCCGAGACTGGCGGAAACTGTCCCTGTGATGACAAGATTACTTTCTGCAAGGACAATGACGTCTACAATCAGTGCAAGATTGGTCAGTACTGCCGATTTCGAGACGAATAATCACTGGCTGACTTCAACAATGCAGATTTCAAGCGCGATCTTGTCACTGCAACCGCTCTTCTCTCTGGTTCCGCCAGCATCGCCTTTGGTCTGTTCACTAACCTGCCCGTCGCCTTGGCGTAAGTTCCCAGCTCTGGCTTGCCAAGTATTATCGATACAAGTACTAATACAGCCAGCCCCGGTATGGGTGTCAACGCATACTTTGCCTACCAGGTCGTTGGATTCAATGGAAGTGGCATGGTCTCGTACCCTCTGGCTCTCACTGCCGTCTTTGTCGAAGGCTTGATCTTCATGGGCCTAGCTCTCACCGGAATGCGACAGTGGCTGGTCAGGGCTATTCCCTCCACCATCAAGACGGCTTCGGGCGTTGGTATCGGTCTCTTCCTCACCATGGTCGGCCTCAGCTATTCCGTTGGTATCGGCGCCATCACGGGTGGAGTCAACACGCCTCTCGCCATCGGCGGCTGCCGCATCGAGGACTTGGATTCGACGACACACATGTGTACAAGAGGTGTCATGACGAACCCTGCTGTAAGTTATGGACTGCCAAAGTCTCATCGTGGTACCGTCTAACTGGAGTCATTTAGATGTGGATTGGTATTCTACTTGGCGGCATCCTCGTTGCGGTTATGATGGCTTTCAGAATGAGAAGCGCAATCGTCATTGGCATCGCTCTGGTCACCGTCATTTCTTGGCCGTAAGTGTGCCCCAATATCATCTCATCTCACATCGTACTCACCATTGGCTAGGCGCGACACCAGTTTCACTTACTTTCCCTACACCGACGAGGGAAATGAGCGATTCGAGTTCTTCAAGCAGGTGGCTACCTTTCGTCCGATCGGCAGCCTGACGTTTCTCCATGATTGGGATCTTAGTGGCAACGCTGGAACCCACTTTGTCCTCGCTCTGTTCACCTTCCTGTACGTCGATATTATCGATTGTACCGCCACTCTGGCCTCGATGGCCAAGTTCTCGAACGTCGTCGATGATCATGGCAATTTCCCTCGCTCAACTGTTGCGTACTGCACAGACGCCGCCTTTATCTCGATCGGTTCGTTCCTCGGCTGCTCTCCTGTGACCGCTTTTATTGAGAGCGCTTCGGGAATCATGCAAGGTGGCCGCACTGGACTGACTGCAATCACCACCGGTATCTGTTTCTTGTTGGCAGTCTTCTTTGCCCCCATCTTTGCCTCCATCCCGCCCTGGGCCACTGGTTGCACACTCATTCTTGTAGGTCAAGTCGCTCGCTCTTTTTCTGACTTGCACAACTAATCATCCCGGGATATCAGGTCGGTTGCATGATGATTCGTCAGGTCGTCAAGATCAATTGGGCGTATATCGGTGACTCTCTTCCGTCATTTGTCACTCTTGCATTCATGCCAATGAGTTACAGCGTCGCCTATGGCCTGATCGCGTACGTCCCAGCCCAATTGCTTTTCTGTTTTTCTTTGCATAGACTGACCATGCAATACTAGTGGCATGCTCAACTACGTCGTCCTCAATACCACAATCTGGATCATTGTTCACGCCTCAGGCCATCGATGGGTGCCAGAGAACTACCACCTCAAGGAGGCCTACCACTGGCAGTTGAACGAGCGAAACCTGCCGACCTGGATGCGCACGCTCCTAGCCAAGATACAGCGCCGTCGCCCAGAGGAGGACAGTGTCCATAAGGAGGGCATTGATCTGGGCGCTCGCGGCACCAGTCAGGAGAGCTCTCAGGGTATTCGTGGCAGTTCGCAGTTTGGCGGCTCGACTCGAGACATTCACATGGCCAACCTGCAGGCTCAGATCCGCCGCTTCGTCTGATCCCGCCTCTGCTGTCATGTCTTCTGCCTACATTGCATTTTGACTGGGGTTAGTGGTCTTGTGTAATGGGGTTGCTCATGATCAACGGGGTGGTTGCTTCGATCGGACATTCGCCATCGAGACTTGCTGTCATCATCGTTGGCCACTGACAAGGAGACATATGAGCAGTAGGACGGAGGGCGGTGGAATCCGGACATTGGTTCAATCAAAAACCCTGTTCAAACACAGTATGGAACGGGGGAGTACATATGGTTTGCGATGAATTGCTCTGCTTTTGAGCCTGGTGGCACATGGGATTCGCACGCGTAGACACACTTGGCTTTCCCCTGCTCCTCAAGGGAGGGGCGCAGTTGTTGCTGTGAAAGAAAATGGAAGTTTGGTCATTTGGCCAACTTCAAGGAAAACGATCAAAAAAAGGTATGAAATGTCTCTGGGCTTGAGAGTCAGTAGTGAGAAGAAAGAGGGTAGCCTCAGGCTTGTTTAGTCTGTCCAAGATCAAATTTGATCAAGAGAGGACACACAAAAACGCCAATACATGAGTTGCGAAATGATGTCTTTTTACGTCTCTAAATGAGCAAATCATACTGTCAAGGTGTGAGACAGACTGGTGCTTGTGGTGATGGTTGTGATGAGCCCGTGATGATTCGCTTTGGTGTTTTGGTCTTGTAGCCCCACTCTTTTAGCATAGCTTAGGAGGACCCCTGCATATGTGTCTCTTGGCAACTGGCGTTGGTGCTAGCGAACACGTTCAATCGTCTCCTACTGGCAACAAGCTGATGCAATCTGCATATGGTCCAACACTTTCTCAGCACTTGAAAACCTCCCCGACGGACAAGAAGCAACATTTCAGTGATTGCATAGTCCGGACTTTTGGCAGATCTATAGATCCGCGCAGAGCTTCATTCACTTGCTCATGCCGCCGTCATCGAGGCAGCGACCTCTGCCATAGCTGACAGCCACAATGGCCGACGTGTCCGAATACACGGCCCTCGACATGCCAGAGGCAGCGACTGCGGACAAGCCCTCGGCTCCGTCTGCTGCCGCCGTCGAAAGCACCAACAAGTTCCAGCATGCCATATCCGCATGGCGAAGTAAGAGAACATTGATGCTTGGGGGAGAGTATGGGGCATTGAGCTGGATCTGACAGACCGTAGACATTGATTTGACCTCACTGGTCTCGACCTTGGACAACACGGCATCAGACATTGTCGCCTACCAGCGAGACTCCACCGTTCAACGAAAAGATCTCGCCCAGAAGACCAAGGACTTTAGAAAGTTGGACGATGCGACCAAATTGACTGAAATAAAGGGCTTGCTAAAGGGTCAGTAATGCCTGCTATTCCCAAATGCAACTTGCCACCTAAGGACTTGAACTGAAATGCGATATGCCTTGCAGCTTACCAAACCTTTATCGACCTTCTGACGAACCACTCTAAATCAACAAATTCGGCATTCCTTCAGGTGTACTCGGCCTTGTCCGACGCGCCAGACCCATATCCCCTGCTTGAAGCATCGGTAGACTCCATGCTGGTGTCTGAAGATACCCTCCCAAAGCTTACCGAGGAGAACGAGCACTTGCAAAAGAACATTACGAAGCTGACCGCACAGCTGGAAGAGACCGAGTCGAAACTACAGTCGGAAAGTGCTGCTCGGAAACAACTCGAGTCCAATCTGGACGAAAAAGTAAAGGAGGTCGAGGCATCATGGACTGCTGTCCTGGATGAAAAGAGAGACAACTGGGAGGCAAAGGAGAAGGCCTTGGAAGAAAAGGTGGAGAACCAGGAGAGGCTGATGACTGAGATCAAGGCCAGCTATGAAGTCAACCAACGCCTGAAGGGGTCTGGAGATGCCGAATCCGAGGGACAAGGAGGGCACGTCACAAGCGCCGAGCTGGAAATGGTTCACTCGGATCTGGAGAGGACGAGCACGCGACTTGCCGAGGTGGAAGCACGCAATGAGCAGCTGCGCCTGGACTTGGCACAGTCGAAATCGCAAGTGTCTACTCAAGCTCCCGTCCTCGAAGACGACCCCAACTATATGCGCATGCGTTCCGAGAACTCGTCCTTGATTCGAAAACTCGATTCAGCCAGGTTGGAGAAGGAGGGCTTCAAGCGCGATATTGACATAAAACTACGAGGCCTGGAGAGAGAAGTCAGTCTGCTCAAGGAAGACCGTGACAATCTCAAGGCCAAGGTGCAGAAATGGCACGACTATGACGATATCAAGCAGGAACTCGAGGTGCTCAAGAGTATTGAGTTTGCTACAGGTGACGATGATGATGCAGTCATGGCAGAAGCCGATTCAAACGGTAGTGCTGGCAAGAGTAAAGGCGACACGCTGGAACAGCTTCTCTTAGCGCGAAACAAGAAGCTCAGTGATGAACTGACTATATTGCGGGTATCGCATCAAGATCTGCAAAGCAGACTGGAGAACCTGCAAGAAGAAATGTCAAGGACCAATGCCGATCTGGAGAGAGCACAGAACCTCAATACACAGCTCGAGAACGACTTGGCAAATCTACAAGCAGAGGGACAGAACGCCTTCCCGTCGGGAGCTTCAGTGGCTGGAACCTATGCCCGCTATGCACCCTCGGTTGCGCCTGGTAGGCGGGGTGGCAGGACCTCGCCCACGTCTTCCATCATCTCTGGCTTCAACCCTCGAGATGGCGGCGGCGAAGCCTATGGAGGCGGGTCTGGCATGCTGCCGATGATTACTGCTCAGCGTGACCGCTTCAAGAAGAGAATAACACAACTTGAAAATGAGCTGTCCGAATCTCACCGTACGATATCTCAGCTGCGGTCAGAGACCGCCGCACTCCAGAAAGATAATCTGCAACTATATGAAAAGACGAGATACGTCTCAACATACAACCGGGGTACGGCGTCTTCGTCCTCTGCCTATTCCAGCAACCCCAACCCTTCGACAGTATCAATAGGAGGCTCTGGAAACCCCGGGATGTCTCTGGATAGATACCGAAAAGCATACGAATCAAATATTTCGCCTTTTGCAGCATTCCGGGGTCGGGAATCAGCACGGGCCTACAAGCGCATGAGCTTACCTGAGCGCGTCGTCTACTCAGTGACGCGGATGGTTCTTGCTTCAAGAACAAGCCGGAATCTTTTTGCTGCCTATTGTGTAGCGCTACACTTGTTGGTGTTCCTGTCACTGTATTGGATGGGTACATCAGATGCCGAGCAGCACGCGAGCCATTTGAGCCAAGGCGTAGCCGGCGCTGCAGCATTGGCTGGGACGGCTGGCAAAGGAGGCACCGGATCGAGCCACGGAGAGTGGAAAGAAGACTCTGGCTTTTAATGTGATCAATGCCCAGTTGGGACACTTGTACGACCAGTAGCCTCTAACGCTTCCATTTGCGGAAGTGTCTCAGCGATAATGTATAACATACACACTTGGCAATGTCATGGCGGGGACACGGCATCTTTACAATGTGTCGACATGCTCAAGTGATATTGCTGTTCTTAATGTCCGATTCAAGTATATTTTGTGCTCCACATGATAGATTGCGCGCCGGAAGGAAAAGAAAACCGCGAAGATGGCAGCACCAAGCAGCCTAAAAATGGAGCATAACTCTCACACACCCACCAGTGTTTTTCTTCATGTATGCAATGTAATCAAGGGAGCGCTTAAACATTGACCTGCTGCAATAATCCGAACCCGGCAGACAAGCGATTGGCTATGAACGCACGGTGGTGGACTGCGAGCTGCATTCTGCTTCACCCCAGATTGCCACGCGGCCATACTTTTTTTCTTTGCTTGAAAGCGAGACCGACACGTCCACGTCTGTCTCAGTAGTCAATACAAGAAACAGGCTCTGATACCACCATCATATGAATGAGAAGATCTATTTGGCTGGCTGTTTCTTTGGAATAATGCTGCTGGCCGAAAGCTCGAACCAGTCACAATTGGCAAAACTCCAGAGGCGGGTTGGTTACCATGTACACCAGTTGGCGTAGTAATGTTCTCCATGTAATAAATCTCTCTCTTCGATATCTATTTGCAAGCCATACTTGACTTTGGCGAGGATGGACGAGTTCAACAGCCGCCGAACTATATTGCGGTATGTCCGCTTTTGGCAGTCCAATATGGAGATATATCGGATGCCACGCCTGGTCAAGACAATGGATGCTGCGGAAAACAAGGCTTTCTACCATGACTTACATTACTTAGACGCTGGAGAAGGTTTGTTTATTGGCTGGAGAAGAAAGTGGGCAAATTGACCGGATCCGGCATGGTCGAGATCCAAAGCCAAGCTTAACCTTGATTTCCACAGAGAGTTATTTTGGTGTCTTTGCGCGCTTGTTCTATTTCTAGCACCTAAGCGCCAGCGCTGTTTGCTCCACCCTCGCGCAGATTATATCGGGCAAATTTCTCATTCGGCACCCTGCAGACTCGAGATTAACCCACCTTTCTTCCAGATGCAAAGATCTCGGCGAGTGGGACACTTGTCTCTGTAGGATACCCTTGCTTTCGCGCGCTTCATTGGTCCGTACTTGACAGATGCTCTTCTTTCTTATTGTGTTCCCCTCTTTAACATCAGGCCATTATTGGCTTGTGACCCACGGGGCAGCAAAGACACTCAGTTCTTTTCTCCGCGCCATCTCTTTGACCCTATCGGCAGCTTGCAGCGATATTGTGTGTGGGTATTCCCGTAGCGGCGATGGGGGAACCGGACTGGTCTGGCTGGACTGGCCCTACATACTGTACCTACCATGGAATACTCTCTCGATATGCACGTCAGCCATGGACTGCAACGATGAATGAGCTGGCTGCTTGTTGCTGGCTGACCCAAAGGTCCATCAGGCTTCCCAAGAACATTGAAAAATCGAATCTGGATCGCATACCCGAGAGACGTCTCTGACCCATTTGCTTTGTTGAAGAGCTACTGCAATGCATACCTCAAGGCTACTGCAACAACTCAGCGTCAACATGACCTGATGTTCGCCCTCCCTCCATGTTCATCTTGGGTAGTACACGACGTCTGAATGAGTAGGTAGATTGCAACTCAGTCCAAGATTCCAGCTTTGTTCTTGCAAGAACCCTCCACCATGGAGCATCTAGGTGGTCACCAGAGCAGCAAACGATATTCCCAAAATGGCATCTGGAAGTCGGCCTCCCTGACCTTCTACCTGACCATCAGAGCCCTCGAGGCGTGTAAAACACGAAGCGTTTTGCCGCTGCGTTCCCTCCAATTCGCAGCCTGTCCATCAGCTAGCTAGCGACCTGCTGCTGTACAGACACATGGGAAAATTATACCATCTTGTACGCCCGCCATGAAATAAAGTGGTACGAAATAGAGTAGTGTGGTGGTCGATGGCAAGTCGACCCCCCAAGGGCGCTTGCAGGACGAGGTTGGGCCGCGGCCACGGACGAGTCAGATAGGCCGCTCGAGCTCAACCCCATGTCGACGACCCCCTAGCTGCAGATCGCTTGGCTGTTCCATACATCAACCCATGTCGTCTACCCGTTCTCCGTCGGACAGGGGCTGTCTAAATGCAGCGGCCAATCATGTCGTCTTTCCCGGGTTTTCCCACCTCTTTCCTCTCCCCGGCTTGTCCTTCCACGGCGACGTTGCCCAGGGCGGTTGCGGAAGATGAGCTTTTTGATCGAGGCCATGTATCCCCGCGCCGTTGAGTGGGCCAAAAGATACATGGTCCCCATGCGATATGGGTGGGTTAATTTGCCCTTTCTTCTTGATCCTACAGTGTACCCTGCTGTACGACCAATTTATCTTCTTGCAGGGATGGGTGGATGGTGTTGCGCTGGTTGCTTGCTCTGCCGCCGGGCGAATCCCCTGTGGACAATTTTTCGCAGATGGTTGTATAATAGGAATATCAATCCCACTTCCATCAGTGTGTGTGTGTGTGTGCTTCCACGCTGCATCTTTGTTTGATTCACGACATATATCCCAACGGTGAATCTTTTCCTTTTGCTCTTTTCTTGGGTTTTCAAATTGGTCTCTTGGTTCTCGGTTTTCTTCGTCATATAAAGATAGCCTTTGGGCACAGGCTGCTTGGAGGGATCTTGCACTATTACCCAAAAAGAGAAAAGAAGCATCAACAACTATAACGAATTCACAGCATTCGCCAATATCGACTCAGGTCTACCCGACGCGTTCAATACCACAGTCGATTACTTGTCACAAGGCTACGGCCCTTTCGCCACATCAGAATGCACTCCTCGATATTATTGACGGCAGCACTTGGTGCCATGTCGGTCATTGCCGCTCCCACATACCCGAGCCTCAACACCCACGCCGCAGAACCGGGCGCCCTGGACACCGTCTCAGAGTATTTCAACATGTTGGCAACCAAGGTCCAAGAGAGTCGACAGATGGCTGTTGCACCAGTCTGTGACCTTTCCACTGTGCAGATGCCCGAAGGTATGCGGCCTTGTTCGTCATACTGCTGCGAGCTCATCTAACTTGTAATTTCACAGCTCCTACGCCTCTACCTGCAGTGAGCGAAGGCTTGACATTGAAGCATGTGGCGGTTGGCCGTGGTACCCAGAACTACACCTGCGACACAACGAATGCTACAGCCGCCCCGGTGGCTATTGGCGCCATGGCAACTCTTTTCAACGCCAGCTGCCTCATCTCCACCTACCCGGACCTTACCAACATGATCACCAGAATGGCATTGAAATTCGACTTGTCGGCCGAGGAGACAAAGCTGGGACCGAGCAACCTGGCCATCTCTGGCCAACACTACTTCACCAACATGACCACCCCCTTCTTCAACCTGGACCGACCCAACTTGCAGCTGGGCGAGGCTCCCTGCCAGAAGCTCAACGCGACCAGCGCCCCCACAGATGCTGCCAAGGGTCCCGACGGTGCCTCTGCTGTCCCGTGGTTGAAGCTATCGACGCGTGCCGGTGCCACTGGTGACTTGCAAGAAGTCTACCGCGTCGAAACGGCAGGAGGCAGTGCGCCGGCTACCTGCGCAGGCATGCCAGCAACTTTCGAGGTTCAATACTCGGCACAGTAAGTTGACCCTTTACATGCTACTCAGGTTAAGCATTCACTAATGCCGGGCAATAGATACTTCTTTTGGGCGGCTGAACACACATCCTAAACAAGCCTTATGAGATGGAATGACTGAGTATAATACTCGTTTTGTTGTATGATACCAAGGAGGAAGACCCACGCCTGTGCAGGGTGCACTGCACTATCAAACATTCTATACCACACTTATACATGCCTGGCGTTCAGGCGTTGAGGCATTCCGACGACCGAGCGGACGCCATCGACAAGTTTTCGTTGACGGATTCGAGATATAATTACATTTTTTTTTTTTAAGTGGTTCATCCATTACTTTCTGTTTCTAGCTAGTCGTCCGATACCACGAGTTTGATAAAAGTGCGCAGTGCGTTGCGGACCGTATAAAAAAATTACAAAATAACCCCCAAAACCTCCCTCGTCTTGGCCATATTTGATTTTACCTTTTGCTGACTCGATATCGCCGATCGCAAAGAATTGTCCAGATTCAATTGACAAACCCAAGACCCAGTGCCATGCACAACACTTGTTGGTTCCCAAGACCAAGAATCCTCGAGCCTCGTCTTGAAACACGTACAAACTATAGTGCTTGTTCACGCCTCGTTACATTATTATTCCTTGCTGACTAGAATGCATCCACATGGATCCAGTGTAGGTAGCAGTGAGAAACCCCTTTCAACTTTTCGATTTGGTCGCGATCGGTCATTATGCACGGCATACATGTAGTAGGCATTTCTCAATACAACCTTGGCATCCTGCTCTCGAACCTTGGCGGTCTAGCTCGTCCAACAGCCCAGCCCCCCTCCCAAAATGGGCTTAGTAGAGCAGAAGAGATGGAGGGGACGCCGCGATCCGTCTTTTCGGTTGGGCTATAATACATTTTACGATATATGCCTTTGATGTCTGACGCGCATGAGCCTGCATCGAGGAAAATTCGTCCGCTCTGCCTAGGTTATCTATTCCCTTGGAGGATGGAATTTTGGTGGGTTGGGGTTTTTCTATCGTGATAGGCAGCCTATTTCTCATGTTCCTCACAACATGGGATCGCAATAATTCCCCTTTGCACTTTTCTCATTGGCAGAGACAGACCAAGTAATTCTCAAGATATGGCCATCATAAATTGCAATGAATAAGTCGGGCTTTGCATTGCAAAACACGACTTTGCCCCATCTTTGGTGCAATCATCAGTTCATCACCGTCTGAGCTGCACGCCGTTCCGAAACCATCACAGCCCGGTCCCCTTCGCGTAGAAGGCAAACTTTATTGATTCTTTCCCTCTCGGCAAGCCGAGCATCGGTAAGACGGAACCATAACTATTCGGATTCTCTTCTGAACGAGAAGTATACTTTTTCAAAACTCACAATTGATCGACCTGAAACAGGACTTGAATGATTGCAACCAACCTGCATTATACCATGTGTGCGCAAGAGAGAGCCAAGGGAGAGCTTGCTCTATCGTGCCGAACGCTCATGTCCCGACAGGTTGGATAGCGCACTGACGTGCTGACACATGAAGCCTAGCCCGTGGAAAGATGAAACTTTTCAAAATGGCTTACCTTTCTGACCTACATATATTACATTCCTACCTAGGTAGTTATGGATATACATTTCAATTTGTTCTTCTTATTCAAAAGCACGGATGATTTTTTCTAAAAGCTTGGCTCTTGGTAAACCGCTGGACTGTGGAGCTTAGTGTAGTAAACTAACCTAGGTCTCTAGCTTACGGGGCACTCGCTACCTGGGGCATTTGTTTCATTGAAGGATTTGGGCATTGTTCATACATGATGCAGGCAGGGGAAGAGAAACCAGAAAGTCCGTCTGAACTCATTACAGGATTTCCCATGAGGGTAGGGAATCCTGCTCGGGAGTTGATTCCAGCTTTTGCAATGACCGGTCCGATTGTGTCGGATGCGCAGGAAGTATGTTGAAGCCCCGACTCACACATGCGTGTGGATACCACGCCCTTCTCTTATACTTGACCAGTGGTAAATGCATCTAGAATATGAGCTACACCACAGAACACATGACGTCTGCATAGCATGTCGTAGCAAAATCGCGCAGTATTGCTGCGAGTCAAATCGGCTATAGGTTGCGTGGCTCTTCTTCGGATGACTTGCAACTGTACTACTCGATTCCACGATGGAGTTCTGATATACAGGAAGCTGGCATCCTTTGGTACTTCTAATATCCGTTGTATCCTCTAGAAACCCCGGAAAATCGAATGAAGCTTCTTTTCCATCTACCTTGATTCGTCTGTCGAAAGAGGCTTTGCGATATCCGTTCCATTAGTTCGCTTTTCGGTTGCTACCCTAGTATGTCGAAGGAGCTGAAACATGGAAACATTTTGAATCCCAAAAGTGCGCACGTTTGATCTACTGCAGGAGGAGGCGAACCCTGCTGCAGCTCACATACCAGGTACATTGCTACCTACATCCTACCTTGAACTTATAGCACTAAAGGACTTGACCACCCTCCTAAAAGCACCTATACACTTTCTGCTAGTCTACTGTTCTTCCATAATCACGGCCCTGCAGACTTTAACTCCTATATCACACACCCCAAGTCTGTGCGTGCGTGTTTCAACATCACTTATGGCCTTGTATAGTAGGACGATGACTGCTTAAGGGGGAAAAATGGCCCCCTCTTCCTGAGTAATACGGTCTTTCCCTACAAAGGCTCTTTTGAGCCCAGATGAACGGATGAAACATTCCTGGCGTGCATACAGGGGACGCTGGCTCTGGTCACTAGGTTTGATATATAGATGAAATACATTGGTTACAACCATTGATCAATGGCAAGCGCGTTGAGTCAACATGACTGCGACTACCGCGCGCTTGTCACAGATATCAGCCAAATTGGAGGCCTTGCTGGTTAATTACTCTGTCAAGAGATTATTTCGTAGCGGGCAAATTTGTTCATTGCCTGTAAGTCTTCAGTGGCCGGTGAAATAAATGGTGGCACAAGATGGATATTGTCATGTTCCCTTTCCGGTCTTTAGATGATAGTATTACATGAAGCTCGCAATAGAGTCCCGACCTCTTGAAACGGCGATGACTCTTTCGAGTACGGGCGCAAGATTGTGTACACTACGATGCGGTGAGTCCATCTCATGTCATGGACCACCTGGCCATCTAAGATGAGAAAATGGATATCTGGATCCACGGCAGCCTACGATATCAACCCTCCATCTCAATATCCTCGCCGCCGCCTCTCCGTCTGCCTTCAAGACGCTTCTTGGTTGTCTCCTTGGCATCCTCGACCCATTTCTCATAAGCACCGCCTCCTTGCTTGAGCTTTTGTTCCACGACACCCTTCATTACAGCGCCTGCAAAGCCCACAAAGTTGTGTCGTCGCAGGGCGTTCTCGAATTGCCAGTCTCTTCGTTTCCGCTCCTCCCTCTCCAGCATATCCATATCTCCAATTTCACGTGCTTTTATCCGCAGGTCCCGGACCATAGCCATGAGGTTGAAGCGGATTTCGGTGATGTCGTAGCGGTTGATCCGCTTCTGGAGCACCTCCATGACTTTGGTCGGGAATTCATCGGATGTGCAGGCACCGTGTGTGATGGGTGCGGGCTGTAGGCCGTCGAGTTCGTACAGTGTGCCATTGATTGGTGTGTAAGCGACAAAGTGGAAGGCGTCCTCCGTTTCGCCACCGGTACGCTGCGTCTCGTCCACAAAGGGGCTGCTCTTGGCGAAGCTGTTGTGCACGTCGCGAATGAGCTCCGAATTGCTCAGTGCCTCACCGCGGAACTCGGGTGGGAGCATCATGGTAAACTCCTTAAAGTCCTTCAGTGATGACCCAATCTCCACCTCGCCCTCCTTGTTTAGCAGGCAGGATAGCAATGCTTGGGTACCGCAGGCATTCTGAATGGTCTGAGCTGCGAAGAATAGGCGCTCGGAAGCATCGTGGTCGAAATCGCCATCCAATGGCTTCTCTGTCGTAGTGTATGGTCGGTCCGTCGGATACTTGAAGAGGAAAATAACACCGTACACGGGATAGAGGGAGGCGAGCGCATCGGGCTCAAGTGTCAAAAGCTCTTCAAACTGTACATCTTTGACGCCGAGGTTGTCGAGCAGGTAGGTGAAGACACCCTAGATCTTGTATTAGCTCTTGTTCAGGAGTATTCGGCGAGGGAAAAATCAATCAACTGACAGCATCGGACTCGACTAGAGGTAGGCTTAGCAAAAGAAGAAAGGCTTGGATTATTTTGATTGCGACAAGACTTACTCGTATTCCAGCCGCCACTCATCGCTGCGAGTTAAGGGCTACGAGGCCCGAGAAATTGGCGATGCTTGTGTTGTATACAAAGGTTGAAACGAAGAGGCTGAAGTTGTCAATGTTGATTTACAAATTGTAGAACGTGATTCTCTTCGAGGTCGTAAAATGACCTCCGTTGGTTGATGCTGCTTGTTCGAAAGTTTATTGGTGTTGGAGTGAAGCTCTGGTGGGGATACGTAATGGCCTGGGTACCTGAAGCTTGAGCTCGAGCTGCTGTCAAGTGCCTGGTCGGCGATAAGATAACGTTATTTTAAGCAACCAGCGTCACCGTACAGGTCCCCGGTACCTTCTGTAGCCCCTCTGCGCCGGCCTTTAGTGGCATGATAGACGCCCAGCCTCGCAGTCGCGGAACCAGGCTGCCATCACAGCAGCTCACCTCCTGAAGCTATTCCTCTGGCCCAACTGCCGACTCAACATCTACAACCATTACTGCTACTTTCATCATGGTGTTGCAAAAATACCATGGCTTCAGATGCGCAAGATGACGATCGATCCGACCTTGAGACCGGTCCCTTCGTGCTGCGCACGTTGCTAAAAGATGTCCCGCTCTCTGGAGACGGCGCAAAGGATGACGACGTCAAGATCAATTGCGTGGAGTACCTAGGTGCGCACAAGCTACCTGATTCAGGCATACTTCATGTAGTATACGGAATTACGAGCTGATGCATCAATAAACAGACGGGAACCTCTACGTTGGCACCTCCGCTTCAGAGCTTATCCATTTCGTTCAGATCCCCGCTGATCCCTCCGATGACTCTGCCACGCCCGTCTTCGTTCAAGCCTCGAGGCTTCAGCCAGCTTATGCCGAAACCTCGAGCTCCTCTAGTAGCCCAAAGCCTGGCATACAGCAAATTCTACTTCTGCCTCGAGTCGGCAAGGCATGCATATTATGTAACGGGACAGTAACCTTTTATTCACTACCCGAATTGAGCCCAGTTTTCAACAATACGCAAGTCAAGAATTGCAATTGGATAGGCGGCATCGACTTGAATGAGCTGCAGGGTGACCATGAAAACGCAGAGGGTGTAGGAGTGACGATTTTGCTTTCTCTGAACCGCCGTATACAAGTCGTCAGGATCGGCGAGGATGCTCGAGGCATCAAGAGAATCGACATCCCCGGGACATCCCTGACGGTCAGGCGCGATACAATTGCATGTGTGGCGGACTCTCGAAATTACTCTTTGCTGGAGATTGAGCGCCAACTCAAGATCCCGCTCATGTCCATTTCATCCTTGGATGATGCTCAGCCTGCTGTGGGCCAAATGCAAGACGTCTCTGGCGGCAATGACGGACCTGGCATCACTAGAAGCGCCTCGTCTGCTAGCCGCCCACAATCCGGCCTTCAAGAATCCCATCAACACCGTAGGGGCACTAGTTTGGGTAACTTGATAAGTGGAAATAGGAGACAAGAGCAGCCTCAAGTTGAGCAAGAAGAATCAGTCTTTCAGGAACCACCTGAATCCAGAGGCAGCCCTGCACCCCCTGAACAGATACAGAGTAGGGATGGAACGCCACAACCCCAGGCCGAGGGATTACCACGACCAGCACCCACTCCAAAGCCTCGGGACGTTCTCCTGAAACCCCACATTGTGTCGCCAACACCTGAAGAATTTCTGCTTGTTACCGGAACTGGCCCTTCGGAGCCAGGGATAGGTATGTTCGTGAACCTCGATGGAGATCCTACGAGGCCCACTGTCGAGTTTGATCGATATCCAAAGGAGATTGTTGTTGATGGCGGCGCTTCGGATCTATCGTCCTCGCGGCCTAGCGTGGACGAAGACGATGAGGGATACGTACTTGCTTCCATGGACCGGGAATTTGAGGATGGCTTACACAATGGCCTGGAGATTCAAAGATGGGACAGCGATGGATCAGAGGCGGAACCGACAAGGTATTGGCTCGAGCCGCCAGGAATGCGTTCGCCATCTCAAGCGATAGGCATCAGATCTCTTCGCGGTTCCAATGAAACGCACTTCCAGGAAATCGTCGACAAGCTTTCTCAACAAAGATTCAAGCCATTCTCCCAGGGTCTGGAGGCATCCACCATGTCGCTTGGAAGCCTGGATTCCAGGACCGCATTGACGATGGAGCGTGTCTCAAAGGAAAAGGAGCTGTTTGAAAGGGATAATGACTCCCCCGATGACGAAACTTTACCTTCAGGATGGGAGAACAACCGCTTAGATGAAGAAAAAGAGTTTGCTCGAAGGCTAGCTGGCACTACAGCTCGGCTCGCTGTTTGGTCAGGAGATCACATATGGTGGGCTCTGCGCAACCCTCTAATCCTGCAGCTGGATACTCAACTCAAGAGCGTATCGAAATCCTCCATCAACACCGTTGCCGAGCGACGAGAACTGTTCAGTCTACTAAACTCTTTTCGTGGCCGCGACGCGAGATCCGAGCTGGAATTCCTTACTTTCAATTATATGAGACAAAGAACCGGTATTCTATTGCTGACAAGTTTCCTGCAACCAAATAAGGAGCCCTTTGGTGAATCAGAGCTTCGTGCACTTGAGGAAGTTCTGGTCGATAGTCTTCTTGACCCACGGGTTGTGCTGTCATTAATCCCCGGCGTCCGCAATGAAGTAATAGAGACTCGCAAAGGTATTTGGATCTTTGGCGGTGTAAAACAGGAAGCCGACGCTTACATTGCGACCGACGCCTTTGACAAGGGCAGATCTGGTGTCAATGTCCTGCCTGCTTCGGTACTGCAGTTCCTGAAGCGCTTTCTCACGGCATGGAGGAAAAAGAAGGGATTCGGCAGCATTCCTGATGAAAATGAAGTCTTTCGAACAGTCGATGCTGCGCTTCTCGCCGTGTTGCTCGAACTAGATCAGCATTCGCCACCGGGTCTGGCAAGAGGCAAGTCAACACGCTCCGAGCTATACGATCTGGTGGACAATGGAGTCGACTGTTTTGAAAGGGCGGAAACATTGATAGAGTCATATCGTCGGCTTTTTGTCCTCAGCCGCCTGTACCAAAGCCGCAGGATGGCTGAAGAGGTACTCACGACATGGCGCCGAATTGTTGAAGGAGAAGAAGACGCCGGTGGAGAATTCCGCGATGGAGAACAGCGCATTCGAGAGTATCTAACAAAAATCAGCAATCAAGCCCTGGTGCGCGAGTACGGTCTCTGGCTTGCAAATCGCAATCCAAAACTCGGCGTTCAAGTCTTCGCCGAAGAAAAGGGGCGTGCACCAAAGTTCGAACCCACACAGGTTGTCGAAATTCTTCGTGCGGAAGCTCCAGATGCTGTCAAGTACTACCTAGAATATCTGGTATTTGGCCAAGGACACACTATCCATGTCAACGAGCTCATCACGTACTATCTGGATATCGTCATTACTCATCTTGAATCCTCCTCGGAGGCTCGCGAGGTTTTTGTGGCGACATATGCTGCTTATCGAGCTTTGCGCCCACTAAAGCCTACCTACAGGCAATTTCTAACAGAGAATGCCCCAGAAGACGATGAAGTCTGGCAAAGCCGGCTACGTCTACTGCAACTGCTGGGCGGACAGTATGATTATGATTTGGCTGCGATTAGAAGTCGTATTGCCGGCCTAGAGGCTACTGCTCCAGATCTCCTTGTTCCGGAAACCATCATTCTGGATGGGCGAGAGCGTAAGCATGAAGATGCCTTGCGATTACTCGTGCATCATCTGGGTGACTACGATACTGCAGTGGCGTATTGCCTCCGAGGCGGCTCCAGTATATATAGTATCTACCAAACCACACCACCGTCTCCTCATCCCACAGCGCCGGACAGCACAAAGGCGCCAAAGAGAAGAGACAGTGCGCCCCCCACAGAAAATGAGCAGGCAAGGCTCTTCCGTGCTCTACTCGGCGAGTTCCTGGAGATTGAAGATGTCAGTGACCGTGTAGAGCAGACGGGGATGATGCTTGAGCGGTTTGGTGGCTGGTTCGATGTGGACGAGGTCTTGAGTCTTATTCCTGATACTTGGAGTGTGGACCTGGTTGCTGGTTTCTTGGTCAGGGCATTACGGAGGATGGTTGTAGAGAAGAACGAGACCACGGTTGCGAGAGCATTATCAAGTAGCCAGTACCTCAAAGTCCAGCATGATCTGGTCACCAAGATAGAGGAGAAAGGCCCGACTTTTGAGGGTGAATAGAAGAGGAATTTGGAGCGTTTATCATAGATTCACTCAAAGCCAAACTGTTCGACCAAGGTGGATGTCTGTACATGTGTTGTGTTCCTCTAGTCCGACTAACCTGTGTTTTTTCCATACATGTCTTCACTGAGAATGCAGCAATATTCATGCTATTTTTTCGCACAACAAAAGAGGGTGACAACTGTTTCGACTTACAAGACTGGTTCATACAAGGTCCTCTGTAGGTATCAAAAAAGGCCCACCACATGAACTTGAACTGAGTGCATGGAGCTCGGCTGGGTCGCCCCACTGCAGCCCACCTGCGTCTAGGTCGGCGATAAGCGATAAGAAAAAAAAGTTGGAGGTGCATAGGCCGGCGCATTCAGTCAACGCATTTGCGCCAGCTTCAATTCGATGGTGAACATGGAGAGACCGTAACAATGAAGACGGATTTCAAGGTAAATACTGACAGAAGAGCCTGCGCATAAAGGGTATACCTGCTGATACTGCTCTACTCCCTAGTTTTCGAACCTTCTAGGCACGGTTTACTGCCAAGGTAACCTGCTTTACAGCCCCGACGGAACCTGCCTGTTCTCCCCAGTCTCGAATCGTGTCACTGTCTTCAATCTTGTCGAGTGAGTTGTTGTCTGCCCGGAATGGTCACCATGGAGTCCTCGATCTGACATGGAGTAGGAACAAGTCTCACACTCTACCCTTTGCCCACCGCAAAAACATTGCCCGCATCGGTCTCACGCCACAGGGCAACCTCCTACTCTCCGTCGACGATGATGGGCAAGCCATCTTGACCAACGTGCCTCGCCGAGTTCCGATCTATCATTTCTCATTCCGGTCCAAGGTGACGGCGCTCGCCTTTTCGCCCTCTGGTCGCCATTTTGCCGTCGGTCTGGGTCGCAAGATTGAAGTATGGCAGGTCCCGTCGACTCCAGACGCCAATGCCGAGGGCGAGCTCGAATTTGCGCCCTTCGTCCGTCACCACACTCATACTGGCCATTTCGATGACGTCCGACACATTGAGTGGTCTCCTGACTCGAGATTCTTCATGACTGCATCGAAAGATTTGACGGCAAGAATCTGGAGCTTGAACCCAGAAGAAGGATTCACGCCTACAGTCCTGTCCGGCCATAAGCAGGCAGTGATTGGCGCCTGGTTCTCCAAGGACCAAGAAACAATCTATACAGTGAGCAAGGACGGTTCCGTATTTGACTGGCAATATACACGCAACCCAAATGCCCCGCCACCGGAAGACTCAGATGACGAAATGGAGGACGAGAGCGACATGCAATGGAGGATCGTCCAGAAGCATTATTTCATGCAGGGCAATGCGACTGTGCGGTGCGCATCTTACCATGCGCCCTCGAATTTGCTGGTCGCGGGCTTCTCAAACGGCATTTTTGGTCTCTATGAGATGCCCGAGTTCAACATGATCCATACACTCAGCATCTCTCAGAATGACATAGATTTTGTCACGATCAACCAGAGTGGAGAGTGGTTGGCCTTTGGAGCTTCAAAGCTTGGCCAGCTCCTTGTATGGGAGTGGCAGTCTGAATCGTATATTTTGAAGCAGCAAGGACATTTCGACTCGATCAACTCGCTTGTATACTCGCCCGACGGACAACGCATTATCACGACCGCCGACGATGGAAAAATCAAGGTTTGGGATGTCGAGTCGGGTTTCTGCATTGTCACTTTTACAGAACACACCAGCGGCGTGACGGCTTGCGAATTCGCCAAGAAGGGAAATGTGCTCTTTACTTCGAGTTTTGACGGATCCGTAAGAGCATGGGATTTGATCAGGTACAGAAACTTCAGAACGTTTACTGCGCCGACGAGACTTCAGTGGGATTGCATGGCTGTGGACCCTAGCGGTGAAGTTGTGGCAGCCGGATCCCGTGACTCCTTTGATATTCACATCTGGTCTGTGCAGACGGGACAATTACTCGATCAGATGTCTGGACATGAAGGTCCGATTTCGTCTCTCGCTTTTGCACCCAACGGCGGTCTGCTGGTCAGTGGTAGTTGGGACAAGACTGCAAGGATCTGGTCCATCTTTGACCGAACCCAGACTAGCGAGCCATTGCAGCTGCAGTCGGATGTTCTCGATATTGCCATTAGGCCTGACTCGGAACAACTGGCAATATCGACTCTGGATGGACAGCTCACTTTCTGGTCCATTTCAGAGGCGGAACAGGTCTCTGGTCTCGATGGGCGACGAGATGTTTCGGGAGGTCGAAAGGTCACAGATCGCAGAACTGCTGCAAATGTGACCGGCAACAAGAGCTTCGACACCATCAGATACAGCACGGACGGCAGCTGTCTATTGGCTGCTGGAACGAGCAAGTATATTTGTCTATACTCTGTCAACACAATGGTACTTCTCAAAAAGTACACAGTCAGTGTCAACCTGTCCTTGTCGGGAACGCAGGAATTCCTCAACAGCAAACTACTCACTGAGGCCGGACCCGAAGGACTTTTGGATGACGAAGGCGAAAACTCGGATCGAGAAGCACGAAAGGACACTTTGTTGCCCGGCTCAAAACGTGGCGATCCATCCGCCAGGAAAAAGAACCCAGAAGTCAAAGTCACTGGCGTTGGTTTCTCGCCGGCCGGAACGTCGTTTTGCGCAGCCTCCACAGAAGGTCTGTTGATCTACAGCCTCGACAACAACCTTCAGTTCGATCCGTTTGACCTGAACATTGAAATCACACCCGCCTCCACACTCGCTGTCCTTGAGAATGACCAGGACTATTTGAAAGCCCTCGTCATGGCGTTCCGTCTCAATGAGGCCGGCTTGATCAAGAGGGTATTCCAGGCCATACCCTACACGGAAATCCCTCTCGTCGTTGAGCAATTCCCGTCCGTCTACGTTTCTAGACTACTGCGGTTCGTGGCCGCACAGACCGAAGAGTCTCCCCACATGGAATTCTGTCTATTATGGATCAAGGCTCTCATGGACAAGCACGGAAAGTGGCTTATTGCCAACCGCAGCAAAGTAGACGTCGAGCTCCGCGTCGTTGCAAGAGCCATCACAAAGATGAGGGACGACATACGGAGACTTGCGGATGAAAATGTCTACATGGTGGATTATCTGCTGGGTCAAGCCAAGGACACGAGCGAAGAAGCGAAGGCACAGCTGTCCATTTCTGGTGGCTCTGATGGCACCACTAACCTTTTGATGCCTGCCGGCGGAGAGACTCTGGCTGATATTCTGCAGCAAGAAGAGGGTGTCTCGGAAGACGAGTGGATAGGACTGGAATAATGAGGGTGCCAGTCAATAGCATCGTTCTAAATGGCCATTTGTACACTCTCATGCTACCGAGCTGCTCCAGTGGCCTCTCTGAGCATCTTGTCCTGGATATGGTAACGGTATACTCAGGCGAGCCCAGGTCAGAAAGAGCCGAGCCAGAGAAGCAGAGAAGCAGCACGCCAACCATCAGTCATATCAGGGCAGATCACATGACTGCGCCTCGTGCCACGAAACTACCAAGACAAGAGACAGGCCCTGGACTTCGGAGTTTCATTATGTTTGGCTCATGCACGCAATCACTGAATTTACATGCATTGATCAGTGTGTTTGGTTTGTGTCAAATCGAGGGGAAGAGATGGTCGGATGATTGTAGAAGAGTAAAAGAATACCCATCCTAGGTAGAGATAGGCACTGCGCATCGGAGATGTAAAACAGACAGTAGCCGAGACAATCTATGGAATTTTGAGCAAATGCTAAGCTGAATTGTTCCGACATGCTGCTCGTCTTATGTTCGTTGCGAAAAAAAAAAAAAAATTAGACATGATTTGTTCACAGAAGAGGCACGAGCGGTCGCAGATTGGGGGCCGTTTTGACACGGAACAGTCTTTCGCTACACCAAAATCCCATCAAGAGTATAGCAAGATGAGGCAAGAAGGGGCTGCCATGGATTTGCGCCTGAATACAAAATCAGATGCCAACGATGCTGGTATAATGGCTTGATAATCTAGCTCTACTAATTCTCCGCCTTCTCAGACTCGTCATCTTAGTTACATGGGAGTTGGCTCGGTTGCGGCAACTGTTTCCCTAACCCAGCACAGCTACCGCATCTCAACTGCTGCGTCGGTCAAGGATGACTACCTGGCCGGCAGCGTTTCCAATGGCTCGTTCCGTACTGATAATGTGCCGATAGCTGCCGTTGCTACTTCGTCAGGCATCCAAGACACGGGTTCGTTTGAACTTTCCTTCGGGGCCGCCTCGTCTAGCGGATCTTATGGACCATTTGAGGGCGCCGGAGCCGTGAGCTCCTGGAGGCTCGAATTGCCGCCATCCGAGTTTCGATCATTCGACTACAGCACCAACTCAGATGTCGTCTTGCATATGTACACTTGCGCAGGAGGATTGGCATCTTCACATCGCGCTATAGAGTTGCCTAAGAATGAGGCACAAAGTTGCTACTCCGCCATCTACATAGATTCAATAACCCTCAGAGTTTACTGTTTGCTTTTACTATCGCCGGCATAAGTTTTGACATGCTGCATTGGCTGCGGATCGCAAAGATTTTCCCATGTTCTAAAGCTGAAAAGTAGTGCAAGATGTGATTACCTCGTGACAATGGTCCTGCCTATACCTGCTCTGCACATGAGTATCAAATTCTAGATTCAGACATGCTGATCGTCTTATGTGCGTCGCCAAAAGAAAAAAGACTTGTTATGATTGCAGAAAAAGGTATATGAATGGCTGCAAGTTAGGGGGCCGCTTTTGATACGAAGTCTTGCGTTACAACAAAATCACATAAAGAGTATCACAACATGAATAGCTCTCGACACGTGCTTCGAATAACTCTTCATCTCATGCGGGAAATCTTCTGGGTCTACCCAATACTGGCAGAGCACGCCGGAGCTGCTGCTGCTGCTATGCTGGCAGCCGCGCGGACTCGGACCTCGGAATAAGCTCATATGTCTCTCAAGACGGTCCCGTTTTGTTTGCTGGCAAGGCAGATTTTTTGGCGCTCCCTCCAAGGCATCCCAGGCAACAAAAACAATTTTTTGAAAGAGGGAGGGGCGTCCCATTCCCAGAGACCAACATAATCGTTGGTGTGGCAACTTTTGTTTTGCCAGTATGGTCACTACTGTTCTCGTTGTGCCAGTGGCGTGTCTATAACCCCCGCCATTGTATGCACCACCATACAAACGAGTCATATGTCTTATGCAGGCATGCTGATGCTGACTGCTGCTGCTGCCTTGGTACATGGCTTTTGAGGCCCTTTTCATTAGACGAATGAAAACTCAGCCTACCTTTATTAGCAAGTAAGGCTGCGTCGCTTTTTCTTCTTTCCTGTATAGTGTGTCGCAAATGACTAGCAGCTGCCTGTCAAGACGCGCTGACATGCACACAACGATCCACGGAATAGTCATACTTGAACCTTGCCCTCCAGGCCAGGCTTCCAGGCCCCCCCGGCCCCCTGCTGCGTGTCCTGCGTGTCCCATGAATCATTTGCGAGTGGTGACCCCTGCAGCGAGCCGTTTACAGTATAGCTTTGCATACTCTAGGGAGCACCAAGACCGGCACGGCACCGACGGCGTTCGTTTAGTGATCGTAAAATGCTTATACTCACTAGGAGCGTGGTATAACTACAAATCTTGCACATGGAGTGGACGCAAAGTAGACTTTTGGTCTTATGAGATGGGTAATTAATACACTAATCTAGACTATAGCCCTCACAGGCTGGAGGCCTACCACCACTAGGACCCATGGGTTGCGCACTTTTCTCTTTTTGGCTGCTTGCTGACGACGTCATATCGAGAGGGAATCTGCGAGTGACTCAAATGAGCAAGTCTACTTTCTGAAAGTCTGCTGCAGCGGAGCCATGGAAGAAAAGTAAGACTTTTCCCGCTGTAATTTTGATCAAACAGTGTCGTTCAGGTGTCATTGAGTCCAAGCATGCACTGAAAGATCACTGGAACGAGGTGAATTCACTACGAGAACGGAGTTCGCCACCTAAGATTGGGGACCTTGGTTGCCTGTTTCTCCACCATTATAAATGCACCACGCAGGCTGTAGTGGTACACGTAAAAGATGCGGCAACCCACCAGACGATCTGCGTCCAAGGCTCTCTCCATTTCTTGTCCGGGCACAGTGATTATATAAGAGCATTATTGAATCCCGCTCTCACTGATTCCCATTGCTTGCCTCTCACTTTCTACACGGGTTGTCTAGTTTTGGTGGGAATTCGTTGTTGTTTTTTTGGTATTTCAACAAGGTAGTCAAGTCATTACATCCTGCTCCAGGAACGCACGCATGGACATACACTCTATACTGCGAGGGGGACTCCCCACCGTGGTTGAGAATGCAAGCACGGTAGCAAAGAACGCATCAAGCCCAGGGCAGATGCATGGAAATCTGGCCGAGACCTTGCTGCCGCTGTTGGGCCTTCGTGCCTTGCTGCCAGTATACAGCTTCGTCGGCAACTCGTTGGGCCTCGACGTCACCTGGATACTGACCCTCTTTGGTATGATATGGGCAGTCAACAAGCTCTTCCGCCAGGCATACTCGACCATTTACGCCTTTGTGGCTGAGAATCTCATGAGCAACATCCACATCAGCAGCACTGACGACATATACATTCATCTCATGAGATGGCTTGCCCTGCAGCCCCGCCTAGTTCACTCGAGATCGCTCACGGCCGAGACCGTCAGCAAGACTGCTTGGGAAGACGAGGATGCCACCAACGTGTCGAGAGACAAGACTGGTAATTACCTAAACTTTTCAAACCAGGAGGCCAGAGCTGTAAGTTTTTTGACAAGTCTCTATTTTATCCACGCAGGCTCTAATACATTGACCTTGTAGCCGCCTCGCTTTATCCCTGCAATCGGAGTCCACAGCTTTAGATGGAATGGTACGCGTTACGGACTTCACAGGAAGCAAGAATCCATCTTTGACGATGGCCCTAGCACTGGCCTATCGTTCAAGGACAGAGAGGACCTAATCATCTCGTGCTTTGGCCGCAATCCTGGTGAGTACAGCTGTGAAATGAAAGTAACTTCAGCCCGAATCCCACCGCTGACCAAGTCATACAAGAACCCATAAAAAGGCTGCTGAGGCACGTAAAGGAAGCCTACTATGACAGCCACCACGCGAGGACCATTGTAAAGAGACCCAGTCCGCAGAACCTGCGCCGCTTCGGCACGCGTCATTGCTGGCAGCAGGTCGCCGACCGGCCCATTCGTGACATGAAGACGGTTGTACTGGACAACCAGCAAAAGGCCAATGTCCTGGGCGACATTAATGAGTACCTGCACCCGGCTACACCGCGCTGGTATGCCAACCGCGGTATCCCTCTGCGCCGAGGATATCTCTTTTACGGCCCGCCTGGAACAGGAAAAACCTCGCTCTCTTTTGCTCTGGCTGGTGTTTTTGGCCTCGATATCTATGTCATTTCGCTCTTGGAACCATCCCTAACGGAAGAAGACCTAAGTGCTCTCTTTAGCAGTCTGCCCCGGCGATGCATTGTCCTGCTGGAAGACATTGACACGGCCGGTCTGAAACGGCCGGATGACGAGGTCAGCAAGAGCCAGGTCGACAAAAAGGATGACAATGACAAGAAGGGCAGCGGAGCCACCGACGATGGTAAGAAGGAAACGCCAAGCGACTGGAAAGTGAGCGACCTGGCCAAGGCGCTCAAAAAAGAAGGCAATGACGAGAAAAAGGGCATCTCCCTCTCGGGTCTGCTCAACGCCATTGATGGCGTCGCCTCGCACGAGGGCCGCGTCCTAATCATGACCACCAATGTCCCCGAGTCCCTCGACGAGGCCCTTATTCGGCCAGGTCGTGTCGATTTACAGGTCGGTTTCACCAATGCCACGCACGCGCAAGTCGAGGAGCTCTTTATCCGCATGTACGAGGCCGATCAAGGCCGGCGCCAGCAACAGCAGCAAGGCCCAGCACCAGCAGCAGCCAACGGACACGTCAAGGGTGATGAAAAGGGAGCATCAGCAGCCAATGGAGAAGTGGTGGCGCCCGAGACGGACAGCGCGCTCAAGGCTGGCGAGCTCGACATCTCGGTCGAGGAGCTTCCAGCCGTGGCCCGGCGGTTCGCCGACAAGATCCCCGACGGTCGCTTCTCCCCGGCCGAGATTCAGGGCTATCTGCTCAAGCGCAAGAAGCACCCGCTCAAGGCCGTCGACGAGGCCGACAAGTGGGTCGAGGCGATGCTGCAACAAAAGGCGTCCAAGTCAAAGGTGTTGCAGGTTCAGTAAGAAAGAGGATTAATGACCTTTAACGCAGTAAACGATTGCATCATGATACATCCAGGAGGATACCAAAACGAACATCATGGTACGATTTCCTATATGCACAATCAGAGTGGCAACAGCTGGATAGACAACCTACGATAAATTTCTACACATAAGTAGGCATAAAGGGGATATTGTTGATTGGAAATTTGCCTGGTGGATGGGATGAAGAAAATGACTACAAGTTAAAATATGAATATTTGCCTGAAAGTACAATAAGGCTAGCTTGGCATTCCAGTAAACAAATTTTACCTGTTTCCATGAATAAATCTGATATCGACTGTCTCAAGACTGTATAAAATGGATATGCATTTGTCCGCCCATATAAATGCCGGACGCCACTTTTTGCAGCAAACTGTACTCAATCACATGGGATGTTGAATAACAACCTTCTCCATACTGATCTTGCCTTGAAAAACCTCCTTGATCATGCGGCAGCCCTCCTCGGCGCCCTTGATGATCCGCACCTGGGGTACCGTAAACTGTATCTCGCGCACATGGTCCAACACCCACGTCATGCCCGTCTCGAGCCTCTGGTGAAACAAGGGCGTTTCCTTTTGATCGCGAGCCGCCAGACAAAAAGCCCAGTCGGGATCAAACCCGACGCCGAGACTGGCGCACAACTTGGCGTCGTTTTTGGCCGCCGCAGACCCGGGGCTCAGACACTGCTTGGCGATGGCGGGACTGGACTTGCTGAGATCCGGCGGCGGCGCGGTCGACGAGGGCGGCGGTGCGGCAAAGCCGGTCCCCGCCGTCACGGCGTCAAAGATGGCGGCCAGGGGTTTCCCCGACGCCAGCGCCGCGGCCTGGATCTCGGAAACGACCGTGGGCGAGCGGTAGTCAAAGCAGGCCGTGGCGCCCAGCTCGGTGAGGGCGGCGTGGTTATGGGGCGACGCTGTTGCAAAGATTGGCGAGAAGCCGGCGGTGCGGGCGAGTTGAAGTGCGGCGAGTCCAACAGAGCTCGAGGCTCCCCACTGATTACAACTGTTAAATTTTACAATCTTTATTGTCACCTGACCTGTGTCTATTCAGGGAATTGAACCTATTTGTCGGCCACTCACAATCAATAGAGACTTTCCTCTCGGATCGACACCATGCAACACCCAGTTTCCAGGATCTTGGACCTGGTCTCCAAGTCCGGGCAGTCCAAAGTCCATGCAGTTGAAAAGGGCATCGAGGGCAGTTCTCAGGCCTACCAACCACCCCACAGCCTGAGGCCACTCACTCTCGTCTGCTTGTATATGGGGAGGGACCTTGTACGTCATGAATGGCTCGGCTAGCAAAAAGTCCTGATGTGCACCTGCGTGCAAGGGGCGTCTGTGGCCGAACTGTGCAACGCCAAATAGAACATCGCCGACTTCGAATGGTGAGTTGGGACCCGTGGCCACAACTGGACCAATGTACTTGGAACAAGTTACAAATCACATTCACGGTCATTTCTGTGATATAGAGAGGGTGGACGATGAAGAATAGAAGCCCGTGTGGAAAAGATAGGCTCTTGGAATGATTAGAAAACACAAAGCAGCCAAACAGATACATACCTCCATTCCGGCGACATATGAATGGCATCCCATATAATAATGCCGTAGGTCCGCTGGATTGATGGCCGAGTATTTCACTGAAATGTGAGACTGCTCATCCGTCGGGGTATAGGTTTCCGTGATCTCGTGAACGGTCAATTCCCCAGTTTCCTCGAGGTAGATTGCTTTGGAGGTAGGCATAGTTTTTCTTTCGGAGTTTAAGTCGAGTGATAGACAGCAAGGTGATGGAAATTGTAAAAAAAAGGATAGTCAAGCAGCTGCAGCCCGCATATGAACTCGTGAGATCATCGAATTTTAACCTGAGCGTCTACTAGTTTTCTTCCACGTAGAAATTCATGCTTTAGAACCGACCGTGAGACTCTTATTTACGCGGTGAGCTACGATTATGATTACCATATGGATCCAACAATTGCTACTAATCAATGCTGCCTCTGTGTAATCGCTTTAGTGACAAGGACGGATAAACAACTGGATTCAAGGAGTATAGAACTACTAATTGGTGTATGAATTGTGGGGCTTGCATCATGATTACAAACCGTCCAAGATCAAGATAGGTAACAGGGCTAATGGCTAGTTTTGCTGTACCAATGGTGAGATTGCAGGAGTAAATATCAACTACACATAGACGCGTAAAACATATTCATACAGTCCGAATCTATTTCCCCCACCTTGTCAGGAATAACGTGAGTGAAAAAGGAAGACTTCAATATATCACCTCTGAATTATGTCTACCGTATCTGTAAAGCCTACCACCAATATACTGGATCAGACAGTTTCTATGCACCTGAATAATCCTCAAGGGTAAGCCAATGTGTTGTCTTCCCTGATCTTTCCAACGACGCCCAAGGATGTGGCTCCGCCTGCAACTGCCGGTCCGCGGACATTGATATCGCCCTCAATCTTTTGACCATCTTCCGAAGTCTTGTGGTTGCCGCTGTCCTTTAGAACAATCTCCACGCTGCTAAGAGGTGGGCCGAAATGGCTTCCAGTACCATTACCATGGATGCGATAATCGTTGAATTGAGTCTGAGCAACGGCACCAGCAACTCGGGCGGCAGTGAAGGCATAGATGACGCGGGCTCCAAAAAAGATGCGCGAGTTGGAAATGGTGCGCTCACTCAAGACAGGCGTGCCCGCACCAGCAGCCTCAGCAACATAGACAAGACGCAGCTTGCCAGGAGTTGTACCGATGAGAGGCTTAATCTTGTCATTGTAAGAGCTGAGGAAAGAGGCAACCGGCATAGCGCCGTTTTGGACGAGGCTTCGTGTTTGAACCCAGTGCGACGCCGAAGTCAAAGTAGATGTGATCTTGCTCGAAGACTCTGTGTGCATCTTTTCAATTGTCTGAGGCGTTGTGACAATAACAGTCGGCGCAATACCACCAGTAGCAAGTACAATATCGGCAACCGAGCCAGCAACAGAGTTGAAGGCGACTGATGCGTTGGAGTACAAAGCAGCAAGAGTGAGAGTCAGAGGGAAAGATGCCGACAAGGGGGCAGCAGAGAGGAAGAGATCAGCAGGCGAAAGACGTTGTGTAGTCGGGATGGCAGCCAGCTGAGCGGCAATGGCCGAACTCAGGTTCTTTTGCGTAAATTCAACCATTTCTTCCTGGGTGCCGGCCTTTGACTTCCAAAAGAAGACGACTCCGCTCGAGCCATTTGGATCAGTCTCTGCGGGAAGCTCATTGCCTGCTGTTACTGGGCTTTCATGCAAAATGTCTTGCCAAGTAGAGACGTTAACTTTGCCGCCAAAGCCCTCGGGTACCTCGTTCCAGTCCAGATGGCTGCTTCCTTGTTCCACGACCCAGACCAGAAGCTTGAGAGACGGGTAACTCTTGACGACACTGTCCAGAGGGAAGCTTCCGGAGAGTGAAATAACAGTGTCGGCATTAGATTGGCGGAGCATGGAGACCAGGGCATCTGGGGATTCATCAAAGGGCAAGACAATGGCTGTCAAATTGTAGAAGCTGCAGGCAAAGAGAGCAGCCACCAGTTCTACAGAGTTGGGCAAGTAGATGGCGACCCTGCTGCCTCCTTGCTGGGAGACATGCTGGCCGATCAAGTTGATGGCTCGAGTGATTTCGTCTGCGATGGTAATTAGATGTGCTCAAACTACTACGGAATAGTGGGGCATCCGTACTCAGCTTATGCTCAATGACTTTCTCGCGACCTTGAACAGTGAGGATGCGACCTTTGGCCGAACCTTCTTCGGAACCAGAAACGACTCGTCTCCAGACGTCTCTCAAATCTCCATCTCTGCCCTGCGCCCATTTCGAAGCGCCCGGGGGCTTGACTTTCAGACCGTCGTTGAGAGGCATGCCATGAGGAGCAGAGTTGCCACGATAGACGGGGGATTCGCCCTCTTGTCGCACAGGTGAACCTTGAGCTTGGCGGGCAAGTAGCATGGGGTGAATATCGGGCTCTACCCTAGACATGATGGAGTAGGTAATGGTCAAGACAAGAAGTGTAGCAATGCCGGTGGAATAGGCATTCCACTGGCCGATGAGGTCGCCCAGAGCCGCATCGAGCTGGCTCAATGCGTTTCCGACACCCATAGTGAGATGATGTTTGCCGACTGGCGAGAGCAGATGGGGAAGCACAAAAAGACTCAATAATTATATAAGAAGTCGAGCCGTCAAATCCGACTCGGCCATGTGCTATTACAACTGAGCAAAGAAGAAGAAGGTGGCCTCGGGACGGAACGCCAAAGTGTGATGAGAGAGCAGCTTACTTTAACGATACAGTTGGCTTACGGAAGGCGGGATCTAAGTGGGGTCCAGAGCAGTTGGGTGATGTAGTTTTCGGGGTCGTGGGAAACGGGACTGCGGGCGTACTAAGCTAATTATTAGGTACTGAGGTACGTTTTTAGCCAGTCAGTTTCCGCGACATTCCACAATCCAGCCCCCACTGCAAAGGTCACACAAGTCCCATCCAACATCAATGAACAGCCTCCATCCTGCAGCTTGTGCTAGGTACTACTAGGTACCGTGTAGCGGAACCGCAAAGCGCTTCTTCATGTTCGACACGGAATTGCACTTGTGGCCCGTGCTCAAACTGACCCCTGCCAGCTGCCCAGTGCTCTGCTTCCCTAGCCTTGCCCGTTGTCATCGGTGATTGTTTTTGCGACCGTCTCCAGTTAGGAAGCAAAGAAAACAACATTTCATTCTCGCCAGCGACAACCACAAACGTCCAGCGCAACGGCGACGCGCCCTTGATGCGCAATCCTCTACTAACATATAACAGCTACTAATCCAACAGGTACAGCAATAAATCTGACATCGAGCGTCGCCAGATTCTGCTCTTTCCGATCCTGTCACTGCGGCTGCAATCTTCAAGCGCGAATTGGGAATTCGACATTTGCCAATAATCACGTCGTCTGCGAGACAAAAACCACGGGGTTGCTCAGGACTTTGAGCTTGCACAAACAAAATCCGCAATCATGTCTTCCTCCACGTTACAGAAGACCCTATCCACACCTGTCAAGGCAGCACAGTCTCCATCGTCAGAAAGCCCCGGCAACTGGAAACATCCTCGACTCCAAGAGATTATCCGGCGACAGAATGCCAGTACCTTTAGCGACAAGAACGTGAAGAAGATCGCCTGGAACGTCGCTGCTATTTCGGCTGCCACTGCGTTTGTCGCCGTCCTTTACAGATACTTTCCCATTGCGTGAGTCGAGCACCATGTTCAGAAACCAGAGCCCGCTTGACTAACTTACGAAAGACCGGATGGCGGATTTGCCAACTTTATCGGATGGGTTCACAAACTCTTCGTCTTGGTACCGCTTTTCAATATCGGCATCGCTCTGCTCCCCCTTGTCCGACCAAAAGACGATCTATCCGATATACCCTTGACTCCGGGACAACGCAAGCTACTAGGTCTTGCGCCTTCCTCGGCACCTCCTACGCCAGGATCAGTGTATAGCACGCCCCCGCGCTATTCTCGAACTCCATCCTTGTCAGGATCAACTGGCAAGAGGAGCTTCTCAGGCCTGGACAGCCCGTCGGCGTATCGCAGTCCTACAGAAGGCAACAGTGGTGGCTTTAGTGGCAAGGAGTCGACTTGGTCTCCTTCGGGAAGCCATCTTATCCAGAAGGCCATGAATGGTGCCAGACGGTCATCAATAGGATCAATGGGATCGCCGAGCCCCTTTGCGAAGAGCTTTGGCGCAAGCACAAATTTTGGAGCAAGTACAAACTTTGGAGCAAGCACAAATTTTGGCGCAAGCACATCAATCTTCGGCGGTGCTCCCCCAGACAGCCCAAGCCCTAGTCCTATAAATGGGAAGAGAAGCAGTGTTTCACTCAACAATAAATGGCTATATGAGCGGGGTAGGAGGAGCTCAGGTAATGCCTGGGCAAGCTGAGAGTCATGATAACGAGCTTAGAAGACCTCTCCACCATATGATTGATTACTGCAGTACCTCGGAAGCCTGTGCGCCCGCCACAAGCTTCATCAAGTCTCTACTACAAAGATAGAGAGAGAGACGACTACAAGGGAAAGACCCAGGCCATGACGACCAGCGTAACTTCTTGCAGGGCAGGGGGGCGATCCTGATGCTTTGATGGCCGAGGCGGGAGAACAAGGGTCTGAACAGCTCTCAACCCAAGCAAAGATGCTGGCAAGGATAAATCGTCAATGGATGCTAATGCTGATCCAATAGGGTCACAGAAGTTTGCTTATAATTCAAGTCATATGGTGGCCCCTGTCCTTGATGTACCGCCGCTGAGTAAAAGTGTTCACCGTGACATTGTCGGAGAAGTTGCAATGGAAATTAAAAATAGGAAACTTGGAAGCACAACTTGTCAGTATAAGTACCGGGACTAACACTGAATATACAGTCTCAAGAACACCGCCTCACTATGCATCCTGATCTCTACATGATGAAGCTGTTAAAATATGTGGCGATGTCACCCGCTGAATCAAGGCTCGCCGCATAGGCAAGAATGTGATCCGGGCGGATAACCACTATAGCACCCAATGACTGTTCCACACCATATTCAGAGTGTGTCTTTCCTTCGAGGTCCAGATAGAACTTCCCCCAAGCAGGACCACCCAGGGCTGCCCATGCACCTCCTGTATCGCCCTTGATGATGGTCAGGGCGTGGAACATGGCAGGCCGACGATCAACGAGTTTCGACAGTGAGTCTGCGGCTATCCTGTAATTGCCCGATGTCATGGCTGGATTTCCCGCAAAGACGACAATATTCCAGCGGCCACGAGCATGATCTCGAAGCAGCGCATCGTAGAATCGAAGAGGAAACCTTGTTCCTGGTTCGTGGAGAAGGGCATCCGGAGCACGCCATCCACTCGGAAGCGTGGTTTCCGCCGGGGCTTGGTTCAAGACGGATTTGGCGTACGAAACCCCGAGGCCAATGTTGAACCCAATGTTTTCCACAAAGATGAGTTTGAGAAGCTCGTGGGGGGACTTGTCGCGGCCTGCGTACTCTGGTGGCACTTCACCCGAAATGGCGGCGGCGGCGTTTCTGTCAATATTAATCAGCCGCGTGGCTGCAGCGTGTCGTTCCTCGTGGTAGCTGGCGAGAACCGAGGGCTGGTACCATCCCTTGATGGATCCCGAGAGTTTCCAGATCAAATTGGTTGCGTCGTGTATACCCGTGTTCATGCCCTGCGCGAACCCAGACGAGTGCGTGTGAGCAGCATCGCCGGCTAGCAGGATGAATTCATTCTTTTGCAACTGCGTGGCCACGCTTTGTCTGATTCTATAGACTTGTCAGTTTTTCTTTTGTTTTCGACCACATTCACACTATCCCGTGCTATGTCGCTTACTTGTAATCAGTCCACCAGTCAACCCGTTCAACGCTCAACTTGAAGGGTTTCATACCCTCAATTGCCTCTGCCACGGCAACCTCCTTGGTAAGACCATTTGGGTACTTGGCGAGCAGTGCGGGCGAGAGGGCATAGCCGACGCGGTACGCATCCTTGTTCAGCTTGACCCACAAGACGTTGCCATGCGTCGTCGTCTCAACGGCGGCAAAGCCGAGCTCAGCGCCGGGCATGTCGGTCGTCATTTTGCCATCGATACGGATCCATTGGAACACGGTTGAGTCTACATCTTGAGGGATGTCGGCTAGGTTCCGCACAGTCGAGGCGCTTCCATCGGCGCCGACAATGTATTTACTAGTTATGCTTAGTCTTTCCCTGAGAACTTTCAAGTTGTTGGCTTTGATGCCTCGAAGGGAATTTCACAAAAGAAAACATACCAGCGGATGTGGCTTTCACCCAAAGTTGCGTGTTCAAGTACAGCCGAAACATTGTAGCCATCACCCAGGCTTGTGTCGATGGAAAAGCCGGATAGTTTCCATCCATGTCCTACCTGCTTCCCATGACTCATCAAGGCATTGCGAAAAATATCTTCCGAGTATTTCTGTCGAACGTTGAGAGCGTAGTCATGAAAACTCGCCTTGAAGTGTTGAAACATCATGTTCCATCCACGTTCGTTGATCCGCTTTCCATTTGCATAGTTGACGCTACTACGGCCGGCGAAGCCCTCTTGGATGAGGTCTGTCGCCAGGTCGACTTGCTCGAGCAGTTCTAGTGATCTCGGGTATAGCGTGCAGGCTCGACCATAGGTGGCTTGTTCATCTCGCTCCCGTTTTTCTGTGAAACCATAAGTGAATTGTACGATGTGCCTTGAGTACTTGGAGAACCATACCGACAACAAGAGTTTCAACACCTTGCTGCTGGAGACCAACTGCCGTAATAAGGCCGACTGGTCCAGCACCAATAATAAGAACGTCAACAGCGGTTGGAAGTTGCATAATGATGTATTTCAATATTCTTGCTCAAGGTGCCAAGAGATTTCTATTGTATGTTTGATTCTCAACAATGCACCTGCAATTTATATTCAAACGGAGATTCATTTGCAAGACATATTGATGCAGAAAGTAATCGATCGACCAGCGACCCACCAACACTTGGTGGTCATCATCGGGATTTCGAAATTCGGCGTAATCTCATTTTCCGATGCTAACATGCTCGCGACGTTGATTATCTAAAAATATTACCGAGCTACAAATCATTTGGAGAGGATCAGGGGTTGAATTCTAGCTGCCTAGAGCTAAAGCTATTGCGGCACAGCAAATTCTTGAAGTTTTGGTATGCGGCACAGACATGGTACCTCAAAGTTGGGACCTCCACTAATATAATACTGCATGGCTATATACTGAATTGTAACCGTTAGCTGCTTTGAAATGTCAAAGAATCACCCCAATATATTCATATTCGGATGACGTGGAATTCCAGGGTCCAAGCTCCAGTGCATTGTTCAGCATAACGGCGGGTAACAAGCCAGGTCATCAGGTCCTCTCCCTCGTCACCAATGCGGCTGTCAGGGATGGATACAATACCCGAAAGGAGCTTTTCCAAATGACACCTTCTGGTAATCTTGGCAAGTTCTATAGCAATGCTACCCAGGAGGAGATTTTTAGTGCGCTATAGTAGAGTATACCACCCCTGCCACATGCTTACGAGGCATTGCGGTCGAGCTTCTACAATCGTCTTCTCGATTATCGACGAACGCACACAAATACAATAATTCACGCGGCATCTAGATCATCTCGTGAATCTATTCGGCAAGTGTATTAAAACTCTCGCGATCCAGGAACAACACAGCGGCTTTCGCGTTCTCGGCGTTCGGATAGATGTCAGATGACTGAGTGAAACCCGTTCTCGTAGCATCAACTACGGGATGAGAGGCAACAAATAATGTAGATTGACACAACTATGCACATCAAGTTTTCTGTCCGGATATTTATTACGGTACTTGTCGGATCAATATTGGCCATGATCCAATGAGATGCCCCTTTGTGAGGAAGTATTTGCTTATAGGCCCCCTTGAAACTCTCTGCGAAAGCTTCAAGACTCGGCATATAGTCTCATATAGAATTGCCTCTCATTGACTCGCCTGTATCTGTAAATCCACAATATTGATCTGCTAATATCTGATTACAATTTTGATTGATATGCCCGGCGCGCCACGGAGTGGCTGGCGAGGTTGGTAGAGTGGCACCCTTGGGTGAAACAACGGGAAGGGTTATAAAGTCTATCCGTACACAAATGATTTCCGTAAATGCAGACCATCTTTATCTTTTACTCTCTATTTTGGATACTGGCCATATCAGCTTCAGTGGCCCAAAATGTCGACAATGACGACTAGCACCCTATTGCACGACAGACTGGACAGTCTTTACGAGGTCTGGCAGAGTCTCTCTCCCGGATCTTCCTCCGAAGATTTCAAAGCTTTTGCAGACTTCTTTAGTCAAGACTGCACGGCCTGGCTCTTGAGCATGCGCGAGCACGAGACTCCGAGTATCGGTCGCTCCGGAGTCATTGAAGGAATCCAAACCGCCATTCAAGATTCCCAAATCAAAGCACGACGGGTTCTCAAGCGTTTCACAGATGTCACAGGCTCGACGATATCATGTGAAATGCAAAACAGTCTCACGGTACACGGGAAACCACTTGATCCCTTGTACGAGACGGCCGTGGTCGCATTCAATGACCAAGGTTTCATCACGGATTTCAAACTGTACAGTTGTCGAAGTGCAATAGTAGCCATCATTCAAGATGTGACAGGCGTGGGGCCATATGAAAGGCATAACGAATGCCATAAATTATAATGATGGACTGGGAACTGCCGCTGTGGGTGACCTTGAGTACTAGAGGGCAAGACATCACGTCGTTGTTCTGTGATGGGCTGGAAGAAGGGTTTCTTGATATATGGAAACAATAGTGTGGGATTTGTGTGTGCGGTCCTCTGGTAATATTCCACTGGGGGGGGGAAATGATTGTTATCAATAATGGTCATTTCTAAATAATTGAAATGCTGCTGCACACCAAATCTCTTGTCGAACGTGAAAATCTCTCCAAAATTGTATCGTATGCTGCTAGTCCAGCCACCGCAATTTTTTTGCAAATGTCAAAACTTGAATGTAGCCCGAGTCACATCAAGGTCAACAATTCCTTCAACAAACCAGCCACAGCTACCATAGGTGCTGCATCAGTGTAAACCAGGCCTTGACATCTATGACCATTGGAAGATATATATCGAGACCATAAATGATCACTAGGCGAATTAATTGACGGACGATTGAATCATATTGAGGATGCAGGAAATGAGCAGCTGACTAAGATAGATAGATCAGTTCTGGCGTCAATGCACAACACTTTTTATATAGAGCTCCTGTCCTAGACTCATAGTATTATGATAGAAGGGAAGCACCATGGTCCCCACCTGACTAAGTGAAAAGGAAGATATTCAACGAGCAATGCCAGCAGCTTACCTGGAGTACCTGTCAAGAACATAAAGTAATGATGAATCGATTTATTCAAAAAAAATTTTTAATAACAGAAAAGAGTTCCATCAAATAGGCCAACAAAAGAATTATTCTCTACTATCTACCTACAGAGTACTTACCCTTGTAGCAGCAGCATGGATCAATCTGGGTTGCTTACATTGTAGTGGGGCACCAAGCTACGAGGCTACCGGGTACCTACCAGCAAGCAGCTCCCTAAAAGGTCAAAGGTGGCCTCACCACCACTTACACGATCATTTCGCCCAGCGCAAGTTGATGACACAGCGACGAATCGACACGCGCCGTCTTTTGTAATACGTCGATCCAGAAAGCCAACCCAAGATCATCCCCCTCTCAGCGCCTCGCGAAATTTCCGACGCGAAGAAACTGCCATTGAACAGCTAAACAGGAGGAAAAGCGCATCGTCCAAAGTCATGTACAACTCTCTTACGCGCCTCCAGAATGTCTTCGGCTTCTTCACGACCGTCGCATTCGTGGTAGCCGCCATTATTGGCGCCTCCGACTTTGCCGTACCCAGGACACCGAGCGCGGGTATCAAGACGACAAATGTGCAGGTGTATGTTTTCGCTCGTTCCTCTTCTCCCCCGCCTACCCTCGGAGATTCTCTCTGTTGTCGTTGCATCATTCCAGGACTGCCTCCAAGCAGTGTTGTCACTGAGATGCGACACTATATGCGCTTCATTGACCCAACCCTTATATACTAACACTTCTTTCCCTCTACAGAGTCAAGGGACGACCACACTACTACTCGACCAAGAAGGAGGAATACGCCATCATCAAGTTCTCGCTCGACGCGGACCTGTCATCGCTCTTCACCTGGAACACAAAGCAACTCTTCGTCTACGTGACGGCCGAGTGGACCTCGCCAAAGGGCAACAACCAGACCAACAGCGCCGTCATCTGGGACACCATCATCACGAGCCCCTCGTCGGACCACCTGGCCAACATTGGCCCCGCCACCCTCAAGAAGCTGCGCAAGAGCGCCGCCGGCAAGCCCATCGACAAGAGCCGCGGCCTGCTCCAGCTCAAGAACCAGAAGCCCAAGTACCAGATCACACACCCCAGCGGTCGCATCGCCGAGACCGACGACGTGGTCCTCAAGGTGCACTACAATGTCCAGCCCTGGGTCGGCTTCTTGACCTGGAATCAGGGCCAGGACTACGGTCTATGGAAAGCCGTCAGCGGTGGGCTGAGCAAGGCCTTTAGCCTGCCAGCTGTCAAGAAGAAGGATGAAAAGAAGGCCTAGATGAATCAGAAATTCGTGTAGAGCAAGATATATGGCCAATTAAAAAAAAAAAAAATTGCAGCATCATATGGCATCTATATTTAGGCACAACAGCGAGGGCGTTTAAATGCATTGAATGCGATCGAGACCGTAAACATTTTTGTTTCATTGCACAACCGGTATCAACATAATTATTGCCAAACAGACAATCCAGCCAGGAGTATGTGGCCGGCTCACATCCCCTCTAATAGCCAATGTGAAAATGATATCCGAATCCGAAACTCCATACACCCGATATCATTCCCAAAACATTACTCTTCGCTGCGAAACTTTCCTAATCAGGACTATGCACCATTTCTGTACACTTGTGCGCCCTGATTCCGGAACATGATAGTGTCTCTCCTCTGTAGGATCATCAGAGCTCTGTTGAGAGCCTGTTCACTGAATCCCTTGCCCTCAACCATTTCCCGTCTGAGGGTTGCCAAACTCGTGCTCCATCCAATGGGCAGACGTCTCTTGAGCTCTGCCTCGACGCGGTTGACTTCCTCGTTTAGCTCACGGCTACCCTGGTTGCTGCCTTGGTTGACGGCATCCATGGTAGAGCACAAGAACAAGCGGATGGCCTCATCGACGTGTTGCTCTGTAGCCACGGGGGAAAGAGTGAGTTTTGCAAGAGACTCCGTAATACGGACAATGGCTTCCAGCTGACGAACTGTGATGGGAATACTCGAGCGGGTATTGGCCTCCATCTCAGAAGCATGGACTTGTTTCCGGATAGAAACAAAATGCGAGGACAGCTTCTCCGCTGCCTCGGGCGAAAGTCGGGGTGCGCAACGACTACAAATAAAGTTAGCGACTGGTGGCTTTTTCTCCCTCCTCTCATCACCTGAGAGAGAGTCAAGATCTTGTGCAACTTACGATTTGCAGTATGAGAGGTATCGCTTCATCTTCTCAACAGGAATTTCACCTTCCACAGGCTCTTCAAGACCACGTCCACCCATGTGAATGCCAATGACGTGTTTGGCAATACGCTCATCCTTCTCTCGCGTGTGCTCATCCTTGACAATAAAGATCATATCAAAACGAGACAAGATGGTCGTCTGGAAGTCGATGTTTTCTCCAGGAGTCTTCATGTCGTCATAACGACCGAAAATCGGGTTGGCGGCTGCAAGTACCGAAGTACGTGCATTCAAAATCGTCGTGATACCGGCCTTGGCAATGGAAATTGTTTGCTGCTCCATAGCTTCGTGAATAGCAACACGATCCTCGTCACGCATCTTATCGAACTCGTCGATACAAACAACACCGCCATCGGCTAACACCATGGCACCTCCCTCGAGGTAGAACTCTCGAGTAGAATGATCTCTTTGCACGGATGCTGTCAAACCAGCAGCAGACGAACCCTTTCCTGATGTGTAGATGGAGATGGGAGCTGCTTTCTCCACAAACTTCAGCAGCTGAGACTTGGCGGTACCCGGATCACCCAGCATGAGCACGTTGATATCTCCTCTCAGCTTCATTCCATCGGGAAGGATCTTCTTGGAGCCACCCAAGAGTAGACACAAGATAGCCCTTTTGATGTCTCGGTTACCGTAGATGGCTGGGGCGATCGAGTCAGCCATGGCGTTGTAAAGATCAGGCCGCCGGCTCAGCTCCAAGAACTCCTGCTCTTCTTCCTCGCTAAAGATTGAAAGGCCCTTTGCCGTTGAATCAACATCGGTCTGGATACCGACGGCACGCAGATAAGGCGTTCGAATAGCGACCGCACCTCCGCCAGAACCCTTGGAAGCCTTATTCTGGTAGATGGAGAAAATTCCCATGACTGTACACCTCGAGCCTGGCACGACTCTGTTTGTGAGGTAGCGATCCGCCGAAATGAGCACATGGCGCGGTAGTTCACCTACTGGAACTTGATCGGGGGCTTCTTGCAGTTTGATGACCTGCTGATCCACGAACTGTGACTTCTCATGGACCACAAAATACGGATCCAGGGGACATTTTTCGGCCGGATCACCAGTGGCCCGTTCACGGCCACATTGTCTGGGCAAGGTTGCACCTGTGAACCCGCCCAAAATAGGCACTACCGAGTTGTGCATGCAGCTTCGGCACTGAATATGTAATTCGGTCGCTTTGGAGGACATGACTGAAGCACCAATGACTATACCAGGGACTCTAACCAGTCTGGCAATCGTCATTGAGTCTAGGTTGCGTATCGAAACATCCTCTGCGGTCGAGTGGAGGAGAAGTTGGTGTTCGGGGATGATGGCTTTGGGGTCATGAGGGAAAAGAATGCGGTGTGTGCATTTTCGGAGGGCTGCTTCGAACTGTTCGAGAGTTAGAATTGTTAGATGATCTTTTGATAACACTTCTTACTAATGGTATCAATTCAGCCGGCTCAGAAACCATGCGGTGGGCAAGCTCGTCGTTGTACTTGATCAGGTCGCCAATGTCGACATCGCAGTAATACTTCTTGAGCAGTGCGTTGTCTTTTAATTGGTCTCTGTTGTATTGTTAGCAGAGCGAATATGTTGCATACAAGCATAAACACTTGCCTGTAGATGAACTTGTTGTCCAGTCTGAAGCTGAGGATAAAGTTGACAAGCTGCTCTTGGATTTGCAGTCTCGTGTCATCGTTCTGTGGAGTAGAACTAAAGACAGAAACAGAGTATGCAGATTGACGATCCATTTTGTTTGCAAGAATTAGAAGGAAAGAAAAATAACAACTCAACCCAGATTCCCGCTTCAGTTCAGTGACAAACTGAATCTGTTTGTGTTGCGAAGGATTGAGACGATGGGTTGTGTGTAGACGTAGGAGGGGCAGTCAGAGGGATGGGAAAGCGCTTGAATGGGTTGAAAGTCAATCTCGAAAACCGCGTCTTTAGCGCTGAACGCGACACGCGTAAAGTGCTTTAAGTGTTCGCATGAAGCTAATCCCAGAATGGATGTCTGGTGTTGGTGGCAGGTACCCAAGTACCTCTCAATCTGGCCAGCACTAAGGCCAAGCCAGGAGCACTGGGGTCCCTGGGGGTGCGAGATGCATTGGTACGGTTGAGCTGGAGCGCTCCGGTAGCTTACAAGGTGGCTTGTAATGTAGGAGCAGCTACGTCTATTCTCGGGACCAGAGTTACACATATCATCGCTGCTGTTTCTCGTTATACACTGCGACAAGAAAAGCCTTTCGTGTCGCCCTCCAGCCCTTCGTTCAGCGTCGATCGCTCCTCGCGGCGACTGCTCTGGTCGCTCAATCGCACTCCGAAACAGCTATGATCTCCCGGTAGTCTCGAGAGGCTATTGTCGACCAGCCATTGGGCCTACATAATACTTTCGAGCGGCATACACGCCCGGCCTCTCTTCCGACGCTGCCGCCATGTTTTCTAATCGCGAGGCCCGCTTGTCCATGGACAGCTTGTCGTCACCGCTATCGTCTCCCAAGGGTCGCGGCGAGTTTCCCTTTCACCGACAGGGCTCGGTCTCATCGTTTACGGCTGGAAGACGAGGTTCGAACGCAAGTTCGATACATTCTATAGGAGGTCATCTTGATACCGCGAGTAGTTGGGGCCAGCCGGTCACTGAGAGTGGCCAAAATGCCATATCTACTCTCCTGCAGCCCCCTATTGTCCGAACCGGCTTATTACCACATACAACTGCTCCGGCTTCCAGCGCGCACAAACCTCCGACGGCAAGGGATATACCCCCAGTAACCCTGACCAACATACCGCATATTGATGCTTCTGAATTCAAACCGTACTTGTCACAAGTGGGCGCTCTATACGAACAATTGCGCCGAGTGAAGGAAAGCGAAGAGGACGGGTCAGATCTGGTGTTCAGGCGAAAGTCGGACTTGACAAACTTCGCAGACGACGGTCATCTTACCCCTGGCGCAAATCGTGGACGGCCGACAAGTTCTCGCAAGCCATCAAATGCATCGTTAACCATGTCACCAATGGAGTCACCCCAGATGCGCCGTCGATCCAGCTCAGGTTTCGGAAGAAGAGCTGTACAAGGACCGCCACCGCTCAACACTATTCCGAATGTTTACTTTGAAGAGGACTTTCATCTGGAAAACCCTCGAACGTTTGACGTAGTTAGCGAGCGATCCGAGGTGGTTCGACAAGCATCAGGGTCGACAGATGACAAGGCGATGTTGAATGGGAATGCTAGCGCTCCTCGGAAGGCCCTCGCTACCAATGCAATTCTCCAAGAAAAGTTGTCATGGTACATGGACACCATTGAAATGCACCTCATCAACTCCATATCAACTGCTTCGACCACCTTTTTCACTGCGCTTGGTTCTTTAAGAGAGCTCCACTCGGAAGCTGCAGAATCTGTGGACAGGATCAAGACATTGCGAAAAGAATTGGAAGCTTTGGATCACGAAATTGCTACAAGTGGTCTGGAAATAGTGCAAAAGCGTCGTCGGAGGGAGAACCTACAACAACTGAATAACGCTATACAACAGCTCCGTGAAATTGTAGAGGCTGTTGCGGTGTGCGAGTCTCAAGTCGATGCAGGAGAAGTGGAAAAAGCACTTGAGAGCATTGAAGGCTTGGAGAATTTGATGGCTGGGCGGAGCAGACCGATCATTGCCGGCTCCAAGCCAGACTCCGGGCTACCGTTGATGGACTTGAGGGAAGCGACTGCACTCCAAGGAGTTACAGGCGACATGTCGACTCTCCGGTACCGTATTGGAAAGGCGTTTGAGTCCAAATTTATTGACATACTGCTTGGGGATTTGAGACACCACATTGATACTATCTCAAGTCACGAAGTTTTACTTCGATGGAGCTCTTCTGCAAATCGGTCTCGGGGTGGTCATAAGAGGGACACGTCGAAGCCGCCGGCTTATTTGAGCTCGATTGACAAACTGCGTGCAGATTTGATGCCCATACTCTCTGGCTTGCATCAGTCGAAGCATGTCACCACGGCTATAGCCTCTTATCGCGAGGTTGTCCTACGTGAAATCCGAAGTCTCATTCGGCGACCACTACCAAGTTCAAACGACGATGACAACATGACCATTAATTCGACATCCACCTCAAGCGTCAGTAGACTCTCACAGCAAGAGAAATCCTCCATCCTAGCGCGAAACTTGAGAGCATTGGACTACCAGGATGCCGAAGATCTCTACCAGAAGATTTATATAAGTGTTACCGAGACACTGCGGAGACTGACTACGCAGGTCAAAGTCCTCTTTGACGTCGCCAGTTCCATGGGACAAACACCGGATCCAGATCCCATGTTTGGCCTACGCTCTCCACCTCCTTTGAAATCGCCACCGCTCAATAGCGCAAACCGTGAGCTGCAGGAAGACATCCACTTGACCATGGACATGGCAAATCTTCTGGGTCAAGCTGTAGACATTGCGCAAGAGAAGATTGTGAAGGTGCTACGGGTCCGAGCTGAACAAAGCACACACCTGCCACTCGTTTGGTTTTTGCGGTACTTTACCTTGAATCTGTATTTTGCCAACGAGTGCGAATCCATATCCGGCCGCAGCGGTACCTCGCTAAAGACAGTGGTCAATACACAAATTAAGGATTTCATCCAATATCATGGCGATTCGGAGAAGCAAAGTCTTGTACAAGGAATGGATATTGATCAATGGAGCGCCAAAGACTTTGCAGAAAAGGATACCGTTTTACTCGAACGCATCCTCGATTCTAGCACCAAAGATGCCGAGGCGTGGTCGGTGGGCAAGGATATTTGGAATCCGTACACAGAAGCGGCTCCGGCGACGAATGGACGACCGCGGTCCGAGTCAAATGGCGGAGCACCAAAGGAGAAAACTCGAAGTGCGATCATCGAAGGAGAATCCTTCATATTGCCAAATTCAGCCATCCTATGTCTCGAGGGCATGTCGCATTTCTTGCACCTGACAGCGGGCATTCCCTCCATGGCCCCGGATATTTCGTCTTCTCTGATTGCTTACCTACAACTGTTTAATAGCCGCTGTACTCAATTGATCCTTGGAGCTGGTGCCCTCCGCTCTGCAGGTCTGAAGAATATCACCACTAAACATCTAGCATTGGCATCACGGGCCTTTGCATTTGTATCAACACTGATCCCGCACGTCCGAGAATTCGTGCGGCGGCATGCCGGCTCTGGACCGAACGTCAACAATGCCTCCGTATCTGCTTTGATGGGCGAGTTCGACAAGGTGAAGCGACTATACCAAGAGCACCAGAACAGCCTCTATGACAAGCTTGTCGAAATTATGAGCGGCCGTGCGGCAGCTCATACCAAGACGATGAAGGCAGTGGACTGGAACAAACGACTTCCGGATGATGGCCAGATTGGCGTGAATGCTTACGTGGAGACCTTGGCCAAGGAGACTGTCACATTGCACCGCGTTCTCACCAAGCACTTACCTGAGGACACGGTGCGCCTAATCATGGCGCCAGTGTTCGAAAGTTATAAGACTCAGCTGGGTAGGGCGCTGCAGGGGCATGAGGTCAAGGAGGAGAGCGGTGTCAAGCGGTAAGCTATCTCATGTCGACCGTACGAAATCTTGCATAAACTAATATTGGTCATCTTTAGCATGGCATACGATATCAATTACCTCATCACCCGCCTCTCCAAGATCGAAGGGTTCGGTGACACTGGAGAATATCTCCTAAATATCGTCAATTCCAAGAAAGTAGACTCGCCACCTCCAGCTGTACCGGAAAAGGATAGCTCGGAGGCAAAAGAAACCGACGGGACGAAGACAGACGAAGGGGCAAATGGCCAAGAGCCTGAAAAGAAGGACAGCGACTCTAATTGAAAAGGATATGGAGAAAAGAAAAATTCATTATGTTTCTAGCACTAACTGGCGTTCTAGAAGGGTCGACAATGCCTCCCTGTGGCTGATCGTTGTTCCATTTACGTGCGGGCTGTTCAAGTGACAAGGCAAACTAGATTTCTGTCAATCACGCATGTCAGATAAATATTAGCGCCAATGTTGGGTGCTGTTCTCTCAATAACACCTTGAAGTATTTTGTTTAAGATTGAGAAACGTTTAAATGTATCATTGTCTTTATTATGTGCTTTTCCAACTCTGGGGATGGAGGTGAGACATGTCTAGTTGAGCAGCAGATTCCAGAGCGCATCCTTTTCGACATAGTCGTGGTGGATGATGTTGACCAGCCACAAGTCCTGTAGAGTGCCCTCGAGCAGCTTGGCGCTTTCCGACTCCTTGCCGTAGACCTTGGCCCACTCGGCAAAGATGCCAAACGCCTCCTCGCTCCAGGCCCGGAAACTGACCTCTTCGATAATGGTGGGCGTGACAATCTCCTTGCCGGGGAACACGCCCCACGTCACGGCATTGGTGCTCGCCTGCCGCACCTGCTGGCCCTCGAGCCCGCCCGTCATGTCCGACGACACAAAGTCGCCCTTGGCGTTGGCGGCGTAGAAGCAGACGGTATCCTGGACCTCGGAGCTCTGCAGTTTCTCGTAGAGAACCTTCCACTCGGCCGAGGGCACAAAGAACTCGACAAAGGCCTTTTGGAACACAAAGCCCTGCGTGGGACCCCAGCCAAACGTCGGGTCGGTCGACGGGAGGCCGTTGATGGCGGGCTGCGACGCCACGGTCCACCAGCCCTTGGTGTTGAGCTGCAAGAGTTGCGGAGCAATCGTGTTGGTCTCGGCATTGAGGTCCTCTTCGCTCCACGGTATCGCCTCGAGCTCGCCCTGGAGGTGTTTGACAAAGAGATTGCTAATGTCTTCCCGCTTCGTGGGATGGCCCCAGAGCTTGAGCGCTTGCGCATTGGTTACGTGCAGCGTTGGGCCGTAGCCGTCAATCTCTCCGTACGCTGGTGATCTAGCATCACCCCATCGACCGTTGGGAAAGTCATCCCACGTTGCCTCCCGTCCCAGGACTCCCTCTCCTTCGGAGATGGCAAGAGTGTTGGCGCGCGTGTTGATCGGCTCGGCAGGTATGCTGGCGTCGGCTGCGCTCGTTTCGTATTCGGGGTGCGATAGTGGTCGGTCACTGACAATGACCCGGTTGCGAGGGTCCGAACCGATCGAAGAGTGTCGGCGCGAGCTGCGTCGAAGCGAAGCAACAGCCGTCGAATCGTGGGCGGAGCCATTAACCTGGAGAGTCGGGACGGAGATGAGATCATCCACCACGGCCTCTTCTTCGAGATCGTCAGGAGTGGTCGGGGGAATCAGGTCGCTTCTCTCGATGATGAAGGAAACCGCCTTTTCCAGGTTCAATGTGTAGAAATGGAAGCCGCGTGGGCCCGGGGTTCTACTCTTGATCGCCTTGACCTTTTCAATGATTTCACTGACAATGTCCACACCAACGCTCTTGACCTTTTCGTCATCCTTCTTGACGGCGTCCAGACGAGCCATCAGGTGATCCGGGATTCTGGCGTGGCTGAGCTTGGTAGTTCTCTTGATCATCTGATAGCTCTGAATAGGCATGAGACCGGGCAGGATCGGAACATTGTTGAAGGCGCCGCTCGGGTGCTCTCTCAGTGTGCGCTCAAACTTTTCATAGGCATCCGTGTCAAAGAAGAGCTGGGTCATGATAAAGTCGGCGCCAGCCTGAGTCTTCTCAACCAGGTAAGGAAGATCGTGCTCCAGGCTCTGGCCCATGGGGTGACTCTCATCAGCGTGGCCCTCTGGGTACGCGGCGACACCGATACAGAAGTAGTCGCCATAGTTCTTCTTGATGTATCGCACTAGATCAATCGCCCACACGAACCCCTCGTCGATAGCGTTTTCCGGGTCCTCGTTCGGGTCTTGATACTCGGCCGCCCGGGGCGGATCGCCTCTCAATGCCAGAATGTTTCGTATTCCCAGAGCCTTGGCATCCTCCAGAGCGCCATCGATCTGCTTCCGGCTCATGTTGGTGCAGGTCAGGTGCAGACAAGTCGTAAGGTTGAGTTCGCGCTGGCATATTTCGGCGAGCTCGAGGGACTTGCTGGCAGTCGATCCTCCGGCGCCCCAAGTCACGTTTACAAACAGCGGTCGGAGGGCGCGAGCCATGCGGTCGAGACGGTCGCGCAGGTTGGAAAAGCCCATGGCCGTCTTGGGCGGGAAGAATTCGAGCGAGAAGTAATTCGCATCAGCCGGCAGGGCGGCGATCTTGTCGGTGATTTTCTCCATCTTGTCAAGGTCGGATAGATGTTAGAATACTCGAATTGACAAGAAAGAAAGATTTGGATTGGTATAAATCGGTTATCAGGGCGAGTTGGGTCGGTGGTCTCCTAGTTCTCCTGGCAGCGCAAGTAACTGCCGATGCTCAATTGTGCCGAAATCGGCTAACACTCAGCCAAGTAGACGAACTTTAGGACGCAAAACTGGTCCTCCGAGTTCACTTCGCGGTCGAAAGCAACTGAATCTCGCGTGACAAGAAACCAGCAAGATTTATGTAGAAAAATCTCAGCCCGTCGTCATTGTGCAACGGGGCTTCGGGGCGTCATTAGCTTGGACCAGACAAATTCCACTGCTCCCAGAAATTGCCCCGCTACCGGCGTGATCGGCCGCCACAAACCGCGTCTCCGGTCAGCATTGAGTTGATTGAGGCACTGGGCCGTCGGTATGTAGTGTTGGCTATGCCGGCCCCCCCTGTCTGCCATGAACTCACCAGTGACCAAGGTAGTTTTAGTCGACAATTTAATACAAGATCAAGTGCCGTCACGAGCGAGTTAACGCAAATGGCCCGAAATAGTCCTTTCAGGAACCAACTATAATCTTGGCCCTAAGTATTCTGCATCAATAAGTTCTGGGATATGGGGTCAGACTCCATCATCCATGCCTTGTGAGTTCATTGTAAGGAGTTGTCCATGTGGTAGGGAAAGTTATGAGCCAATGTCCTACCAGAAGCACAATCTTGGGGACCGCATGAAGGCGCAGACTGGCACTATGGAGTATAAAGACGCCATTTCTGCCGGTAGCTGCTGTCGTGTCACTCGCCCGTTTTTGTGCGACATGCCAAACAGCTGTGGCTCGTGTGACCGGCATTGGTTGTTGTCTCATAGCCAATACAGTTCGGATCATCTAGGCCAGCTCGATTGACCAAGAAAGATGCAGGATTTCGCCATACCTCTGTGATGGGGCCAAGCAATGCCCACAAGCTGGAACGGGACCCTTTTTACGCTGTTTTTGGTTCATGCTTTAATTGTGCTTTTGGAGGAATGACGAGCAAGTGATCGATAGAATCTATATAGCCGGACTCCACAGAGTTGAGTCGAAGTCGAATACATCAGTTTATAAAGAGTGTCTATATGATACATTGTGTAGAAGGTCTTTGACAAGGAATATAGAATTCAACATGACCTCTCGCTGATTGGCCCGGACCTGGAGCTATCTTGCATGGCGACTAGCCCGACTAGCCCACACACCGTTATTGATCCCTTGCTCATCCGAGACTAGAAAGTCGCTGGAGATAAGGCACCATTCAATCCCCATTTGTAAGCCGTCAGCTCGTAAGAAGGCGACATCCACCAAGGGTCATGATATGATACATCCGTCTGCCCCCCAGATGCGGGATGCGCCTCCGAATGGAGAAGCTCCATCCTCGGAATCTAGGTTAGATCTATTATCCGTTGGTTGAGATACAGACTTTCTTAACCTTTTTGTCTGCATCTGCCTGAATCCATTTCCTATGAGAACGACCTAATTTGCCCATCTTGATTCTTGACATCACCTGCGTCCATCTCGTCTGTTCTAGCTGCTTTGGCTTCGTGATAGTTATTGTTGCCCATCATGGAAGAGGCCCAATGGATCGAGCAGCTTGCGCGAGGCGAGTCCTCCAAGCCGCTGCCCAAGGACATGAGCCATCACTACTCAGAGGTGACCAAGAGGCGCACGCCGAGCAAAATGAAGGAGTACTACAAGTACTTTCTGATCCCCGGCATTGGACAGCTCGCTGGAGGTATGCTCTCTGTTATCGCCCCCGCCTTGGCATCTTTGCGATAATCATACTGATAACCGTATTACCACGCTTCCAGGTCTACCGCATAGAAGCTTCTTCCCTTACGATACCCTCGAGGCGCAGGCGGCAAAACCTGAGAGATTCACGCCCTCGCCAAACCACCCAACCGCAGACTCCATCTCGTCGCGATTGGAATCCACCTCCATCTCGAGTCACAAGAAGTCCGACCCGTCCGCCGCATCGCACATCACTGTCCCGGCGCTCGCTACTCCCTCCGATCCGCTCAAGAAGATTGACTTGGCAACGGCTCTGCAGTATGGCCAGGCCAGCGGCTACCCACCACTCGTCTCATTTCTCAGACAATTTGCCCGCGAGAACTTACACCCCAATGTCCCGTACCGAGGCGGACCCGAGGTGGTCCTCACAGTCGGCTCGACCGATGGCATGTCCAAATCGCTGGAGTTGTTCACAAACATATGGAACGAAGGCAAGGACGACATTAGCGAGCGGCCGGGTCTCTTGAGCGAGGTCTTCATGTACGGCAATGTCCTCAGCCAGGCGCAGCCGCGAGGCGTACAAGTCGTGCCCGTGGAAATGGACGAGGGTGGCATGGCTGTGGACGGCCCTGGAGGACTGGAAGATGTCCTCGCCAACTGGGACCCCGCCAAGGGAAAGAGGCCGCACATGATGTATACTGTGACGTGAGTAAATTTCCTTGCCAATTCCGTGTCTATCAATTTGTTCCATGGGTCCACTTCTAACGCCTCAATACTAGTATGGGTCACAACCCGACCAGTGGTGTACTGTCCCTGGAGCGTCGCAAGGAAATCTACGCCGTCTGCAGCAAGTACGATGTGATCATCATTGAGGATGATCCATATTGGTATCTTCAGTACCCTTCGGCCATCGTCGAGGAAGCCAAGGCACGTGGCCTGCCCACGCCCAAGCCCGAGATGGCAAACACCTTGGCCCGGACGTCTGGATATCCTTATCTGGACTCGCTAGCCCCGTCATTCCTCAACATTGACATCGATGGTCGTGTTGTGCGTCTTGATACTTTCTCCAAGACTGTCGCCCCCGGTTGCCGTGTCGGATACATCACCGCGTCTCCCGAGATTTGCGAGCGCTTTGTCCGCATCGGCGAGACGGGTACCCAGGGACCATCGGGCTTTGTGCAGTCCATGCTCGCCGAGATTCTGATTGGACATCAGCCCGAGGCCACGTCGCGCTTCCAGGTGGCCAAGAATCAAAACACCTTTACCGGCTGGAACGTCGACGGCTGGGTTCGCTGGCTCGCTGGACTGCGCGGCATGTACGAGCGTCGCATGCAACGGATGAGCTCGATTCTCGAGGAGGGCGCCTACCAACTCAAGCAGAGCACGCCGTCCCGGGACGCCGACTCGGACTGGGGCGTCATTACCAAGACGCAGCTGTATGATTTCGACTGGCCCCGCGGTGGCATGTTCCTGTGGTTGCGCATGCGCTACGAGACGCACCCGCTGTGGAAGGCTGTGGGCTCGGCCGGCAACGTCATCAACGGCGTGGCCCTGTCGACGGCGCTCATGATCTTTTTGACGCGCAAGCCTTACCTGGTGCTGGTGAGCCCGGGTTTCATGTTCAGCGCCACGCCCGAGATTCGGGAACAGAGAGGCTGGGCCTATTTCCGGCTCTGCTTTGCCGCCGAGTCGGAAGAGAATATTGATCGCTGCTCTGAGCGCTTCGTGGCTGGCGTGCAGCAGTTTTGGCGCATCAAGAAGGTCAAGGACCTGGAAGAGATTCTGGCCGACGGCCCGGGTGGTTCATCGGCGAGTACACTGGATACCGATGGACTGGTAGACTTGTCGACACCCATGGGATGTTAGAGATTCTTGTATAAGCATACGTGTAGCTTCACAATTACAATATTAAATTGTCACCAAATTTGGCCACGCTGGCGTATCAGTAGCACTTAATAGTGACAACCTTGATAATGTGAAACAATACCACAAGAAAGTGATCGTCATTTTCACCAATAGCAAGTGCCACACAACATCGACACGTATAAATTCAGGAACAGTATTTTGTACAACTCTTATTCTCCTTCTATCTACAACTAAAAAGAAGAGAAGATGCCAGCAGCCGAGAAGTACAGAAACTGCGGCGGACTAAAGCGCAAAGAAAACGCACAACAACAGACTTTGGGGAGAAATTGATCTCATGGGGAGAAAAGATAGACGCCGATGCCGGGAAGGTAAAAATCGAATCCGAGTCTAGACACGATTCTCAACGACAATTTTGTACAACGAGTCTCCTAGACCTTTAAAGGTCAATGGCGAGACGGTGGAAAAGTCCAAGCGCAAAGCTCACTTTCCTATAATGCGAGTTGGAAACAGGAGAAATGTAACCTGCCGAGGGTTTCCTGGGGGTCAGAACGAAACGATTGGTATATGCTTCCTTCATCAGAGGAATCGCAGAACTGAGAATATACTCAGATGAAGGACAAATGCAAGACATTGCTGGGTCGTGTGTATCGACTGGTGTGTGTGTAGTAGTGCAGAAAGACGTAAAGGGTGTTGTCGAACCCCTGAGGTACCCTTGATGAAAAAAGGCTTTGCGAGATGCCGTTAGTTGAGAGATGAGACTAGTAGCTCGAACACAGTCCAATGCATAGGACCAACAGGAAGATGGCATTCAGAGAGGAATTTTAGACCTCGCCATCACCGTAGTAATCACCCTGATCATCAAAGCTGGTGGCCCAGTCGTCCTGCTGGTCGGCGGAGGGATAGGCCGAAGAGGGGAGGGGCAGGCCGCCTCGCTTGCTGGGTGTCGAGGTCAGGTCGAGGAAGTCGCCGGTGTTAGTGGTAGAGTCCTCGAACGGATCCTCCTTGATGGCCTTCTTGGACTGCTTGGGAGTAGTGGCGGCAGCACGCTTGGCGGTGGCGGCTTTGGGGGGACCATTGGTGGTCTTGCGGGCGGCAGAGAACTGGCTACCGTCAATCTCCATCAGCTCGTCCTCGCTCTGCTCCGTGGTGTGAGCAACAGGGTGGGAAGGGCCGGCGGACCAGGTAGCACCATCACCGCCGCCAAAGATGGATCGATGAGGAGTGGGACCGTTGTTGCCCTGAGCATCGCCAGGCTTGCCGTAAAAGTCGTCGGGCTTGTACATGGCCTGGGCTCGGGCCTGATTCTCAGCCTGGGTCACAGCATAAGGCTGATGGAAAACGGGAGAATCCAGGTCAGAGTTAGTGGTGCTGTTATCCACCGTATAGGCTGGGTTGCGCTGAGCACGAGATGGGAACTTGGAAGGAGTCTGCTGAATGTCCAGCTCATCGAAATTCTCCTCGGGCGAGTCAATATCGCTCTTGATATCATCATCCAAGCTGGGCTCGCGCTTGACCTGCTTGCGACCGCGGCCACCCGTGGTGGCTGCTCCATTAACAGGGGCCTGGCGCTTGCGGCTGGTGGCGGGAGTGCTGGGAGCCGATCGTTGGGTCTTGGCCTTGCCCTGCTTGCCACCCTTTGCTGCAGTACCGACAGTAACTTGAGTAGGATCACCGCCGGTGCTGACAGCGTCTTGCTGGGCCTTGCCAATGGCCTTGACCTCACGGAAGTGGAATTCCAGTCCAGCGGGGGTGGACTCGCCAAAAAGCTTCTGGATCTCTATCAATGAAAAAAAAGGTTAGTATACTCGTGTAGATAATTTTTACAAGCATCAACGGCAAGAACGCAAAGCCATACCGGCTTTCTCAACAGGAAGGTTCATGGGGTCTTTGCCCTGCTCGACGCATTTTTCCTGAAGTTTGGCTAATTGCTTGATGGGTCGGAGGCGGTGGTCGATCGCGGAGTGTGTGGCATCGGATCCCATGTGTCTTGCGATCTCTGGGATAGACTCATCAGCCTACGATCACCCAACGCGTGACTCTGCCTGAAAGTGAGGGACGGATGGCCCAAAGGAGGTACGGCGGGAAGAAAGAAAGAAGCATCAAACAGAAAAGGTTGGAAACATCACGATGAAAAATTAACTTACCCTTGTAGTCGAGTCTGGGCTTGGCAGTTGCGATGACGGCTGCCAACAGGCGAGCCTGAGCTTCGTAACTGCGGAAGTTTGTGGTGGACTTTGAAGCCATCTTGGTGGAAGATGTGTTGTTGGAGAAATGGGATGTGTTTTGGGTTGTGATGAAACACGTCTGGTAGTTGGTTGGTTGTTGTGTTCAGCGCGTTGCAGAATGCGTTGCTTAGGAAGAAACTGGGTAGGAAGGAGTTGCGCTTTAGAGAAAGAAGCGGGATCAGTAGATGCTTTGAAAGGTTCTTGAGCAGTGAGTGAGGTGAAAACTATGAAATGGATGGTTGGTTGCGTGCTGCAGGAAGTTGCAAGCACTGCCACGCAGACGACAAGAGCAGAAATTAGAGATACTCGTGGAAAGTATCAGACGAAAGGAGATGGTGGTTGAGAGGTTTGATGGGATTAGCCAACAGGGTGGGTGCACTGGGGAGGATGAAACCTGAATTCTTCTTGGTTGTGTAGACTCACAATTGTTGCCTTGGTCCTTGTAATAACAAAAATAGACTTGTCAAGGGCAGAAGCCGAGGGTTTCCTGCTTGTTCCAGTGTAGAAGAAATATTTATCAAACTGGCAGATGAAACAAGCAAGAACCGTGGTTTCCTGTTGTATTTACAAATGCACAAAGACGACGATCATGACGAAGACGACGAAGGGAAGGGGATGTTGACACCAGCTCTGTCGTCGGTCACGTCGTCGGTCTCGTTGATAGACTATGAATACGCCAGAAGAGCAACTGCATTTAATATGCGGCTACAGGAAATAGAACAGCAATGTTCCTGAAGAGTTGTGGAATTATCGTCCGGACGATGAGATTGATATGGCGACACTTGAGACGATTTCTCTACTTCAGCTTACAATGTGAAAGTCAGTGTCTGATATAGCGGTAACTGGACGAAAGCAAGTCAGTAATGCACAGTCCTGGATGAGATCTCGTGTGAATAGATTTGTGGAAGCGGCCAAGGTGTAACGAAGTGGTTACTACCTATACTTCAGTTTTTGCTACTTGTTCAAGTAGCATATCTAGTGACCATGAGAGCGTGTCGTCGAGGTCACGAGGTACAGACAATGCAATTCCCTCCGAGATTCGGCACACGTCCATGGATGTTGTGTGAAAATAGTTCTAGGCAGCTTTTCCATGTTCATGGCTGGCGACTTTGCTCGCCAAGACTATAGGTCCCAGATATTTGGGAAGATCAAGTTGAACCTCGAAGCCTGGCCATGCTTCGAAATGGGAAAGGAATGGCCATGGATGATTCAACGATCGTCGCCACTTCACTTGAGATGCGATGAAAGCGGTCGGCCATGTGCAAGTCCAGAGTTCTTGAAGTCAGTCACTTGAAGCTCTCGGTAGATGCACAAGCAAGCAGACTTCCATGGGCGAGATTTCATCAAGAACGGAAGAGCTATATGGAGCCAGCTTGGCTTTTTAAATCATTGGACGACTCTGGCCACCACCAGACGAAAGGGGACAATGAAAGGCTGGGTATACTCACTTGGACATGGACTTTGCCGGCATATAAATGGCTGTTGAGATTGGTCAATTCAACTTACAAAGGTGGGAGAGCGCAATATCATGCAAAGCACCTGACTGAATGAGTCTGCTTCATTAAAAACGATAATTTGCCACTGAATTGATCAAATCGTTGAGCCTGCAACTTGTTGGTGGCACTTTCGTGCTATATAGCAAATCATCAGCTCAGACTGTTTATATCTCCAGACTCATTGTTTTGAGTGGGGCACGTGGAAGTTGGGACATTGTGCACTTACAATTGACCTGAGACTGATCTAGGTGACAGCCGCAATTGAAGGCATGAATATATCGGCGGGTGTCTAGATTATAACCGCTTCAGCGGCTCAAGCAAATCTAGAAAGAAAATCAGACAAAAAGTCAATGAGATGCAGGGTTGGGTCGAGTTTCTAAGGGTTTTCGGCAAAGGGGTGGCTACCGTTGATAGGCCAACTGCCCAAAAAAGGCCCCATACAACCAATGAACGTGCGTGCAGAGCTGTTATGGAGTAACATTGGAAGCCTGAACTCGCGGCACGTTTTGGCTTACAGGGTCAATCACGTTTACATATAAAAGATTATCGACTTCCATAGTGATGATATCTTCCATCTGGTTAAGTTCTGGTATACTCACATGAGTATACGGCATGCTCACAGCAACAATTCAGCTTGCATGTCGTGTCGTGCACTACCGCGTATTAACTCTTTGCTCACGATTGATACCACCCATGAATTCAGCTGGGTGGTCGCGAAAAGCAAACCTCGAATACTACCGTACCCTGACAGGAACCATGATGATGAGGCATAGTCTGCAGGCATTTTAAGCTAATCCATTTCTTTACTTGCGTGATTGAGTATTTGCCCGCGTAATTTGCATCATATCCACCAATAAATACTGCCATCACAATGGTTCTGCATGGTCACAATAAACATAAGTCTCCAATGTCGTTTCTATTCATGCATCTATTCGTATCCTACGTAATTCTAGTACGCCTTTTCGCTCATTGGGGTTTTCCTTCCCGTGGGGGTCGACCGACCACTGTTCATGCTCAGTTGGTGGGGCTTCAAGCCAGCATAAGGCCACTGCCGTGCGAGCACTTCCGGCTCGTGGTCTCCGTAGATCATGTACTGGAAGCCTAGACCCAAGTCGCATGCAGCCTGGAACATACCGCAGATCTTGAAGGACCAGGGAATCTCGGTAGTCGAGGTAAAGAACCAATACATCTTGAGCGCATCACCCAGAATCCAGCTGGCCAGGAGAGATACGCGGAACCCTCTGCTGGACTTGGATCTGTAGTTGGCAAGAAGTTGGGGCAAGGGCAGAGTTGCCTCGACCCCAAGACCGATTATTCCAAGAAAAGACCAGTATGTAGGGTACAGCGAGTCCATTGGCGCAACGATCAGCTCGAGAACGGTCAGGGTGATGAAGAGGTACAGCAGAAACTGCCAGTAACTGTTGCTTGTCAGTGGGTGAATTCCTCGTTGGAACGGGTCGAGCGGCCACTTACGGCTTTGGCGATCGCCACTGCCAAAAGTTGTACGGTCTCTTGAAGCCAAAGCCCTCCTTTGCGCCGGAAAACGGCAGGCCAGCATCTCCACCTCTTGTAGACGGGGGCGGTCGGGTATCGAGGGCAATCTTGAGCAGAATGACCTGCATGAATATGTTGACGAATGCCTGGATGAGCAACGCATTATCGTATTTGGCTCCGAACCAGTAGAATACCCTTGATTGCGAGTTAGATTCCTGTTGCGCAAGTTCTCAAGAGCTCGCGGGCTACACACCTGAATATGCACGCCACCAGCATGATCAGGGGAATGTCAAGCGAGAAGCCGGCACTGGAGCGCTTCTTGTGCATTGACATGGCCTGATCCGTGTACGAGATAATGGGCGACGAGATGAGGAAGATTGGCGCGGCAAAGCCGGCCAAGGCTTGGAAGAAGGGCATCGTGGACTCGGAGGGACAATGGATCTGTCGTCTTGAACTTCGGCTTCGGCGGACGCGGGCCTATGATTGAGACCAAGCTTTGTCGCTTGTGGTATTGAAGAGAGGAGGAGGAGAAATACTGCGTAGACAACTATTATGCGCACTCCATACGTATACAATGACAAGAGAACAAGCAAGTTCTTCTTCTTTGCAAGACGCGACAATGTCTAGTGTAGAAGATCGGACAATAGGAGAAGATGTAAGCCCGAGGGTGAGAAACCGTGGTCCCGAGGTCCCTGAATCAATTCTCGCCGTCGTCCCTCTGAAGATCACTAAAAAAGAACCCAGGGACTGACTATGACTGGAATGCGGAATGGATTTTGGGTGGATCGCGGATATTTGTCGACATATTTTTTTTTTCTTACTCTCCTCGTCGCCGGTCCGGATCATCCCCAATAAAGGGGACGCGCTCAACTTGACAGGGTTGCCATTAGATGGCTCGAGGCTTCGGTTTATGCTGTTACGCTGCATGCATCTTCTCGTTGGTTGTTCGCTGCTTTAGTGGATACGGCGGTCCGTTTAGCAGCAAGCTCGCCAACTCGCAAGCTCTTGATTTCGCCGATTACCTTAGTACCTACCTAGCACCACGACCTAGCCTAATCAAACTAGAACGACTGTCTGCATCCGGGATTCGATTCAGGGGGTCGGTGTTTTTTTTTTGTTGATCTCACAATACTGTATGATTACAAGATTGACCTTGAAGTATCCATGGATTTCCAACTGATTACAAGATGCCATGGAATTGAAAAACAACGACCATAACATGTATGAGCTCACAGCATTCTTCAAGGTTAAGTAACAAATCCAGATTTTTACAAAAAAAAAAAAAAAAAAAAAAAATCTCGGGGGTCAGCGGCAGCTTGCCAGAAATAGACTCAAGGTTATGCGGAACACTACACCGAACTCTTTGTCGCATCCGTCAGACCCCCAAGGCACTCCCAGCACCACCTGTCTCGGGCGCCGATGCCAGGCCAGGTAATTGGAGAGCAATAGCAACAGCTATTATGCCTTGTGCCACTACAATCATCATGGCAATATGTGCTTGTTTGCGAAACGACAGGGCAAACATATCGAGGCAAAGTTACGGGGCCAGGACACCAACTGTCTGTCGCCTTGATTCTAGGTATTGCCATGCTTCACGTACACCAAGAGCTTGGAGAGGCGCTGAGCAGGGCTGAAGCAAACTGTGAGTGATACCATCCTCTGTACTTGTGAAATGCTAGAAACGTTTGCCACATTCGTTCATGTTTCTTGCACCGGCCCGGCTCTTCCACGTGGCGTCGAAGAACGGATCGAACAGCGGTTGGTTTTAGTGCCCTTTTCCTTCCCTCCCTGCTAATTTAAGCTTATAAAACTCCTGACCGACGCTCGGTACTGGTCATCAATCATATGCCATTGGGCTGTCAGCACCAAGAGGCCTTGCACTTCATAGCTTCTTTCCGGCAAAGGAATATCTACCATTTGATGCATTGTCACTTGATGCCAAGCTATCGAAAAGATCTTGAAGGACTCAGAATGGAAGAGAGATCAGCTCTAGCAGCCAGTGATTGTGTCACAAGTTCAATACATGTCAGCAATTATTCTTGCCTGCACTTACATGCATCTGCCTAGGAGCTCGGCAAGAAGCTCCTTTTCAGCTCGTGCACAAGACACTCACCATGCGACACTCTGCATTGTACATGCGAGATCGCCAATCCGTTTGAACAATTTCCAAGTTTTTGATCTTGCCGCAATCTACACTGCCAAGTTGCTATCCCATCAGGCATCTGGATAGTGAATGACATTAATGCTGTGGTAATCTACAGAGAACAGACCAAGTCATAATCACATACTTGGGTTAGTTGGATGGAAAAGCAGATCTTCAGCCATATCACGACCTCCATCATGGCCTACTTAGTAGGCTTGCATTAGTGGCAGTAATAACATGGTGCGGCTTGCAGTCGCTATAGAGAGCTGACCAATCTCAACGCAGCTGACTATACGCCATTCGCTAGTCTTGTCAGTGCTCGTATTCTCGTGGAATTCATCCTCACGAGATATGGAAGAATCAAGGACCCAACGCATCTCGGCGCCATATGACTGCGAGCGCCCTTTGGCGACATGATGACTGGCGGCGGCGTGGTATTCGTGTATCAATTGCGGTTATTTCAAGTCAAAGCATCCTCCACCTAGAACGATATTAGCTGTGACTCTAGTTGCTTTCTTCGCCTTAGGATTAAGGAAATTGATGTACAAGTGTCAGTCTCTCATGATTAGATGACCTAGCCCAAGCTGCTTATACCCAAACTCTGCGACTGAAGGAAACTTGTCCGACCTTGATGTTACCATGAGGCCCATAAGCCAACTCTCAAGCAATCTTCTCATGCTCAGCGCATTTGTCAGAGGAGATCCGATTTGGCCATCGGTAAATGACGAGCTGGAAGAAATCATGTACCAAGTCAAAGGATTCCAAAATCGCGGCTTTGGTGGTACTGTGATCCCCTGCTCAAGTGAGGCATCAGGACCAGGAAGACAGAACGCAGCAGAGTGGCTACGCACTGGCTTCCACGATATGGCGACTCGCAATACTTTCTTTAACAGAGGCGGACTGGACGGCTCTCTCCAATATGAGGTTGGTCGAGGGGAAAATACCGGTCCTGGTTTCAAAACAACGCTCAAGTTCATGTCCGACTACTATTCGACTCGTTCGAGTGTCGCCGACCTGATTGCCCTCGGTGTCTACTACTCGGTTCGCTCATGCGGAGGGCCAGCTATCCCAGTTCGTGGTGGCAGGATCGATGCGACTGCTGCTGGCGATATGGGTGTTCCACAACCCGAGAACAGTGTTTTCAGTTTTCAGCAGCGATTCCTCGGCATGGGCTTCGATAGTACCGAGATGATACAGATGACAGCTTGTGTGAGTCTTGCCATTCGTCGGGTACACTATTCGTCTCACAGCGTATAGGGCCATACTCTTGGAGGCGTACACACATCAGAGTTTCCAAACATTGCACCAGCAAACTCGCCGAATGGAGAGGCTGCTCTGGACTCGACTGTGGCCGTCTTTGATAGCAAAGTTGTGATTGAGTACCTGGCCAATACGACGACAAACCCATTGGTTATTGGTCAATCACAGACAAATGGTAGAAACTCTGACGCAAGAGTCTTTGCTTCGGATGGGAATGCAACTGTCCAAGCCATGTCCGACCCTTTGGCCTTTCAAAGCGTATGCAAGACTGTTCTGCAAAAGATGATTGACGCCGTTCCTCCCAACGTCGTTCTCACGGATCCTATTGCACCGTACTTTGTCAAGCCCGTGGGACTACAACTCACATTGGAGGGCGGGGCGACCATGATGACGTTGGGAGGCATGATTCGTGTCCGTACTACAGGACTCGCCGCTGCTCCTTTGAGTGTGACAATATTATACAAGGACCGGAATGGGGGTAGCGATTGCATGTTGGCGGGATGTGCCTATACGATAAGCCAGCAAGGCATTAGTTCTGGATTCGATGACATGTTTGCCTGGTATCAATTTGGGGGTGGTTTCAGGATTACAACTTTGGCTGGGATTTCCTCCTTTATCATTGTTCTCAACTTTGCCGACGGTACAAAACAGACTTTTGACAATAATGGTGCTTCATACCAGATACAAGACGGTGTTCTTCTTCAGAAACCTCAGAGCTGTCTCCTGCAGACAACTGGGGCGCTTACAGTCACCGCAGCAGTGCGCAACGATCGCAGTGCGTTGCCTGTGAACTTGATAGTCTACCAGAAAACTGGCAGCAACAGCAATCCAGTGGCCACCTTGAGCAACGCAACCACACCCATGACGAAGGGTGCTTGCGTGGGGCCATATACTCTGTATACAGCCAACTATCAGATTCCGGACGCCAGCCTTTCGTACTCGGCCAAGATTGATGTCATCAGTGGAGCGGGATCAGATGTTCTGAGGGACGATTTCAACAAGGCAACTGAATTGGGTGGTTCGTGCGATGCCTTTTCCGCTCCACCTGCTTCACTCTGCACAACTGGACAAGCTGGAACGACGTCGGGCACCAGCTCTACAACGTCAACCTCAATAAGCATCACATCTTTCGCATCCTCTTCTACGAAGCTGTCTTCCAGCACAATCTCCTCTTCAAGTTCACTCACTAGCTCTTCTAGCTCAAGCTCTGCGACTGCCACAGGGCCTATCCAGAAACAGAGCCTCGGGACTTATCAGCTTCTCGGCTGCAAGAAGGAGCCAAGTAACGCTCGAGCACTGAGTGCGGCAAGATACGCATATGATGGAATGACCTTGGAGTCTTGCATGAAGAACTGCACGGGCTACAACTACTGGGGAACAGAGTTTGGCCGTGAATGTGGGAAATTCTGGCCTGACCCAAAAAAGTTATATTATACTGATCTGTAAGCAGGTTATTGCGGCAACTCGATAGACTCCAGAAGTGAAGATGCAGCCATAACTGAGTGCAATATGCCCTGTTCGGGGGACGCTACGGAATACTGCGGCGCCGGAAATCGAGTCGAGGTTTATGTTGCAACAGCGACCCCTACTGCTTCACTGGCTCGCAAGCCCACCGTGTCACCATACTCGCGCCTGGGTTGCTTCACCGAGGTTGCTGGTCGTGCTTTGACTGGGACCCGATTTGCAGATGATGCCATGACTTTGGAGTTGTGCGCAGCTAAATGTTCAAGCTTCTCATACTTTGCCACCGAGTACAGTCGCGAATGTAAGTCACTCTATAACAAAAATTTCAACTAGATCAGTGCTCATATGATCGACCAGGCTACTGCGGCAACATTCTCGATTCCAGGAGTATCAAGGTGGCTGATGGTGAATGCAATATGGTTTGTGCGGGCAGCATTTACGAGTACTGTGGCGGCAGTAACAGACTCGAACTATATGGCCTGTCTACGATACCCTCACCAGGCTCAACTACAGTGACCAGCTCTTCAATTTCATCCACCATCATGAAGACAACAAGTAGCTCCACTACTATACAGTCTTTGCTTACATCCGTCTCAAGCCTGACGTTCACCACCTCTCAAAGCTCCAGCACAACAATATCTATACCCGTTTCTAGCATCTCCTCGCAAACTTCAAGCAGCACCGTAACAACTCAACCAACCTCTGGCTCTGCAAAGCCGACATCGAGCGCATCAAGTAGCTCTTTGAGTAGCACTTTCACCAGCACCTCATCGATCACCACCGGTACCGGCAGTATCAGCACAAAAGGCAGCTCGACAGGCAGCGTCACATCCTCGCCGTCCACAACCACCGCCTCTTCTCTCCAACACATCCCCACCGTGGGCAACTACACGCTCCAGGGGTGTCGCAAAGAAGCCACCAGTGGCGTCCGCGCCCTCTCGGCAAAATCAACAAGCTCACCTACGGGCATGACTCTCGAGACGTGCGCAACCTTTTGCTCGTCTTACCACTATTTTGGCACCGAATACGGCGGCGAGTGCTACTGCGGCAACACTCTAGCCAGCTCCTCTAACGAGGCAGCCAGCCCTGCGGACTGCGGCATGGTCTGCACCGGAAACCGGTATCAGTACTGCGGCGGGCCGAGCCGGCTCGAGCTCTACTACAGCAGCAGCGCAACCTCTGACGGGCCCGGACAGCCCGCGATGGTGAGCAGTGGCGGCGGCGGCGGCGGCATTTGGAAATGGGACGGTTGTCGCACCGAAGCTGATAACCACGTCCGGGCGCTGACGGGTCGGTCGGTCAGTGCTAATGACATGACACTTGAAAAGTGCGCCGCCACGGTAAGTCATATCCGTCCTTGACTTTCAAGACCTGTTGTGGGCATGGAATGAATAATACTACTTTCTCCCGAACGCTCTGCCTCCCCAGTCCCCCTTTTCTTTCACAGGTCTCCTAGAGGAACGCTTACTGACTCTGGCAATTTTACCCAGTGTGCTGGTTTCAAGTACTTTGGGACTGAATATGGACGCGAGTGCTACTGCGGTAATAACTTCAGCGCAGGGAGCAATGAAACTGATGCTGCAGATTGCAACATGGCCTGCAGCGGCAACTCTGGAGAGTTTTGCGGGGCGGGCAATCGATTGAGTGTCTATGCCACTGGGTCATGAAATTTGCAGTCGAATCGGCAACGGCACGCAAATGATTTTATTCGTTTTGTCCAAGTACCTTGTCCAAAAGATATGCAGAAACACAATTAATTAGTTTACGCCATGTAATTGAGAAACGATTGTCAATGACCAAGAGGCTGGCTGCAATGCAATGGTATATGGAACATTATCTATCTAGAACGCCGTCCTGTTGACCAAATATGAGTTGAAACAATCCTACACGAAAGTACCCCTTCATGCCAAGTGCTGGAATTCAAACCAAGAAAGGAAAAGAAACAATGTGGCTATGTACCATGGAGACTCCAAGATGCCGATTCCAGATACTCCGACGCCATAAAGATACAAACAATGCTATCTCGGGCGCAAAATTTCTGCGTCTTTTTTCCTCCTGCAAATCTTCATATGTGTGTGCCGGGATCTGATCATCCGGATAAATGAGGCTTTCTCTTTTTCTTTTTTCTTTTGTACAGCTCGCAACCGTGGTTATCCCTACCACGGCCACATCTTATATCCTACACCACGGATCCACGATCCCCACGAGGGCGGGGCCTTTTCAACCCGACGGAGTCACATGTTGGGCCAACGAAGTCTGAGACCATCAACCCAACGGCTGTATAGCACATCTGATAGCTGCCGACAATGCTCCATGCCCGGCTGCGGATCGCGTCCTGGGTACTTCTCACCAATAGCTGCCTTTTCCTTATCCGTCGCCGGCTTTTCAGGGCTCCCACTTATATCGGAGATCACGCTACCCTGGCGTCGGCGGTGAGACCTAAGATGTGGGTTGTTGTTTGCAAGGACAAGCCTGGATGGACTCTGCTGAGGCTGCAGTTGCATCTGGCTGCGATCGGTAGTCGGCGTGTTACGAATAATGACCGTACCAGCTGGCGTTTCGCTATTGAATGAACCACGGCCTGTGCTAACACTCGATCTCAAGTCCGAATCAGATTTTGGAAGGAATGTGTTGGAGAGTTTGGTATCTTGAGCCACCGAGGCCATCACGCCTTGCATCATATGATATGCGCCTTCTGGATCAATGGCATTGAGTCCGGCAAATGCATCCGAGAATCTTGCGAGCGCCTCTCTCTTGGACATGGATGAGGTCTGGGCATGGAGTTCGGCAAGCGTGGGCTCCACTGCCTTGGAATAGAGACGGCGCCCAAGGATGGCTTCCTTGCTACTCGCTTCGACCGTTTTGGGCTGCCTGTTCTCGTCGGAGAACACATCATCGTCATCAGGCCAGGACATATGACCCGAAGTAGAACTATCGGAGGGAACTCTCTTGAAGAGACGCTGCGAGGAGCCCGAGTTTCCGAAAGACATATCAGGCTGTAGCGGCTTTCTAAGTGCTGGCCCAGGAGGAACTCTCATAGAGCTTGTGCCAGTGTTCTGTGCCAGCGATGGCCGTCTCCGTGTGGTAGCTTTTCTGACAGTCGATGGTTGGGCTGGTGATGATGGCTGTAGGGGTGCGTCCTTGATATCGAGTCTCCGCAATGCTTCATCTGTCGAGAATATGGACGAAGGCTTTCTGGTCTTGGCGGGCGTCTTCCTAGGCGCAACTGATCTAACCGTGTCAAAGAGCCACTCGTCCTCATCGTCCCTAGGTGAGATACTACGCAGTGTCTCTTGATACATGGCTCGGTTTCGCTTGTTTGTCCTGGATGCGTCGTATGCTCGGCGGCGCTCAATAAGCTCTTGTAGCGCCTCAACCTTGCCGGCGTATCGAATGAACCGGTGCTTGAGCATGTCTTTGGCAGATGGCCGCAAGTCGGGATCCTTGACCAAGCACCTCGTGACGAAGTCCTTGAAGTCTTTGGAATAATTACCCTCGAGTCGTGGGGGCGGGTTCTTGGGAATCTGAAAAAGGGCCTTCATGGGGTGCAAGTCGGCATTAGGCGGCTCTCCACAAGCCATCTCAATGGCTGTTATACCCAACGACCATATATCCGCCTTGAAATCATAGCCTGCTTGCTGAATCACCTCGGGTGCCATCCAAAAGGGAGTACCAACGAATGTGTTGCGTTGCGACTTGATATTGGTCAGCTGTGCCGCGACACCAAAGTCGGCCAGCTTGACCTTGCCGGTTTCTGCTAGGAGGATATTGGCGGCTTTGATGTCGCGATGAATCTTGCCCTCAGCATGAAGATACTCGAGACCTGTAAGCAGTTCACGGCAGATGATGGCAATGTGTGTTTCGCTGAAGCTGGAGGGTTCGGGTTTGAGCTAATGAGTAAAGTTTGGTTAGTATGGGACCAGCGCCGGCGGTAGGACTATTGGAGATGTACCAAATCTAAGCAAGATCCTCCGCCCAGGTACTCCATGACAATCCATAACTTGCTGCCGCGTAAAAAGCTGGCTTTGTATTGTGTCACATGGGAGCTGGCGCATGTGCTCAAGACTGAGATTTCGGCTTGGATATCTTGGATGTCATCGTCGGTGGACTCGAGATCGATCTGTGTAGACAAGGTCAGTAGCTGAAGTATAATAGCGGTGGGTTGAAGTCATACATGTTTGATGGCGACAACTTCACCTGTGGCCTTCTCAATGCCTTTGTACACTACTCCAAAGCTGCCACCTGCCAAGAGATCAATTAGTGAGCTACTCGTAAGACAAAAAAAAAGTTAGGGTCCTGCGAATGGTCGCAAGCGGTGTCTACTTACGGCCGAGTTCCTCCAGAACCTGGTAGTGGCCTGCGATAGCTTCGTCCGCCATGTTGTCAAGAGCGAGAGCGCAAAGCGCTGTTGTTTACGAAAAGCACAACAATGGAGAAATTGGTGATGAGCGACAACGATGAGTCGGGTTCGAACGCAGTGGCAGCCAGGGAGCAGGCGAAGGAAAGAAAACAACCTGCACGCGCACACGACGACACCAACGACAGAAGCAAAAAAGAAGAGATTTTGTTTCAGAGAGGCGTTTGTGCAGCTCGAGGTGCAGGTCCGGTGGTGATATTGAATCCTTGGACGGGGGACCCGTTGCTGGGAGACGATTTACCTATGTATGTACCTACTGTGTAGGTACGTATGGTGCCCGCAAGCTTGGACCAGTAATATTTTGACTTTAGTGTACCTAATCCTGCCGTTGGGTTGCGACTAGCGAATTGGACATCAGCTCATGATCCGTTTGCAATGAAAAGACGAAGAAGCCAAAAGATTGTTCTTTAGCGATTTCACGATTGATGTCATTATGGATTACATGGCATATGAGTTTTTTCCTACGTAGTTTGGTCGGCAAGACCACATTACGACGACTACATGACTGGGAAAAGGGCACTGTTTCTTGCAAAGACAGCAGCACTTTTGAGACGAATGTTTGTCTTACATGCCAGTGGTGTGAGTTGATTGGTGCCTGGCCCTGAAAACAGAAAAGCAACTTTAGCGCGCCCGGCCTTAGCAAGGGTCCCTACATTAAGCAACCCGGCATCAATCGATCTGACGGCCAAGGTGGACTCCCCAGTGCCCACCCCGGATAGAGATAGGCAAGAAAATAGGGCGTCCTAGGCCGACTGGGGTTTGCAAACAGAATTCTCATTGGCAGAGGAGAGCTCATAGTCCCCGTTTTGGGCGCCTTCAGCACACGCTTGGCAGACTTCTAGAGAGTCTCTGGCAGTTCAGGCTCAGCTGAACTGCCTGATCATAGGTACTTGCAGGGACAGAAAACTCGTAAAAACCCTGCCACACAAAAATTATCGCCCACAAACAATATGGAATTGAACTCTTTTTAAGTAATTTGCCGTCTGGCCATCTCGCTCAAACAAAAAAGAAGTAAAAGTTCAAATTCTGTGACTGAATGTCTCGGATCGTACTGTTAATTAGAGTTCAACGGCAGTGTTTTGGTGACCGACGTCACCTCTGCTCCAAAACACTTTACCTAGCTGAGTTAGGCCCGGGGGTCCCGGCCAACTGGAGCTTGTCGCCCTCAGCGAGTGGCTTTAGGTGGGACATATCCCGATCGGAGCTGTCTCACAAGCGTCACCCAGCAACGCCTAGAAGTAAACAGGAGGGGCATCGTAGCATTTCAAAATTCGGTTCGGCTACAGGTCCAGGGCCACCCAGCTACCATTCTATGTACACTACGAGCCGCATCGCGATAACATCGAGCACCATTAGCACTCTGCGATCCCAGCGTCTCCTCCCCCCCTCCCTCTCCACTGCCAACGCAAATCACCAGCGCGGCAGTCCCCAATTGCCAATCTTGCAATCTTATCGCCCATTGCCTCACGATCGATCGCGGTTAATCTTTTTATAACAATTGGCACGGTTCAATCATTCTTTTTGCTCGCAACCTCGAAACAACACAGGCCACACACTATTGCGCCTAGTGTTGTTAGCTCGTTGGTCCACCCCCATCGCCGGCCAACTTCATCCAACGTTGCACGTTTAATCTTTTGCTCTTCACCGCTTGAGGCTCGTCATCCCGAAGTCGAGTTCACTTTGACCGCTCCTGGTGTTGTGACGTCTGCCGTGCCAGACTTGCTATTCCCACTTCTTCTCCAGCGCGTTTGCAGGGCCGCTATTATTATTATTACTACAATATTGACCCGCTCGTCGACGCACCGCACAACACGTCCAAACTGGCGTAGAGTACGCAACTGCACTCGAGACGCGTTGATACATCGCGCAAAGATGCCTGCGGCGCCGCCAGTTCCTATGCGGTTTCCCTGCTGGTGCAGAGCTGTATACTCGTGGGGAGGAGAGGTAAGTCTCCTTGCTGTTGTGCCGCATTCCTGCTGCAATCCTCCGATCGCTGACACTAACAATCTTGTTTTCCTACAGTCGCAGCGAGATCTTGGCTTCGTCGAGGGTGACTTAATAGAATGTCTGAACGCGGGAGACGGCTCATGGTGGACGGGAAGGCTGAGGAGAAACAAGACGGTCGGCATATTTCCCTCGAATTTTGTTGAGGTCCTACCAGAGAACTTCCGTCCGGTCAGCAGGTCAACAAGTCCTTTGACGTCTAGTAACACGCCGAGTCCGACGTCCGGCATAATGCAAAAGACCAAGTCGAAGCCCTTCCGGAAACCGTTCGAGGCATACGCAAAGGCGCCTCATTACACAACTGCCAAACAGCCCGAGATCATTCGCGACATGCCGCAACGCCAAAACTCTCACAACTCCTTCCAAGAGCCGCAGCGCCAGAACTCTCGCAACTCCTTCCAAGAGCCACCGCCGAGAACGCAACGCCTAAATTCTCACGCCTCGATCTATCAACAAACAAATCTTGTCGACGAAATGGGCCGCAGACCATCCGCGCCCGAGATGCATGGATATGGCTCAAGAGCGCCATCGCCAGCACCCTCAATGTCCAATTATGGCCAGGCCTACACACAACGAGCATACTCGCCCGCGCCGCCTATGCTGAACCAGGCATATTCGATGAGAGCTCCTTCGCCAGGACCAGGCTTGCAAATGTCATTTTTCGGAGCGCGAGCGGCATCTCCACAACCACCGCCTTCACCAATGCAACATGGGTCAAGAGCCCCGTCACCTGCTCCGTCCTTTAGCTTCACACCTTATCGTCCGGGTGCCGAACGGAACTCACCTCCACCGCCAGCTCCACCCCCGCATCGCTCTGCTCCCTTGAGCAGAGGGGGTTCCAACGCTTCATACGATGCTAGACCTCACACGCCAAGAGCTCATTCGCCGGTACCGCCTTCGCCGGGCGGCGAGGGCTTCACCCCGTCGCCCCTGAGGGAAGCCATGGATGGCGTCATGGAGCAACTTGATGCGCTTGGAATCAATCATCAAAGTGACTCGCCAGAACCGCCTCTGGACCCGTGGTCACCAGAATCCTTTGACATGGTTCACCACCGCTCTAAGCGGAAAAATCAAAGCCAGATGAGACCTCAAACCTCGATGGGTGTTGCGCTACAGGATGAAGGGTACGAAACGCGCAGTGGCGGATCGTCGACAGAAAACACCTTTCACAGCAGTAGTTATCGTGATGACCCTCATCAGCTTCCTCAACTGAGCAACTATGTAGAGAGGATGGAATCACGCCTCAAGAAAATGCATCAGCACAGTTCCAGCTTGAGTGTGCTTGAGGATCACCATGAGATGGGTCCTCCCCCGCCGCCAAAGAAGCATGGATTTGACCGACCGAAATCCGCCATGGATGAAGGGGAGAGAAGAGTGCGGAAGCAGAAGTCTTCATACGACATGGGCCGCCAAGCACTGAATCGCACGGCCACAACAAAGACCACCTCGACCGAGGCTACCAACAGCAGCAGTAATACTCAAAGCACCAATCACAGTCTTATGAGTGGCGTTTCAGCTGGTGGGATCAGTGCAACCAGCGCAGGAAGTTTGGCCCGTAAGAATCGTAATCGAGCTCAAAGCGCCCTCGGATATCGCACGGCCGAGGAAGCCCTGCTTCCAGAAGATCGCCCCACGACACCGTTCTCTGGCATATCTTACCATCCGAGTCATTCAAGTAGTCAATTTCGGTCTCAATCTCAGGCTGGCTTTCATGATGATGGAATTGCATCGATTGGTGGTCTTGTCTCGCCTAGCGCCGTCAAGCCAAAGAGGTCGAATTTTATTAAGAGAATCCTCGAAGCAACAAAGACGGGCGTTGCTAGCGGTCGTAGCACGATTGCTGGCGTGTCCACCTCGGCTTCTTCCTCTCCAGTCCGGCCTAGTGTAATGACAGCTATCTCTGGAGGTGCTAGCAGCATCAATCTTACGAGAGAAACGACAGCACGGGATATGGGAATGTCAGCTGGGGTTGATTGGGTACAGGTCCGCCGAGACGTCAACCGCTCAAACACTTTGAGCAAAAACGAGCGCAACGAGCGAAGAGATCGTTGCCAGATGTTGGACTACCCTGCCATTGATCCTGTCGAAGAACTGTATGAGAGTATTGAAGGCGATGAGGATGCAGAAGGCTTGCCAGTTCGGAATCCAACGGACTATCAGAGCCTCAACTTGAGTCAGGTCGATAAAAACTCCCGCTTCATCAAGAGTCTACCACCTATGACGACGGCTATCACACTGGCAACAACTTACGTCTGTCGTCCGTATCGAAGCGAGGTCCAACGACTTCGTGCTATTTTCATCTGGGTAGCTGAAATGATCAATTGGGAGGAAGACTTTGAAGGAGACGTCGACACAAGAAGAGTCATCATGACCAAAAGGGGATGTGCAGAAGAATATGCCGCTCTCGTTCATGAGATGTGTGAAGCCGTTGGTATTCACTCAGAAGTCGTCCGAGGCTACCTCAAAACACCTGGAGAGGTTCCCGAGACGAGCATCATGCCTCGTTCCAATCACTGGTGGAATGCTGTGCTTGTCGACGATGAATGGCGCATCATAGATTGCTGTCTTGCATCCGCATCGAACCCGCGCCGGGCACTGTATTCTAGTTCCCCCAATGTCAATGCCGATGGGTGGTGGTTCCTCGCTCGGCCAAGCGAGATTTGCTGGACGCACGTCCCCGAACACCATGCTCAACAACACATCTGCCCACCAGTGCCGCATGATGTTCTTCTCAACCTGCCTGGCGCCTGCCCACCATATTTCAAGAACAATCTGGCCATGGTTGATTATAATACATCGCTGACACGTATCGAGGACCTTGAGATGGTACACATCAAGTTCAACGTACCCGCAGATGTCGAGGTAGCCGCCGAGGTTGAAGTTCGTGCCTATTCCCGCGACAGCGATGGAGACTTTTTCGAGTCTGGTGATGTAATCAAGAAGCGCGCTCTAGCTCAAGCAGAGTGGTATAATGGAGATAAGCGATACACCATCAAGGCTCTCCTTCCGGGAGATGAGGGCTCGGGTGTTCTCAAGGTCTACGCTGGCAAACGTGGCCTGATGCACAGTATAAAGGACATCCCCCACCCCCTAGCATTTGCGCTTCCCATCATCCATACGGGCGAGAACCCTCCATATGAATTTGTTACTCGACACCCGACGCCCCATGCTCAGAGGCACGACATTTATGTTGTTCAGCCACAATGCCAAAAGCTTGCCCTGAACAATACCTTTGTCTTTGCCATTCGTCAGCATCCCTCGACGGCTGCTGGCGCGCCTTCCAGCAATCCAGGTGGTACTAGTCCTATCCCCTTCATGAGGCCTGGAAGCGCAATGAGCATGGCGAGCTCGCTCCCTAGTAATGCCAGTAGCAGTGGCTATGGCGGGGGCCCAATAAACGGAAAGAAGCCGGCCAAGCTGGCGATTCAGACGCCCGGTGGAAAAATTCTTCGCTTGATGCGCAAGGAAGAGCGCCGAGGCATGGGTGTAGGAAGCAGGAATCTCGGAGAAGAGGAGGAAGTCAGCGACGGCGGTAGCTGGGAGACGATCATAAAGTGCTCCGAACGCGGTGTCTGGCGAGGTCTAGTCCTTGCCGACCGGACTGCAAAGTGGTGCGTCTTTGCGGAATGGATCTGTGTGGGCTAAGCAAGCCTCGACTTGCTTCCCATCCAACTTCAAAAGTGCTCTATTCGCAACTACCCATCGTCCGGTCGCCAAAAGGTTCAAAAAAGGTATCAAAGTTTAATGGTTGACTGGCTGAATCGGCTGGATATCCCTCAGCATATGACGATTGCATGTCACGGCGGTGTTCGTTTTAATATTTGTGGATTTTGCGCGTTTTGCATCCTGCGATTTGTTTGACATGATTTTGGAGGGTTCATGTTCTGTTTGGAGTTGAAAGGAGCCTCGTACTGGACCACTGGTATATGGAGACACACGGCCGTGTTCCTGTTATGCATTGCACAAACGGCGTTTATATTGGCAAACGTGTAAGATAGATAAGAACAAGTAATGTTGAAGCCGATACATCATGACACCTCTTGGTGAAGTTGAACTCATTGTAAACTATTCCTGATCGATCTCGCGTGTTTGGCTCTTTCTTATCTTCCTACACTAGTATCACGAAGCAGTGCAAATACAATATATCGCATTTAGCCACGTCAACTTCTGCTTTCGCATTGGGGAGGGGATCGATGCCAGGCTGTACCGGCTACGGAATGCATTCCCGTAGCAGCTTGTTTGATGTTGAGGCAGGCCAGCATTTCGTACTACTAGATTAATAAATGTTCATGCTCCAGAATCAAGACATTGCGATAGTCCAGATGCAGAATCACTGATATGCTTGGAGCTGCATAACGTGTCTTGAGACCCTACATTAGCTGGCACGGTTAAACTGACAAGCGATCAGGTCCTATGGTCAGGTGCATGCACATGTGTGGGGTCATCGGAGCCACGGCCGCTACCCGCCATGTACCTGTGACCGCCCCATTCCAATCCCGTCCGACCATGGCTACCTGCCTACTGACCGAACTTGGCGCACATGAAAGACCTTCCCCCCAACCTCTTCTCTTCAACTCCAAGAAGGTCCTATATTAGTAGGAGCTCGGAGCGACATCTTGAGTCTCAAGCAAAGGCCGCGACCCGGAATGGAGGCGGATCCGCATGAAGGAAGCAGCCTGTTAGCGCATGCTGATAGCAGTGCCAACACCGGCCACACGACCAAGGGAAGCAATCACAATGGCAAAGGCGACGAGCACGCCCTTAAGCCTCGCCAGGCCATCAAGGCTTATCCGATGGCGATATTCTGGACTTTGGCCGTCTCAATGACCGTCATCATGGAGGGTGTATGTTTGCCCGAGCTATTCTGTGACATTCTTGCTGCCAATGTTGCTAACTCTATCGGGTGCACAGTATGACACGATACTGTAAGTTCTCAAGCCCTGTGCTGCTCAAGACGAGTCTCATGAGATAATAACATTTCTGGCAGCATCGGTAACTTTTTTGCTTATCCGACGTTTGCAGAAAAGTACGGCAACAGGATAGATAAGCATGGCCATCATCAACTATCGGCACCATGGCAAGCTGCGTTGAGCAACATGGCCGGCATCGGATCTTTCTTTGGTGTTCTTATCAACGGCCATCTTGTCCATCTTTTCGGCCAGAAACGCGTCATTATTGGTGCCCTGTGTATGCTATCCTGCTGCATTTTCTTCACCTTCTTCGCGCCCACGATTCAAGTACTCGCTGCTGGCGAGTTCCTTTGCGGTCTACCCTGGGGCGTCTTTGCGTCGTCAGCTCCTGCCTATGCGAGTGAAGTCCTGCCCTTGAGTCTGAGGGTATATCTGACAAGTTGGACCAACATGTGTTTCATCATCGGCCAGCTGATCGCCGCGGGTGTGCTGGCAACCCTAGTAACAAGGACAGATGAATGGGCCTTTCGTATTCCTTTTGCTATCCAGTGGATCTGGCCTGCTTTCTTGATACCACTGCTCTGCTTTGCACCCGAGTCGCCGTGGCATCTTGTTCGAAAAGGCGAGCACAAAAAGGCAGAGCAGTCGCTTCTGCGTCTAAGAAGGTCCGACCTTGTGGACAAAAGTGAGGTCCAAGAGACTTTGCGAACCATTATCCGCACCGACAGGCTAGAGAAGAAAATCACAGCTGGTACGAGCTACTGGGACTGTTTTCGCGGCGTTGAACGACGGAGGACTGAGATTGCGTGCATGGCGTTTGCTGGTCAGATGTTCTCTGGTCTGGCGTTCGCGTACAATTCGACATACTTCTTCCAGCAGGTCGGCTTGTCACCAAGCCAAACATACAGACTGAACATTGGAGGTACCGGAATGGCCCTTGCGGGTACTGTGGTTTCCTGGTTTACACTCATGCCATACTATGGCCGACGGAAGATCTTTCTGACTGGCATGTTCGCATTGTTCTTGATACAGTACATGATTGGAATCTTGAATTTCTGGACAGATAATGGCACAGTTGCCATGACTCAAGCCGTCATGTGTCTGGTATGGACTTTTGTGTTTCAGCTCTCCATCGGGCAGCTGGGTTGGGCTCTCCCTGCCGAGGTTGGATCCACAAGACTGAGGCAGCGCACAGTCTGCCTGGCGCGGAACACTTACTATATCGCCTTTGTCATTGCCCAGACGCTCCAACCATTTTTCATGAACCCGACGCAATGGAACATGAAGGGTTTTACTGGCTTCTTTTGGGGTACTACGGCATTTCTGACTTGGCTCTGGGCCTATTTCCGATTACCAGAAACTAAGAACAGAACATATGAGGAATTGGATTGGCTTTTTGCTAATCATACGCCGACAAGAAAGTTCGAGACGACCGTTGTTGAAATTGAGGACGATGATGATGATGAGTACGGGGGTGCGGAACCGCATGGCGGCCAAGCTGAGACTAGTGGATGAAAGCAAAGTTAGAAGTACATGTCGTTCTGTTTTTAGTATTCTCCGAGGGCGCCAGACCGTCGATAGTATCTCAGATTGTTCGGCTTGTTCATGATTGAAGATCAAAAGTTAATTGCCGAACTTCCGTTCACTTCCTTCATGAGGACATCCCATGCGCTGAGAAAGTAAAAATGATCCTTGGTATATGGGAAACTTGGTCGTATCAATCTTTAAACTTATCTTGCGTTTCTCAGAGTGTTGGGAACACCACATCGACAGCATAAGTCCACTGATGGTGTGCCGTACGGATCAGCAGAAATTCCGACTGGCCGGTGCAATGATTCCGCAAAGCCGATTAACAAGACGGTTTCGAATAATTCCGCTGTGCCGGGTGATGGGAATATTAGCTAGACATTTCGCTGGCTCTAGGGTTTCGGTCTTCGAGCTTGCATTCTCGTTTCTCTTTTTTCTTTTCTTTGGGGTTGTGTTATTGTAATATTTGTCCTGATAATCTATCCATCGACGACCGACCAGCACTTTGATTTTCACACGCTCTTCCTGTGTACCTCACATGCGTACGATCAGACAACATACGATACTCCAATTGGTCTCATGCTTTTGCCATATGTCTACAAAAAGCCCTAGCTACTTCATAGCCACAGCTGATGCGACTGTTCACTACGTTTGCCACTAAGGTACAACGATGAAGATGATATATTTCCAATCATGCCTCATCGACTACGACCCGATAAATATCACCATTTACGGAAAGACGACGACCAAAGTAAGGCCTTTTGCTAGCATATATTGATTAACGCATGATACGAATAGCTCTAAGGTTAGAGGTCTATAACTCAAGAAACGCACATCGACTCCATATGGCAGCAAATAACGGTGGTGGAAACACCTTTCCGATCCTCAGATTTTTATATCGTCTACAACCCATCAAATTGCAAGGCATGATAATCGCCTTACCGGAATTGAAATTGAGCTTTGTCAAAAAGCAGTACCCTGGTTCTATGAATGAATCCTTTGTCGGTAGTTCATCCTTGATGGATTTAAGGTCATGAAGTTGGAATGACTATACCGATGAATGAACATGGCTAGGATAACGAGCACTAATATACATATGGGCCCTCAATGAGATCGGCGAAACGTACTAGAGGCAGAGTGAGGATGGCGAGTGGGTTCTGTTGCTTTTCATAAATATATAGTACGACTGTTTTTGGATCCCAGCTAAGGCGGCTTCCTTGTATTTATGGCAAGCTGCACGTCTTCAGTTGGACAATCGAGCTGTGATATGCAATGGATCTCTCTAGGATCACAAGAAACTCGGTGTCTTTGCACAGGCAGGCAACATCGGTGATGCTACAGCTTGAGTCTTTTAGGCTCTCAAGGTTAGACTCGACGGCGCAGGATGGAAGATGAGAAATTACATCCTCGGATGATGACAATTGTAAGTTATGTAGGTGATGGGATAATGATAGCTAAAGGTGTGCACAGCCAAAGCCAGATGACAAAAGGACCGAAAATCGTGAATCGAGTCGGGCTCTCGGAGTCGGACAAGCCGGGATCATTTGCCTTGGCGCCTTGGATCCACCTCTAAATTACCGATGACCTATCTTCAGTTCTGAGGTGCTATGCGTCGAATACAGGCACTCGGTTGCTGCCAACAGGAAACTTAACGCATTGTAGAATTGAGGGGCTGACCGCATGGCTCAAGACATGGTTGCTCTCTGCACTCAAGCTGCTCAAACTTGTTGAAGTCTGTCTCTCATACTGTACCTATCTCGCTGAGTTGGATCGAAACGACGGAGGACGAAGTGAGCGGCTATAAGTTGCGCTCCATAATCAAATAGGTCACATATCATAAGAAAAGTAGACACAACTCAGTAATATCACAATACAATGAATGCATCCCTTTCCTCCAAGGCCATTTGAAGATATTCAAGAACTGATCAAACTGGGCCATAATTATGAATTATCCGAGGAATGACTGTTTGATTTTCAGCTTTTGATCTGCTTGAGTCTTAAGCAGCTCGATTCAAACGTGGCCATCATCATGCTGTCACTCCAGCTAGCCAAATAAGATGACGTAAATTAGGATATGAAATTGTCTTGAACCTGCATATTTCACAAAGTGAGCGAAGATCGTGAGAATCGGTTGTTCAGTAGTAAGTAGTCAAGAGTAAGCGAATCATAATATAGAACAAAATTAAAAATGAATCAAGGGGACTACGAGCCATGGGTTGCCTACAGCAAAAAAAGATGGGCATCCTCCCCCGCCTGGACTCGAACCAAGAACCTCCTGATCTCTACTAAACAGTCATACTGTTATATACAAGTCAGGCTCGCTACCATTGCGACACAAGGGACAGTTTTTAAACCCACTGTTTGTTAAGAGTACCCGGTTTATCGGTGCATATAGAA